CTCTGTGACTACCTTGAAGAGAACCTAGCTAAGGGGTTCATCAAGCACTCCAAGTCTCCCGCCGGTGCCCCAGTCCTCTTTGTCAAGAAAAAGGACGGTTCCCTCCGTCTGTGCGTCGACTATCGTGGACTCAACAGTATCACCATCAAGAATCGCTATCCCTTGCCCTTGATTAACAGCATCATGGATCGTCTTCGAGGGGCACGCCGGCTCACCAAGATTGACCTCCGGGGAGCCTACAACCTTCTTCGGATCCGGCCAGGGGATGAATGGAAGACAGCGTTCCGATGTCGCTACGGCCTATTCGAGTATAATGTCATGCCGTTTGGGCTCACCAATGCCCCTGGAGTATTCCAACACCTCATGAACGACATATTCCGTGACATTCTCGACGTTTTTGTTGTGGTCTACCTTGACGACATTCTGATCTTCTCAAAAAAACCCAGAAGACCACCCCAACCACGTCCGAGAGGTGCTCTCACGACTCCGCCAGCACGGGCTGTATGCGAAACCGGAAAAATGCGAATTCAACCGTGACTCTGTTGAGTTCCTGGGGTTTATCATCTCCCAGCAAGGCATTTCCATGGACCCAAAGAAGACGGCTGCCATTACCGAATGGGAACCCCCGACGAGTGTCAAAGGCATCCAGCGCTTCCTTGGTTTTGCCAACTTCTACCGGCGATTCATCAAAGGGTACTCTGCGATCGTTGCACCCCTGACCACGCTCACTCGCAAAGACTTGCCATTCAAATGGACCCACGCTGCACACCTAGCTTTTGAAACCCTCAAGAAAGCCTTCACCTCCGCACCTATCCTGACTCACCCCGACCCTGACAAGCCCTTCATTGTTGAATCCGATGCCTCCGACTTTGCCCTTGGCGCCGTCCTCCTTCAACCCGATGACACAGATCAACTCCACCCCGTGGCCTTTCACTCCCGCAAATTTACTCCTGAGGAAATCAACTATGAGATCTACGACAAGGAACTCCTGGCTATCCAAGAGTCATTTGCTCAATGGCGACACCACCTCATTGGTGCCCGCCACAAGGTCATCGTTTACTGTGACCACAAGAACCTCCAGTACTTCATGACTACCCGTACCCTCAACCGCCGCCAATCCCGCTGGTCAATCTTCTTTGCTGATTTCGACTTTGTCATCACATACCGCCCTGGTACCCAGCAACACCAAGCTGACGCCCTCTCTCGTCGCTCTGAATACGAGCTAAGGGAGGGGGAAGAAGCATTCCGCTCCCAGGAAACCACGATCCTCACCCCTGACCATCTCCGCCTGGCCGCCACTTATCTGACCCCACTGGACTCCTCGCTCCTTGACCAAATCAAAGCTGCCCTGGCATCCGATGTGTTTGCGCAAACCATCCGGCGACAGCTTAGGGCCCCCATTGCCCAGCAATCTCAAGAAGACCAAGAACGGATAAAGCGATTCTCCGAGGAAAATGGGGTTCTGCTGTACGACAACCTTGTCTACGTCCCCACCAACAAGCTCCGTGCTGAGATCTGCCGGGACATGCATGACACGCGTTTGGCAGGACACTACGGCATGTCAAAGACCCTGGAGCTCATCTCACGCAACTACTGGTGGCCTAGCCAATGGCGTTTTGTCAAGTCCTACATCAGGTCCTGTGACGTATGTGCTCAAGCCAAGACCAGCAGACACAAGCCCTACGGTCTCCTTCAACCCCTCCAGGTCCCTGACCGCCCCTGGGGGTCAATTTCCATGGACTTCATCACGGATCTACCCGCCAGTGATGGGGTTGATTCTGTGCTCGTTGTCATCTGCCGGTTCACCAAGATGGCGCACTTTGTACCGTGCAGGAAAACTGCCACCGCTGAGTCAACTGCAGATCTGATCTGGCACCATGTCATCCGGCTCCATGGACTCCCTGACGATATTGTATCTGACCGTGGCCCACAGTTCAACTCCCACTTCTGGAAACGTCTCTTCGCTCTCCTGGGAACCAAGGTCAACCTCTCATCGGCGTTCCATCCCCAGAGCGATGGACAAACCGAGCGGACCAATCAGATTCTTGAGCAATACCTTCGCTGCTTTTGCAACTATCAACAAGATAACTGGAAGGAACTCTTGTCTTCTGCTGAGTTCTCTTACAATAACACCATCCACTCCGCCACCCAGACAACCCCCTTCTACGCCAACTATGGGTTCCATCCTCGATTCAGTCTGGCTTCCGCCACCACAACCGAATCCCTTAATCCTGCAGCCGAAGCTTGTGCCAACCATCTCAAGGAAATCCATGAACAGCTTGCCACTGAGCTCAAGGAGGCCCAAGGACGCATGAAGCGCTTTGCCGATGCTAAGAGGGCACCTGGCCCAGACATGAAACCCGGGGACAGTGTCTGGCTCTTACAACGGAATCTCAAGACTCTCCGACCTTCCCAGAAACTTGATCACCGTAAGATTGGCCCCTTCACAATCACGGAGAAGATCAACTCGGTCACATATCGCCTCAAGCTTCCCCCATCCTACAAAATTCACAACGTCTTCCATGTCTCCCTTCTTGAACCACGTTTCACCATTCCGGAGCGAACTGAGCCAGAACCCACCCCACCAGAAGAAGTCGAAGGACAGGAGGAATGGATTGTGGAAGACATTCTTGACTCCCGTATTCGACGCACGCACCTTCAGTACCTCATCAAGTGGCAGGGTTGGCCAAGCTCGGAGAACACATGGGAGCCAGTGGAACACCTTGCCCGATGTCAAGAGCTTGTTGCCCAGTTCCACCAAAAGTACCCCGACAAACCCCGCCCAAAGCCTGCCAACATCAAAACAACATCCGGACGCCGTGGCTAAAGGAGGGGGTGATGTTATGGACGACGCGTCCATACCATGCGCTTACCTCATGACAGCATCCCAACAGTCAGTCAATGTCAATTCCCTGTCAAAACCTGACATCTGCCAAACCTCGCAGCCGCACGCAGCCGCGCTACCCCACACCTGCCACTGCCTTCATTTCTCCACGCAGCCGCACGTAGCCACACCTCCCAACACTCGGCGCTCACAAACCCTTCTCCATACTTCCCCACGTACCCGCCCACAGCCTCAGCGTAGCCACCCCATCCCCAGTCTTCTGTTTCTATGCTTCCCCACCCTTGGCGCTTCTCTTGACTTCCCTCTCATTCCGTACCCTTCTGCTTCCCCACGCTTCCCCAGCCTTCCCAGAAAAACATAAATAGCCGCCTCCCCTGAGCTCCCCACTTCCTGATCCCCCAGCAGATCAACACCAGTTCTTCCTAGTCTTGTTCTAGTTCTTGTTTCGGTCTGAATACCATTACCTGTCAACAACCTGCACCACAAGTCGCCTCTATTTCCATTGGCTCCGCCCATTCATAACACTTGGTCCCTGGACTTTATCACCAGTCTGCCTCCCGTGGACGGATACGACCCCATCCTGAACGTCAACTGTCGCCTCACCAAGATGGCCCACTTCATCGCCTGCAGCGAGTCAGAATCCGCCGAATCCACCGCCGACCTAGTCTTCCACAACATCATCCGTCTCCACGGCCTCCCCGACGACGTCATCTCTGACCGAGGACCCCAGTTTAAGTCCCGGTTCTGGCGTCGACTTCTCAAACTCCTTGGGGCAAAAGCCAACCTCTCCTCGGCCTTCCACCCCCAGAGCGATGGCCAGACGGAACGCACCAACCAGATCCTGGAGCAGTATCTCTGATGCTTTTGCAACCACCAACAGGACAACTGGAAACAGCTTCTGTCGTCCGGCGAGTTCGCCTACAACAACACCCACCAGTCCGCCTCCCAGACCACCCCCTTCTACGCCAACAAGGGTCTCCACCCCCGCTTCAGTTTCGCGGCCTCTGCTACCTCCGAATCCGTCAACCCCGCCGCTGAAGCCCGCGCTAAACAAATCAGGGAAGTCCATGAACAGCTCGCCTTCGAGCTCAAGGAAGCCCAAGATCAAATGAAGCGCTACGCCGACGCTAAACGAATTCCTGAACCGGACTTCAAGCCTGGCGATCACGTCTGGCTCCTCCGCAAAAACCTCCAGACAACCCGGCCCTCTCAGAAACTCGACCATCGCAAGATTGGGCCATTCCCCATCGTTGAAAAAATCAATCCCGTCGCCTACCGGCTCAAGCTCCCGCCTACGTACAAAATCCACGATGTCTTCCATGTCTCGCTCCTCGAACCCCGCTTCACCATCCCCGAACGACACGAACCCAAACCTGCGCCCCCAGAGACCGTTGAGGGTCAAGAAGAGTGGGTTGTCGAAGCCATCCTTGACTCTCGCATCCATTGTCGTCGCCTTCAGTACTTGGTCAAATGGCAGGGCTGGCCTGACTCCGAGAACACCTGGGAGCCCGTGGAACACCTCACCCATACCGACGCACTCCTCCAGGACTTCCACAGCGCGTACCCCAACAAGCCTTCCTCTGTCCCCGTAGCACCTCCTCTGCGGCCACACCAAACTCGACGCCGCCGCCTCCGCCGCTAAAGAGAGGGGTGATGTTATGGACAATGCGCCCATACCATAAGCTTACCTACTGACAGCCGCCAATGTCAACCGCCAAATGTCAAACGCCAATGTCAATGTCAATGTCAGTGTCAATGTCAGTGTCAATGTCAATGTCAATGCCACTCCCCCTCTCTCCTCTCATTTTGCCAATCCTCTTGCAATATCGCCACTCCGCCTCTGTCCTCTCATTTCGCCAATTCCCCCTCGGCTCCTCCACACCCCCCACTGCTTCCCCATAGCCAGCAGCTGTAGCAATGCTCTCTACGCTCGCCACGCACGCTCCAGGAGCATAGCTGGCGCCCCCCAGTCCCCTCTTGTTGTTGTTGTTCTCTGATCTGCTGGGTTGCCTATCTATAAATAGCCGGCCTCTCTTTGTCCATTCCCTTCCTCCCCAGCAGATCAACACCAGTTCTTCTCATCTCCTGTTCTAGTCCTTGTTTCTTGTTTCGCCAATACAATCTCTTGTCGCCTATCACACTCGCCCTGTCTTCTCTACTTCGCTTCCGCCCCCGTCGTCGAGATCATAACAGAGACGGGGGGCTGGCGGGCGGAGACGGGGGGCTGGCGGGGGGAGACGGGGGGCTGGCGGGCGGAGACGGGGGGCTGGCGGGCGGAGACGGGGGTTGGGATGGTGGAGACGGGGGTTGGGATGGTGGGCGGGCGGGGCGGGAGGTGGAGGGTGAGGTGCGTGGTGGCTGGGGCGGGGAGGGTGGTTGTGGGGACGACGGGTTTGCCCGGAAGGGCAGCGATGGCATCCAGGTATGCCTGCGCGCGCCCACACTTATTGCAGGCCGCCCTGGCTGTCTTGACGTTGTTCACAATGCCCGTTCGCCACGCGGCGGACGTCCGAGCCCCGCAAACAACGCATACTCCTCCAGGAGCAAGGCAGGAGTAGTTTCGGTCGTCCCTACCCCTCCCTGCTCCAGCACCAGATTGAGTTCGGCGTGGGGGCGCTTTGGGCATGGTTGTTGTCGTTGTTGTCGTTGTTGTTGTGTTGTCGTTGTTGTTGTTGCTGTGTCAGGGTGTGGAACTCGGCGTGTGCTGGGGTTGGAAGAAGAGAGCGCGAGGAGGAGGTCTCAGAGACAGGAACCGCAAAAGTAGGTAGGTTTGACAGTATTTTGACAGTGTAGGCATATAATAATGACGTCTAAATTTACATATAATGGCGCTTTATAGACATTGGAGGCACCGGAGACAGCCTCTCTTCTATGCCTAAGTCTGCCTGTGGCCACTTATTGCGAGCAGAAGCTGCTGCAAGCGCTGCTCCGCCTGCTCCTGCCGACGTATGTCATCCCGCCGGCGCTCATCGTCGCGCTCCTCCTGTCTTGCGATCCGAGCTGCTTCTCTCTCTGCGTGAGCTGCTTCTCTCTCTGCTTCTCTCTCCTCCATCTTTGCCATATTCTGCTGCTGAAGAGTTGTGGCAGCGAGGAGAAACTACCAGAGGAGTAGTGCAAGCGAGGAGTAGTACCAGAAGGGTGTACTGTACGGTACAGGTGGCCAAAAGAGCGTCCGAGAGAGCGTTCCATCACGTGGGTTTCATCACGTGAGCGTTGCGCAGGCTTTAATAAGTTATAACTGGCGAGTTGTGGCTTTCCCGTTGGGTTTGCGTAAATTCTGGGCGCGTCCCATGCTGCTCGACGCCTGGCGGGCCACGAAAATCGATCTCGTCAATAAATGAAGTCCACGACTTAACTCCGACCTCTGCGGCCCTGCCGGGGTGCAACTTTGCGGGAGCTTGGCGTATATAAACGCAAGAGCGACCATCCAATGCCCTGCCTGTTCGAAGCCCCGGCCTTCTCCCTCATACCCCAATAGTCGCCGTTCCCCAAGCCGGTGTCCCGCGGTCTTTCAAAATGACCACCGAAAAGAGAGCCGCCCTCCAAGAGGGCCTCCCCGTGGCTGACGATGTCCCCAAGGAGCAACGTCAGATGAAGCGTATGGTAAGCGGTAGAAATTGATGTAGGATGAGAAGAGACATAATTTTCTGTACTAGCATCGGGATTGGAGGGTAGTCAAGGTTTAAGGGGTGGAGCCCTGTGTCCGAGTACACCGTCGCAGCGATGTCCACGTCGCCGGCGGAAAGAGCAGCATGTTGAGTTCCACATCAATGAGCAACAGGAATTGGCCCTGAGATTGGCCACTCATTGATGTGTTATACTGATGCGTCTGCGTTTCTTTGCATAGGGAACCAGTAACCCGTTCAGCTACATATCGGTGCATTGGATCTCATCGCTCATGCGCCTAGGGTACCGCCGACCGCTCGAGGAGGAAGATTTATACCTGCTTAACGAAGAGGATGAGTCCAACGCGATTGCCCACGTCCTCGACGGCTACAAGGACCAAGTCAGAGCCCATCTCGCCGACTCAAACAACCCGGAACCGCAGCTTTTCAAAGTCTTGATGCACCATTTCGGCGCCTATTGGATCGCCGGTCTTGTCTTGTACGTGGTCTCGATCGCCTGCGGGCTCCTCAGTCCGATGTTCATTCAGCAGGCGCTCATCTACGTTCAGCCGGTCGAGCAGCGCACCAGTGCCGATGACTTGTGGCTGAACTCTGGCTTGGGGATCTCTTTCATCCTGTTCGGCCTTCAGCTGGGGCTCACGCTGTCCGCAAAGACCGCTGAGCAGATGTTGCGCAAGCTTATGATCAACGGCCGATCGCTGCTGATCGGCGCAGTGTATGAGAAGAGTTTGCGCCTGTCGGCCGCTGCTGCTCAAAAACACTCTCAAGGCCAGATCATGACACTGATCAACGTCGATGCGGGGCAAGTCGCCGCCACCGTTCTTCATGGCGTTCCTGTCGTCACGGCGCCCATCCAGATTATAGTCGCGGTAGCCCTGCTGGCTTCGTCCTTGGGCGTCGCTACGGCTGCAGGCGTCGGTCTTATGGTGTTGTTCTTCTTCCTCCAAGCTCCGCTCGTGAACGCCGCCCAGAAGTCCTTCGGCGTCGTCTTTGCCAAAGCCGATACGCGGCTCAAGGCGGTTCGTGAAGCACTCTATTCGATCAAGATTGTCAAGCTCAGAGCCATAGAGGACTTCATCCTGCCCAAGATCGAGGCCATCCGCGCTGAGCAGACGGCGGCGCTGAAAAGCTCGTACATTGCGTTTGCCATCTTCATCTCTCTGGGTTTGTTCACTCCGCTTCTCCTTCCCATCATTACATTTGTGGTAAGTTTTCCTTCTCATGTCATCGCTGTGCGTGCGCGATCTTCAAGCTCAGATAAATCACGATCTTAGGTTTACAGCGCCATTCATGGAAGCTTGGACCCGACAAAGGTCTTCCCAGCCCTGGTCCTCTTCCAAATCCTCTTTTCCCCCATGATGAGCCTGCCCCAAGCGCTAAGTGCCGTGGCCACTGCCCGTGTCAGCTGGAAACGTATCACCACGTTATTGGCCGCCTCCGAGGTCGCACCTCTCACTGCGAGCCGGGCTTCCGAAGGCAATGGCATTGCCGTGAAGATCATTGATGCAACCTTCCGGTGGGAGGAGGAGAAAGATGAGACCAAGAAGTCCAAGAAGGAGAAGAAAATCGCCAAGAAGGCTGCAGAGGAGGCGGCTAAGAAGGAAAAGGAAATGGACGGCGTGAAGACTCTGGAAGTTGAAGCTGCGCCTACCGGCATCCCCCCGCTCTTCCGTGACCTCAACGTCTCCATCCGTCATGGACAGCTTACCGCCGTCGTCGGGAGCGTGGGAAGCGGCAAGTCATCTTTCCTCTCAGCAATCATCGGCAGGATGACCAAACTCAAAGGCCAGGTTGATATCTACGGCAACGGTAAAATCGCCTTGTGCGAGCAGCAACCCTGGATCCAGACCGCGACCGTCTCGGAGAACATTACGTTTGGAAATCCGGTGGATGCGGCGCGACTGCAGCATGTTCTGCGAGCGTGCTCACTTGAAGATGACATGCGGCAGTTGTCTGCCGGTCTCGCCACCGAGATTGGAGAAAAGGTAGTTATTTACATTCAATTCCTCGACGTCGGACGATGATCGTCCTAATGCTCACTTCTTTCCAGGGCATAAACCTCTCAGGTGGACAGAAGGTAGGTTCAGTCGATTTTTGTTCCCGCTGCTCCGTTGCCTCATTTACTGAGCCTCCTCTCTATGTTTACAGGCTCGCGTGGCACTTGCCCGGGCGATATACGAGGAGGACACAGAAATCTTCCTTCTGGACGACCCGATCAGGTGAGCTGGTTTGCTTCGTCTTTCATTTGGACTACGGCTCATTCCGTTGGTCGTCTCCCTATGTACAGCGCCCTCGACGCCCACGTCGGTCAAGAAATTTTCCAGCGATGTATCAAGGAGGAACTCGCCGGCAAAACCCGTGTCCTCATCACCCATCATCTGCACCTCATGCCCGAGGTGGACCACATCATTGTGCTTCAAGAGGGACGCATTGCTGAGGAAGGGTCATACGCGGAACTGATGGCCGCCAAGGGCGTGATGGCGGAGCTGATGAAAGATCATCGTGAGAACGATAACTTGAACGAGGAGAAGAAAGACGATGAGCTCAAGGCGGAAGTTCACGGACCCACAAGCGTTTCAGCGGCGATAGCGGCTGCTGACGACAGTGACGACGCCGACCCTGTGGGAGCGCTTATGGCTGTTGAGGGGCGAGCGGTTGGCGCGGTGCAGTGGGCGACGTACAAAGCCTATATCGAGACCGCGGGTGGTCTGAAGTATGCGCTGTTGCTCATGTTGTCCGTCTGTGCCTACAACGCGCTGGAAATCATGGCGTCCTACTGGCTTGTGTGGTGGACAGAGAACAGATTCAGCGACTGGACGACGGCCGACTACCAGATTGCCTACGTCGGCACTGGCGCCCTCGCCGCGGTCTTCATCATGCTGGTGAATGGCATCATTATGATCGGGAACTTCAGCGTTGCAAAGCACATTCATCGCAAAGCCCTCGGGAATCTCCTTCGGGCTCCACTTGGTTTCTTTGAGACTCAACCTATCGGCCGCATGCTAAACCGCTTCTCGAAAGACGTCGAGCAGGTCGACTTCGAGCTGTGGAACGACGTTAATATCACCGTCTTTTGCATGGCTGCCATTTTATCCTCGCTAATCGTCATGGCGATCGTATCACCCTTTACTCTGTGCCTCTTCGTTCCGGTTTGCGTGGGCTACTGGTTCATCCTGGGCTACTATCGCGCAAGTTTTAGGGAGCTCAAGCGCCTGGACAGCGTGCTGCGCTCGCCACTCTACTCTCACATCTCCGAGACCCTGACCGGCCTGACCACTATTCGCGCATATCATGCTGAGGGCAAATTTATCGACCGCCAGCGCGTGCTGATGGACAAGAGCACCGCCCCGTTCTATCTGAAACTTACATCAGCCATCTGGATCAGTCTCCGGCTGGAACTCTCGACGAGTTTGATTGTGCTCCTTCTCGCCTTATTGGGCACTTACGGCGCTATCAGCACCTCACTTCTCGGCCTTGCCTTCTCGTACGCCATACCCCTCACGATGACCATCAACATGGTGCTGACCTCCTTCGCCGACCTCGAGTCCGACATGAACTCGATAGAGCGGCTGGCTGAGTACGCACAAGATTTGCCTCAAGAGCCGCCGGCGATCATGCCCAAGGACCCGGATGCCGCGGAATGGCCGACCGTCGGTGCTATCGCCTTCAAGAACTTAGAGCTCCGGTACCCATCCCGGCCAGACCACGCCGTTCTCCGCGACCTGTCGCTGACAATCAAGCCCGGAGAAAAGATTGGAATCATTGGTAAATCAGTGGAAGACGTTACTACTCTATCTGTCCGTGGCGGAGCAATGACTAACGCAGACGTACATTAGGTCGCACCGGTTCTGGAAAGTCGACGCTTCTTACGGCTCTCTTTCGGCTAGTAGAGCCTTCCAAAGGCTCCATTGTGATTGACGGCCGTGACATAGCTGATCTGGGCCTGCGGACCCTGCGCAAGGGTATCCAGATCATCCCACAAGAGCCCGTGCTCTTCCAAGGCACAATCCGCAGTAATCTGGACCTCGAGGATAAGTGCGCGGACGACCAAGTCTGGGACACATTGGAGCGGATTGGCCTCAAAGAGTACGTGGCAGGTTTGCCGGCCAAGCTCGAAGCTCCCGTTGCCGTCAACGGCGAGAACCTCAGCCAAGGTCAGGCGCAGCTCATGTCGCTTGGCCGGGCCATCCTGACCAAGCCGAAGATTTTGGTTATGGTAAGCACGGAACGCGGAGGTGCGCTCAATTGCCATTATCATGGATGCTTACTCTGCTACGTATGTTTCGCCTTTTTTTCAGGATGAAGCTACGGCAAGCGTCGACGCCGCCGCAGATTTACTTATCCAGACCTCGATGAAGACGCACTTTTCTGAGGCGACCGTGCTCTCCATTGCCCATCGGCTCAACACTATCATCGACTTTGACCGCGTTCTCGTCCTCGACAACGGGTCCATGCGTGAGTTCGACACCCCGCACGCCTTGCTCAACAACCCAACTTCGCTGTTCTCAAAGCTCGCGGACGCAACGGGATCCGCCAATGCGACCCATTTGCGTGCCGTGGCGGCCGAGGCGGAACGAGCTCGCGCGGGACGTGCATGATGTGAGACTAGTGGGGTGATTGTCTTTTGAGTGATTTCAGTTTTTATACATAGGTAGAGTGGGGCACACGGCGTATATATACGATTATAGAAAGTAGAAACATAAATCGACCTTTGGGAAGACGATTGGTGGCGGGTGGCCGGTCGGTGGCCGAATCGACGGGCCACAATAAAGCACAAAGCACATCCGACATCGTTCAAGCTTGACCCAGAGCCTGGACGATCCACAGGGGGAGGAGCCCTAGATAACCAGGCTGCCTAGTCATTGCAGCGCTGCTACCCGATTCCAGCAGCTCCTTCACGCGCAGCTCCATTGCCAGAGCCCCACCTATATGTGCGACTTGTGAGTTCCCATTCGGTGACTCTCCATGTTTCGACTTTGTATTACACCCATCAATCCTCAATTCAGATGCACTTTTTTGTCAGTCTTTTCGATAGTTCAAAGGAGTCCTTCATTAGTATTATCTACAATTGTTTCTACCCGGCATCTATGACAAAAGGGAACATTGAAGAATTCATTCATGTCTAGTGCTGGGGCTAATACGTGCGAGAATTGCCCACTAGACTATCTAGACGATAACGTTGGTATTCACTTCGGAACCTAGCCTATGTGGAGGCACACGGTGCGAAGAACTTGGAGTCCTTCCGGAGACGTTCTTGTGTGGTCGTATGATATAGGTATTCCAAAAAATGATGGTGAGGGGTAGGAGATATCCGCAGGGGATGCGAGGAAAGATGACTTGTCGTATCTCCCACGGATTTCGATGTGTCGCTCCAGTCGACGGGGTATGATGGTGTCAAAAAACTAGCACGGTCATGATAGAGCACTGTTGAACTCCGATTTTGGAGGGTCGGCTTGTGACCTCGACGGTCCAACCTGCGACTTCGACGGCCCAATCTGCGAATTGGATCCCTTCGACTCCCTGCTATCGTTCCTCCACGACGACAGCTCCCCCTTCGTCTCTCTTCTGCCATTTCGTCCCTCCATGCTAATGACGCCAATGGTATCTGATCGTGAGCGGTTGGCGATGCTGCTAATTGGCGAGGTTAATACTTTGACCCAGCGGCCGATGACGGAGGCGGTGAAGAGCCCCACGCTCCATTCCCGCTCGCTGCCTCTTGCGACGTCTTCCCCGGCTTTTGCTTTTTCGAAGTGTGCAAGGCCGTATGCGATGTTTTCGACATAGAGGAGGGCGGACATGTATGTTTCTGGGAACCTGTGAACAGAGCGGGGTTAGACCGGGAATACAGGTGGTCGCCATGCTATGTTAAGATGATTGGCAAAACTCACAAGATAAGTGCTCCCCGAGAATCCAGCTTCAGCATAATCCCGATCCACATCGTCAATAGGGTCGCCACCGCAAGCACAAGCGAGAAAGTCGCAAGCCCAATCATCGCCCGCCGCTTCTCAATAAACCACTTCAACGTATCCTGCGTCTGAGCCACATCCATCCCAGTGTCTGGACTGGTAGGGGGTGATGCTACATTACGACTCGACCTCGACAATTTCGCCAGTTCCGACGACTTGAGCATAAACACCAGCTCGGATTTGATGTCGATGATAATTTTCGTCACCAAGCATGCTGTCGCTATCATCACCACCCCCAGATAGCCGCCCGACACGGAGGTCAGGAGGTTTGATAGCCCTTCCGAATCCTTTTGCGACAAAATAATACTGATCACGATAATCCCGCCCTGCGCTAAGAGGTATATCGTCATCGTCAGACCGATGTGCAGACGCTCCCAGATGACGCTCAGCTCTTTTGTCCTTCTGACCACGCGAAGCCACGGTAATAACGACACAAAGCGCATGAAACACCCCGTCGTGAAGAGGGTGTTTGCTATCGCGTACAACGCAATGGCGGCATCGTCGGATAACGGGAATGCGAATTTATAGCACCAGCGGCCCGATATCGCAGCCCATAACACAAATATGAAGTGGGACGTCAGCGACAGCTTATCGGCTCGTTTGAGAGGCGCGCCATCCCGGCGCCGTTCTTGTGCCCAACGGTTGGCAAAGTAGAGGTTTCCGAGACTGACGAGGCAAAAGGCGGCCGTGACGACTGAAGTGCCGGCGATTTCGCCGCTAGTGTAGGTTGCCGGTGGCGGCGAGGGCGGTGTGTCGCCCATTGTAAGTTTCTCAAAATCGTGTGTCGTATTAAGAGCGGTCCTTTGCCGAACCGCGCAATACTGCTCGCAATGGAACGGGTATGTATTGGGTCGTTCAGTTTTAGTTTCGAAAAAGGAAGTGGGGAAAAGGAGGAGGCTCAGATAATCTAATAGATCTTCGGCCGGCGGCCGGCGGGGCTTTTTCTGTGTCCCTTTTTAAGCTCACAACCCGGCGGCGGGAGAGGTGAATCCTGGAGCGATTCCGTTACCCAACCACCCGGAGCGCTGCGTCTGTGATATTCTGGAACACGGGCCTGGAATGATTGTTTTTAGCTTCGGTCCCGGCTCCGACACAATGGAGACATTGTTGTATGGAATGAAGCCTCCGCGAAACACACGCCTAATCAAGCCTTTCTTGAACGGACTCCAAATCCAGTCTCATGTACTGTATTACCCTGCATCAAGGCCTCCCCACACCCGGCGTCGCCGCCCCAACCGGCCTCCCCCCAGCCTTATCCGGCGTCGCAACCGTCCCCACCAGATTCCCAAACACCGCCCACCACACCAACGCATGCAGCGCCATACAATATATCACAAACCCGGATCTCAGGTACCGATTCCCCAAAATCATGCGCGAGGAGATCCACGCGACCCGGTCGAGCGGGTGCATCTCCTTCACCCGCCGCGCCTTCTCTTGCTGGTGGAACTGGGAGAATGGGTCGAGCGCCGTCTCGTAGCGGCTTTCGTAGATCGGGATGCTGGTGGAGTACGTAGAGGATGGCGTGGGGGATGTGCTGCCGGGGTTGTTGGGTTGGTGTTGTTGCGGTCGTGACCGCGCGTGGGTGTTGCGGTACCCCGACTGATTCTGATACGCGTCTGGCTGTCCCGCTGATGACGGCCCGCCGGCACTGAAGGACTGGGCGTACCGTAACCGCTCATACAGCTTGACCTGCTCGTCCTTCATCTTCTCCACCTCGGCGCGGAGATCCGAGATGGTCGAGATCTGTTGTCGCAGCTGTTCTTCCAGCTCCGTGTTGCGCTGCCGGTATCTATCCCTTTGGCTCGTCAGGATCGGCACAATCGTCGAGGTCTCGCCCCGCGTGTCAGGGCCCGCTGCGCCCTCGTTGAGACGCGCAGAGACCATCGGGGGTAACATCGTCCCGTTGATCAGATTCGTGAGGGCGTCGCCCATCGCTCCGTGGAGGTTAGGTGCTCGATTGGCCGGCTGTCCACGCATCTCCTCCAGCTTCGCCAAATCCTCTTCAAGTTTCTTGATGAGTTTCTTGTGTGCGTCGTTCTCGGATTGCAGGTCGGCGATGTGCCGCGTTGACGTGCTGATTTGGGCTTGGAGCTCGGCGAGTTGTACTTTTGCGTCCGTGTACGCTGCTTGTAGGCGCTTGTTCTTGCTGAGCAGCAGCCGCTCCAGGGGTGCTGATGCTAACCCTGCTGTTGGTGGGACTGTTGTGTCATTGTTTTCGAGTTCCGCATCGATTCCATCGAACTCCACAGACTACATGATGTTGCCATTCGCGTTGAGCATGGCAGACAACGGTGGCAGGCAGAGGAAGAAGACTAACCTTGACAATCTCAAGCTCCCGCTTGATCTCGTCGTAATCCTCATACATAAGCAGCTGCGCCTCAAGTTCCTTCGTCTCCAAGATCTTGACCGCCAAATCGCGTTCCTGCTCAGCAATCCGCTGATTCAGCTGCGACTGGGACTCTTTGAGGTGAAGGCGTAACCGTTCGGCTTCTGCTGAATGGGTTGCTAGCTCGGACTGAGGATGAAAAGCGTTTGTGTAAGCATACAGTGTCAGTGAGTATGAATTGATGAGCTTGCACGTACCTCCAGCGATTGTATCCGCTTGACGAGCAGTACTGGACTGAAAGAACAAACAGCCATGGTCAGATCAAATTCGACCTAAAGCAATGCGGGAGACATAATCATTCGACATACTCTTGCCACTCCATCCCGGACGCATCCTCGCCGCGATACTTCGTCAGATCCGCTTTCAAGAGGTCCTAACAGGGCATTATTCCATCAGCAAACATGCCGGAAGGAGAGCACTCCAAAAATCTCATCCTCCATTGCTCACATTATCCCTCTCCAACTGAGCAATCTTCAAATTCGCCCGGTCCAGATCCACCATGATGATCTCCACCTCCCCAAGTTTCGCTGCGACTTCCTCGTCTACCAAATATCCATTCAAATGTCAGTGATGGATCTGCAAACGCCCACAAACCCACTATCGATGCAGACTAACGTACCATACTTCTCGCTATGATCCACCAACCTCGCCTGCGTGACCTGATGCGTCGTTTGCAGGTTCATCATCTGGTCTTTTAGCTGGCTCAGTTGGCGTTGCAGGGAGTACTCGCTGTAAAACGTCTCCGTCAATGACATCTGATCGATAAGTGGAACTGCAGATTGTCTCTTACGTCTCCTTGTAAATGCGAATCTTCTCATCCATCGCCTGCTTCATCTCGTTCTCCTTCTGCTCTACTTTCTGGGTGACCATCTCTTCTAGCTGTAAAAATTACATCATCCCGTATCAGTCACATCCCTCTCTTCGTACTCATTTCAGCGTTGAGGCACTTGTTCCCATACCATCGCCTCATACTTGGTCAACCGCCCCTTCAAGGACATGATGGTGCCCTCATCCTTCCGCGCGGAATTCAGACTCTCCCGCGTCTGCGTGAGCTCTTCCCTGAGATGTTGGTTTTCAGATTGCAGTGCGTTGATTTGCGCTATTTGTTTCGCTTGATCCTATCATATCAGGGGATGCGTGAGACGCCGATTCCCCAGATTAAATTTAACATCGTTCATGCGGGAAACTCACAGCAACGGTGTCAAACAACACAGCCGGATCCGGCGCCTCCGCGAAAACCTTATACAGGTTCAAAAACGCCGTCTCGGCCGTCTTGGACCGCCGCGTTATCGCGTCAATCTCGCTCTGATACGCTGCAAGCCCCACCAGATCAACTCCCCATCCGTAGATCACGTCCCCTAATTCCACATTCCGAACCTTTAAGCAACCCCCTAAACTCCCTCAACTTCTCCTCATCAGGCACCTTCTTGAAATCCTTCGTCGCCTCCGCGAGCTTCTTGCGGCTGAGCAGGGACTCTTTCTGGTTCTCGACGATTTCAAGGCCTTGCGCGTCGAGGGAGATCTGGAGGGTTGGGAGGGCGATATCTGGTGGGCATTTGGGGGTGGGGATAGGTGAGGCGTTTGGAAGGATAAGTATGGGATGGAATGCAGTAGAGGACCATGGGCTTATTCCGTTGGCCCACTCGCTACTTACCCTGCCAGGCCCTTACGGCCGCTATCAGCCTCTCTTCGTCCATAATAAACGACGTTTTTAGGCGGCAACCGAGTACTTCTCGCAGAGGCCACAATTACGGAGGGCTGATTAGTGGAGATAAGAGTCCCGCTGTTTAGTGAACAAGATGCGTGCCCTGGGCTGAGTGGGGTTTCTGGACCATATGCGTATGTTAGGAGCAGTCCTTTGAGGCTTTGACAGCGCCGGGCGGACGGACCGAGACTCCGAGAGACGTGGCGGCCCAGAACGCGTCGCTGATGAGTGTCACGCCAAGCAGCTTCCCAACTTGCAACTTCGCAACTCCAAGAAAGGTATCGATGGACACGCAGTCCCAGCAGCAAAGAGTGAACGTTATGGACCATCGTTTTTGAAGAAGAGGGATGTGAAGCACGCTCCAGTGTACGAGGAAAGGCCACTCGAACAATCAACAGACGATAAGAAAGACAAGAGAGAATCTCTCTGAATTTGATTTTTTTCACTCAATCAAACAAATAATGAATTCAGACAAGACCAGGCCATAATGAAGTGGAAAGTAAAGCCGAATGGGTGGGGGGAAGGGCGGAATGGGGTGGATTTATTTGAGAGTTTCTGTTGCTTGGACTGCGTCGTAGAGGCACCGCTTAGTAGCCGCCGGAGTAACCGCCGCCGCCACTAGAAACGCAAATGGCATGTCAGCAAGCCGCCGGGCGTAAGGGCGTAAACATAGGTTAGGTTCGATGATGAAACTTACCCCTGGTTGTAACCGCCTCCTCCGTAGCCACCGCCTCCATTGCCGTAACCACCTCCACTGGAAGTGAAGAAGGGATGAGGTTAGCTATCTGAGTACCATCTAGTTCGAACACTTGTAGCATCGACGAGTGCTTACCCACGACCGCCACCTCCGTAACCGCCTCCACCATTGCCATAACCGCCACCGCCGCCACTGAAAGTGAGGAATGTATGAGGTTAGTGGTCTGAGGACGATCAACTTCAAAAACTTGTAACACTGAATGCTTACCCATAACCACCGCCTCCACGTCCGCCACGGAATCCGCCGCCTCCACCAGCGGGCCTGGAGGTTTGAAGTTTAGGATCATGTAAGGCTTGAGATTATTGATTAGCAACGACGAAAAGCATACCTCTCGTTAGCCATGTTGACACGGATGTTACGACCGTCAAGGTCCTGCTCGTTCATAGCGTCGATGGCAGCTTGAGCTTGACCTTCATCAGCGAAGGTGACGAAACCGAATCCACGGGAACGGCCTGTGAGCAAGACGACGAAAGCGGAGGATTCATTAACAATTGATGCGTTGAGAGGACGGAGGGAAGAGTGACGACGAGAGTTGGAAAGGGAGAAGATTGTCGCCAGAGATAAACACAGCGCAGCCATGCTCAAGTCCATCCAGTAGCCATGTGCGTGAGACGACGAGTCCCGTGTCAGAGGGACAATTTGAGAGATCTCAGACGGATACAAAGCAAGCATCAAAAAGGGGCCACAGCGCAGACAAGAGCAGACAGGAGCAAGACAAAAGATTCAGAGATACCAGACTTTTGTATTAATGATCGAGAGCACCGAACGAGCGTCATCAGGCCAGGTTTCTTTCGCAGCAGTAGACTTCCGATAACAGCACACATCATAAGCAGGCAGGGCAAGCGAGCGAGCATTATAGTAGTACCACAGCGTTTTTTTCGAACAAACACATGTGAAATAGCGCATGAATCGTCTCTCTCTTCAAGAAAAGGCCTTCGGCAAGATCCGTACTCAAGCCATAGTCGCGAAAGTCTGGGAGGGGGGCGTGGGAAAATCGAGGGGAAGGGTACCCACGGGGAGGGGAAGAGACCAAGACAGCAGCAACACGCTTATAGACGAGCGCTGTGACACCCCAGCGAGATGTCCAAACGTCGCTGGGGCCCGCAGCAAAACCAAGATCACTAACCAGTCTCACGATCCTTGAGCACCAAGCAGTCCGAGATCTCTCCGAACTGAGAGAAAGCCTGGTGAAGCGACTCGTCGGTGGTTCCCCACGACAAGTTACCGACGAAAACCTTGGCCATGTTTGGAGGTGTAGTAGAGGTAATGGGTTCTGTGGAGAGCTTTGAAGTTGTAAACAGATCTGGCTCTTGATGAGGGGAACGACTGAGCTCTTGGATGGGGGAGCTCTTATATGTAGGCGTGTCCCTTTGGCTGTCATTGGCATTTGCACCGCCACATTGAATCAGGCCAAGGTTGAATTTACTCAACCCCATCCCCGCGCATTAGCCATCAGCTGAGGGTGATACCCCCGGCGCACAAAATGCCATTTGCCTGAGAATCCTCATGACGTGTGGTGCCCAATTCTCACATGCGACGTAGGAATATAAACGACGTGGGTTCACGTGACCGTCCAAAGATCCCTTCGCGAGATCATCACCGTCATCTCTTACAGTAGTAACGCGTAAGAAACGTCGTCTCAAGCAGGTCCCACAGTTTTCCCAGGAATTCGCGTGAGAAAATGCGGCATCTCCGCTTGGCATTTTGGCCTCCAGCTCCAGCTTCGAATCCCCGTTCTTTGTATTGTTAAAGGGAACAGTTCTTTCAGCTGTCAATCCGCACCGCAGTTCGAGTCCTCTCTGCGCGTATAGTGGACCCGTCTAGAATAGGAATTGGAGCATAGCACAGCACCAGTTGCATCCCATTACGGAACGTTGAGGAATAACGATGCTCTCGTCCTTCTCTCGACGTTACATTTCCCGTCATAGGACGGGCACTCGCCACCTCGCTACCTTGCAACAATCGCAGCCGCAAAATGTCATCGAGAAGATTGTTCAACGATACGCGGTCAACCTGCCAACTCCCTCTCACAAGGTTGCGCAAGGAGACTTTGTGAGCATTCAGCCAGAGCACGTTATGACGCACGATAACACTGCCGCTGTTATGAGCAAGTAAGTTGAGAATGTTTGATGTCGATGTCGGATCCTTGAATATGGGGACGTCGGAACGTAATTTCTCACGGAACGTCGATGCAGGTTTCAGAGCATAGGCGCCGCACGCTTCAACAACCCGCAGCAAGCAGTGTTTACACTTGATCACGACGTGCAAAACAAATCGGAAAAGGTAAGATTTGGGGAAAGCAGTTTGGGCGGCTTGGCACCCACTTCATGATTACTCACATCCGCTGTTCCATCCAGAACCTGACAAAGTACCGCTCAATAGCAGCATTTGCGCAATCCCACGGCGTAGATTTCTATCCAGCTGGTCGAGGTATCGGGCATCAGATCCTTATTGAAGAAGGATACGCCTTCCCGTATGTGATGACAGTAGCATCGGACTCGCATTCGAACATGTACGGCGGAATTGGTGCACTGGGGACACCTATCGTGCGCACAGACGCGGCAGCGATATGGGCGACGGGAAGGACATGGTGGCAGATCCCACCGGTGGCGAATGTAAAGCTGCTCAACACGCTGCCTGAGGGTGTCACTGGGAAAGATATCATTGTGGCTCTGTGCGGGTTGTTCAATAACGATGAGGTTCTGAACACGGCGATAGAGTTTACTGGCAAGGAAGGGATCGCAGCTTTGAGTGTGGATGAGCGATTGACCATTGCGAACATGACGACGGAATGGGGTGCCCTTGCTGGTGTGTTTCCTGTGGACGAGGTCACTATCAAGTGGCTGCGGGATAGAGCCGTCTACCTCGCTCGCACTCAGAATCGGAAGCATGAGCGCATCAACGATGAGCGGATCCAGGACCTCGTCCGGAATCCCTTGCTCTCTGACTCCGACGCAAACTACGCCAAGCACCTCACGTTGGACCTCGCGACACTCACCCCGCACGTCTCTGGCCCAAATTCCGTCAAACACGCCACCCCACTCACCACCTTGGAACAGCAGCGCATCAAGATTAACAAAGCCTATCTCCTTTCTTGCGTCAACTCCCGCGCCAGCGATCTGCGGGCCGCCGCTAATGTCTTGAAAGGACGCAAAGTCGCAGACGGGGTCGAATTCTACATCGCCGCGGCATCCAGTGAGGTGCAGAAAGACGTAGAGAAATCCGGAGACTGGGACACGTTGCTGAGAGCAGGCGCGCGACCATTGCCTGCAGGGTGTGGCCCATGTATCGGACTAGGTGTTGGACTACTCCAAGACGGAGAGGTCGGGATCTCGGCAACGAACAGGAACTCCAAGGGCAGAATGGGCGCACCCACCGCCCAAGCATACCTTTCTTCACCAGCCGTAGTCGCCGCCTCCGCCGTATCAGGCTATATCTGCGGCCCGCAAAGCCTACACCCCACCAACCCCATCTCCAAAACCTTCGCGGCGTTTCACGCCCACCCCCAATCCCCCATTATCACCTACACCGATAACGCCACCCAAACACCGCCCGCCAAATCCGCCCCTGCGGACGTGATACCGGGCTTTGATGGCACCCTACGGGGCGAGATACTGTTCTGCGATGCGGATAATCTGAATACGGATGGGATATATCCCGGGAAATATACGTATCAGGATGATATGTCGCCGGAGCGGATGGCGCAGGTTGCGATGGAGAATTATGATCCGGGGTTTACTAAAGTTGCTAAGAAGGTTCGTGTCGTATATATCACCATTAATACGCTACACACCCTTTCAGAATGACGTTCTAATCCCGTGAATGTTATCCTGATTCTCAGAACGACATCCTCATCTCCGGCTTCAACTTCGGCACCGGCTCCTCCCGCGAACAAGCCGCAACCGCCCTCCTCTACGCCGGTTTCCGCGCCGTCCTCGCCGGCTCATTCTCCGAAACATTTAAGCGGAACGCCATAAACAACGGGCTTATCGTCCTCGAGGCCCCGCAACTCGTCAGTGATCTCCGTAAGGCGTTCAAGGGTGGTGAGGAGGTGTTGACGAGACGCACCGGATGGGATGCGACCGTGGATCTTGTGGGCGGGAGTGTGGGGGTGGGGGAGAGGAGGTATAAGGTGCCGCCGGTAGGGAGGGCGGCGCAGGAGTTGATTGTGGAGGGGGGGTTGGAGAATTGGGTCAAGAATCGGATTGCTGCGTAGATTCGATCCCCTTCCCGCGCTATGTTGGTGTAGCTTAGTCTTCGGGTTATACATAGTCTATGTATTCTGCGTGTATCTACATGTACATTTTCTTCTTCTTTGCATCATGAGTAAATATGTCTCCGAAAAAGTTGGTCAAAGCGTAAGGTGGGAATATATAAAAATGCAGTAAGAACGAGAAGGAAAGTCGAGTAAACCACATAAAAAACGATACGGGGGGTATCCACACTATTTACACACATTCCTTCCAGATGGAGCCAATATTTCCACCCACACATCACTTGTCAACATCATGCCCCAACTTCTGCACCAGCACCTCATAAATCCACAAACTCAACGCCGAGCTCGGCACCGTCCTAATCAGATTGACGCCCAAGCCCCTATAGAACGCCCTCCACCCTTCCTCGCGCATAATCACCTTCATCGCGTGGATCATACCGCGATATCGGGGTGTGGGTTTTGTTGATCGTAAGGCGGCGGATTCAGCGGCGGTTGCGGGGGGGCGTGAATCGGCGGGGCAGTCGGGGCCTTCGCAGAGTTTGTCGGGGATATGGGTGAGGATCCGGCGGGCGGATTGCGTTTGGAGGCGGGTGCGGAGGACCTGTGTTTGAGAGAAGGGGAAGCTGAATAGGATTGCTCTGTGATGACCCGATGGAGGAGTTTTGATGTGGATTACAAACCTCGTGAGGGTACGTCGCGACACTAGCGACCATCTTCGACCCAGCACTCGCCAGCAATATACTGACAGCGCTCAGATCCTGATCCACTCTCCCTCGCTTCTTTTCCAAATCTGCAAATCTCAAAACCAATCAACAATGTCGCCCCATTTAAAACGAACTCGTCTATGATCACGTACCTCTCATGACGACTTTTAACCTCTCATACAGCGGAAACTGCACCGCGACGTGGGTTATACCCAGCAGCGAGGGCACGAAGCCTTTGTACAGCGCGGAGAAGCCTTCGGTGCGGAGGATGGAGGAGAGGGCGTGCGAGGTGGAGGTGTAGTGTGTGGCGGAGGCTTGGCCTTTTACTGTTGATTGGACCTGTGTATGTGGAATGAAGCCCACGAGTTTGTTAGTGGGGAAGGTTGGGAAAAGGCAGAGAGATGTGCTAGGAGTATTTGTTCATACCATCATGCGTGTTCGGATCACCCAGAGCGGGTTGACGAATGCCATTGTTACGAGTGAGGAGCCTATCGACGCGTTCAGGTGCACGAGCGCTCCGGCATCTTCTGGCGGTCGGCCTGGACATCAGAGGGTGGAAGTGAAGTGTCAATAGGCGGTCGGAACAGGAATGGAAGCGGATGTATAGCGCGTGCAGCGGAATGACGACCCTATTCGCTCGGGGTCGCGACAAGGATAGTGGGCTGGGCTCGCCTCCCCAACCTCGAGCAACCTTACGTCTCGCTCTTGCGCTTCACAGACCCTCTTGCGCTTCTGCACCACAAGCTGGCTTCGCTCGCCACACCCCCAGCATTCCGGCGCCTCGCTTCGGTCGGGTCGCTATCGTTCGCCGCAAAGTCACCCCAGGAATCCCCAGAAATCCACGACTTCCTCGCTAAAGCTCAACATACCCGCAGCTGCAGCCAACCGATCCTTCAACTGATTATAGGCCGCGAACCAAATCGCCCGATCGGCAATATACGCAATCGTCGTCGTGCCCAACCCACGAAAGAGCCCACGAACACCTTCCTCGTTCCATATCAGCTTCACACCCTGGACGGTACCAGTGTATTTGGGGGAGACGCCGGATTGGTGCCGCTGGTTTTGGATTCGGATTTTGAGAACGTCTAGTGGGCCTGTTGGTGAAATAGGGGAGGGATGGTTAACTTTCATACATGGAAGAAGTGTGGTGTGATGTGGGCATGACAAGCAGATCGACATCCCCGCTCCCTATCGCTCGCGACAAGGAGCTCAATGGAAGCAAAAGTTTTCTTTCGCCATTCCCCAACGTTCCTGCCCCGTGCTCACGGCTCTCTCACGGCACCATTCTTTAACGGCTCTCCTCGATCCTAAAATCATCTCCTCATCCTCAATTCTTTCCCTCTTTTTCCCACGTCCTTCGATATTCGATACATTACAGACTAACACGGAAGACAAGAGTCCAGCAGCAGCACCGGAGACGGTTGAACGAATGACTGGGTCTTTTCTGCAAGGGCGGGAGGGAGGCGAGACAAGGTACCGCCGTGGTGCAAAGAATGAGTATGGTGGCGACGCCCGGTGCACACCTCCTTATGGAGCTGGAGCTAGACCAACGAACTGGGAAACCTTAGTCTTACATTGTTAGAGGAAAAGCAGCGTGCTTGGCCACATGGGCGGGTGCGCTTTCGACGGCGTTCGTTTTGTCCATTCGCGTACTGTAAATGCGACACTGACTTGACTTTTTTAACTTTGGAGTGGGAAGAAGTGAGCAAGGTACTGTAGGAGCCGTAGTGGGTTCCGTCCGCGAGGAGTAGGAGGGGACTAAGCGCTGGGAAATAGAGATGTGCAGCGACGGAGTTTCCTGGTCCCTTTTTGAGAGACCGCCACTACGAACAAGCAGCTCGCTGCTCTGCTCGCTGCTCAAGCGATGACATGGAACTCCCTGTGCGCGCGTCATTTCTGGACAAAGGGACAGGACTGGGACAGGACTGGGACAGGACGTCTGATGTCTCGGGAGACCAGCATCGTCGGACAGCAACAGCGCACCGTTGCAGACGAAAGCAGCGGAGAACGCAAGGCCGGTCGCAGAAGACGAATACCCAGGAACTTACGCTGTGCACGTAAAGGCGCTCGCTTGCTTTCACTATGCTGGACTAGCAATCGTCCAGACGGAAATCATTCGGGTTCAACCTCCGAGCACACGGCCGTTGCTCCCACTGTTACGGAGCAGGGTTCCAGCGTCGACAAGTGCTGTGCCCCAGGAGTGGGTCTTAACGCAGTTACAATTCTGACGGGGAATTTTGACTTTGGAATTCTCGTAGCCGCTGTAATTTCTCCAGCACGGTCCGTCTTCTCGATGATGGCAGCACGTCTCGGCTGAGGAAGAAACTGCCCAGATGCCTGATCTCCGGTCCAGTGCTTGAACGAGGTCGGCTGGAATCACAATCTTATGGATGTCACGTCTGTATTCACGCACGTCGACGATTTCTCATTGCGCATCTCACCGCACCAGATGCCTGGACTCTCCCAAGGGACGTCCTACGGAGCTTTTGAAGTAAAAGCTGTGATGAACCGATGAACGAAGATGAGTGAACGGGCTGGACGATTCCCTTGTGGCGCACAAGTAGCTCGCGCCATAAGTGAAGCCGGGGAGCTCAAGTGGTAGACGACATGTGCTGCGTCGCTCCCCTCCGTGAATAGCGTAGTGAAGTATATGTTCGACCCAGGACGGACGATGCGAATGCAGTCGTCAAAGGATATCACGCCAGGTTTGGCAAAGAAAGGCAGGCGTTCCGGATGCGATTTTGGTCGTTTTTCCTACGTGCGAAGGGCTACATGATGACGAGGACCGGAAGCCATTCGCCAAGCATGCTTTGGGTTGCAGACAAACAACCTGGGAAGCTCAGACACGCCCCTGTCACCTTTGGTGTAGCTGACCACGCCTGGAGCTGGAGAAAGTCGCGGCCAGACAGACAGGTTTGTGCGCGGTTTTTTGTTGAAGCCACTGAGCTGGTCGACAGCGAGGGACAATCGCTCGGTGTGGTTGCCTTCGCCGTTGCCCTCTCTGCGCATGTGGTCGCTGCGCCGTCGTCGACGGGAATAGAAATGCGTCTAGACAGATGAGCCCTCGTCAACACCAGCATTCCGTCCACCTGGGGGTCACCGTCTCACGCCGCATATGTGGAGCCAACTCCGACCATCCGTGCCTTTCAAGCAGAAGCGTAAAATTCACCCCGGGGTTTGAGCTCTGCACCCTCCGTGACGTATTCTTCCCCGACCTCTCCGGCTTTGGGGTTCGCGGATATGCACAGCAGCGGGCTAGATTCGACGAGGGATTGCACTACCGATGGATGAGGGGAACATTTGACTCGAGGGATCGTATAAAAGAGGCCCGCCTTGCCGGAGTGATCAATCGCGAACAGCCACGGAACGAGGTTTCTATACCGGAGATGTACTTTCTGACGCGGAGACTGGGCTATTCCGCCGAGAGCAGGCGTTCTGCGCAATAGCGATTGGGTATAGCATCAGGGAGTCCCATCGCTGCGGTTTCGGTGTCAATCCTGTCGAGAAAGGACTGTCTTGCTGGACATCGGCCAAGGGCCAGATAAGCGGACGGCCAATGCCTGATATGCGGACCTCGCTCGTGCTCGTGCTCAGACTATCTACTGTAACATTGATCAGTCTGACGGGAATCTCTGCTCTTACACTTATTCAGCTAGCAAAGAATACAGAACTCCCTCCAGGTAGTCGCTGACTTGACGTCCCCGCCGTCGAGCAGCAATGCAATCACAAAGCTTCAGCACTGAGTTACATGATCTGAGAATCCAAAATTTTCGCCAGACTGGCTAGCTGTGCAGCAGCAGTAGAAAGTGGTGAGGACTTTCCCGGGGGTTTCTCACCCGGAATATTGAGCTTGCGCGGCAATCATTTGCTTCCTTCATGGCCACGACGCGAAGGATCCCAAGATGGCATCTACAATTCGGAGGCAAGGTTCAAAATGCGTGCTGCGATTCCCACCCAGACTTTGCGAGTTACCTTTGACACTGTCGACATATTGACACGGCACCCAATATATGTAGTAATTTGATTTGTCGGTAGGACCAAGCTGGAGTGCAAGAATATGATACTCCTCATGTCCTTTGATCGGCTCGGATTTCACGTTCTTGATGCTGTTCATGTTGACTTTCTGTGTCCTCTCTGATGTCGATGCGTTGTACCTCAGCCTCCCCACTCTGTCCCAAACACACCACCCGAAGCGTAAAATGGGGAACGCACCACTTGTCCCAATCCACACCTGATCCAGCTCCAACTTGAACGTCAGCCGGACCTTGTCGCCGCGTTGCGTAAACATATCCCGTAGTCCATTTGCTGGGAGGGGAAGTTTTCGACCTTTGAGGCCCGGCTCGGCGTTCGGGGGTTTCCCTTTGTCTAACACTTTCTTGTGCTCGGTTTGTTCGCTGAGGCTTAGTCGTTTGACGGGGGCTGGTGATATGGTTCAGTGTTATGGACCTGGCGCGTGTGAAGTCGTTGCCCATAACTTACCTGCATCTACTGGAGCCGTTGTCGTTTTTGCTGCTGTTGCGAGTTTCACGATGTCTTCCACTGCGTCAAGGGAATCGACTTTGAGTGAGCAGCTGTCGATGGTACGCAACACTTCGCAAGCACTCCGACAAACGCACCTTTGCTTGCCATGAGTATGACCTTCACGCCATCCTTCAGACCAGCCTCCTCCACAGTTTTATCATCCTTCAGCATGCCTATGAGAAGTGATTTCAGTATCAAACAACCTCAAGCATTCCTGGCACATTCCACAAACCTTTGAAAAGCAGCTTCTGCATGAGCGCATGCACCCCTGTCAACTCCTCTACCTGCTGCTTCACTTGACTGATATTGTTCGACTTGGGCACACTGATATCGTACACTTTTTTGCCATGGCTAAGCTTAAACGTGACGGTCTCTTCACCCTCAGCTGCCGACATGGGAAAGTAGGAAACCGATAAGAATTGGTGGGGAAGCACGGTGTTTTTCGACAGGAAGTGAAGAGGTTGGAAAGGAACAAACCCATAGCGTCCGATTCACGTTTTGTGCCCTGAGACACGGCGATTGGTGTGGCAGCCTCTGCCTCTGCCATAACGTCCGCGGTTGAGATCATTTTTGGTCGTTGTTGGCTTTTGGAAACGGCGTTGGGCTGCTAGGTTGCGGAGGGGTTCCCAAGCTCATGACTTGACTTTTCCCCACTGCACGCGACGCGTTTGGACGACGGACTGGACGGAGGGGTTCGGACGGAGATGGCCGTCCGTTCAGCGCAACGGGGAGCTCCCAGGCAGACGGCTGACCTGAATTCTATCCCAGCGTACCCTCCCTCCGTGCGGTATAGTCGCCCTCTCGCAATGAGCAGCTGGCGTAGGTTCTCCGCTGCTGGGCAGCGAAGTATCCAGAAGGCCGACCAACTGGTCAAACTCGTCACCGGCCTGGAGGTGAGGAGGAAGGAGTGAGAGTACATGTCAAATTCCCACGCAGACTTTGACCTATGAAAGTGCATGCAGCCAGATAACGAATACTTCCAAGTATATGTGAGTTTTGTCCAGAAGAACCTCGCCGAGCATAACTTCCAGACGACCAATGAGCATGAGGTCGCCCATCGATACAGAGGGTAACTCTCAGCCTCTCCCCCGTCCACGATGTTTTGTAGTGAAGCTAATATCGCAACGTAGACTACTGGAAAAGTTCTCTATGCATGGACAGTTGCGAGCGATGGAAACCCTCTCCCGGCACATCGATTCTCTGTTTCGACAGCAGCCCAAAGAGCTGCTCTTGGTATGATCCTGTCCGCTGTGGGGGGCTTGGGTTCGCAAAGTCTGATAGGGAGGATCTATTGATTTAAATAGATCAACGATGTTCTAAGGCTCCTACTGGAACTGTCCGACACCCCAACGCACCACGAGTACACTCCCACCTTGTCTAGCATCGAGAAGGAGACATCCATTAGCTGGGAAGATATCATTGCAGAGGAGCCTCTGGTTGGATCGCATTGGAAAGCGGAGGAGGAAGTGGAGATTGACACGGACTCGGAGAGTGCGGATGCTGACACGACGAAAGTGGTGGAAAGTTGGAATAGCGAGCTTTTGGTAAAGGGAGGGGCATTTGGCTGTCAGTGCTGGCGATACATTGGCTAATTCAGGGCCGTTCGGCAGGACGAAGAGGGACATTGGGCACATGATTGGAGGAACTTCCAAGCGGAAGAACGCAGGGTCGCCTTTCGGCAGAGAGAGTATCGGCTTCTGAACGATTTGCAATACTGGAACCAGCCACCAAAGGCGTCTATATGTATGGTCCCCACTTGATGTCTCAAGTGCGTTGATTGCCTGCCACAGACATCAAGTTGATTGACATGCGCTCGACAGATAAGCAGTACGACCCCGATGACCCCTGTTCTCTAGGTATGCATCTTCCTATGGGCATTCCAATCATCGCTCCCTCGTATCTCATCCCACAACCCGCAGTCCCAGCTCTCGAGACCCATCGAATAGATGAAACCGAGTCGATCTTCCAGCCATGGAAAGTTGCAGAGGAACGCGACCTTGTGCGTGAATGTCTGTTCATGATGGGGGGTGCATCGACTCCTGTGTTCACGGTGCTTGAAGATGGGACGGTGCAGGTGAGGAGCCCTGTTCTCGTCGTGATCCAACCGATGTCGGACTGACCATACAGCCAGGTGGATAATGAGCTCCGCTTATTACATGCCACCGAACGGTCATTGAGAGACATTTTGGAATGGTTTGCGGAGTGTGGTAGCGCCGTTAACCGAGTCCGGAACTACATAGCCAGGTAGTTCCCCATATCCATCCTTGCGAGATCTTTACCATATGGCTAAAGCAATCCAAAGAGTATCATCAGGCGTTGGAGCACGGAATCTGACCGAGGAAGCGTTCGCCAACGCGTTGTCAAGCCTCCTGCTGGAACTCGATCAGGACATTGCGGAGCTGGAAATGATGTTTCAGCCGTATATGCGGGCCATGCAAAGTATGCGCCGTGGAAGCATCATCTTTTCTCATATAAACACTGACGACCGACCGCGCACAGAGGCTGGCGAGCAAGAGGTTTGCACACTGATGGAACTTCAGACCCGGTTGAGTCTCAAAACCGACATCTTCAGGGACTTCAGTTCAATCATCGGTGGAGTCCGTGCCGAAGATGGTAAGGCTACCGTTGGCGTCAGAAACTTGACCCTCCTACTCACCCACTCCCACAGTAGCCTCCTCAGCAGACCTAACAAACACCCTCCTATCGACCCTGCACACCCGAGCAGCGTACTACGAATTCGCATGCCAGCCGCATAAGCTGGCGGTGATCATGCAAGTCCTGGCGCGGACGGTGGAGCCGTACTTGCGGATGATTCATTCTTGGATACAGCAGGGGGTGTTGGATGATCCTTTTGATGAGTTTTTGTTGGTTAGGTACGGTGGATTCATGGAAAGAGTGGAACGTATTCGGATTCCGGAAAAACAGAACATTTGCTCAGGACCCTGGATTACTACAGACAATCACCCGACGATATCCAAACGGATGACTGGTACCACACCTACTCCATCAGAACACATCCATCCGCCGACACAAATAAAGCCGGCCCAGCAGTCCCGACCTTTTTGGTGACGAGCTGCCGCGATGTGTTGACGTGTGGCAAGAGCTTGGCGATGATTGAGCGGTTGGATGCTAAACAGGTTCGTCGCTCAGGCTGTCAATGGGGATTCGTGACGTAAGGGGTTTGAAGTACTGATAGACCTCTTTATGGGATGTTCGTGTAGGCTCTGCGATGTAAATCAGCGTACGGGCGGCCGTTGCAGGATGAGATTGCTGAGTTACTGGACCCTGGGCGAGCTGTGGCGCCGGAGATTGGGAGTGGGGACCGTGGTCGGGATGTTGGGGAGGTGCCGAGAGCCATGTCGGCGCTTTTGGGTCTGGATACGCCGGATCATGTGCAGCCTGATGAGAACCGTGACATTTCCGAAGGTGAGTACCAGGGCCGATGCATTACCCTGGCATCCACCATGAAAAAGCCTCACCTACCATCCTCCCAGCACCCCCAACCCCACCGGCCACCCTCCACCCCACAACCCATACCCTCCCCACCGCCCTTGCCCAGCGCATCACCGCCCAGAAACTCGCAGTCGGCAACCACCTCACCCGCCTGCTCCTGGACAAGTGCGGCCTGAGAGAGCATCTGAGGGCTCTGCAGGCTGTGTGTCTGATGACGGCTGGGCCGGTTATGCATGCGTTTTCGGGGAGGGTTTTCCGGAATGTAAGAGGGCTGTAGTTCATCGGGGTGGAAAGTGCGTGGCGCCACTGTTGTATTTACCCGACGAAATTTCCTCCCCGGTATGATAGATGCAAGCGAAGAAGCTCCCTGCGAAACCGGAGCTGCTGAACTCGATATTCGCGGAATCGCTTGCTGATTATGCCGCAGATTACCCGTTTGTCGATAGGCGGTTGGTGCATTTTGCGCTTGCCGGGGCGACGACGACGCGCTATGGTGGGGATGTGGCGGAGGTTTTGAATCGCGTTACGATTAGCTATGATGTACGTCCCCCGAATAATATGTCGGAGCCGGAGAATGCGTAGGCTCACCCGAGTTATGGTCACCAGGTCCCACACCCCCTCCGCCCCATCATCCCCCCTTCAACCCTCTCAACCTACACCACCATCACGCGAGCTCTCCTACAAATCAAACACGCCATGACACAATTGGAAGAGAACGGACGCGATTGGAGTCGTGGACGCGGTGGACGTGGAGCGGCGAAGAGGGATGTGGAGTTGGAACGCATCCGCTTAGGGCTCAAGTTGAGACTTCGCCATTTTGTGGGGAGTTTGTGGGCGTTTTTTATGGGGGGGGTGAGTTTCGATGGTTCATATCGCGTTACTTTCAACATCGGGGAAATGATGGTTTTTTGGTTAACGGATTTTTGGCCGTAGATTATCCATGCGGAATGCGCGAAACTGGATTCCCAGCTCGGTACCGCGCAGGGCATGGATGAGCTTATCACATTGCATGAGAAGTTTGTGACGGGTGGGAGGGATAAATGCCTTTTAGGTTCCAAGGTGCGTGTTGCAGGATTCGCGGCTCTTTCGTTATAATAACGGCGATTTTAACTGGATGTGTGTTTTACTTTTGCAATGATAGACGGCAGTCCTTTGGAACCTCATCTCGTCCCTCCTGCAGCTGTGCACGGAGTTTGCGGGACTGTGTCGGGCTATGGACGAGCGTGCGCTCCCGAGCGACGATAACGATCACTACGAGCCGAGTATGCAGGATGTTACGGTGGATTTTGAACACGATCTGCGACGCATCTGGGACAAATCAGAACGGGAGATTGCGAGTCTGGGGAAGACGTTGGAAGCCGTGGCGAGTCATGGGGTGGAGCATTTGAGGTCGTTGGCTGCTGCTTTGGCGTAGGAGACATAGACTTAGCAGACCGAATTTTGGATATAATGCGATATGCGTATTTGGGAGGAGGGTATATAGAATCCAAACAAAACAAAACAAAATTGGGGGACCGTGTCCCTGGGAATGAACTCCCTGGGAATGATCTCTCGACTACGCTGTTCTTTGTATATCTAGCTGTTGCGTGCGACACTAGATTATTGAGTGTTTTTGAGCGCATTTGAGGTGCTACGCTACAGTTGATTTTTCAGGTGTTTATCGTGCTCGGTATACGAAATCTCCGGTGACGTTCTTGGTTTTGTTTGATTTTCGGCCAGCGGGCGATTTCAGCGTGGCGCGTTATGTATCGGTGTGTATTTCTCGCTGGACTGTTCGCTGCAACTCTGCAATCGAGGCGGGGCACGAAGCCTCATACACCTCTATCCAACATCGTTCCCCACTTCCCATACGCATTCCCCTGATCTCACTTCCCATCTCAAACCCGTTGATCCATCTTCACTCTGAGTTTCAGCCCCACCACTCGCGCCAACGCGGCAATCAAACCCGCAGTGGTGATTACCGCCCACTCCCAAATCCCTTCCACCATCGTCAGCGTCTTAAACACCGGCCTGGGTAATTCGGAGAACTGGACGACCCGCGACACTGGCGCCGCCGTAGCGGGGGTTCGCGGCCGGCCGTTATTCGCGGCGGGCAACCGGGCTGCTGGCGAGCCGCGCTTTGGCGAGAGGGTAGCGCGTTTGCCCGAAGCGGACGAACGCGGCGGTGATGTGTAGGGTGATATTGTTGGTGATTTTGACGAGGACGTGAAGGCCGCTGGGAGCAGGTGCTTTGCTGTTGAGATGGTCGTAATGGTTCGATCGCGGAGGTAATTCTATGGGAGGGGGAGGTGTGACGGTTGGCACGTCAGTCGCGCATTCTGACACCCCACACAATTCCGTCCCTCTTCATCCCGCATCAAAAATTTCCGACACCGACACACAGCCCGAACTCACCAACGAGTGTAAGATGGCAACCAGCGCCGGTCCAAAAATAACAAACATGTGTAGGAGGGCCACCTGGGGCACCGCGATGACCGCCTCTTCTACCGAAGGGCGACGTGTCCATCGGCGAGAAGAGGACGGGGGGTGGCTATACTTTTCTATTCTGGCGGTCATGGTGAAATGCTCGAAGTGTATTGCGGTTCCAAGCTGTAGACGGGTGGCTGAATTGCGTAGGATTTCTTAAGTCGATGGAGATGCAACTCTTGGAGTTTCTGAGTGAGGTTCTTGGGGGAATCGTGGCTTTTACTGTAAGATGCGCCTCCCCATGTGTTTGTGGCATGGCGGCGCAACTGCGGACGGGAATGCGACAGCGTGTCTCGGTCCATCGCGTAAGCATGAACTAACAGCAACGTTCTTGCTGCCCCATGACCAATCTCCACTCGATGCAGGAGCAGAGACCACCCAACTTGGCCCGCCCAGTGGTAACTCCATCTCCACTCGTGTGGCATCAATATGGTCTAGCGCGCTCCACCCGCGCATCCTGTCATTTTTTACAGCCCGCTTGGCACTCCGCCTAGATCATAGCGTCAAAAAAACAACCTCCCTCCACATTTCTATGCGATAGCATCCTTCTTGTGACAGTTTTCCCCCCAAGCGTCAAACCAGCAACCCCACGCCTTGATGCTCGCGAATATGGCTGAACCGAGGTCTCCAACCAGCCCCACCAGCCCGACATTCTTCACCACGCCTGATTTGCCCGCCATCCCGCTCGACGTTGGAGATGTCGCGGGAGTCCATGGCCGCCTTAAATTTAAACATGACACTACGAGTCCAAAGAAGATCGATGCGACTTGGATCGATAAGGAGCGGACCCAGTTGCAGGCTTATGAGTACTTGTGTCATATTGGAGAGGCTAAAGAGTATGTCTGCTGGCGATGCTTGACCTGAGGATGCCTATGATCGTTTATTGATGTCTATGCGCAAATTGTAGATGGGTGGAAGCCTGTATAAAAGACCAGATTGCCCCTATCGACGAGATAGAAGAGGAATTGAGAAATGGAATCGTTTTGGCGCGGCTGGCGCAGACATTCCAGCCTGATGTGGTGAAGAAGATCTTTGAGGTATATCAAGGTTGCGACGTTGAAGAGAAGTCGTCATATGTTCATACTAGTACCATTTGCAGGACCGATCGCGGCTCCAATTTAGGCATTCAGACAACATCAACTACTTCTTCACCGCCATGCGCCGTGTGAAACTACCGGAGGTACAAAACATCAAGTAAAGACGGTGTATATGCGGCAAGTGGGTACTTACACCACACCATAGGTGTTCTTTTTCGAGTTGACGGATCTGTACGACAAGAAAAACATCCCCAAAGTCATCTATTGCATACATGCGCTGAGGTAGGGCGACATTTTTATTATGCTGAGATGTCTACGGTCTCTCACCCATCTGTTCTCGCAGTCACCTCCTCTCTAAGAACGGGCTCGCGCCGTCGATGAAGAATCTCGTCGGACAGCTTAGCTTCACCGGTTCGTGTCCTCTATGAAGCGCTCTAGATTTGTTGATTCCCAGCGTTCTTACATGCCTCTTGGTGATTTCAGAGGAGCAGCTGGATGCGACTCAGCAATCGCTGGAACAAGCCGGTGTTTCGATGCCAGCGTTCAAATCTGTCGGCGACGCCTTGAAGAAAGAATTAGAAGACGCCCCACCACCGTCTCCTGAGATTCTAGAGCAGAGAGGTACAGCGGGCGGTCGCATAGACTCCCGTATCATCGATCACAGCTCGCTCACATACCACATCCGCCTCCAGAACGCGAGCGCTTCCTCAAAGACAACGAATCCCTTATCATAAAAGCCCAATCCCACGCACGCCGGCACCTCGCCCAACGCGCCTATCACACCCGCCTCTCCCACCACCGCGCCGCCCAACAACAACGCGCGGACCGCGCGCGCGCCGAAGAGCACGCCAAGATCGTGCGCGCGCAGGCCGCCGTGCGGATGCGCCTCGCCCGACGCAAATATTTGGAGAAGAAGCAGCTGTTTAAGGAGAATGAAAACTCGATTTCGAAGATTCAGGCGGCGTGGAAGAGCAGGAAGCAGCGGTTGGCGTATAAGCAGAAGCTGAGTGAGATTCATAGTAAGGACCAAGCTTGGGTTAAGGTATGTTCGAAAGTCAAGAACTTTTGTCGGTAGACGAGGAGTTTGACGCAAACGTTCGATCCTAGCTTCAAGCGCGGTATCGTGGACGTAAGCAGCGGGAACAATATCTGGAGCGCAGGAACTTTTTGCGAGCTCAGGGCGAACATGTCACGAAGATCCAGTCAATGTGGAGAGCGAAGCGCTTTGCGAAAGCGTATCAGGCATTATGTGAGTGGGCTCTATCTCGCTGCAACGCTTTGAGAATGGCGGTGGTTCATGCGAGTTGAGTGGAGGTGCTGAACTTCTGATTCAATGCACAGCACAACTCGAGAATCCTCAGATCAAAGTGCTTCAGAACTTTATAGAGCTTCTTGATGATAATGATTATGATATCGAGGAGGAGATTGGTATGTGCAAGCCTGGCCCTTCGCGGTATTCTGCCCTGGGTCGATATCTAAATTGCTCGACACACTAATCATAATTTATAGAACTCGATCGACTCCGCCAACTCGTGGTCAAACAAATCCGAGAAAACATCACAGCGGAAACCGAGCTCGGCGACCTCGACGTCAAAATCTCACTCCTCGTCAAAAACCGCATCACCCTCGACGAAGTAGTCGGCTCGACCTCCAAAAAGATGAAAGCCGCCTATGGCGGTCCCAAATCCTCTCAGGACAACATCGCCAGCATCAACCTCAGTGGCCGCGACAAGGAAAGCAGACGAAAACGCAAGCATTACGAGGAACTGTTCTACCTCCTGCAGACGCAACCTCAACATCTCGCCAAATTGGTCTTCACGGTCAACAAGATGAGCGGCGCGAATTCGATCAAGTTCTTGACTAAAGTCGTGCTTTCTCTCTATGGGTATGCCCAGGACAGACGGCAGGAGTCCCTGCTGCTGTCGTTGTTCAAGGAAGCCATCAATCTTGAGGTCGGGGATATCACCACCCTTGACGAGTTCTGGCGCGCGGACCCGTTCTTCCTCCGTCTTGTTATCGATTACACACGAAGGGGGAGTAATGCGGACTATCTGCGGAATCTCGTGGAGCCGTTCATCAAATCTATGTTGGCGGACAAGAACTTGAATTTGGAAGTTGACCCCGTTGCGATTTACCGCGCGCTTATCACGGCAGAGGAATCGGCGACGGGTCAGAAAAGCCAGCGCCCGTATGAGATTACGCAGAAGGAGGCGTTGGAGGACGCGGAGGTGGCTAAGATCCAGAGCGAGCGGCTGACGAAGCTCAAGGAGCTGGCGAACGATATGTTGGCGGGTTTAGTCAAATCCGCCAAAAAGATGCCGTTCGGGCTGCGGTTCATCGCACGACAGTTGAAAGAGACGTTGCAGAAGCGGTTCCCGGGCAATGACGATGAGATTGTTCGTCTGGTCGGCGGGAACTTCATCTACTACCGGTACATCAACCCGGCGATCATCCAGCCCGAGCAATTCGAAGTCATCGACATGAACGTGGCGAGCAGCCTGTCGCCCACTGAGCGCAAGAATTTCGCCACGCTGGGTAAGGCCCTGCACCAAATGGCCGTCGGCAAAGCAGCCGGCGCGGAAGGCGAGAACCAGATTGGGGCGCACTTGATCACACCGGACGCCACGCAGACCTTCATGAGTTTCTTCAAGGAAGCCACAACGGTCGATCCAGAGACCGAGGACGACTACCTCGACGCCATCGACGAGTATGCCGGGATGGCCCTCAAGCAGCGGCCGGTGGTCAAGCTCTCCCTCACCGAGATCTTCCAACTGCACCGGATCCTTCAAGACAATATCCAGGACATCGCGCCGGAGAAGACCGACAACCTCCGTATCCTCATGGACGACCTGCAACCCGTCCCAGCCGCAACCGACACCTCCGCACAGGAAATCGAGCTCCGACTCCGTAACCGGTTCCCAACCCTCGAAGACGAGCGCGCCACCCGCGTCAAATTCCTCTGGAACGAGACCAAAAGATGTATCATCGCCGTCATCAAAGTTCAAACAGGGAACAACCTCCTGGACATCCTCGAAGCGCCCGTCACGGAACGCGAGGAGGCGCGATTCCAGGAGATTGTGGAGGCCGAGACGCAGAAGTTTGAGGCCCGCCGGGCGAGTATAGCTGCGCGGGAGGCCGATTCGCCGGCGAATGGGGGAAGGTCGAACTATGCGAGTGCGGTGGATCTGAGCAAGTCGTATAGTGTGGGTGGGAGCTTGAATAATCTGGCGGCGTCATCGCCAGGAAGTGTGGCGAATTTGTCGAGCCCGAAGAGCAGGGATATTTTGTACTCGAGCCAGTATAGCTTGTTGAAGGGCGAAGAGGGGTCAACGTGAGTTTAACGAAGGAGGATTGCCTCACGTCTCGGACAAACGCTGATAACAACTCCTCTCCAGACCCAGCTTCTTCAATCTCAAACGCCGAGCGCTTGAAAACATGGCCAAACTTGAGGCCGAAGGCGCCATCAGTAAGGGAAACCGATATCAGGACATGCTGAACTCGCTAGCAAAGGTATGCATGGCCTGCCCAGCGGACATCTCTGCAAAATCTAAACCTAAGGGGCTTTCCTCTCATCTAGGACATGCTCACGAAATCCCGCAGACGGTCGAGGAGGAGAAAAGAGCTGGCATCTCTTCAGTCCACTCTCGAAAAGCTGGAACAAAAAGCGGCATTTTTGGAAGAACAGAAAACGTCGTACCACAACTACATCGAGGCGTGCATGGCCCAGCTCGGGAATAAGAAACAGTGTGTGACAATTCCTTACTTATTCAAACCTCGTACGCATGGCACATTGAATATTGACATCCCCCCCCCCCCCCCCCACCTCAACAGCAAAGGAAAACGCGTCCTCCCCTTCACCCGCCAATACGCCCACCAAAAAGAGCTCCAAAAAGCCGGCAAAGTGCCCAAATTCGGGTCCTACAAGTATACCGCCGCGGACCTATACCGCAAAGGCGTGCTGGTCTCCATCGACGACCACTCGCCGAAAACGTACAACCAGATCACGCTCACCATCTCGTCCGACGAGGCGGGGGCGTTTAAGATCGATGCGACGTTCTTTGGGGTGCCGGTTGCCGAGTCGATTGATTTGAGACTGGAGGATTTACTGGCGAGCCAGTATAATAATGAGTCGTTTATGACGTTGATGGAGGGGGCGAAGGTTAATGTGAACTTGCTGATCTTCTTGTTGAATAAGAAGTAAGTACCGGAGAGTTAGCGCGGCGTCGGCCACAATGGATGTCATCTCACATATTGGTCCTCCTTCCAGATTTTACGTGTAAAAACAACGACTGTAACACGCCCTGCGACCTCTATCGCACTGCCTCCAATAAGTAGGCGACATCAGAGACGTTGACCATTAGGATGCGATTGTAAAACTTTGTGACATGCTTTGTACAATTGGATTTCTGTACAAGTGTTAATGGGGGCCAGGCTATGTGTGTGAATGTGTATGCGCATGTCTGTTTGTGCTCCTTTGTTGTTGCTAGACTTTGACCTCATCGAATGTAAATCTCCCTTCTAATACATCTGCTCGATCGGCCTCGTCTATCCGTTGTAGTTGCCGTCTCACGTATCTTGTCAGTTCCTCTAGTTGCTGTGCTGAAACGTTCTCCGACGAACACAGATTCCTAAATGTGGACTTGATGAGCGACCCTTTCCCTTCGAATCCAAATGCGGACTCCATTCTCTCACCTCCATAACGCGCCAGCCAAAATATCATCCCCATAATAGAGCCCCTCATCATAAGCCAATGTCTGTCCATAATATGCGCTGACCAGATTCGACATGATCTTTGAAAAGTTCGACTTGACGCCTGCCTTATGTATCTTGATCTCGACGTCCAGCCATATGTGGTCGAACATCTCCTGCTTCATCTCTTTCCCCTCGACGCCCTCGGCCCTCAATCGTGCGTTGTATATCCACACGTGCAGGACCGTCATTGCGAACCATGTTTGGAAGTTGTTTGGTATATTGAGTGCTGTAGGCCAAATGAAATGATGAGTACACCATATACGAGACTGGAAACCCCAACCCAAGTACGTCCGCACCATTCACTAAATCCTCCCTCCGCTCGAACTGAATCGCACAGTTTTCATACGCATGCCGTGCCGAGTCGATACGGTTCATTTTCCATTTGATGTAGCCGATCGGGTGCAAGATTTTCGCCAGCGGGTTTTGATATGGGAAAGACTGGAATAGGCGAAGTAGTTTAGTAATCAGCTACCCCGTTCGCCTGATTGCGTCGACTGGCTTCTTCACAACCGTTTACCTCTCGCTCGTTTTGCACACCTCCACTCCCAAACGATCTCTGCTGCTGGCAGACCGCTCCTCGCGCCGTTCGACAGGTGGCCACGCTGCTGACGGTAACCGCCGCTGGAGCCCTTATGGCCCTCGCAGCCTTTGACACCACGGATAGAGCTCTCGACGAAGACATTTGTCGATGTTTGATGCCGAAAGGAGTGCGAAATGCTGTTCGTGGAGAATGAACAGCGAGGCGGCAGTTCCGGGGGTAAGCTTTTCCCCACGCGATTTTCCGCCCCAGGAAGCGGCAGAATTGGCCTCTCTGTGTACAGGAATAGTCTAAAGGCCGGGCTCGCTTCTCCCGTTATGGTCGGTCTCCACACAATGATAGTCCGCAATGCAGGGTAAAAAATGGAGGGCAGCCTGCGAGCTCGAAAACGACAAAGCGGAAACACACGGCCGAGAGATCGCCTTGCACATCACGTGGGAAGATTAATTGTCCTTTGACGGGCCGAATTCGCCGCGCCGTCGCATTTGGTGCTACGCTTTTTGGAAAGAGTTCCTGACTTCCCTCTCAGCCCGCCCCAGTCTCCTCAAGAGGTAGTCCCATGGGAACCAGGAAGATACGTGAGCTCCGATATTGGAGCTATCGTCGGGATCGCAGCTTGTGGGTGCATGTGAAGGGCTACATAGCGTAAGCCGGTGACAGTGCAATCGTTGTAATCTTGTTTCGGGGACCCTGTGACAACGACTACTGCCCAAAGAAGAATTTACGGGCTGTCCCATCTCCTGTTAATCTCGTCATAGACATTGCGTTCTTTATCAACGGGGGTCAAGCAGCATGTGAGCTGTTTCATCTCATCAGCCGAGGGCGTCATTGATATTTGTGTTTCTGCTCCATCCACTACCCGGTGTACAGTACGTTCAGATAGGCTGGTGTGGCGAAAGGTTCGCTCTCAAAGGCCATAGGCCACGGTGCCACGGAACCGCGCGTTGACGAACCAGGCCGGAGAGGGAGGACAGTTGACATCTAGCGCCGAAGAAAACCGATCACGTTCTCCAGGACCTTCCCCTCAGAAACAACGGGACGGACGACGGTGAGGACAAGTATGAAGCTGCCCCCGCTACTTCGAATTTTGGCCCACAGTTCCTGTCACTCGATATTTCATTTTGTCGCGACTTGAAAGCCCACGCGATAACGCAAAAACGATGACGGGGAGGCTGGGACAACAATCGGGCGGCCGGAGAAGGTCAAGTCCCCAGTCTATCAACCTGTCGCCCAGCGCTGAGAAACTCTGCACCCTTCACTTGATGCATGATTCCTCTTTGGAAATCACGCACTATTGGCCCAGAAGACCAAAGCAGCCAAGGTGCCCGTCGGTGTTAGGCGGGGTGCTTAGGAACAACAATTCTGTCTAGTAGCTAGTACTATGTAACAAAGGGGAGTGTGGAAGCGGGCTGTCATCGTTTAACCTTGGAAGCGGAATGGTTTGTTTCGCTTTCACGCGCTCCCACCATCGCCTGACTCGCCTGACTCCCCTCCCTGTCGAAAACCTGTCGTTCGAGACCTCACGAGAACACCTTGATTTCGAAGCATACACGTGGCAGGCATGTCTTCGTCCACCGAGCTCGAGCAGTATAAAGTCGAGGTCCAGTCGGTTGGCTTCCCTGCCTTTTTTTTTCACTCGACTTTTGTCAGCTGATACCACCAGATGCTTAACTCTCGATATATACATCCTCTTCTTGTCACTTTTACCAAACCGCATCAAAACATCGCTTACCGCGGATTTCGCAAAATGTCGACGGCTTCGGACAGAATCGACAGCATCGCTAACCATCTTACTATTACTGGAGCTGGTGAGTATTGGTACTCGGATCTACGTGTCCACATAACTAGGTTCTTCGAAGTTCCTCACAATCTCATCCCCCATAGCCAAAGCTCCCAGAAGCCCCGACGATGTAGTCATTGTCGCCGCCTACCGCACCCCCCTCTGCAAAGCCGGAAAAGGCGCCTTCAAAGAAACCCACCCCGAGTACCTCCTCTCAGTCGCCCTAAAATCCATCCGCGAAAAGACCGGCATCGACCCCGCCCTCGTCCAAGACATCCAAGTCGGCAACGTCTGCATGCCGGGTGCAGGCGTCACCACATCCCGCATGGCTGCTCTCTACGCCGGTTACCCCGAGTCTGTAGCGTTGGCTGCTGTCAATAGACAATGCTCGTCGGGTCTCGCTACTTGCGCCAACATTGCGTCCGCTATCAAGGCTGGATACATTGATGTGGGGATTGGGTCTGGCGTCGAGTCGATGAGCATGTACTACAGCCCGACTCCGCAGATGGATATCGATCAAGAGATCCTCGCGTATGGCCCGTCCGCGGAAGTGCTCACGCCTATGGGCATCACCTCCGAAAACGTCGCGAGAGAGTTTGGCATCAGCCGTGACGAACAGGACAAATTTGCGTTGCGGTCCCACACGTTAGCCGCCAAAGCACAGAAAGAGGGTTTGTTCGATGAGGAGATCATCCCCGTGACTCTCCGCAACGGCACCGTGGTCAGCAGAGACGATGGTATCCGCCCAACCACGGCGGAAGGCCTAGCAAAACTCAAGCCGGCGTTCAGCAAAGACGGATCCACCACCGCCGGCAACGCATCACAAGTCACGGACGGTGCCGCCGCTGTCCTCCTAATGCGCCGCAGCATCGCCGAGATGCTCGGACTGCCTGTCCTGGCCCGATGGCTGGGCTACACCGCCGTTGGCGTTCCCGCCCGAATCATGGGCATCGGACCAGAAAAGGCCATCCCGCAAGTGCTCCGCCAAGTCGGGCTAAAAACGGACGACATTGACATCTATGAGATCAACGAGGCGTTTGCTTCGCAATGTGTATATGTGCAGCAGAAGCTCGGCATTCCCATTGATAAGATCAACCCCAAAGGTGGGAGTATTTCGTACGGGCATCCGATGGGTGCTACTGGGTCCCGTCAGATTGCTACACTTCTTCCTGAACTGCGTCGGCAGAAGAAGCGATTTGGGATCGTCTCCATGTGCGTTGGCATTGGGCAGGGGGTTGCGGCGGTGATTGAGAATGAGGTCTTGTAGAAGGGCATGCGAAAGCGAACTGGCACCTTTACTCTCCTTCCTTATGGCGTGCTCAACTTTTGCCTGTTCGTCAATGCAGATGATCCTTCAATATGCAGTGCAGTAACAGATACACTTTACAAAGACTTTCAATGATAATCCGTTCTATTGAAAGGTATATGTCTCCCCTCCCACTTGCATTTGCTTTGATAAGCTGTTGAGTCTAGCTTTGACGGCCGGTGTCGAATTCGCAAGTCACGTGGGGCCAACATTAAGGTCGCACGGATTGCGGGCATTTAGCATGGCTGTGCCACCCATGTCGGACTGCGCCACTCGCGATTCTCTCAGGCCTCGCGGCTATAAAAGGCGACCACAATTCCAAGGTTTCGATTTTTCTCCATCCGCCCACGGAGTTTCGACTGAACAAATAAGGGATTCGCCTTTTACTAACCCCTTCTGAGCCGGAGCTTCACCCAAAGTGGGCTAAACCCAATTTTTTGTCAACCCTCCTACGTCCGAAAGGAATAGGAAACCCATAAAACAAAGGAAGAAAAATATGAGTTGCGAGTGTGAGATGAGATATTTGGACATACCCGCCACAGTATGGATGCGCAGATTCACTCACAGTGGGCTATAAACCCAACTTTTTGCCAACCCTCCTACTGTGCATTCTTGAGGAAGGAAGGATGTGGGAAACCCGTAAAACAAAGGAAGAATAAATGGGTTGCTAGTGGGTTACTGAACGTACCAGGATATCTGAGCCGGCAAAATGGGCCATCTCAGTGTTTGTCAACCTCTCCTATACTTCCCTGAGAAAGGAATGGGAAACCAGTAAAAAAAGGAGAAAGTATGAAAGTAGGAGTTGCGTATGTGAGATGGTGAAAGCGAGTATTGAAGGAGTGTCGAGCGTCCCACGAAGCGGGCTATAAATGCGAGTGGCGACTCTATGTTGTCGTGCAGGAACACGTTCTCAACTCACGGCTGCTTATATGCAGAAGGCGCAGTTACGCTTCTTGTTGGGGCCCGTGTAGGTGAGGGCCATGTATGTGGAGAAGGTGGATATGCAGGACGAAGCCTTGCGGTCTACCAGATCCTCATGCGCACCGAACATGGAAGTCCGCCATGTCCGCGCTGCACTCGGGGTTGTCCGCCGTCACAGAAGAAATGCTGGCGCTCAACGCTCATGAATGCTGAGCGCCTGCATTTCCAAGCGGTTTGGAGAGCAACCACCTTCTCCACATACACGGCCCTACCTATTTCTGGCCGGGATTGGACTTGGCTACTGCTGCGATTGCTCTTCGGTCTAAACAATACGCCGTACGCTGTGGATGCTGCTTGTACTCACTCAGCCTGCGGCCCACCATTGAAACAACCTCATCGACGATTACCCTAGCCCTTGGATCATGTAGACCTCCGGAACAACTATCGCACGCCCGCCATCTGGATCTGAGGGAATCGCCCTTCATACGTATATGAGCAGAAGTACTGTAGCTACTGTATACAGTCTTACTCTTTATATTCGGATGCGAGATGGAACATGGCATGAGAGCAACGTGAGAGCAACGCGTGCAAATCCAACGCGTCGAAGCCAAAAGGGGACGCGTTCACCGGTTTCCCCCTTCTTGCCCAAGTCCCTTTGGTTTTGGACATCCCCTTTTTCCCCTCACGATATTGCCGTCCGGTCCCTTCGCCCACAATAAAACGGACCTTCAAGATGCATGAGTTGACATCTTGTGCCAGGCTTCTTGCTTCGAGAACTTTTGCCATTTCAACGTCCGCCACCTTACGGTTGTCCTTGTCCGTGTGTTTGTGCAGTGGCCCCCGGACCTAACAACGTTTCCGGAACAGTTCTCCAGCGTCTGAAGTAACCTACAATCGTGAGGAAAATAAGAAGTGGAGACGGTGTGAAAGATGACCTCCAGACAAGGACTCGGGTACGTCGCTGCGCTGCTCGCTCTGGTAAGTGGACCTCCATCGACGGGGAATGTCAACTCTAGGTCCGAGGTCGATACTCACCCCTCCCCCACAGCTCCTCCTAACACTGGTCATCCTCGGCGGTCTACCACTCTCCCTCCTCCGGTAAACTATCAAACTCCACATCCTCCCCACCAACACGCAAACTCACCCACCCTCCTTATCCCGCGACACAGCGACCTAACATGGGTGAAATCCAAAAACTTCACAACGGGCGTCTGGGGTTTCTGCCCCGTCCTCAGCGACAAAGTCTCGAGCCCTACAAGATTCTGCGTGTCGTTTCAGAGGCCGTGTGTGGATTATGCGAAGAGTGATAAGGATCGGTCTAGCGGTGGGGTCATTCGTTTTGTTCTCGCTGGGATGTCGGGTGAGGATGAGCGGACTGATGTGGCTTTTTTTGTATGCAGACAAATCCTCAGTAATGACATTCATGGCCCTGCACATCCTCGCCTGGCTCTTCACCTGCATCGCGCTCGTCCAAACCGCGCTAAGGAGACCGATCAGACAGCCCGCTGTTTACGCTTTCATTGCCGCTATCTGCACCACGTAAGCCCCCCCCGCCATCCCGCATCCCCTGTTGGCAAAAAAACCACCCCCATCAAAATACTCACACTGGAAGTTTTATTTCAACAGCATAAGCACATCCCTCGCGACGACATTCTCCACCTGCACCCTCGACCTCATCCGCGCCTCGCTGCACGACAAGACAGCCCAGCTCGGACCTGCGCGGATGCTCTCCTACGCCGCTGCCGCGCTACTCTTCCTTGCCGGCATGCTGTTTTGGTTTGAGTTCAAGTTTGTCAAGAAGTTGCATGAGAGTATTGTTGTCGTGGGTGGGGGAAAGAAGAAGGATGCGCATGGGGGGCATGGGAAGGATGCGCATGGACATGGGAAGGATCATGGGCATGGAGGAGGGCATGGGAAAGGACACGGGGATCATCATGTGTGAGGTGGAGCTTGCACCCTTCGTTGTTGAGGTTGTGCAACTGTAGGCACTGTATTATCTGTTTGTTCTGACTATCGCGTATCCCCCAACGGCGTGGTTTTAACATAGTCTCCCCCTCCCTCCATAACCCGTCCGGGACCGTTGAGCAAAGGCGGCTTATGACTTTTCCTCCCTTCTGTACTTATCCATTTGTTCGTGTCTTTTCTTCGAGACTGTTCTCCTTTCGAATCTGATCTAATAGTATATAATTTGTATATCTACTCGCCCTCGAAGACATCGCGGCGTTCAAAGCCCCCATTATGTATTATGGACCCAGAATCCATCGATGTCGGTAGGGAGGGCACATGACGCTCCCTCGCAAAAGAAGAGACATCTTCAATCTTCACGCAGCACTCCATCGCGCAAGCTCATTAGGCAGCCGCTCAGGAATCTCCGTCCCGCCCAGTCGTGCGTCGATGAGGTACATGCCTGTGAGGGGAAGATATGATAGGTCGCATTGAGCAGATGAAAAGGAGTAGGCTCAGAGATAAGGAAAATAGCGATCGCTACCTATACAAAACTCGTCAAGGGACAGCATGGCGTCTCCATCCCTATCCGCCAAATTCCTATTTCCACAAATAAAAGAGCAAGTGTTACAAAGCGCGCCTTCTCTTCCTCTCTCCCATCCACCAAAAAGACAGAACGTACCAAATCAACCCCAAATCCATATTCCCCAACCCACTCCTCAACCATAACCCCCTCGTCTCCTCACCGCCCACACGTCCATCCCCGTCCGTATCCGTTGCATGGAACAGTTCCGTGTATCGTTGTACCGCGTCTGGTTGGATGGGGGGTGTGTTTGAGGTCGGGTGGGGCGGGACAGGGCGGGGGGTGGGACGGGGTGGGACCGGGCGAGGGGCTGGGCGGCGGGTGGGCGGTGGTGTAGTTGTGGAGGTGGAGGGACGGGAGGGGATGGGGGGCCCTGTTGTGTCGACGGCTTTAGGGAGGCCGAGGGCGGATCCTGCGCCTGGACGGGCTGGTAACGCGAATGGTTGCTGCTGTTGTTGTGCCGGATCCGGTTCTTGGCCGGGGCGCCTGTTGGGGAGGGATGGGGGTAACTGAGGCGCGGAGGACGTGAATGAGCGGAGTTTTGGGGTTTGTTCGAGGGAGGTGGGGACGGCGGTTGTTGAGGTTGAGAGGGTGTGGGAGACTGAGCGTTGTTGGAGGGCGGCGTTGAAAGGGGTTGGTTGGCCGCGGAGGGCGGAGGGTTTGACTAGTCGTTCTGTTGTAGTGTCGTCCGCTTCTGCGCTCTGGAGCTGGTTGTTCATGACGGAGGTGAAGACCGCGGCGGTCGGCGCCGTAGCGGATTTTCGGATTTGGGATGGTGAGGCACGCGCGGGCAGTCCCGGACCGGCATAGGTCTGGTTGGACTGCACAACAGGCGGTCGACTAGGCACAGCCGGACCACTCGCATTCGAGTTCTCCGTCACGCCCATCCCGCCAAATTTGCTACGAAGCTGTGCGACCCCGCTCCCCACCGATCCTTCGTCGGTCCCCACCGACAACCCCGACGACGCGCTGCTGGACCGCGGTAGCCCAGCGCCGTATCGCTGCTCCGAGTCTTCCGACGCCCTCGTACCCGCGACGTTCCCATAAGAGCTTTTCCGGGCGGCGATCATGCTCTCGCGCCCCGCTTTCGCCATCGCGTTGGATTTTTCCAGTATAGCCAAGCGGGTGGCTTGAACCTCCATCTTCTTCTTTAACCGGCGTTCAGACTCTGCTTCTGGGGACGCGGTGCTCTCGGTTGTTTTCGAGTCGAAATCTGCAGGTTTTGCGGCGGACCGTAGACCGGAGCGGAACCCTGCATCCGAGTTCGATGCTGTGTCGCTTACGGCGGATGAGAGCGAATTGTTGGAGAGGTCTCGTCGGAGGTTTATTGATGGCGTCACGGTGGGGAATCGGCCTGCTGAGCCGACTGATACACCACCGACCGCGTTTTCGCGACCCAGGGAAGACACGGAGTTGGCTGATGTGGAGCGAACGGCCTGCGGGATACACAGGGAGAGTGAGCAATGGAAGACCTCCAACACGCGAAAAGCAAACACATCCATGTTCTCACCCCAGTAGTGTACGATCGGGCAGCGGTGGCTATAGAGGGCGCAGCTGTCTGCAAATCGCGCGAAGGCGTTAGACAAGACTCACGGCATGAAAAATACCCTTCATCCATCAACCATCAGCAACCATGGTTGACGGATAGTTGAACGATATTCTGCTCACTTCGCTCGCGACGGGGTTGTTGAAGCGGAGCGGAGCAATCTGAGACTCGCTCTGCTCGCGCTCGCTGTCGCTCGCGAAGGCGTTCGGTCTGGTCAATCTCGCTAACGCTCGGTCCCCCAGTCCGAACCAAGGCTCGCCTGGGGATTGCCTGCCTCAAGCATCCCTGCTCCTCGCTTCGCTCGGCGCCCTCCGCATTCGCTCCAAGTCGCCTAGCGGCTCCCTTGCGCGAATCAGTCACAAGCGACATCCCTCGCTACCGCTCGGAACCTCAAGCCTTCCAACCAACCCTCGCTCCCTCGCTTACCTCATCACCATCCTCCCCCTCCTCCAAAAACCTAACATAGTTCCCAGGAAACAGCCCCGCAACTCCCAACCCTTGGAGTTTCCCGGAGAACCACCCGTCGTCCTCGACAGCCTTGATATCTGTGATGAGGTCGCCTATCCTAAAACTGAGTTCCTCCTTCGTATCCCCCACGCAGTCGTAGAGAGCTCTTGCGCGCATCATTGCTGAGCCTTTGAAATGTCGTGTGAAGATGGGGTGGTTGTCCGTTGACAGATGGACGGAACCCGATCGCAGCGTTGCTTTCAAAGTCTCCACTTTCTGCTGGAAGGGCCTCTCATTACGGCGAGTGACATCACACAGGCCGCACTCTGACTCCCTCTGACTCCCTCTGACTCACACAGCGCGCCACACCGCAAGCCACATTGCGCCACAGACGCAGTCACTCGACTCACTCGGCGGCCTTCCCGTGTGGACTCTTGGTTTTGACATTCAGTCCGCTACTAGTTAACATCGGACGGGGCTTTCCTGGGAACACCGCAAACTAACTTCGCAAGCGGCAGTAATGACCAACATGACGCCAGAGGAAAAGTACGTACACCTGCGCTCTCTCTCTCGGAATTATATCCGCCTCTGAAAGCCGGCATATTCCATTTCTAACCTACGGAATGATCTCCCACAGGTACGACCTGATAACCCGGAACTTGCAGGAGACCTTGGGCGGGGACCAGGTCAAGAAGATTCTTGCGGAGAGGGATCTCAAGATCTACTGGGGGACGGCGCCGACAGGGAGGCCCCATATTGGTTACTATGTGCCAATGTCCAAAATCGCTGATTTTTTGAAGGCGGGTTGTCATGTATGTACCGAACGGGGGCGAACGCTCGAACTGCGCCGAGCGAAGCATGCGCGTGCGAAGCGAGTTCCGCGGCGCAGGCGCAATACCTGTGAGCGATAGCGAACAACCGTTCGTTTTAGGCGAGCGAAGCGAACCCCTGTCTTCAATTGACAGCGAACAACCGTTCCTTTTCCATTCTCGCACAACCGATTAGCGTCGCGTTGTTTCATCCATCAACCATCCACTCATCGGACTTGACCCAACTCACTTCGTTCGTACTTGGACAGGTGACAATTCTGGTAGCAAATCTGCACGCGTACCTTGACAACATGAAAGCACCCTGGGAGCAACTGGAGCTTCGCACAAAATACTACGAGCACACAATAAAAGCAATGCTCCGGTCCATCGGCGTATCCATCGAAAAGCTCGAATTCGTCACAGGCACAGATTACCAACTCAGCCGCGAATACACCCTGGACGCCTACAAACTCCTTGCCCTCACCACCGAACACGACGCCAAAAAGGCCGGCGCAGAGGTCGTGAAACAGGTCGAATCCCCTTACATGTCCGGCCTCGTCTACCCGCTCCTACAAGCGTTGGACGAAGAGTACCTGAAAGTCGACGCGCAGTTCGGCGGCGTCGACCAGCGCAAGATATTCACCTTTGCCGAAAAACACATGCCTATTATCGGCTACAAGAAACGCGCGCATTTCATGAACCCGATGGTCTCTGGCCTCCGCGGGGCCAAAATGAGCTCGTCGGACCCCGATTCCAAAGTGGACCTCCTGGACGACGCCAAGACCGTGTCGCGGAAGATCAAAAAGGCGTTCTGCGAACAGGGCAATGTGGAAAACAACCCGTTGCTCGAGTTTCTCAAAGTCGTCGTTTTCCCCTCCCGGTCGCTTACAACCCCGGACTACAAATTCGTCGTCACCCGGTCCGAAAAGTTCGGTGGAGACCTGGTGTTTAACACCTACCAGGAGGTTGAGGACGCGTTCAGGGAGGAGCGGTTGCACCCGTCTGACCTCAAAACAGGTACAGCGGACGCGATCAACGCCCTGCTGGAACCCATCAGGGAGGTCTTCAAGAGCGAGGAGCTGACGAAATTGTCGGCGGACGCTTACGCGCCCTTGAAAGTGGAGGGCGCGGCGGGGGATGAGGATAAGGCGGCGAAGAAGAAGGCGGAGAAGGAGAAGAAGGCGGCGGCGGCGATTGCGTTCAAGGCGAAGAAGGCCGCGGAGGAGGCGGAGAAGGCTGCTAGTGTGGGTGCGACTGCGACGAATTGAGGTGGAACGCTGCTGCTCTGGGAAGTCATCCCTGCCATCCCATATCCCACCTGCACGCCCCGATTCCCTTTCACCTTTGTATATTCATATCTACATACTACGTATTCTTGATCGCTCCAACTCGGGAGCGGAAATCTCCATGACTTGCGAAAGTGTTCTTTCCGTTCGTTTCGGCCTGAGAATCAGAAAAAATCAACGTTGTTTGTCGTGGCGGGGATGCAAGTAATGATCGGACACGTTGTCCGGATCGCGTGGCAATCATCCAGTGGGCCGCGCGTTTTCGTTTTCGGTTGTGTCAACACGCAGGCCCATAACATAAAGCACACCCGCTTCCCCCCCTCACGTTTGCCCCTATCACTGCCACGATGAAGACCTTACACCGCTGGGGAATACTCGGCGCCGGAGTCGGCCTGCTGTCGTTCTTTGCGGTGCGGTACCAGACAGAGTGTGGCAACGCAGGTATGTGTTTTCGGTGAGGCGAAAGCCACATATAAGAACGCGTCCTTGAACACCTTTTTCCCTCAAACGTTCTTTTTTTCTTTCCCAAACTTACTTTCTCCGTCTCTACTGTCCTGATTTTTCACTAACCGTCCCAACCACTTGTCTCCTCCCGGACCCTCGCTCTCCCCTTCCCTTCCCCATAAACGACCCGCCATGCCCTCAGTCGCCGCCGTCGCTCGGCACAATGCAGGCATAAACCTCGCCAACAAACGCTTCCTCGTCGTGGGCGGCACCGCCGGTATAGGCCGCGCCACCGCCATCAAGCTCGCCTCCCTGCAAGCCTCCGTCACCATCGCCGGCCGCAACGCCACCGCCGGCTCCGAAATCGTCGCGCAACTCTCCTCCCTCAACCCAACCGGGGCCCACGAATTCCACCGAGTCGACATGACATCCCTAAAAGACATCCGCCGCTTTGCCACCGAGTTTCGAAACCGCCATAATACCTTGCACGGCACCGTCATCTCCGCCGGGTTCATGAGCATGTCAGGCCGCACCGAGAGCGAGGACGGGATCGATAAGAAGTTCCAGGTGCATTATTACGGGCGCGTCGCGCTGATCCGGGAGCTGTTGCCGCTGGTGAAGCGGACGGCGAGGGGTGGCGAGGAGGATGTGAGGGTGATGTCGGTGTTGGCGGCGGGGTATGGAAATACGGTTGATTTGGATGATCTGGATTTGAAGAAAGGGTATGGGATTAAAGCGGTGGCGGATGCGGCTTCGGGGTATAACGATTTGGCTGTTAATGTGAGTTTTGGTGTTGGATTTTCCTGATCAGGGACCTCTCTTACGGGCCATTGATTGATTACTCTGTATGTTTTTTTTTACTACATTGCAGGCCCTCTCACTCGAAAACCCCTCCATCTCCTTCATCCACATCGCACCGGGTGCCATCGACACCTCGCTCGTGGACAACCTCCCCTGGTACTTCAGCAAACCCGCCAAACTGCTCGGCCCCCTCTTCCTCACCAAACCAGAAACATGCGCCGAGTTCATGGCGTGCGCCCTGACGGCCGATGAGTACAAGAAGGGCTGGCATCTGCTGAGCTCGAAGGCGGAGGAGATTAAGCCGGTGGCGAAATATCATACGGAGCAGAATGTGAAGAGGGTTTGGGAGCATACTTTGGGGTTGATTGAGGAGAAGTAGCAGGGTGGGGCTAGAGAGGGGGATTTGGATATGTGTGGTTTGCGCGGATTCGGGGGCCATTTCCATATGTCATTTAGCGTTGGACGATTTTAAGTGTGGATAGTCCTACGGAGGCGGTTGAGGTTATAGACATTCTTCTTTGCTCAGGACCAACTCAGGCTCTAATTACAGGCCCTGCGCCGGAGTGAAGATCCGAAATTGGGATTGCTGGAACATTGAAGAATATGATATAGGCGGCAACATAGACGTAGAGTTGGCAAGGTCAGGGATTGTCACCCGGGATCGACAGGGCCTAATCACAGGCTTTCCGCTGATGGCAAACTAGATGTTGACTAACTACTGTGGCGGAAGCCTCAGGTGTATGCGAATAGTCTAATTCTTGTTAGAAGCGATGTGTGTGGGCTGGGAAAGCTTAAACTCTTTGACTGCGTTCGACAGCGCGCCGAGTCGCTCCCGACGTTCAATCTCTCATTCAAAACCTATGTTCTTTTACCGGTTATTTGGGCGGGACAAGATCCAAAGACCTGGAAGTAAAACATGTTGTAGTTAAATAATGGGTTAGGTAAGTAGAAATTAACCTAGAAACGAAAGTAGAAAAGAAGATAAAATCGAATAAGCGTATCGAATGGAGTGAACGTTGGGCCCTGCTAGGCCCGGCCACCGAGGCGCATCCAAACCGGCGGCCTGGACAACGAGAACCCGTATCAAGGTTCCGGAACTTTGGACAAGAATCGACAGCGCGTCTTTCTAGACAGCGGGTGTAATCGCGATAACGTTTCCTCGGTGGGGTCCGCTGACCGAAAAGGCCTTTGTCAACACACACACATCCGAGGGGTTTACTTGCAAAAGACGTTTGGGAGGTAAAGAAAACTTTATTCATTTCTCGATCTCATTCAGTGCCCTCAAGTGATAAACAATGAGTCGACTGAATCCACGGCTCTACCTCGATTGGTCTTATAAAAAGCGAACGACATGAAATCACTCGCTTCGGCTTACCTCTCTCCCACCGAGCATTCGCCTTCTTTCCAGATGCCCAACACCAGCACCCTCGCACCGGACCTCCCTGACCTCCCCGAAGCCAGCCGCGAATTCGAAATCGACGCATCCTTCGCGAACCTGGCCCCAACGAGCCCCGCGCCAAGATCTACCAATTCGGGGCTCGACAACAGACGCAAGTCGGGTGTAAGCACTACCCGAAGCAACTTCTACGAGCTGCCCAACCGCGACAGCGACGGCGGCCGGTTAGGCCAGCTCGAGCGGCACCAGTCCCCATCGCAGAGCCCCATGGCCACGCAATCCTCGATGCGGGTCGGCAACACGGGCGCGTTACGACGGGGCGTGCGACGGACGGCTCGCAGAGGCCCCAGCGTCTCCAAACTGAGCGAGGAGGAAACCGGCGGCGAGCAATACGAGGAAGACATCGGGATCCCCTCGTGGGCGGAACACCGGTCAGCGGGGGAGGTCGTACTCTACGGTCGGATTACGGAAGGGGTGGTGATGCTGATGCTGCTGCTGGGCAGTTTTATTTTGATAAATTATGTGTCGAATGCGGTTCTGCCGACGCAGTATGGGCCTTCTATCTTGCATGGTGCGTTGGCGATTGCGGGGTATTGCATTAGCTCGTTGGGGGGTAAGATGGTGACCGAGTCGATCCATCATGCGTTGACAATTATTGCGCTGACGAGGGGGGCTGATTGTTATATTATGGTATGTGAAGGAATAGCTGTTTTTTTTGGACTATACGGCGATTATTAACCTAGCAACGTCGCATTCATTCTAATGTAGTCGAGTAACTATCAAACACGGAACCCGTTCATCCTATCCAAACGAGCCCTGTTTTGTTGCCTGCAGAACGCAAAAGACACGAAATCCGTCGAACTGGTTCGCTTATCGCTCATCGTGATGATGCTGATACTGCATTTGACGCTGTCTGGTATATTGTAAGTGTTTCCGTGGCTTTGAAAACATCACAAGTCCCCGATCAACTTCCCGGAACTAACATATTCCCCTTCCCAGATCGTTCGCAATGGTCTCCATCGAATGGGTCGAAATCGCCAGCAGCATCGGCACGGGCACCTGCGAAAAGGGCGTCTACACTCCCATCCTCGAATCCCAACGCCAAAACATCCACCAACTCGCCTCCTCCGTCTCCCCCGCCATCTTCGTCGACACCGACGGCTCCGTCGGGGTCATCAGCTCCCTGCTGCCCAAAACCGCTACCAACGTGCAGGTCACAGGCACCGGCGCGGTCGTCAAAGTCCTGGCGCCCAATATGGACGAGACGGCCGAACCGTGTACCAGCGACGCGTTGACGAATTCGAGTTACTGGGGTCTGGCAGCGGTCGTGTGTGATCGCGAGTATCATCCGACGACGACGGGGGCGCAGCTGTTCCTTCGGCTTGGCTTGCCCGTGCGGTACTGCTCCGGCTGCGTCAGCCACTCCTCCTACCAGTATTTCACCGTCTCTGGCGAAATGCAATACTTCACCGGCACGGTGACCGCCGAGTTCGCGGAGGACGTGTCGGCGATCTCCCGCGCCGGGTACGTGAGCCACGGCGACCTGGTATCCGGGGTCGACTCCTCGCTCGCGGCCAACTTCATGTCGATCTGGAACCGCACCACTCCCATCTTACTCGTCGGCACCTTCCAGGCCCGCCAGCCCGCCATCTTCAACTCGATCGTCAACGCGCAGGGGCAGTACACGCCACGTATGACGGAGGAAGGCATGGCGCGCGGGATCGCGTCGCTCTTTGAGACGACCATGATGTCGTTCACGAGCTCCAGCGACTACAGCTGTGATCTGAAGGCGACACAGGGGTATGGGCATGGGGTGATCAGCGGATGGCTGCCGAAGGTCTTTGGGACCGTCGCGGTGGTGTCTGCCGTCGTCGTCATTGGGATCATGCTTGAGGCGCGTAAGGCGGTTAAGGAACTGCAGCCGCACGCGTACGCTCGCGGGCTGTCCATCATGAAGGACCCGCTCCGCTTCATGGTCTCGATGAAAGATTGCCGCGCGTTCTGGGAGAGGACCACGGGAGGGTGTGATGCGAGCGGGGACCTGTTGCGAAACGCGAGTGCGGGGTTGATCTGCAAGTATGGAGAGGAAAAGGCCACCAGGTCGTTGGAGACGGGACATTTGATGTTTGGGGCGCCGGAGGATGTCATCCCCATTCGCGATGGACGGGAGTATAGCGGGCCGGCAGACGGTCGGAGGGATTTCTACAAAAGCTTGGTGTCGAGTTGAAACCAAATTGCAACGTAGATAGTTCATTGGACCATATTGTCAATTTTTCATTCCAATGGTGTCGAGCATCATTAGTCCAGGAGTGAGAACATTTACGAAAATTCGGACATTTGGTATGGGTGGGTCAAGCATTTTGAGCTCTTTCCATCACAAGCCCGGGTCGAACTGGGGAGGTTGATGGAGCTAGGAAACTCGAGAGAAAACAAAGCCGACCAAGTGCAAGCGCAACACGAATAAATTTTGAATATCGAAAAACTTTTGAAATATGTAACGATGCCCAAAGGCAAGGGATAAGGAAACAAGAAGCGCTGCAATAGCATAGGCGAACGTCGAATCGGGGGCCCTTAGGACCCACGTAAAGGTCTAAACTACCGACTCATCACCCTTTACTTCTTCCCCTTCTTCTTCTTACTCCCCTTCCCAACAACCACAAACCGATTCCCGCCACTCTCAAACGTATCCAACCCCACAGCGCCCACACCCACCGGCACAGCGGCACCCACGCTCCCCACCGCCGTCCACCCGGCCTCAACCGCTCCCGGGGATGTGGGCTCACCACTGGCGTCAGCCTTACGTTTGCGCACAAACTCGTCGGCGAATTTACGTGGGTCGATGGCGGTGAGACCGCCGAGGATGTCGTCGCAGATAGATTGGGTGATGGCGGGCTCAGTGGGGGAGATTGAGAGAAGGATGTTTATGAAGTCGCCGACTTTGGGAGGAGAGACGGATTGTTAGGCTGCCAGTTGTTTTGCGCGTGATAGGTTCCGGGAGGTTGGTACATACCATTGACACCAGCAGACGAGTTACGTTCCAACGGACGCAGCGCTGATCGACACCACTGCATGAACGCGGGCGAAGGCGTTTTGGCGGCCGCAGCTTGAGACGGTGGAGCGGTGGCAGTGGAAGCGAGAGCGCTGTTGACTACTACCGAACGGGGTACCGAGACGACAGGAGCCCGCACGGCTGGGGCGGCTGGGCGGGGGGTGGGTGCCGGTGGTCTAAGGGAAGAAGATGGCGAATTAGAACTTGGAGTCGGAAGGGATACAATATATCTACTGAACTCATCGACGGCGACATGATACTGACTTGACAACATGTCCCTGCTTTCCAACCACATTCCACGCACCAGGCGCACCCTCCCCAGCCTTCGCACCAAGTGGCGTTCCCTTAATAACCTCACCCGACGCAACAACAGCAGCAGCCCGACTGCCCGTCGACGGCCTCACCGGCACCGCAGCAGCACCAGCCAACCCCCACGAAATCGTACTAGCCCCACCCCCAGCAGTCACAATCGTGTCCGCATACCGCTTTCCTGCCCCCGTCGGCGCCGCCACCGTCTCAGCCAGATTCGCACCCCTCGCCGCAGCCTCCTTCCGCTTCCGCTTCTCCTCCTCGTCCATAATCTCCGCCAACGATTTCTGCCGCGCAGGCTGCGCCGGTTTCTTCCCCGACCACACCGCCGCGCCCTGTGCCTGCTCTTTCGCCCAGGCCTGAGAGGCGGAGAGCGCGTCCTGTTCCTGGAGGTAAGCGGCCTGCTGCATCATGGCTTCATGGGCACGGCGTTGCTTCTCGCGTTCTTCGGCTTCACGACGTTGTTGCTCGATTTCTTGGATCTCCTTGAGGCTGAGTTTGGGTTTCTCCGCGGGGGCGGCCGTCGAGGTGGTCCACGCGGAACTCAGGGCCGAGGCGGCGGCTTTCTGCTGCTCGAGGAGTTGCTGTTCGATCAGCTCGGCTTCGCGTTGGAGTTCTTTTGCCTTTTCGACCGCGGCGTGCTCCTTGTCGCGCTTGCTCGTGGTCTGCTGCTCAGACATGATTTGACGCAGACCGACCGCAGAGTTGGCGGCGGCTGCGGACGTGTCTGACCCTTGCTGGGCCTGATTCTGAGGAGCTTGCTTGTTGGCCGCCTGCTCCTTGGCAAACCGCTCCTGTCGCTCCTCCTTCCGAGTCTTCTTCGCCTTTTCGGCCCCTTCCACCTTCGTCGAAGTCTCCTGAACTGGTTTTGCAGGTTTGGCGTGGGCAGAATCCTTGACAGTCAAACCCTCAAGCTTCTTCGTTATCTGCTGCGTAGGTTCAACAGCAGCTCGCTCCTCTTCATGATGTTGTTCATCGAAATGCGCATCATCGATCAAGTGCGACACAACATCGACAGGAGCAGGGTGGTGGTCGTCATCCGCATGGTGGTGATCATCGTCCCCCCCTCCGTACCCGTGCAATTTCCCCCAATCTTGATGCTGAGACTGTTGCGACGCCGGCTTGGGAGTCTGCGAGCCCGCTGACCCAGAGAAATCAAGGAGGGCTTGTCCGGAGAAGAGGTTTGCAGCGGGGCTTTGCGGCGCTGGTTGAGACACCTGCTGTTGCAATGGTGCTCCGAAAGGCGTGAAAGCAGCTGCCGCAGATCGCTGATTGGGTCCAATACTGCCAGCCAACGGCGCCCTGTCTTGTCCCGAGGGGTCAAAGTACGAGCTTTGCAGGGAAGTCGCGGGGGACCTTGGAGCGCCGACCGACGATCTCCCGAACGGGGAATGCAGATCGGTGTTCAATCCAGCCCAGCCGAGAGCAGCGTGATTCGGGTTTTCCGTCCAGGACGGGCGAGCGAGGTGGTGGGCGTTCATAGGATCGTACCCTCCGGTAGGGTATCGATCACGGCCAAAGGGATCAGCCAGGCCGCCTGAGTTGTACGAAGCGCCGCTGCCGAAGCCTGCGCCGCCCGTACCACTCATATCCGCGTACATGTCGCGGTGGTGAGTCCCGAAGGTCGGCAAGCGTCGTTGCTGCTCGGCCTGCTGATGGCGTTGCTGGGCGTCCGCTTCCTCAGCTACGAAGGGCTGGTCGTGTCCGAACTTTAGCAGAAGCAGGCCAAGTGGTTGGTACGTGAGGTCGTCGACGTGTTTTATGGGAAGGTCTTCGTTGAAGTAGTTGGACCTGTACCAGTCCTGCATCTGCTGAGAAGAAAACGGTCCTTGAAATTGCAAACAAGTCAGTACGGTATTAGAGAGTGACGGCATAACCAGGAAAACTCGTCGAGCCAACGAACCTTGCACAGTGCCGCTAGGGTCCTTATACTGCCATTTCTGCGGAACAAATGGAGTAGGCGGGGCAACCATTCCGGGGGGTGCCGCGCTGTGTGCCGACGGCACCTGACCCATGTCAGACCGATTCAGACCCAGAGGGTTGCCCGGAGCAGGCATGGGCTTTCCGAGGCTCATGGACGGAAGCGTGTCCAACTTGCTCAGACCAGAAGTCGTGGGCATTCCGATTGGACTTCCAAGAGGCGTGGACCCGAACGAATTGAACATCTCGACAAAGGAGGCGTTGACATTCGACGAGAACGCCTCCTTGTTTTCCTTGTTGTCGGGAGCTTTAGAACTGCTGCCGGCGCCGCCAATCGAAGACGCGGGCGTCCTGTCATTTGTGGCTGGAGCTCCCACCGGAGTGGAAGCGGCTGCCAAGGGACCCTGCGCAGGCTTCGTCGGGGAGGGGCCTCGTTTATCCGAATGATTGGGAGATACGCTCCGGGAAGGAGATTTCCGGCCACGCTCCGCAGCCAAAACCGCCGAACCTCTGCCGTTCTCCCCGACCCCATTCTTGGTGGAGGTACCGTCACCTTCCTTACTGAAGGCGCCATTCCCGGAGAATGATCCGACTCCGGTAGGAGCATCCCAAGGGTCTTCCTCCCCACCATAAGTGTCGGCTCTCCTGGGAAGTCGGGTCCCATCTTGCTGATATTGATGTCCACCTGAAGCCGATGGCCCGTTTAGATACTCGTCTTGGCAAGAACAGATTGACGTGTCACATACCTCGGTCACCTCGGTTGTCACCTCGGTTGGAGTAGCCTGGAAGACAGAGGAGTTCATAGATTAGAAAGCCGCGTAATCGATGATCGAAAATCACTAGACGCTTACTTCTTTGCACAGAACCCGGCGGGCGAGGCGGGCGTATAGTTCCGTCCTTCGAATCTCCTCTGCTGTAAGGCGGACGACGTGCACTGATCTCACTATTGATCGATTGAGAAGTAAACAGCTGGGAAGGAAATAAATATGAGGTCAATACCCCGTCCAAAAGAAGTCCGCGATGCAAACCCAGTAAACCCAGACACACCTTCTTTTCATTGTCGTTCAAAGGAATATTCGCCATGGGTTCCAGAGGATGGTCAGATGTCATGGGATCAGCCGGGGTGAAGTCCGGAGGCACAGGAAGGGATGGATCAAAAATGCTCAAGATGAACTCGCGCGAGTATTTGAGGTGAGCCAGATCCTGCGAACCAAACATGGATCCGCCCGTGCCTCCCCCGTGTGCATTGCCGGACGCCCCTCCTCCTGAAGTTGCAGCGCCGCCCACGGACTGACTACCGCTCGACCAGGTGTTTGCATTTCCGGACGAAGGTTGGGATCCTGATTTCAAGGTTGAAGAGCTGCCCCACAGGATTCCTTGGGTCGCGCCGGTGGGGGTTGTGGGGGTAAGGGTGGGGGAGGACCTTCCTGTTTCGTTTGCGGGAATCTTCCTCATCCTTTATAGGGCAGATCACCAAAGGCACGGTTTCAAGTTCAGAAAGTGTTTGAACGGATATCGTCCACGATATACAGATCGAGATGGCCGGGGAGCATTGTTTGCACAGCAGACATACGCATCGCCAGCGTCATCAATAACCCAAAACTCACCATTGTGGACCAAAGTTCATAGCCATTTTGAAAGATATAAGCTGCGAGGAGGGCAGGGTTACTTGTTCTTTGTTTGCTAGTAAGTTGAGCAAACGTGTGTGTTCGAGTTACTTTCAGGAAGTAGCGGTATGCGAGTAGGGGGTTGCGTTGCAGCTTGCGACTGGATGTGTTTCCGTGTGCTTTGGCTGCCGATGATTGCGTGCGCTGAAGCGTGGGGAAAAAAAAGGAAAGCCCTTCTGCGTGAAGCTCCTTCAAGTTCCCTTGTCGTTGCGACGCCTGGCCTGCCCCTCGGAAGCGAGTTGGGCGGTCACGTGGCCCGCTTTTATTGATTCTATTCCCCGTTCTGCCTTTGCTTCCCCACGCACCTCCAGCTCTACAGTACGCACGCCCTCCACAACTGCCGTGAGAACGGAGTTTCAACTACGGGCTATATACTGTAAAACTCTATGCGGAGAGAACGGGCCTCACTCGGAACAGTTAAATCGATTATGGAGTGTGCACCTCGAGGCAGCAACATTACGGAGGGCAGGATACCGAACCAGCCCAGCAAGCAGATATCAGCATGGCCGATACTCTACCCGATAGCACTTCCCTTACGGCCCTCCCGGCGTTCCCCTCATCCCCACTCCAAACGCTCCCACTCGAAGTCCTAGCCCACCTGATAGCGTATTTGGACGACCTAGAACCGCTCCGCCTCGCCTACTTACCAGCCCGCTCTCTCATCGACGCCTCGCCTTCCGTAAGAGGACGATGGCTAATAACCAAGTTCGGAAGAGCCTTCGTACTTTTTCATCCGCGAGTCGCGCAACTGCCTGCGCGGGTCTTTGATGCACAGACGGTGGAGGCGCTGATGAACCTCGGGGCAGGATATCAATACACGCCGTTGTTTGGGAAAGACGGAAGTGATGGGAGATTATTACCCATTCAGGCCCTTCAAGCCCTCGCCGTGGCCGCCACATCAAAAATGGAAGACGGGAACATGGAACTAAGAGATCTAGATCGAGATCCCGACGGCGGCCCACCCTTTGATATCTGGATGTGGGCAGTCCAAACCGCCAAATCACCCTCCCTCATCCACCGCCTCGTCCGCTCAGGCGCAGATGTCAACTACATGGACTCCTTCGCGGTCACCCACGCTGCGAAAGCACGGGACGCAGCGATGTTGAGCAAGTTGGTGCTGGAATTGGGCGCCAAGATCCCCGTGGTGGGGAAGACCCCGTATCGCCGTGACTCGTCGTTGAGGAGGTCGGCGGCGGCCGTGCATCCGTTTGCGCCGTTTGTAAATGAGTTGGTTGCGTGGTACCGCGCAGGGGGGCTGGTTAGGGTAGTTGATCAGTGCAATGAGGAGTATATAATGATCATGGAGGCCCGGGCGCGCGCGTCGGAACGTGAAGCAGGGATGATGAACGACGGTGACGTTGTGTCGGCCACTGCTGTAGACTCGAACTCAAACGAAGACACATTCCTCGTCCCCCTCCCAACCTTCGAAGAACGCCCACCCCTATCTCCCCCACTCATCCAACACCAAAAATCCTTCTGGCACCGCATCGGCCGCCACAATCGCTTCGATGTCCTCCGGCACGCCTCCAAACGCGCTCTGCAGTCGTCATCCCCATCTCCATCTACCTCACCCTGGCACATCACCCACTCCTCCGCCTGCTCCATCTTTCTCGGCGCCGCCACCGCTGGGCATCTCCCACTGTTAACAGAAATGGTCCTCACCCACGCCGTCCCTATCGACCACGGCTCTTCCCTCGCACTGTCCAACGCGGTCCGCCTCATGCGGTCGGATATGCTACACGCGTGTCTGGCCCTCGGTGCGACGGTCCCACGGACGTCTGCGGTCCAATTAGCAGCCGAATTGGTCGGGTGGGCATCCACACCCGCCATCCTAGCCTTCTTGCAACGTGCGGAAATGGGGGGTGCGAAGGGTGTCATGACCTCGCACGAGTTCCTGACCGCGGTGGGGAGGTGTGGCCGTGCTGATGTGGTGGAGGTATTGGTGAGGGAGGCGAGGGAGGAGGTTCTGGTGCGGTATGCGGACTTTGAGGCGGCGGTGAGGAGACGGCGCGGGGTGGTTGCTGTTGCTGCTGAGGGGGATGGATACGCCGTGTCGCCCACTTCGGCGGCGTCACAGTACACCCGTGGATCACCCCACCGCCCACGGTTGAACCTCACCCCGCGCCACGCCACAACGCTCCTCCTCGGCGCGTCGGCCGGCGGACATCTCGAGTTCATCCGCGACCTCGTCGACATCCACGGCGCACACCCTGTCGGCGGGAAGGCGTTTGCGGCCGTCATGGAAGCGTGCCGAAGCGTCAAAGCCGCCGCCCCGGACGTGGTGGAGTTTTTGTTATGTCGGTGGGTCGCCACCCGTGATCTCGATTCCGAGGGGGCGTGCACGACCGATGAAGACGACGACTCCACACCCTCAAACAACAACAACGCGACGCCGCATGACCAACACCCCCTCCAAACCTGCCTCCTCGAATCCACCCGCTTCGCCGGCCTCGACAAACCCGCCCTCATCTCCACCCTCCTCACCTACCTCCCCCCCGCCGGCTTCATCCCGGTGTCGGCGGTGGCGACGCTGGAGGCGCTGAAGAGCTGGCAGTGGGATGTCGCGCGGCATCTCAGCGCGCATGTTCTCGCCATGCTTGTAGCCGGGGACATGGGTGATGGGGTCGTGGTGTTGCTTACGACCGCGGGCTATGCCGGAGGGTGCATTGCGACGGCGGTGAAGCAGCAAAAGCAGCAACAGATGCAGACACCCCCGGTCCTAATCTACATCCCCGCCACCGCCCCGACCCTCGTCCTCGCGACCCATCTCGTCCACCTCCGCCGTCGACACGAGTACGCGGCTTACGTGGTCTCGGCTTCGTCCACAGCGTCCCGTGCTTTCGAAAGCGCGATGGCGGTGTATAAGGTGGGGTTGGGCGGGAATGTGGATGTCGGGTGTGCGTGTGGGGTCTGTGGTGCGGTGAGCGGGGTGGGCGGGGAGAGGGTGGGCTGGGGGGAGTGGTTGGTGGGGATTTGGAGGCGGTTTGTTGTTGTTGGGGTGTGATACAGTATATCGGGGCGGAGGTGATCGAAAGACGTGCCATTCAGACTTACTCGATATGTCAGGGCGGGCCTGGAAGGTCCAAAGTTTTTGGGATGGGTTGTACATACATATTTTTGGCGGTTGTGTGTATGGAATTTTTGGAACGGCTGTTACCGTTGTATGTGCTTCAATGTTCATGTAACCATAGGATGCACTGTCGTTCGCAACCCAGTCCTCATGTCAAGACACTCTCGTTCAGAAAAAAATAATCATGATTGATTCGGAAGCGTTCAACAAAACAAGTTTATACAACATGCAGAGAGAGTGGGTCTGACAAAACAGGGGATATACACTCGAGTGTCCGTCAGGAGCGGCCAAAACCCACCCAAGTGGTGTCTCATGAGAGACAGGTATAAAGGTGCGATTCAGGATACCGGTATGTGAAGCAGTGGGAGTGAGGCAGGGAACCGTGTTGCTGCATGTTTGTGATGCACAAGCATCAGAGGGAAGAGCTGCCTTGGGGAGTCGTGAACCGCATTCACACCCGCGAAGATCGCGCTTAGGTATCGCCATCTACTGCTGGTTCGAGCTATAATAGTCCGTCATCGTCAGCTGCCTCTTGCGCGGGTTGGGTGCTTGTTGCTGGTACTGCTGTTGTTGTGCTTGCTGGGGCTGCATCTGCTGGTACGATTGTTGGGTGTTGAATTGGGTCTGCTGTTGTTGGTGTTGTTGTTGTTGCTGAAGCTGGATGTCGATGGTTTTTTGCGGGGACACGTCTGTGGTGTTGGTGGGGCAGCCGAATATGGGCTTGTTGGTGGTGGTCTTGTAACCGTCGTTGATAGCTGGGAGTGATCGCAAAAAGGTTTTAGCTATGTGGATTTCATACGTCTCGGCATGAATGGGTCCTACTTACATTTCCTGACGCGCATGCCCAAGCTTTGAAGTAAACGTCGACGTGGACGGAAGTGCCGGAAAAGCCATTCAGCCAAATGCAATCAATGTCTTTGCCAGATTCATATCCCACGCAAAACTCACTTGGCGAGTTGATTATGCATCAAACCAGGCAATTCAGGCCGGTTGGGCGAGTAGTTGTTTCCAAATCCCGACGGAGCATCAGTGCGGGTCTTCTTGCCGTTGTTGGGAGTAGCCGCGAGCATCTCTGATCTGTTGGGTCGGGAAACGTTTTGGTGGGAATATGGGATTGCGGGGGAAGATGGGTCAAGATGATCGTGATGGTGACGTGTAACGGGCGCCGCTGGCGGGATGACGATGACGATGGTTGAGTGTAGGTCGTTCTTCCTTCCCAGAGTATGTATGGCTGTCGTGTAAAGCTTGTTCCTAGTGCTTGCGGACGGTGGTATTCTTGTGGATGCTGCTGAGCTGGTTGCCGGTCCTGAGGTCTTTTTCTGAAGCGTGGGGGAAAACGGGAAGACGAATGCGCGACGAGTGGCGAAGGGAGCGGCGCCAATGGGGCTTGCGCTTTATAGAGCGCTTTCCAGAGGGCTTTCCATAGGGTCATGTGACTCCAAGTGACCCACGTGTTTTTTCGCATACCCACATGGCACAGGGGGGTTATAAAAGGCGGTCGCTTCGTTCTCAGGGTTGCTTGCGACCAGGCAGACTTCGACATCGACATGGTCTTCGCCGAGCCTCGCTTCTTCCCCGCAAGGCAGACTTCTCGAATACAGTCCTACTCCTCAGTTGACTCTGAGAAGTCTCCCTTACAATTGGTGTGGGACGAGCTCGTCGAATGTTATCCCATGGCTAACCTGGGTGCGGTGCAACACGGCGAAAGGCCAGAAAACAGTGCGATGATGTTCCAATCCATGCTAATCCCGAAGCTTTTGAATGAGCGGAAAGTTTATACATTATTCTGAGCACTGTTTTCTTGAACTTCACCTTCACCATCTGATGTCACCTGCGTCGAGTATGGCGTTGATGGTGGAGCTTTTCGCAAATGAAAAGTACCTCCCGGTCGACTGATTACACTGTCGCTGCAAAAGATGAGTGTCTGCTCAAACGCATATCATTGAGAAGCAAGTCGCATTTCGAACGGGCCAGGGGCGCATAAGCTTCTCGGATCATTTGTATTTTCTGGGATCTTAAATGAGGCTTGGAGAATCCACTGAGGATGTGCCCAACGGTGACCTGCAGTAGCCATCGGATTTAAACTACTACTCGCGGAAGACTTTATTCCCGGCGCATCACGAAAAGATTGTCCACAAAGATATTGGAGGTCCATTGTCCAGCTCCTTCCGTTACGAAACATCGGGCCCGAAAACGGATCCTATATACGCGGGTGGACACCCACGACGTCCATCAAAGTCTCATTTGTAAAAAGGAACAACAACCCTCCAGGATATTCGGGGAAGGGAATGCTGGTTCCATGTGATGTGGCCCGGATCAAAGGAGCCACCGACCAGCGCTGGCCGTGATCGTGCCTGGCAGACGCAAGCAGTGCGCTTCCAGCCCGTACTTTCGCAATCTCCGGGGAGATCTGAAATAGGCAAATGGTTATCCCTTGCCGTAAGATTTAGAGAGCACCGTACACGCACACGAACCTCAAAGTGGGCGGGTCTCTTTGGGGCCGCCTCTGGCAGCAGATGAATGCCTGCGCGTTTTGGCAGCGCATGGGACTCCTTTTCCACCAGTGTTGTCGCTCCCGCCTCCTTTGATGGTGGCGGATGCTTCCGGCGCCTTCAACCTTTGCTTCTAGATGTCCAGAATCGCCTCCAGTCCCGCATCCTCTTTGCTACCTTGAAAAGTTGGCACGATGGCCCAGCAGCCTCGGTGGTCGGCCATCTATTCCAGGAAGTCATCGAAGATGGTTTTGATGGTGGTATTGGTCTGCGTGTGATGACGCAGAATCAGCACTTACTCGGTCTCCCAAAGATACTCACCTCGTCGAAGAAGCCCGGCTATTCTGCGAAGACCCGCGAAAGTGCTTTCTGGAAGATTGGGAAGGGCCGTCCCGCCGCCTCCCGGGGCCCGCAATGCTCCTACGACCAAACGAACAGGTGCTGGCCCGAATATTTGATGCTCCCGTAGCTCCCAAGAGTCTCATCGATGGTCCGCTTCAGATTGTGCTCGCGCATTGAGCCCCAGACGGCAACGTTGCCGTTGGCGAAAAGGAAGTTCAAGAACTCACGCGTAGCTTGGGTCGATGCTCGACTTGCTCCGCTATGACGCGATTCTATCGTCTGCAGACGAATCCATCACGAATTTATGTCACAAAGACCGTTCATTGCCGTGAGCTTGAAAGCCCCTCCAAGACTAAGCCCCAAGGAACAGGACATGCAATCAAGTCTCTATGCTGGCTGTGGCACAACGTGCTCGTGACGTCCAGGTTGAAGAGCCCCTCCCTGTGGATGGTGACGTCCTGGGACTCTTTCGTTGTGACTGTCCGAGTCTTCCTGTCGAAGAAGTACCAAGACTTCTTCGATCGCGAGTATAACTTCAGTCATTTACTATACAGTCCATGATGCTGTTCCACAGTGGTTTCGATGAGTGTTGAGGGTGCGGATTCGGATGTTCTTTCCAGTGATGTGGTTCAAGTGCCGGGCGAAAGAGACTGTCCTGCGAGGGCGAGGGCTCCAAAGGTTCTAAAGGTGCCTGCCGACTTCTCCAGCCCAGGCTTCCCAACCGTTCCTGCCCACCGCATCGCCTTTGCAAATTCCACAACCCTCATCTGGCCTCACATGGCGTGGGATAATAAGCAGCCTTGACGTGGGAGACACGAGAGAGCAAAACAAAATGCTGCCCATTAAACTACGGTTAATGACGCACGTGAACAAGAAATAAACCCGCCGACTGAGCATATGGGCTCGCCATCCATCCATCCATCCCTTTCGCATCCTCTTGCAACGGCCATACTTCCATCCATCCATCCGTCGACAGGTGTGTATACGCAACGACGCCCGAGCATCCGATAGGCAAGCCATCCATCCATCCATTTGCGGCCGGAGAGTGATGGGGAAAATGTGGGAACCATGGGGTCGGCTCATCTCGTCTCGAGGTGGTCGGCCACATGTGATGCCCCTTTGCACGACAGTTATAGCGATATCCTGAAGTCATTGAGATCACCTGAGTGAGCATGAGAGCAGTCTGGAAGGCGAAAGGACTACTAGCGAATAGTAGGCGAACCGAGTAGCGACAAACACTTGGGAGTTTCGACAATTCAAATGTACGCAAACGAAGTCTCGCCATTCTTTCCGACGTCCAACGAACGCTGCACCTCGAACATCGAAAACTGCTCCATGAATCACTCCCGAGAGTACGGGTGTACTCTCGGGGAACCGTGACACTCATGATGGGCAGCTCCCACCGGTCTTTAAAATACCTGGGAAGCCTATAGGAATCGCTATGTGCACATTTTCTCCCATCCCTGGGTGGTTGGGCGCACGCAGTGACACTCCTATCTGGGCTCCTTTCCTTTTCGTCTGCTTGTGTTGGTTGGATGCGAGCGTTGGGCTTAGTGTTAATCTTTTTTCGTTTCTTTTGTGCGCTCAGACTAAACCGACAAAATGGTCCGCATTTCCGTCCTCAACGACTGCCTGAAGAGCATCGTCAATGCCGAGAAGAAGGGCAAGCGTCAAGTCTTGATCCGCCCTTCTTCCAAGGTCATCGTCAAGTTCTTGTCCGTCATGCAGAAGCACGGTGAGTAGCTAGATCCGAGGTCAGAGTATGGGTGCGGTGCGGAGGATGGGAACGGGCCAGTTGGGGACGGCTGCCTTCATTCGAAGTTATAACTGGACGTCGCCGGACGGCGGAAATCGTACGTCAGACTCGGCGATAGTCTTTTAAGATTTCGATACATCGACACGGGCTATTTTTCCTTTCTGAAAAGCGAGGAAAAACGGTCATGGGGGTTGTCTTTTGTCCAACCCAGTTTCCTCGGAAATGCTTACTTGTGGGCGACGACATATATGGCTCTCATACATTCGGAGTGATGGAGGAGGCGTTGGAAGACGGGAGAACTGGGACGAGGGGCGGCGCATGAAATGTTGATGACCGTTTTACTTATCATATCTGTTCTTCCCTACCAAAAAGGCTACATCGGCGAGTTCGAGATCATCGACGACCACCGTTCCGGCAAGATCGTCATCCAGCTCATCGGTCGCTTGAACAAGTGCGGTGTCATCTCCCCCCGCTTCAACGTCAAGCAGAAGGACATCGAGACCTGGATCAACAACCTCTTGCCTTCCCGTCAATTCGGTTTCATCGTCTTGACCACCTCCGCTGGCATCATGGACCACGAGGAGGCCAGGAGGAAGAAGACTGGTGGAAAGGTGTGTACCACTCCCTTTGACGCACCATCACTCTCTCTTCATGTGTACCAACCGTCCTCTCTTCTATCTTTCCCCTAGATCCTCGGATTCTTCTACTAGATGCACCACTTCGTAAGCGTCGCGTGGATGGGGGTACGGGCGGGAACTCAACCTTTCAGCCGCGTTGGGAAGGAGATAGCTTGAAGATGTTACCTTTCCTGCGTTGAATGCGTTGAATGCGTCTTCACACGCACACACACATTTTATGTATATATTGCATGCTTCACGTTCATTGGTGGACATGGAAAATATGGAATCGTTGACTACCCTCGTCTCTTTAACTTATACTTGTTTGGTGCTTGGTGTTTGATCAGCGAGCATCGTGTTCTTGTGCGTTGCCTGCTCATTCGCAACCGCTCCGCACAAACAGTTCTGGTTACCGACGCCGGCACAGTTCATCTGGCTGCCACACAATGCGGGGTAGCAGCCCACTGTTCTATCCATGCCTCGGGAGTTGGAAGTCGGGATTTTGTGGGGCGAGCGATGTGAGGTTGTATACGTAAAAAGGTCAGGATGTGAGGAAAAAGCCACGCAAAATGGGCATTGCTCCTTCATTCGGGAAAATGGGGGTGGGTCTGGAGCCTGAGGTCCGGCAGTCGTGGATATTTCGGCCGCCACCCACCGGCAGATTGTCCATCGCTGGAATTAACCTTTTCGCAAATCACAGATTAGAGGTGGATTCTGTGGTGTCTGGACGACTCTACATGAGAACCGCCAGTCAAAAAGCGGGCGGCACACGTATTATGTAAGCAAGGCTGAACGCGTTTTTTGCGCGAAGGCCACAACTCCCACCCGATAAAATTGCATGCAGCCGCTGGTCGGCGCTCCACTCACAACTCAACCGCAGACATATAAAAGAGAGGTGCAACACTTCTGGCCTGCATTCCAAACGCTCTCCCATCACTCCCATCCTGCTCTCAAATTCGCAACTCTTCTTCTTGCACTCACTTCCTACCATTCGCTTTCACCCGACCCTTCTGGAGGGACATCGCAAAGACGTGTAAGTGTTCAATGAGATACCGAGCAGCGGCGCCGGAGCTTGGGGGGGAAGGTTTTTTTTACGTGTTCGGCCGCTGGGTTCAGCTGAGCCTTGTATCCAACGGGCCTCATATGTGACAACGCAGAGGATCCTGCAGCCGCTGCTTTTTACTGACTTTCGTTCTTCTATCAGACGGCAATCAGCTTTTCTCGGCTCACAACAGGCATAGGGGACAGCGTCGCACCTTCCCCAAACCGAAAACACACTGAGCTCAAATTGACCACATAAAAGTCTAAACGCAGGCTCACTATTTCCAACTTTCGTCTTCACACACACTACATACACCCCAAAAATGGTTCAATTCACCGCCACCGCCGCCGGTTCGGCCGAAGCCTTCCAGGTCGATTCTGCCAACGTCGTCTATACCGCTGACCACATCGACTCGACCTACGTCTACCGTGACAGCAAAGTCGTCCGCACCGATGACGCCAAGCTCACCGTGGTGCCCACCGAGAAGACCTACCACTTCCGCACGAGCCGCAAGGTCCCCCGTGTCGGTCTCATGATGGTCGGCTGGGGCGGAAACAACGGCTCAACGCTCACTGCCTCCATCATCGCTAACCGCCAAAAGATCAGCTGGAGGACCAAGGAGGGCGTCCAGACCCCCAACTACTACGGATCTGTCACCCAGGCTTCCACTCTGAAGCTCGGTGTGGATGAGAAGGGACAGGATGTGTTTATCCCCTTCTCCGACATCCTCCCCATGGTCCACCCCAACGACCTTGTGCTCGGCGGGTGGGACATCAGCGCCCACAACCTCGGTGCGGCTATGGAGCGCGCGCAAGTCCTCGAATACGACCTGCAACGCCAGGTGCGCAAGGAAATGGACACCCTGCAACCTCTCCCGTCCATTTACTACCCTGACTACATCGCCGCTAACCAGTCCGACCGCGCCGACAACGTCCTTCCCGGAACTAAAGCCGAGCACCTCGAGAAGATCCGCAAGGACATTCGCGAGTTCAAGGCTAACAACAAGCTCGACAAGGTGATTGTCCTGTGGACCGCCAACACCGAGCGTTTCTCCGCCATCATCCCCGGCGTCAACGACACCGCCGACGCCCTTCTCGCCTCCATCCAAAACGGCCACGACGAAGTCGCCCCCTCCACCATCTTCGCCGTCGCCTGCATCCTCGAAAAGACCCCCTTCGTCAACGGATCCCCGCAAAACACCTTCGTCCCCGGATGCGTCGAGCTGGCCTCCCGCGAAAAAGTCTACATCGGCGGTGACGACTTCAAGTCCGGCCAAACGAAATTCAAATCCGTCATGGTCGACTTCCTCGTCAACGCCGGCATCAAACCCATTGGCATCACCTCCTACAACCACCTCGGAAACAACGACGGCAAAAACCTCTCCGCCCCGCAACAGTTCCGCTCAAAGGAAATCTCCAAATCAAACGTCGTCGACGATATGGTTGCCGCCAACCCGATCCTGTACAAGAAGAACGAACACCCGGACCACATCGTCGTCATCAAGTACTGCCCGGCCGTCGGCGACTCCAAACGCGCCCTCGACGAATACGTGTCGGAGATCTTCATGGGCGGCCGCAACACCATCTCCACCTACAACGTATGTGAAGACTCCCTCCTCGCGTCCCCGCTCATCCTCGACTTGGCCATCATCACCGAGCTGATGACGCGGATCGAGTACCGCACCGAGGATATGGAAGAGTATTCGCCGTTCCATGCTGTGTTGTCGGTGCTGTCGTACATGCTCAAGGCCCCGATGGTCCCGCCAGGAACGCCGGTGGTGAATGCTTTGTCGAAGCAGCGTGCGGCGATGGAGAACATCTTTAGGGCCTGTGTCGGGCTGCCGCCGCAGAATGATATGATGTTGGAGCACCGTGCCATTTGATGGCGCCCTGTGAGGCGAGAACATCAAAACATGAGGGAGAATATATGACATAAGCTGTGGTTCGGCCACGGTGATGTCTCCCTCTTCTACCCCCCCTAATCCACATAGACTATAGACTTGTGCGCTTGCCTTCTTTCTTTATGTATTTTGAATGACATTTTGGCCCCTGGAGGTCCTCTTGATTTTGCTGTCTGATGCGAATTGTTTGTTTGTTTTGGCGACTATGACATGCACTATGTCGTGCGTAGAGCTGCTGCTTGTATGGGGCGGACGCCGCGGAGTCCCTGAATGTTGGGGAGCCCCCGAATGTTGCGTCCGTGTGAACTCGGCTTGAGCAGTTCCTGTTCCTGTTCAGCCGTTGGTGAGCGCGCTTGCTGTCGCGGTGCTGCTGACCGTTTGCTTAGCGTGAAAGGCATCTCGATGAAGGCATCTAGAAAGGCATCTAGATTTGAGACAGCGACGCATTAGGTCGCTTCCCTCGTCCAAGCAATGAGTCCATTTCCCGAAATGTATGAATAGCGGCTAGTCTAGTGCAAAGTGACGGGAAAGGAAAGTACGGCGCGCTGTCGAATTTTGTGCAGAGGAAGAACGCTCACCCTAAGTGGAAGAACGCTGGATTGACCGGTGCACGTAAGCAAATTATTGACGGGGTGGATTGATCTCTTTCCTTCACCTTGAAGGGAATTACCACTGCAAAAGGAACCGGAACTTTGTTTTCATATTTGTAGAACATCATGCTTGCGGGAGAGGAGGAGCTGAGCAGCCCGGGAGCCGAGGACGCACCCCTTGCCGAAAGCAAATCGCCAGTGCCTCCTACTGGGGATGAAGCAACCACCCCAGCGACCGAGAATGAAACAGCAGGGGAAGAGGGAGCTGCAACGGATGGAGAGGCGCCTGCTCCGGTCCTGGACGAAAACGGCGAGCCCATCGCAGACCCGCCCTCACCAGCTGAGGGCGACCCGTCACCGCTGGAAGGATCTTCGTCCGCCAACGCATCCCGCCACGCCTCCAATGTCTCCCTCCACCGCGGAGACGTTTCCACCGATTGGTACGACCAGCACGAAGTCGAGTTCCAGCTCGAGCAAAAGCAGAAACGTGAAAGTACCCTGACGGAGCTGCTGGACAAGACGAAAGCGCCGCTCCTGTACTACACGAATTCGAAGAAGGAGGAGAATGTGTTGGAGTACGTGGCGAATTTTGAGAGGCAGTATACGCAGTTGTTTCCGGGACGGAGGGAGTTGATTCTAGCGCCGCCGAATCAGTTTGGGGTTCCGGTAGGGGGTTGAGGTTGTGTTTGCGAGGATCTGGAAAGCTTTGTGAAAGATGGACTGACATTGGCCATGCAGAAATTTGTGTGCACAACTGTGCGGGCGACGCACCTGCCATATCGGGATCTGTACGATTATCGTGGATGCGCCCGTTTTGTAGCCGAATACCTGTCCTACGTCACCCTTCAGCCGGCGCATGAGCTGGTAAGCGGTCCACAGCGCATGATCAACTTGTCAAAACGACGACCGTAATGTAACTCATCCGCCGATGTTTCAGCCCTCAATGCTTCCAGGACCTGACTACACCCTCCAGCTCCAACAAGGCAGCGCCTTTGACTACTCCATCCTTCTCGTCTCTCTCCTCCGCGGCGTAGGCTATGATGCCTACGTCGTCTCCGGCTACGCAACCCGTGCCGTAACACTAATGGACGAATCCCGGGTCGAGAGTTCCACGGCAGGGATCCCACCCCCCACAGGCACCAAACCCAGCACGGAAGCGGATACGCCGAGCGTTGCGGTGGATCGGGCGAATGGGGCTGATCAGAATAAGCCGCCGAATAAGTATAAGCTGAAACCGCCACGGACGTTGAAGAGCCAGTTTTTGGTGAAACAGGATGAGAAGGCGAAGGCGAAGGCGGCGCAGGATGCCGCGGCGGAGAGGAAGAGGTTGTTGGAGGCTAGAGCGGTACGAGGACAATCGGACTCCCAGTGATGGAGCTGGAGTGCAACAACTTACTGGCGCATGTTGCTTTACTCAACAGCTGGCGGATGATGATGATGACGAGCTGAAAGGACTGCGAGTTCATGCATGGGTCCTCGTCCTGCCGGGAAAGCGCGAGGTTGCAGAAGCCTTCTTCATTGGTGCGTGACGGGAGCAGAACTCGATGCATTCAGTACGCATTGATACTCAAGCATCAAACATCCGCAGAGGCGACGACTGGAGCCGTGTATACCACCGAACACGAAAGCTACTTGGGCGTGGAATGCGTCTTCAGCTCGGTCAACTTCTGGGTCAATATGCAGGTCTGCTATGAAGGACTGAAGGTATGGACCCGCGCGTTTCCTCAACGGAGGTTCGAATCTACCGCCTGAATCGATAGCTGAATCCCAATCCTCTTAGGGCATATCCTTCGACCTCGGAGACAATGCCAAATGGGAGTTCGTCCTCCTCGACAACGTCCAACCAGGAAGTGATCCCAACGATGACGCAGAAGACCAAGCAAACGATGTCGGGTCAGACGACGGTGCAGGCGGCGGCGAGATTTTGGATCTACCGCCGTCGTGGGTCGAGAGATTGAGCGTTGACAAGGAGAAGTTCGAGTCGAAGTGCCCGTCTGGGGCAAAGATGATCATGTATCGGGACGCGAGGCATGTGAGTTTCGCGGTTGTTAAGACTTGGGGAGGGCTCGATTTGTCGAACAATGAAAGTGACATAGATGCTACTAGGAAGTGTACGCAGAGTATTTCCGGAAAGACGGGATGGTGTCGCGGACCATCTTCTTTGCTGATGACACCATCGGGTTCAATGGCGAGATCCGGGAGATATTCCGGAATAGGAGGTAGGCCGGGCCGAAGTGTTGTCTTCAGCAGACAAGTGAGACTAAGTGTCCATTCCCCATCTCTCACCCAGAGACAAACTCCGCGAAAGAATCCGAATTCCCTATGAAGGGAGGATTCACGAGTTCTTTGATCCAGGCCGACCTTCGGGAATGAAAGAGCACATCATTATTGATGATCGAACAAAAGAGATGCACTTCTATGGAAGCGCGCGGTTTGATGGGTTGGTGAAGCGAGTGGATGAGACTATCAAGGTGCGTGGATAGTTAGTCCAGCGCATTGACATCAACGGGGGAGAGAACTGACGATGTCGCTTGCCAGGTTATTGAGCACTTCACGGACCGGGAGGACAGGCTCGTTTATCGGAGCGTCACTTTTGATGGCGAAGAGGATGATGAGTCGGAGAGAGGGGCGATCTTCAAAATGGCGGAAAAGCTTGACAGGCATCCAGGTGGGTCCGCTGTTCTTCGGAGATTGTGTCTGGATTGTCATCCTTGTCGTTCCGGCTGACGACTGACAAATCACCCTTCACCAGACATCCCGTCACATAAGGATGTCGCAAAGCGGAGCTACTTCCTGAAGGACGACAAGGTGAATTTCATAAGTTAGATGCTACTCGCGCTCCGCTCGAGCTCATCCAAACTATGTTCTAGATACGAGTGATATACCACCTCGAGGAAGGAAAGATCATTCCATCATCGCGAGAATTCAAAAAACCAACCGCAGAGCAGAAGACGCACTTCATCGAAGCAACATCCGAGTTCGAGGTCAATCCGTACCGTAAACCACCAAAGAAGCAAGACCTGTACAGTGAGCTGCTGGAATTGCTTCAGGCTGAGCAAAATTGCTTGGCGGCAATCAAGACCTCGGATCGGGAGGTCAACGAGATCTTGAATAACCGGCAAGGGGAGGAGAAGGAGGTTTTGTTGAATATTTCGGTGCATGATACGCTGAGAAATCAGACGGTCAGTGGGATGAGCAAAAAAAGTTGGGCAGTTCTCGAGGCCTTGGCTGATTTTCTCTATACGGGTTTGCAGAAACTTCCGTCCGAGGAGAAGAAAGAAACCAGCAAGGACGAAGAGGAGTCCAACAAGACGGATTTGGACTACCTTTCACCCTTCTTGGTCAGCTATGTAAGTATCCCGCCTGTGTATTCGAGGCAGGGGACATCTCTCCGGGCTAATCACCCCTATTTCCTTACGCAGAGCAATCCCAGCCACCTAGCCCGGGAGGAATGCATCGCAATAAAAGACGCATGCCTGAAAGCGTTTAAAGAGCGTTTGATCGAAAAGGCCAACATCATCCAAATCCGCCTCGATGAAGTTACCGCTGACTACCAGCGACGCCAATTGGCCTACAGCCGGAACGCAGACTCGATGTCGGCTGAAGAGACCGAGGCGTATGTCAAGTATTGCAATGATGCGCTGTTCAAAATTCATATCTTGGAGAAGAGGCTTGCTAAGGTAGGTCACTGGTTTGTTGGATCTATGTAGCGAGTACATCGCCTGACTGATGGCATTTCCAGCACAAGGAGACTGCCCCCGAGCGATATGTGGAGCTGGACTCCAAGCTAAAAGCGGACCCGCGTCTCTCTGCCGCAAAGGTGTCATAATCCGCTGCTATTATCTGTCGGTAATCTAATTCGATGTACATTTTCCGTGTTATGAAATATATTCGCTGCATGACATGCAGCAGCTTATATTTGCAAGCAAGATGCAGAGCGACGGGTGCTGCAGTTTACTCCATCCACGAGCCATCTTACATCTACTCTTCACCAGCGCGGGTATCTGGTGCAGATTATTCGGTGACTGCCTCATAGCTTGGTGCCGTCCCAGCATGACTCGGCGATGCGGCGTAGTCAGATGTATGAGCCATCTCACTGTGCGCCGGTTCTACATGCCCGTGTCCACCCCAATGAGACTGTTCGCTGTGATGGTGGTGTTGATGGGATTTTTCGCTATAATTGTGGTGTTGTTGGGATTGCTCGGCATGATGGTGATGTGCGTGGGATGGCTCCGGGTGTGCGTGAGGATGAGTATGATGAGACCCGTGGTTCTCATACGTTGGCTCTGGGTATGACGGATTTCCGTCTTGCGGTTGATGCGTCTGTGGGTCTGGCACGCTATGCACATCTGACCTGCTCCTACGTCCGCCTCCTACTGGGATCGGAGCTGTGAAGCCCTGCGGTTGACTGGCGGGATACGGACGATGCTGATAGCCGTTGGGACCACCGTAAGGATGGCGGAGCTCTCGACGATAGGCAACTAGCGCGGTGATTAACATTGCCAAGGCAATTGCTTCAATCACCGCCCCGATCCCTCCGAACAGGTACATCCAAACGTCGCAATTCTTGTACTCGCATACCTGTAGGTCGGAGTTGGGGTTGGGGTATCGATAACACTCAACCTATTATGATAGCGTCATGGACCGGTTAGTTCACAGTTTCTGAACCAAGTTTGCTAGATGGGGAAACATGTTCATCTCTCACCGAAGGACACCGGTTCCTTAAATGTGCGCCCAGAATGAAATATCCAATCCCTGCGAGGCATGTCCCCAAGGCAGCCCCACTGAACACCGCTCGGCGACTTCTTCTGCCGTGCATGCAGCATGAAAGACAGAGTGCCGAAGGTCCAAAGAAGAACGATATAATAAATGCGACTATGAACGGGCCCCAGAAGCCATCTCTCGACGGAGGCGCATACGGAGCGGGCTGCACGATCAAATGAACCTGTCCAGGTATGCCGGTGTGTTGAGGATGGTAACCTTGCTGTGGATTGGCATACTGGTTTGGATACTGGTATTGTGGTGTGGGTTGAGGGACGATATAGGTTTGAGGTTTGGCGGGATCGTAAGGCTGGGACGGATCAGACGCATGTGGGTAATATACGGTGGCGGGATATCCTGGTTGAAGAGGTGGCAGGATCTGATGAGGATTCGCATCCGATGGGTAGGGTGGCCCCTGTCCTTGCATGATGGGACGTACGGCGGAGCCTTCAAATGCAAAGGTTCTTGACGCCCTTGCAAAGTGATGCGACTTGATGTTCCCCGAATACGGGACTGCAGCGGACCACGAAAACGACAGCGCGAGCACTGTCAGAAATACCCCCATCGAAGCTCACATTTTTCCCTAACGACACCCATCGCCTTGCACCTTCCATATTTCGCCTTCCATAGGATGATATTTTATGAGACACATTCTGTTTATGTAAAACCTTTTATGTCAATGTACATGCTACATAGTGTATATGCTACGACATAAGGATGCTTTGAGAGGTGATTAGTGCACATCCTAATGTGACACTTACGAAGTAACTAGTGCAGAAAAGAAGGGGTACTACCAGAGGAACACTTCCACAACTAATCTGTACACTACATAGCGCCTCTTCCCACCCATCATTTCACCCTCAGAAATCCCCTCACGTTCACCAAAAACGCCTCCAGCCGCTTTCTATAAGCCGTTAACCACAGCCGTCCTCCCGCCGTCGCAATGCACCCTTCCAGCCGCGCAACACGGAGGATACCTCCTGCTGCTTGATCCCGGGCTGTTTCCGAAATTCCAGCGTTGAGGAGCGATAAAGCGTTGCGTAGACGTTGCGCGAGCGCTGCGGAGGTTTGTTGGGCTAGGAGGTGCTGTGTTAGTAGGTCGTAGAACGCCTGTGAAAGGAGATGTCAGCATCGGCAATTGTCACCCAGCGGCCAAAACACTTGAATTCAGAGTTACAATGGTACGTACCCCTCTGGCGACCACCAAAGCAAACAAAGCTTCGCCAGCGGCCTCCATCAGGCCAGCGTCAAACTCCAAGAACAAAAACATTTCCAAAGTTTTTTGCAGGAATTTGTTCAAGTGCGGGTGCAAGAACTCCATCGAGACTCCTGGGAAACATCCACACTCGCATCAGCCCAGCTGTCATTATGGACGCAAACTGCAAAAACCTTACCCCCATGAGCCGGCTCATCCCATACAAACAACGCCAAAGATGTAATAGCCTCAAACGCGCTCCTCGCAACCTCAATCATCGGATTATGCATCCCCGATTCGAGTGACCGGACAAGACCTGCTAACAACGGTGGTGGGAGGACCGGAAGTCGGTCGGGGAAGTAGCGGATGAGGTGGCTGATGAGGGAGATGTAGTCTCTGCACAGTTCGGGGAACTTTGGAGTGAAGACGTAGGTTACTTTCGATGGAAGAGTGCTGGGAACGAAACCGTTGCGAATTACCTTGAGCATGTCGTCTGTGATTAAAGGTATGACCACGTTGATGCCGTAGAATATCACATCGGCGACATCTGTCCCTCCTTTGGCTTTCCGCTTTTCGAGAATCTCCGCCCAGGCTGCAAAAACAAATGTCGGCGTCAGGAGTGCACTCAGAGGTGATTGGAATCCGCTAAGTTATGAGGTGAGGGTACTTACTGATTCCTTCATATTGGGAAGCCATCAGTTGCGACAAGATATCCAAAATACACGAGAGATCCTCAAACATCTCGTCCTCCTCGCCCGTGTTCACCGATCGCTTTCTTCCGACCGTATTCTTTGCGTACGTTTGCAACACGGAGAGAACGGAACTGTACAGGCGCTCGCAATCTTCTGGTGTCAGTTCCTCAAATGACTACAGAAAAGACCAAAAGCAGCTATCAATCAACGATCGTTCGTCACCAACGACAGTATCATCCTTTACCTGGCACCGAATCAGATTTGCAAAAACCTGCAAAATATACTTCTCCACCTCCGTCGTATTCCGATACAACTCCAGCAGCTGCACAAACACATCAAAGTGCTTCGCCACAGCCGTGAAAACCTGTTTCGTATTGGCCTCATCGGCAGCCAGCGCGAGCCCGCTGTACATTTCCATTGTACTTATGACCAGTTCGATGGTATCCGGGGTTTGATGGGATTGGACGAAGGTGGGATTTTGTATGATGCTGAGGAGGCGCGTGTCGATGGCGTTGCTGATGGAGTGGAAATAGCGGGCGCGGATTTCGGGGTCGGATGCGTGGGTGGCGATTATGGCGATATTCTCGATGAGGGGGCTGCAAGCGAAGTGATAAATAGTGTGCGTTGGCATTAACTTCATTCACCCCTGGTCATACCTGTGGACTGTAGCAGTAAGTTTACTCAAACTGCCCAAAAAGAACACAATGAGTTTCTGGAACCGATCCGAAAGCACAAGGGCGTTCCGGATGCCCGGCACTTTCGAGAACGTGCTCAACAGGCTAACAATCTGCATCAGCAGATCCTCTTGACCGGGCCACATGTCAAAATTCTTCTCTAGCATGTTCATGATCCCGTCCAGGACCGCGGGGCCTCCGCCGTCCCTACCAAAGGCACGCATGAGCGAATGTGTGTGCAGTTCTTCTGCGGGGAGGAAGAGGTAAGTCTGGCTCCAGCGTTCGATGAACCAGAGGAGGGTCTCGCAGAGGAGGGGGCTGCAGAGGCTGAACTGCAAAGGGGAACGGCTTTTAGTTGCGGAGGTGGGTGAGGGGATATCACAATTCATTGTGCATTACCGATGGGCTGTTGGGATTGACAGACACAACATCCAAAGCATACAGCAACGTCAACGCGAGCTTGACCACTGGATCTGCATTCTCCGCAGAAGCCATCTACCAACATTGACTTACAATCAGTGATCACGTAGCGAAAAGCTGTCATCTCAACCCGCGAACTCACCGACAAAGCCAGCAACGACCGCGGAATCTCCCGCTTTTCCCCAGTCCCGCCGTACGCCAACAAGTGCCCGGAAAACAGCGCGAGCCAGTGCAAGTGCTCCTGCAGCCACGCGAGGTCATCGGCTATGATCGCAATCATCAGCCAAAAGCTAGTCAGAACATCCTTCGGTGAATGTTGGGATCCCGACTTACCATGCTCTGCGCCCTCAAAGACCTTCCGTATCCGGCCCAGCCGATCATCAACAAGTGCCTGCAGCTTCTCCAGCGGTTTCCGAGGATCTAGTCTTCCGATGATGGCTGCTGAAACCAGCTGCTCCTCATACATGTACTATGGGATCAAGAGTGAGCCGCCACGGTCTCGCCCCCCCATCGTGCCATAAATTCGCCAATCTAACCTCGTCCTTGACCATATCATCATCCGCATCATCCTCCACAGCTTGTTTCGCCACTTCCAACCGCATCTCCACATACGCGTCAAACACATGGAAGGCGACATCGGTTAGGAATTTCATGAAGTTGGGGAAGTCAAAGTCGTTCCCGGCTTTGGCGCCTGTGCTCTGTAGTGCTGTTTGTTCTTCGGTGTAGATCTCGGCTTTCTCAACTATACATGAAGAAAGGTATGAGACTTTACGCCCGCAGATGGATCATACGAATCCCAATCGCACCCACCTAGATCCGCCCAAACATCCAGCAAATCATCTCCCTCCTCCTGCGTGCAGCTGCTCCAATCCTCATCATCGCAACCCGTGCGTCGGTAGCATTTTATCGTGAGTGTCCCCAGCTCATGCAGGAAAGGAAGGAACTCTGGAACGCCGGCGATGACGCGTAAGGGGTGGGTGAAGATGATCCGTTTGCAGACGGATGTGATGCAGATGAGTTCGCTGGCTAGACCCATTTCGACTTCTGAATCGAAGCGGGGCAAGAAGCTGGAGTGTTATCGATTAGCACAACCCTTCGGCAAGCAGAGAAAGACGGTCGGAAAACGTACTCGGTGAGCACTGTCAAGAACCGTTTCAGGAAGTGGCCGATATAAGCCCGTAGCGCGTTGGTGTCTTCCAGCACCCGTCCTGCCTGGTCCTTTATGACGTGTCCATTCGGATCCGCTACGTGAAACACGGGTCCATGGACGGCGGCCAGGTCCGTTAGACAATGCCGCGCCGAGTCTCCTAACCGCCCCTCATCTCTGAATGTGCTGTTCAACTGTGACCTGACGTGAGCGAGACTGCTTCACTCGGACCGACACCCTATATCTAACACTTCACCTGGAAGAACAGATCGATCACGTCCGGTCTGACGATGAACTCCTTCCAAGATGCTGGAAAATATCCAGGCTGAGACGTCCGTCGTTCCTCCTGATTCGTCCTAAAGGATCCGGATAACGCATTCTCCTCTAAAGTCGCAAGCTATATGAGTCTGCGTTTGTTTGCGCTCAATAAAGGTGTTCTGCGTACCAGGTGTCAGGAACTCCCAATCCACAGCCTTTTGAGCCACCGACATGGCAGTAATCAGCAGTTCCGAGCTCAAAGCGTCCTGAAGATACTCTTTGGTGTTCATGAAGTGCTGCAGGACATGGTAGACGACTTGGAAGATGTGTCGTAGCTCCCCTTCCTACATGAGACATCACTTCAGCCCTCATATTCAAGCCATCAACGCAGCTTGATTGGTGTTGCCATCTCACCTCGAAGAGCTGACGACTCTTCACATGGAAGTCGTACGGAAGCCCTACAGCGCTCGCCCTCGTCGACGAAAACTCGTCCAGCAACGCCGCAAAGAGACATAGCGCAATCTGACTCTGCACCCAAACCTCGTCAGCCCCACCTCCATTCGCCCTTGAGCCTTCCGTTCGCATCTGGCTAACCTGCTTCTTATCCCCATTCAACAAATCCGTCACCCGCGACAAAAACGCCTGTTTCTCCTCCGCCGACTCTTCCAGCGACCCCCGTTTCACGATCACAGCGATCGGGTACAACACAGAGTTCCGCACATACGTCGGTAAGCTACATGTGCCATTTAGCGGTCAACCTCCATCAGCCCCCAGTGCAATTTCAGAACTCGCATAATCCCACTCAACTGGTCGAATCGGGTTATCGCATAGTTCAGCAGCCATTCGCGTAGGGCGTGTATCTCCTGCCGGGGGTGGAGGGCATACTCGCGAGCTGCAGACTCTTTCAGTGACAGGAGGACGTGGAATTTGACGTCGGGCTTTTCGGTGTGCTCTGGAAGGCAGTAGGGTAAGTTGAGCCATGGCAGCGTTATGAAGTTATGGACGGGCTGGAGTACCTAGGATGTATTTGCAAACCGGCAGCAAGTTCGGCGTGCTACGAAACTGGACCATGTTCTTCTCCGCTTGTATACGGCGATCTGGAACCTTTTTGACGACACATTTCCACATGGAGAGAAGGTCAGACATGGACTCCAATGAGTGGACTTCGGCCGTATTCCTCCAATGCTCTCTAATGCTGAGACTAACCTGAAAGTCCGCACAGGTCTGCTCGAAGTGAGCGCATATCGCCTGCAGGTCCATGTCTAACGAGACTTCGAGGGCCTGGTAGCCCGCGATAGGTGGTGTAGCGCCTAGCCTATTGGAGTTGGGTGGAAAGCCGGCTTGACTATCAAACGGCGACCAAGATGGCCGTTTACGATGTGTGACGATGGAGTGTTTCCCACCCCGTCGAAAGAATGTGTGGAAAGCGAGGCAGGTTCTCTGTCCGCGCCTTGTGGAAGGGGGACATCGCGGAGCATCGGAGGCTTTGCGTGCTTTTCCGCTTCGCAGATCTATGCGACAACCTCACCGGCTGTTACATGATGCGCATGATCGAGTCCACGGACACCACCCTGGGGCATATATTGACTTTCTCAGGGACAGCCTGGGTACGCATTCTGCTGTAAAAGTCAGTCTACGTATTCCTCGTTATATTTAGAAGCAAGTGCGGTATCGTTTCGAAATCTACATCCTTATTCCCCACCCTGTTAGACCCACTGCGCCTTTCCCCCGGCCCGCGGCCCCTCGTCCAGATATATGATTACTCCTTCCCAAGTCGTATGCGGCTTCTCATGCGTCGCCACGTCGTTCTTCTCGCCAGATTTGCAGCCATCGTCCACTTTCCGGAGAGAAAAGCCGCTGCCTTGTCCACCGTTTGCATACGCTGTCCTACCGACCTATCGACACTCCGATTGGGCAGCAAAGGAATGCGGCACGACATTTGGGATCTCCCTGAGGCGGCCCATTTTATGGACTCAGTCCTGCACGACAGCCCTCGCAGTACAGTTGATGCATTGGCGGAAAGCCCCAACTCCTACTTCAGCTAACTTTTTGCGCTGTGACTTGTAATCGCCAGTCCTTCCATCAACGACGTACGCACGTTCTCGGATATGGCGAGTGTTCTATGAATAGGGGGCGAGAATTGGCGAGAGGAAAAATACTTGCGCTCACCATAAGTAGAGTCGCCCAGCAAACTGGAAACGTATGGATAGTATCAAGCCGCTCACACTGCAGGTGTTGACGATTGGTGGGCTTGCAGTCTTGAATGGCAAGCTCATCAAACGCAATCACGCAGCGCCTTGCGCGACAGCAGCTGTGACGCCGGCGGCCCTCCCTCAAAGCAGCGGCAAGGCAGCCCCCAATGCAGTCAGCCTCAAGCAAGTCCCAGTTGTGGTTGAGGTTTTGAGACGAAAACGGCGACGGCGACAGCAACAACGGCAACACGGCAATCCGTGCGAAAGGGTGGGAGTCGCGAACAGCAAAGGAAAAGCTTAAAATCAAATAAGAAGCCCTTGGAGTCCCCCACGTGACAGCGCTTTCCAGTCGCTCCTAGTGTGAATTTGGTCGTCGCTCGAATTGACGGGCTCTCGCTCTTGGATTCACCCACGACAGTCCATTTGCCCCATCTTTTACGGAGCGGACTCATCCAGTATTCACAATGGCCAAGGTCTCGACAAACGGTGCGTAGAGGTGGGGAAAGAGGCGAGCGCTCAAATGGGTCGGAGGGATGGATGGATGGATGGATGCACGAGGGGTGAGGTCGGATGGATAGGTGGTGGAATGCAGGAATGGGCATTGCATGTGAAAGCACATAAATGGTCGTCGAACGCGGAACTGGACAGCTGCGGAGGTAGATAGGTGGAGGAGACTCTCAAGGGTGAGAACGCGGGACCGGACGGCAGATACCGCAGAGGGAACGGCTCTTTGCGGAATTGAGCATTCGCAGGACATGGGTACTTATATTCCTGTATGTTCTTCCTCCAGTTTCTTCCAGCCGCCGCAAGAGCCGCAAGGCGCACTTCTCTGCGCCTTCGGACCTCAGGCGCAAGATCATGTCGGCTCCCCTCGACAAGGAGTTGCGTGAGAAGCACAACGTACGTTAAACATCCAACAAGGTTTCCCCTTTTTGCAAAACCACGATCCTTGATGGAAAGCCCCCCTGTCCTCGTTGCAACCCTCCATGCCTCTATGCATGAAGGGGGTTGCAGCGTCCGACCAGGGTGAGGGTTGGGCATATATTGGAAAAAACCAAAAACGAGACATTGGGCCAACCATGTTCCCATTTTTTTCCAGTGCCGCTCCATCCCCATCCGCAAGGACGACGAGGTCAAGATTGTCCGCGGTACCTTTGCTGGCCGTGAGGGCAAGGTCACCACTGTCTACCGTAAGAAGTGGTGCATCCACATCGAGAAGGTGACCCGTGACAAGATGAACGGTACGTTGGTTTATTCTGAGTTTGCGGATCGTCAATCAATTTCGTAAACTAACCTCTGCATTTTTTTCTCCTTCAACAGGTGTCTCCATTCAGATCCCCATCCACCCCTCCAAGGTCGTGATCACCAAGATCAAGCTCGACAAGGACCGTAAGGAACTTTTGGAGCGTAAGGCTGCTGGCCGCAAGGTCGTCAAGGCCGAGGTTCGTACTTTTGTCTCATTTAACGATATTCCGCCCTCATACTGACTCCTTGTCCGTCCTTCCAGTAAACTTGTAAATGATGCCAGTCAACATATATAGGTTTTCCGCTACTGTGTGGGTTCTTGCATATCTACGATCAATACGGATTGACAATGCTCCTCACGAATTTCGAATGGACCCTCACTTGTTTCGCTGTGACATTTGCTGTGGTTGGAGCTGGAATCAGCTGCGACGACGCCTTGGGGGATGCATGCGGAGGACACAATGCGCGGTTTGCGGGGCGGGGACTGGTGCCCGGAGGCTAGGCACGGCAGCTATCGAAATTAGGTGCATGCGGAGTCGTTCGACGATCGTGGATGAGTGATGCGAAACGTCGGAAGGTTTTGGGGCGTTCTCGTTGGAGACTGGAGCTGTTCGGGATACTGGGGAAGTTTTAGGCCCGCTTTACGTGAGAACAGCGGCCCGGAGAAGCCCCGAGACACCCTGCCCATGGCGAGCAGCTCGACACATTCTGATGTGGGTGGGACCCAATGTGTGACTTGCGGCGCGGTGGGTTCTGCCAGAGCGGTGTGCAGAAGCGTTGGCAGCGGTGGTGAGAGTGCGATGTCGTTGGGCTTCGTATTGGGGGTGTCAAGGGGTCAGGGGGTCTAGCGTCCAAACAGCGGTTGTTGCATCTTGCGTGTATGATATGCTGTCCATTCCTTGCCGCCCTAACCTGCCGCAACTGAAATACATTTGATTTTCAGTATGGGTGAAATTGTATGTACCAGCGGGCGGGGAAAACATCAACGCGATGACACAGCGGTAAGGTCCAAGGATAAGGATAAGCGAATCACGCGAAACAAATGCACACCCGTTTTCCCTGTTTTTTCGCACTGGGCATTCGCACCCTCCAACGTGTTCATTCTCTGACACAACCCGACTACCACTTCCACGCCTCCCGACCCCTTTTCCGTTCCGCAGGCGGACGCTAACTCGCTCTCACACCGCTCTCTTCTCTGTCACCCCGCCCGCTCCTCCACCGCCATGCCTATCCTCGGTTGTGCCATTCTGCCTCATTCGGTAGGGCCCTCCTTTTTACCACTAGCAGCTTATTCATCCTTGCAAACCTCGTCCAAACCATAACCGACCCTCCCTTTACTCCTCCCCCCCCACAGCAAATGGTCCTAGACCCAACCCTCCCCAACTGTCCCGAGGGCATCCTAGAAGTGCATGAAGGTTGCAAAGCCGTCGGGGAGGTTGTGGCGGCGTGGGAGCCGGAGCTTATTGTGTTTTTGACGCCGCATGGGATTAGTGTGAGTAGTTGGGGTGCGAGTCTGGGAGTGCGTTTGGATGAGGGGCTGATTGAGCTTTTTTTTGCTCGTCTAGGCGCCGAGGAGTCCACGGCCAGGTATGCTTCGGAGGAGGTACATGGGGAAGTGAAGGAACGACCAAGAATGGTGGACTCACCGTCGCCTCGATGTATCACGTAGGAATCTACCTAACGCCATCAGCGACGGGGAAGATTGATCAAGGGGATGAGAGTGGCAATGCGGCGGGATCCGCAAAGCCCGAGGATGCGATAGTGTATGAACTCGCGATACAGATCGACAACGACCTGGCCACGGGGTTTCTGAACCATTTGGGGTCGCAGGGCATTGCGTGAGTATCCCATCTCCCGCCCCTCTCTTTTGCGCGGAGTAAGCGGACTCGATACTGATCAGGACTTGGATTCGGCAACAGCTGCGTAAAAATAACCGGCACCGAAGCCCCCCTCGGCCCCTCCGAACTAATCCCCCTCTGGTTCCTCCGCCGCGTCGCCATGCTCCCCTTCGCCCCAAAATACCTCCTCCTCTCCCTCCCCGGCCCCGTCGGCGGCACCTCCCTGCACCGGTCACCTTCCTCACAGGACCGCGTGCCCGACATGCTCTCTTACGGCAACCACCTGTGGAAATACCTGAGTTGGGTGAACAAGAAGGTCGCCGTGGTGGCAAGCGCGGATTTGAGCCATACGCATGCGACGAGGTGTAGGGATAAGCGGTTTCTGCCGGATCCGGAGTGGGGAATGCCGGTTTCGGATGCTGCGGCGGTTTTTGATGGGATTGTTGAAAAGTACGTCTTGCATCATAACCCCTCTCCGTGAATCCTTCTCCCCGTGCTAACCCAGTGATCTCTCTCGCCACACAGATGGGTCTCAACCCTAACCGCCGACTTCCTCCTCCGCGACGCCGCGGCCCTTGTCCGCTCCGCCATCTCCTGCGGCTTCGACGCCTTCGTCGTCCTGCAAGCGCTCATTGAAAAAGAGGGCAAACACCGCTTCTCGTCGCATATCTTCGCCCGCCATCGGCCCACGTATGTCGGGTTGATTGCGGCGGTCATGCAGGTGGATAAACGGGTACCGAATCCGGAGTTTACGTATCGGCCGCCAGGGGTGGTGGATGAGTGATGACGGGATGGTGACTTTTTTTGGGGACTGGGAGCTAGACACTGGTTGTCGTGCTCTCTTTTTGGACGTTTTTGGAGGACAGAATTGTTTTGCCCGCTGCATCCTATTTATCATACGTAATGCTTTCACATATATACACATCATCATGCATTTTAGCATCCCACTTTCGCATACGCATTGAGGCGAAGGCAGAGTGACTGCAGTGCCAAGATAGGAAAACGCCGGCGGGGTACGTGCTTAGGCCCAAGGGTTGTAAATAGCAATAGGGGCGGCCGGAGCGCGATCTCGCCGATTTCTTCCCCACCGGGAGCGGTCCACGGGGTCTGCTACGTCCCCATCGGGCGCATCACCACCCAGTCCAAAGAACGCCTCCAGTCTCGCTCCCTTCGACGCTCCCTGCACCAATCCATACCGCTGGACATGGCTCCGTCTCGTGAACTGCGCATACCACCCCTGTCGAAGCCGGACTGCGTATTCTAGCGCGTGATGTTGTCCCATATCGCCCTGGGGAACGTCGGGTAAAGGTGGAGGCGACGACCAGGAGTGACCGTGGTCCTCTTCATGCATCAATGTGATGTGCACGGGGGCACGGCCAGGCTCTGTGAAATCGTATTTGTCGTCCCAGGATTGGAAGAAGACTCGGTCTGGAAACGAAAGAGAGAGAGAGAGAGAGTCAGGAACGTCCCACCCCGCCAGACCCGTAGTCCCCCCAAAAGAGAAAAAGAAAAATCTTTGGTAAAAAACAGGAACGGAATTGAGCAATAGTTACATCGCTTATCGACCCAAAAGCAAATCTCCCCCACGCTTGCATTCCCACACAGCGGACACGTCCGCCGATGATCGGCCGTCATCGCCACCCGCCGATCGCTCGACCCGCCGTTCGCGGCGTCCAGAGTTGGCGCGTCGTCTAGCGTGCAGAGGACAGGGCCGGGGTAGATTGGCCGCGACTCGATGCTGACGGCTCCCGAAGCTCGCACGGTCAGGAGATGCAGGTCGGAGGTGTCGGCGGTGCGGTGGTGGACGAAATAGGTTGTTTTGCGGACACATAGCGGTAGCGGTAGCGACGGCGGCGGCGGGTGCTTTGTCACACTGGTAGGAATACCCCCCGCACTGTATTCTTTCTCCACCTCCTCGTCATCCAGCACGATCCCGATTTCAAACACGTCGAGTCCACCCACGGGCATCGAGAGGAAGAAGTCCACCGTCAGCGTCTCCTCCTCCTTTTCGAGCAGCAGTTTGCCGAACCCGGGACACTTCAGCGATGACCGCCACCGTTTGCTCACGCGGGTGAGACGGAGGACGTCGAAGAGAGTTAGATGTTGGGCTATCTGGGGGAAGAGTTCTTCGGGGAGCCAGTCAAGGGACGGCTTGGGTCGACGTTTTCGGGGGCGGGGTGAGGAGGTCATGGGGTCTGCTCGATCCCAATGTGGCACGGGGGAGGTAGTCACAGCGATGTCTCCTTCCAACTCTCGTCGGCGATGCTAGAAGCAGCGGGCTGGCTGTAGGAGGCTAGGAGCAGAGGGGTCTTGACAATTCAGCCGGCGGGATGCTGGCGGGGGATGTGAAAATGCTTGCGTCAAAAAGTCACCCCTCTTCCAGCGCTTTCAACTCTTCAAACCATCTGGGACTCGCCCACACTCCACACTCCACGGCCATCCACCATGCCACGGCCCCTACCAGACCTCCCCTTCTCCCTCTCGTCCTCCTGGACAGCCTACCCGCGCGCCATCGCTCTCCTCAGCGGCACCAAACCACCAGAGAAGGGTGCCCGGCTGCGCGAGCTGGACGCGTGGATGCATGCAGAGTTGGGCGCGGCGATGAGGGGCCGCGGGTCGATAACGAAGGATGAATTGGTGCGTTTGAGGTGGGTGGCGGGGAGGAAGGAGGGGGCTTCTGACCATCGCGGAATATGGGACTCATGGACGTTGGGTATCCGCTCTGATTTTGCGCATTCGTTTGTGGCTGGTAGTTGAAGGTTTTGGAGTGGAAATTACTGGTATGTTACGGAGACTATATCATTCGATGGTCTTTTGCTACATATTCACAGATGTTTACAACTTCTCTGGAGGTATCCAGAGAGGCAAAAACCGCCCCTTCCTCCCCGCCCAAGTCCGCGCCAACCCCCCGGCCCTGGTCGAACAGGCCTCCAAGGCAGCGTTTGAGAAACTATCGAGTTCAACGACCGGCAAAGAGGGTGAAAAAGCCGAACCAGATCAGCGTCACATACTCGATGCGTTGAAAGAGCTTTGTGTGCTGAAAGGTGTGGGGCCCGCGACGGCGTCTGGTACGAGTACTATTTCCCGGGATACCTAGCATGTCACCGGCCGGATGCTAACACCCCGGCCTCCAAGCGATTTTGACCGCCCACACCCCCTCCATCCCCTTCATGTCCGACGAATCCCTCACGACCTTCCTCTACCCGCCCCCCGCCAAAATCGCATACACGCACGCGGCGTACGTGGCTTTGCTCCCCGCGTTGTCGGATATGGCTGTCGATTTGAATGAAGGGGAGGGCCAGTGGACAGCGGGGAAGGTGGAGAGGGCTGTGTGGGCTGGGTGTGTGCTTAGAGATCTGGGTGGGGATGGAGATGTGGAGGGAGAGGGAGAGGGAGAGGGGCAGGGCGGGGGGAAAGGCAACAAGAAACGCGGGGCGGAAACGGAAACCGTACAGCCGAAGGACGATGAAGGGTCGGCAGGAAAGTCGGTCGCGAGCGGGAGGCCGAAACGGGCACGAACGGCCGCCAAGTAGGTCGGAGTATATAGATAGCCCCATGGGAGTGTAACAGCGAGTGTGACGAGAGCGAAGTGTATACGCAAGTGATCGACTACATATCTATATTTTTACGAAGGTGATTGCATATCAAAGAGGGACTGTGGACCTAGAGATGGTAGGGGAAGGGAGAGATCTGACCGGCCGTGGCGGCGGTTTGATGGCTCGTTACGTGGCGGGGTGGCCTTCACCGCACTGCAAATGCAAAAAGACAGAGCGGGGAGCCCAATGAGGATCACGATACGATGTAGTGGAAAGACAGAGAAAGGTGAATTACGGGAAGATAAAGGAGTGGACGGGAAGTAGCACCGGATTATCCGAAGAGGGCTCTCACTCCCCTGAAGAACTTACTCAGCAACATCCACCCTCGCCTGACTCCCAGCCTTCTTAAACAACGGCCTCGCATTCCCATTCCCACCTCCACCCTCCTCAGCCTGTTTCGGCCCCATCGCCAGCACATCCGAGCTCGGTGCTCTGACGCTCACACTCCTAACGACCCCATCCGCCTTCTCCGCGTTCGTCAACGCTCTCGCGCTTGTGTTGAAGCCTGTCCGCGAGGTGTTGGCGCCGCTCAGCTGCTCCCTGTGCGACGATGCGGCGGCGTTGACGGGCGCGGCGCCGAAGATGGCGAGCACGATGATGGCGGATTCGAACATGTTTTCGAGGAGGAGCATGAGGGAGACGTGGAGGCAGGAGACGGAGTTTATAGTGGCGGATTCTGGAGGAGTAGTCAGACGGAGTTTGTTAATTCACTTGGAGATTCATGGTGAGGGATCCGACGGAAACTTACTACGCAACGGATACAAAATCGCTAACTGACTAATCGCGATACAAATAGTCAACGCCGTCATAATATCATTCAACCGCTTCAAAGCCCTCAGCACGCTCCCCCGCTGGCCGCCCGCAGTGACAAACGTCGTTTGCGGGATGTTCCACGAGAAACTGACGCAGCCGCCGATGATGTACGTCAACACCGGAACGAACGTGAGGCCAAAGAAGAGATACGAGAACTCGGTTGGGTATACGGGCGAGTTTTTGACCTCTGTGTATGCGTTGTAGGCGAATCCGATGCCGAAGATGGCTATGCAGACGGTGGCGGTTGTGCGGAAGAGCTGTTGTCGGTGAGGGATTAGGATGACGTTGCTGGCGCGGTAGACCCCTGTTAAGCATGTTGAGAACTACCGTTTGTAGGAATGAAGATGGAGTAAGTTTTAATTCCTAAATCCATCGCATTGAAGGAGCCAACATAGATCGTGCGCCGACACAAGATCCAAACTCACCAACATGAAAATAAACCCCGTCAACCCCAAATTATCCGTCACCCTTATCGTCGCCGGATCCCTCACGCCCGTACACGCAAACGCAATAGCCGACGCAAACACCAAATTCGCCAAACTCGCAAACAACATCGTCACCCCCCTCCCATTCACCATCTTCCTCAACCGCGACGCCGAAAGCACCAGATCCAGGATAATGATCGGATACGTTATCCCGATGATGATCGCCGCCGGGCCCGATTCGTGGATCGTGAAGGCCGCCATCTCCCCGCCCCAGGTTGAGAGTGAGGTCGAACAGAACTCGAGTGCTTCGGGTAGGCCGCCGGTGGGGTTTTGGGTCATGTAGCCGACGACGCAGGATTGGAAGAGGGCCATGGAGGGTTGCGGGGGCGGGCGGCCGGGTACCTGTGTGTCGGACATGGCGAAAGAGTCTTCCTGAGGGCAAAAACCTTGATTGCGCTCTTGAGAGAAAAAACGGGTTGTCCTCCGCGAGTGCTATATGAATCGATGTTCCTGGTCGCCTGCTGTCCTTCCTCGCGACGGAATCAAGTACCCTCCAAAATGTCACCCTTCGATATTCCCCCTGTCCTTTTTTGAGCTTTCAAGTGCCGTGCTTCCCCACTTCTAGGAAACCGGTGTCTCCATCCGTTCCCCAACAACAGGAAGCATAGCGTAACGAAAGAAGCTTAAGTGTAAATGACCAAACTGTGACAAACTTCCCCAGAGGAAGATGACTAAAGATATTCTGAGGGAAGCACTCTATTGTTGGCTGAGGTTTCGGAACCGAATGGCCGTCGTCTGGGAAAAGTGGCATACGGGTTCTGCTGGATCCGGGGAATTTGGGAATGCAAGAGATGCGAGTCGTCTACCATATTGTGGACCAACCGTCTTCCTCAGCTGATGATGCCCGAGCGGTGCTGCGACGGTGAAGGGGCGACTCTCCACGCGGTGTTGCCGCCTCGAGGGGCATGCTGATTGCGTCCGTCTTGGGTCTCATCTCCCCCTGCATCTCACCCATTGTGCGGAGTTCACGACGACGCGTTGTCGGTCTTCCTCGACTCACACCGGAACGCCAGCAATACAAGCAGGAGACGGCGGATTACGCGGATTATCGATGGCGAAGTCTATCTCGGACAGATAGGTTTACAGGCTTGGATAGTCAATATTTAAGATGGAGAAATACATATCAACGAGCGTCAGGGATCAGTTCTAACTGAAATATGCAGTCTACAACGACAAGAAATCCTCAAGTTTTGATGAAAGGAGGCAATGCAAACTTCACAGGGTCAAACGCCGCCATCGTCACCATCACCTCAGTAGGCTCAACCACTTCTCCCTCCTGAGCACTCTCCACCTTTTTACCATCTTCATAGATCTTCAACATATTCGGATCCGGAATCCACACCACATGCATCCCGGCGGTCCTTGCCGCCTCGACCCCGGCCCAAGCGTCCTCAAAAACCAAACACTTCTCGGACGGCGGGTCGCCAATCTTCCGCTTAGCGGTCAGGAAAATGTCCGGAGCCGGCTTGCCGCGAGCGACATCCCCGTCGTCGCCGCACGTCACGCTGTCGAAGAGGGCGAAGAGCTCCTGGTGGCGAGCGGTTTTCAGCTCGTATTTCGCGCGCGTGGAGGAGGTGGCGACAGCGATGGGGATGTTGTGCGCTTTGAGATGCTTGATTAGGGAGGCTACGCCGGGGAGGACCTCGCATGAGGACCACATTTTGGCTTGCTTCTCTGTGAGGGTGTTGATGTACTCGTCCACCGTGAGGGGGAGGTTCAGGGCCTCTACTACGATTTGTGCTGACTGTCCATCGGATGTGAGATCAGTGGTCTGTGCCAGCATAAGACGCAACGGCAGCCTCTCACCTCAACTGCCGTCCGTCCCATCAGCTGACTCTTCAACTCCCACGTAAAGCGGGTGCCCGGCACACACTCGTCTAACACTTTCTGCGTTGCTTCCGTGTAGATTCGCTCCGTATCCAGCAGTAGCCCGTCCTATAGGTGAAATCAGAGATAGGAATACATTTCCGCTCCAAACAGCATCCTTCGTCTTTCGTAACTTGCCATATCAAAAATGCAGTGCGTGATGGTGACCGTCATTGTGACCTTCGAGTTGAGGAAAAGGTTGGCGACTGGTGTGCTAACTTGGCGCGCGTAGCTGTGAATTCCGGATCTTGTACAGTATATGCACGACAGTCGATGGTGCTCCTCCACGACGAGCTGGTCGGAAGGCTCCAGGAGGGTTAATGTCGAGACTGTTCAAGCCAGAAAAAAGATCCGAATAAAATGGCACCTGACACACGCGCGCTGTTGAAAATGGAAATTGAGATCCCCGCCCTGTTCCCAGATTTAGACATTCAGGCCGTAAACATCGCCGCTCCAGTGACCGTCTCACATTGCCGAACCAGCGGAGGGCAGCGGAGGAAAGAGAGGAAAGAGCGGAGAACGGCCTTTGTATAACCAGCCTTGCTGCAGGTGGCCCCCCGTCAATCTGGCATACTTGCGAACTTATCCAGTCATGACTTCTACAGCAACGTCCCGTTTCTCGTTGGTGGAAGGCAGGGGACGTCCACGGAGCAGTACGTGGACAGCCGGCATGGCCAAGGTGAGAATAACACCCCACCTAGGCGCAATGACCGACAAGGAGGCCATGCTAAATCCCATTTTCATTCCACCAGCGTCTCTCCACCCTTTCCCTCCCGCTCACCCGCAAATCCTCAACCCAAACCTTCGCCCTCCCCACCGGCACAACCACCCTGCACGCCAACCAACTCACCCCGATATCCCCAACTCTCATAACCCACTTCGCCCACCAAATCCCCTCCTTCGACGCCCAAGTCGCGGCAGTCGAAGCCGACATCTTCGTCCTCGAAACCAAACTCCGCTGCGCCTCAGGCATGGACGCGCCCGGGCTCCGCGGCCAGATCCAGTTTGCGCGGCAGCAGTGGGATATTGCAAAATTGATTGCTGCGACGGTGCGGGCTGTCGGAGGTGCGGACGCGGGTGGAGAGTATGTGGGAGAGGGCAAGGTGGATTGGGAGATGTTGGGCATGGATTCTGGGGGAAGGAGGAAGCCGTTGGAGTTACCGGTGGGCGTGGCGGGGTTGAATGTGGTTGTGAGGGATCGGGCGAGGGATGGGTTGGTGACTGTGAGGTGGGAGTTGGTTTTGCAGCAGGATGTAGGGGTGAGGACGACGCATTTGGTGAGGGATTGTGATACGATTTTCAATTTGGGGTAAAGGATTGTTGACGGCAGTTGAAGGCGTAACTACACGGCGTATTTGACATTCTCCAGACTTGTACATATAAATACATCGCTTTAAGCCATGCTTCTACGCCTCCTATCTACGTCCGCACGCCATACGCCATACGCCATACGCCGCACCATTCACTCCCGACATCTAGCAGTAACAATAATCTCAATCCTCGCCCCCATCCCCAGTTTCGCAATCTGCATAACCGCCCTGGCCGGTTTATGCTCGCCAAACACTTCCGTCCAAACTTCATTGAAGCCTTCGAAATCTGCCAAATCCGTAAGGTACACCTACAAAAAAAACACATGTACAGTACATCAATCTGGGGACATACGGAAAACAGCAGTCCCTCCCTAGATTCTTACCTCACACCGCACAACCCCAGCCAACTCACACCCACACTCCTCCAAAATAGCGTTCACATTCTCAAACGTAACTCTCGTCTCCTCCCTAACGCCCCCGGGAACGATCGTGTCGCTGTTGGGCGGAAGTCCGACTTGGCCGGTGAGGAAGGCGAAGCCGCCGCTGACGATCGCGTGTGAGTAGGGGAGGGATGTGCCGAGGCGGGGTTTGGAGGCACGGGGGGAGTTGACGGCATGGAGGGACATTTTTGTTCTTTGAGGGTGGGGCGGGTGGTGGAAGGTGGAGGGTGGGGAGAGGGAGGGAGGTGGGTGGGTGGGGCATTTATATGCGAGGGGGTTGGATCTGGACGGACGACTCGGAGACAGACGCCCGGCCGTTGAACGCGTCGAAAGATGCACATTGCGGCACGTGTTTCTTAGGTTCCTTATCACGGTCCATCCATCATCCATGAGAACGCCCGTGGGGACAGAGGGCTGGCTATCAGATTCCATTCTGACCTTCTCTGGCCGATGAATTGAGGTGTGAGGATGATGAAGTACACCACCAGCGCCTGCTCTGCTAGCAGTCCGCACACTGAGTCCTGGGAATCTGGCTAGGATGTCGAGAGACACTTGGAAAAGTAGAAGCGGAGAGAGACGCGCCTAGTCATGCGTGGCCTGAGACTCCGCTCGCCCAGGCTCTCCGTCCTACCGAAGACAGAACACATCCCAGCTCGAACGTGCATATGCATTCCTTTCTTTCGTGAGATGGCTCTTAGGTAGTGTAGGAGATAGCGAGTATTCGATCCAAGCTGCGAGTCCGGGTATCATCCCTCACATATACTCGCCATATACATAAGTTCATGCAAAAATGACTATGCTACGCGCATGGCTTCTCAAAACTGCAGAAAGTCAGGGCCTGTTCACGGTGCTGCTATGTAGGCGTCTTCCCGGCTGCCCAGTCCTGTCGACGGTATGCGGTAATGATGAGCAGGTACGAACATCCCTGCCCCAAAGCAGTTGAAACGCAAAGGGCAGCCCAAACACCAATACATACCATCAAAACCGCATCCAACCTCCCATTCTCCACCCTCAACTCCCTCAACCGTCCCTCCACCTTCCCCTTCATCCCCACCAACCCCTCCACCCTCCTCACCATCGCCTCCAGCTCCGCCTTTGCCCGATTCTTCTCCGCCTCCAGCGCCTCGCACTCTGTCCCGTGCGCGGCGGCTTGCTCGCGGAGGAGGGTGGTGGTCTGCATCATCCGTGTGAGGGCGTCGTGGGCGGTGCGCGTTTGGGTTGTGAGGGTTGTGAGGGAGGTTGCTAGTTTTGTGCCAGGGAGTTGGGGTTGTTGGGAGGAGGGTTGCGGTTGCAAGGAGGAAGGGCCGCCAGGGGAAGGGCCGCTTTCGGTGACGGAGGGTAAGGGGAGGGGTTTGGATATGGTGTTAATTCCGCTGTTGCTGGTTGAGTTTTTAGAGGTGGGGCTGGGGCGGGATTTAGGGTCAGTTGGTGGGCGGGAGGATTGTGGTGGGTCTGACATCTTGCAGGAAGGTGTTGGGGATGTGTGTTTGTGGGTGGTTGAAGGTCCCCCACTCGCTTATCTGGACTTGAGTATCTGCTTGAGGTTGTTGAATCGTTTGTATGAGGCCCCACGATCAGATGGCGAGAAGCAGGTAAACTTCTTTCCCACGAAAAAGGGTCTTCTTCAAATGGGGCAATATGACGGGCATGGTCGTCGGAGTCGATCTCGATGTCGATAGGGGGACGAAGAACGCGTGGGTCATGAATGACCGCGCTGTCAAAACGAAGGCTCTCTACTCTCCACCAACCAATCCATCCTGAACAGACTTCTGCAGAAAGTGCAACCTCCTCAATCGTACATTCCTCCTCTGCCAAGTTTTACGTGCAGCACAAAATCCACAAGCAGTAGAGTAAGTAGCCCCAAAAGCTAACTTCACCACCCCATTGCGCCGTCCCAACATCACCCCGTTTTCGACAGCTTTCCGGCACCCCTCCATCTCACAGCAACCCTACCACATATGCCAGCAGAGACGTACGGCAAACGCTACCTCACCCGCTCTGAGTCCATGGCCCTGCGAAACCTGTCGCCTAACAGCAGCGAAGGCGCCACTTCCGCTAGGCAATCTTACGGCGGAGGGGCCGTGGCTCCTGTCGATATTAACGAAGAGCTGGAGAAAGGGCAACTGGAGCGGGACGGGACGGATGAAGAGATGCCGGAAGAACAACAGGACGAGGAGTACCACCACGACGAAGAAACCACCTCCGAAGAGCATCCACCTCGACCCACCCTCACCACCGCCGACTTCTTCCCTCCCGGCGCCCACATCCTGAACCGCACGATCCACCTCGAGTTCCCCGACGACGTCTGGGTCGACAGCTCAATGATCTTCACCCAAAGCCCATACAACGACGAAGAAGTCATTATGCACGTCATGCTCCCACTGACGTTCGACGGCGTCCCTGAACCGGAGGAATGCGCTTGGCCGGGATGCGAGGAGGCTACGGCTACCCCGGACGATCATAACCTTCTTGTGTCGAGGGAGGGGGTGAAGGTTCGCGTGTTGGTTCCGACGGATGACAATGGGTGGGAGGGGCCGGATGAGGAGTTGTTGGAGACGTTGAATGAGTTGCGCCGGCCGGTGCCTGCACTCGCAGAGCGATGATGGAACTCCCATCTGATGCAAGAGTATCAAAAGCTTCACTCATCAAAGTACTTACAACAAAGGATTCGAAAAGGGGGATATACAGGAATCCCAGCAAGCACTTACAAACGCTTCCAAAATACCTACGTCGGCTGAAAAAGCCGCAGCAACAATACCCAAAACCCCACCTTAGTCCTCCTGCCACTCCCCATCGTACATATCACTCACAAACTCTTCGTGGGCAAAGTCCTCATCCTATCGAAATAACACCCCATTGTAGTCTTAGCATTCCATGTATAGCGTTCTCCACATTTGTACATTTTGCCCTTCAATAAACCCAAACTTACGTCGTAGTTCCCATCCTCCAAATTCTGCGGTACAGGCACATGCGCATCCCTCAGATCCTGGGCAGACGGCAACTCACCCTCCGGTTCGGTTGCTGCTGGTGGTGGAGGTGTTTGGCGTTTGCGGGCCGGTTCGGGGCTGTCGGAGAGTGGTGGTGCGGCGAAGAGGATGTCTGGTTCCGTGGTTTTGTCTGGTGTTGCCAATGCCGCGATAGAGTCGGAGGTGGCCGCGTGTGCTGGTGCCGTGACCACAGTTGTCCCGAGCATCCTTTCCGTTGCCTCAACGTCTGCGAGACTTTCCACATGTGTTGCCATCTTGGATTCTAGTTCGGCTAGCGGGAGTGTTTGCAGGAGATGCACTTGGTAAAAGAACCGTTGCCAGAACTGGGGTTCTTTTATCCTGTGGAATGGGCAAGAACAGGTTAGAGTTTCGGACGGTGGGAGGGGAGTGCCGATTTGGGTGGTCGCACTTTCTGGGGACTAAACGGAATCGCGTCCGTCCTAGTTCTTCATCAAGTTTCAGGAGTTCCATGATTACCGGGTAGGAGGCTTCTAGGTCAAAGTCGAATGGGACGTCGGATGGTACCTCTTCAAGGAAGATGGCTGGTTGCTGTAAAGTGGGGCGGGGAGTTGTTAGACTCGCCCATCTTTATTCCCCAATCCGCACTTCCAGTATTATCAACCAACCTTGGACAAAGCCTGCACAGCCCGTCTCAGCAAATCCGCATCCTCCGCTCCATCCCACGGTAACCGCACCCCCTCCTCCACCCGCGCCTCATCCCCACCAACCTCCTTCTCCTCCCCTCCCGCCGCAGTTGCACCCTCCCCTCCCACCAACACCTCCGCACTCAACTCCTTAACAATCTCCCCCGGTATCGCCACCGCCTTCGTCAACAACCCCTTCAGAAAGTTCGACGTCTGCGCCGGCGTAGCGACGACGACGTCGGGCAAAAGCGCAACCTCTTCTTTTGGTTCGGTGAAGACCCCGCCATCTTTTTCTCTGCGGGAGGAGAGGAAGTTCTTTTGTTCGGTTTCGAAGGACGTGGCGGCGTCTGCCAGGCTCTCTTTGAGGGTTTTCGCGTAACTGTTGAAGCGGGAGAGCATTTTGCGGGAGGTTTTGAGGGAATACGTATGGAGAACGGATGTTGCAGATACCGCCTAGACGTGAGCTGTTACTCCTACGACGACGAGGGCGGGATGGGTGTCTTGTACGGAGCGTGATCTACTGTATATAGCCCCGATGCTGCCGATTGCCCAGCGGGGATGTTGAGGAAACATGTTCCCACGCGCCGTCCGAATTGCGGGCAGAAGCGTGAAGGGCGTGACTGGACCACGGCCGGCCGCATAAAACAGGCCCTCCATCGGCGCTCTCCAATTGAACCTTCGTCGTTCGACAGACAGCTCAAGCCGTGATCACGCCGCCAGATGGGTAGACACACTCTTAACAACCTTCCGCCCCAGACATCCCTCGTCTTGTCAGAGCCCGATACCCCAAAACTCAATACAAAAAACAACCTCAACACACTCTACCAGCCCCAATTTTCCCACGAAACTCTGGCAGCCGGCGACGACGGGCGGGTGGCCGACTCAGGCTCCTATTTCGTTCCACTGAACGGAACAGTGTCTCCAGCGTGTATGGCTGAGGTTGCAGGATAGCGCTTACCTTCTGGGAAAGGGGTTGGCACTTGGAAGTGTGGCGGGGCCGACGACACACAATTTCTAGCTCCGACAGTCGAACATGAGCGCTCCTCGCAGCAACGGGCGGAGCAAATATGGGAGGAAGGAACAACCGCAGGGTCATGGGCAAGGTGTGTTGAATAAGCGTCAGGTCACCAGGGGCAACTGTCTTGCTGAGAATGTTTACCCTAGGTGGTGGAAAAACCGGAGCCGGAGATGCGCTGCAGACCGCGTTGGCAGGAATGCTCCGTGGAGACCGAGATCCTTCTTACTCGAGGCGTATAGCAGCTGCCGATGACCTTCTGGCAATCCTCGACCCGTCGATGCATGGAAACGCCCTAGGTCTCCCATGTTATCCCGTCAATCAACCCCACGTCTTCAATGCATGCGCGAATAGCGTGGCTGACGCACTGGAAGCGATGCGGTACGCTGATGAGTCCGCATAGGGTGGGAGTGGAGAGAGGGTGAAAGCTGACGAAAGGGTTCTCAGATCTCCGAACGCATATAAACAGCGAGTTGCGAAATGTATTGCCGCCATGGGCGCCTGCCTGCATCTGGATGGCCGTCCGTTTGTCCGGTGGATCTTTGAACAGCTGCTTGGAATGGGCCAGAAACGGCTGTCAAGGGAAGCGGAGAGGGATCTGTGCAACTGGCTTCTCGTGGTTGTCCGTGACGTATGTGTGTCTTCTCCTGGAGAGTGACATCAGGGCTTTGTGATTGACGTTATTGCATGCAGTATGTGGAACGATTATCGGCATTGGGCGATTCAGCCGGCCATGCGGAAGAAACCATATCGCAGATCTTGGTGGACATGCAGACGTTTCTTGATATGATGGAGTCTGCCGACTTCCTGCCCAAATCACTGGACGTGTTCCAGATCATTGCGGAAACGTTTCCTGATGCGTTTTCTGTGTGCTTCAAGGTGCGGCTGGATATGAATGCATGCTGGAATGGTTGATGAGGTGTTCATCAAGTAAGAATTGTAGGACATCGTCGATCTTCTCGTGGGATGGAACATTGATCCGAGCCTTCCGAAAAATGTGTCGGCGCTCATCTCTGGTATGAGGTTCATGATCTCATGCACGATGCCTTTTCCGATTTTGGCTGAAGTATGGCTTTGCAGATACGCTGAAGAAGCTCTGGTTTTTTTGGGCTCAGCACATTACCTTCGCATTGGAGCTTGCCCGGCACCTCCTTTCTGACATCCAGGACACGGTGCAGCTCCGTTGCGAGCCTGGCGCCGCGGAAACAGCGTCGGCTCCTGACAAGGGGAGGAGTTTCCGAGTGCCGACTAACACCTTCATACTAACGCGGTTAGTCCATATTAGTCATCTACCATCAAGCGGCAGGAGAAACTAACCGCTTTGGTCCACCGTCATGCAGATGCTTCCAAACGATCCTCTACGTCATATCCTTTTCCGGATTTCCGAGCATGAACGCCGAGTGCCGCTTTGACCTGACGCAACACCCAGAAGCGTACGATTCCTACCTAAATGTCGTCGAATGGTGCCTGAATGTGATCCTGGCGGTTGGAACGACATTCGAAGACCGGGGATGGCTTTTACAAGGTTCGTATTTGACAGCCTTCAATCCGAATACTAGATGAGCAAAGTGGTGGCTGACAGCACGACATCCAGGAATGATCTTTGTAAAATTCCTTAGTAAAGCCCTGGAAAGAGATTTTCTGCCGTACCAGGACATCGCGGTGAAAATCCTAACACTCGACTCGACGTTGTTGGCCAATGAGTACGTGCAAGAGGGACATCGGATTGATGCGTCACAGAAGCATTTGGGAGACTGGCTGTGCAATTTGCGCGAGGTGAGAATTCGGGTATGTAGTTTTAGGTTTTTCATCGCTGCTTATGATTCAATCACGTAGGTCGTCAACTCCTGGCTCCCACACCTCTCACCCGCCCTCGCCGCGATGTTCTCGAAACCGTCCGAATCGGCCCTTCTTAGCCGGGTCCGCTTCCTATGTTTGCAGCATCGGGCTTGTAGCTCTGAGTTGCGGGAGCTTACGGTGAGGGTGCTGAAGGCGTATACCGAGCTGCACGATGGTAGCGGGATAAGGGAGCGGGAAAATGAGGTGCTCAAGGAGTATGTTTGGGAAGTTCGTGGTGTACATGGCAGCCTATTGCAATTTGTGAGGCTTGATCGAGGAGGAAATGAAAATGAGGGCAGCGATTTGAAATTCGTAGCAGACAACAAGACGTCGGTAGAAGAGAGTTTATCGGAACCACAACAGACCCTCAGAGGCATCCTGTCCAACCTGGACCCGTTGTCCCTACGAAATCTCCTTCTGTACGACATACACCTATGCACGGAGCTCGCCAGCCTTCTGAATAGCGACCACGCCGTCGAGGAAGTGCTTCGAACGATTCTCAACATTCTTGCAGACACAGCGCGGAAGGGGGGCGATGTCATTGGCTGGGCGTGTCTCATGAGGGGCCCGATCTTGTTGGCGGCGTATGAGATGGCGATGGAAGCGGGCGGGACGATTGACTCTGAGCAGAACGGCACGCGGATGAGTGACGAGGAGATGAGGAGTTTGACACCGCAGAGTGTAGTTTCACAGCTCGGGATCATTGCAATCGCGCTGGCGGAGATGGACATCGGCTACGATGAGAAGATTATTTGTCTGGAATGGCTTGAGAATCTGTTCACTGCCATGACGAAGGCCGGTGGAAATCCGTGGGATATCGTGGGATATCCGTGGGATATCCGTGGGAACGATACTGTGCAGGAAAGCGTGCACGCATGCGCCATCGTCCTGCAACAGGCGACCTGCGCGGAACCCGACCCGCAGATTCGTGTCGAGATGGCCTCCGTTTGGACCGCATACAATCGGTGGCTGGCAATATCCTACACCTCCGTGCCCGAAAAAGCATTCGACCTGCTTCGACAAGTGGTCGCCCATATGACGAACGATCTTGTCCCCGCTGTCAGAACAGCGTATCTACATCTCATGATGTTCATGCACCCGCTCGCCACGCTCACCACCCTTCATGACTCCGCCGAACCCTCACTATCGATCACAGCCGACCTGATGTCCCTCCCTCCGTCCGGTACGTTCCGCGCCCGCCATTTTCAGGTCGCGTGCGCCTTTCTCGGCGTCGGTGAAATCGATGACGAGGGTACCGCCACTGCGACGGGAAAATCAGATGAGGTGTGGATGGCGAGGCTGTATCATGCGTGTCAGGCGGGGATGTTTGCGGGAGAGTACGGGGGCGGAAAATTGCGATATGGTGCGGTAATAGGGAACAGGAAGGAACCAAGATTGTCGACTTTGATGTTTTGGGTATCGTGGGAGGCGGCGAGGTATTGCGTTTTGAGCCGGTTGCGGACGCCGTTTGGAGGGCCGTTGCAGACGTTCTCGACGATCGAAAACAGCTTGAAGCAGGAGATTAATAACGTCGTTGGAATCGAACGTTCCGATGACCGGGACAAGAGTGACAGCAAGAATCGCCTGGCAGAGAGCATCACCACCCTTCGCCACCACCTCCACCTAGTCGACCACCTCGAGATCCAGATCCGCAACGCCGCCGAAGGATCCCTCCAATGCGCGCCCACATCCAAAGCCTCCATCGCCTTCTTCCACGCCAACAAACGCACATGTGAAGACTGGTTCGTGCGGATACGCAAACATATGGTTGTTGCTGCGAGGATCGTGGGCGAGAAGAATATGATTGTTAAACAAGCTTTGTTGTATGTTGCTGAGAGCACAGGTGCACGGGCGGGTGGTGGGAAGGATAACAACCCAACTCCGACTTTGATTCCGGATATCGAATCGGTGCTTTTCGGCTTGGAGGACAGCCTGATCGAGTTGGGCGAGGTGGATACGCTTACGGGACTTGGGACGTGGCTTGATAGGTCGGGGTTGGTGAAGCCGCCGGTGGGACGAGATACGGTCGTTTTGCTCAAGCGGTCGGAGAGACCGAAACCACCGTCGAATGAGTATGTCACCTTTTCGTGGGCGCACGTCACGCCGTTGTTGGCAGAGGAGCGGTACGAGGCCGCGTTGCCGATCCTTGTCGCTGAACTCAACAAGCTGATCGACACTGAGCCGGTGCCCAGCGACGCCGCGATTGGGAACTTGCAGAAACATGTTGCGAAGTGTTATGCCGAGTTGCAGGATTGGAAGGGGTTGGATGCGTATCGCGAGGCAGTGCAGTGGAAGATAGATGGCCAGGGACGTGGGTTGGATGAGTGGGATGATGGCCTAAGGGCATTGAGTACCTGGACCACTAAGGTGGAAGGAGGTTGGTCTACTGAAACCAAGGCATACGCTGGGCCGGATGTGGGCAAGATCGTCGCGGAGGGCTTCCCTTCGGCAGTCCTTCAGGCCTGCCGTGTTGACCTTTGCGAGCGATTTCGTGCATGTGATTGGGGCGATCCGGAGAGAGCGACCGTGGGGAATACGGCTCTGAGGGATTGGGATACCGATTTGCGTCAAGCTATTGGGTTCCAGACCGGGGAGAGTTTGTCGATGCGATCTGAGTATATTGCGCAGATGCAACTGCTCTGTTCGGCTATTCCCCTGCTTGACGTCAACAACGGATCTGGGCTTTATGCCACGTTTGCGGACCCGAATATCCTTGATCAGAAGATCTCGAGCGCGAATGTGCTCAAGGCGGTTCGAGTCCTCGTGAACGGGCTCGACAGCCGGCGACGTCTGACGCCGACCGAGCAAGTACGCCAACAAGCCCAGCAAAACGTGGACTTTCTGATCGCCAAACACGCTCGAAAGACAGGAAACTTCCACCTTGCATCGAGGCTGTTTGTGTTTGGACCGCATCTGACGCCGCAATCCGGCGCTGTTGATATCTCGCTGCTGAAGCGGACCCTGGAGTCTGCGAAGCTGCATCATGCGCGAGGGGACCGTGGCGCCGCTATTACACTTATCTGCGACGGCCTGTCGAGTGCTGGCCCGAATATCGCAGACGTGGACGGCCGGTGCGAGACACTGTTGTGCAAGTACCTAACCTGCCTGTCAGACTGGATGCTGGACACCAGCGGTGACGACGGGAGACTGCACGACGTTCTCGACTCTGTCAGACCGTTCGAGCCGCCTGGGATCGAGTGGGGCATTCCTGCACGTAATATTGCCATTTCGGAGAAATTGTTGCAAAAGGCGATTGGATTGGCGCCGGGGAATCGGAAGGCGTGGTTGAAGTATGCTGATCATTTGTATAAGTCTGGGAGCGCGGATGGGGAACTGGGGCAGGCGGCGTCGAGGGCTGCGAAGGCTCTGTTGAGTGAGGTGGAGGGGAAGGTGAAGGAGGATGGGAATCATTCAAGTCTTCGGATGAAAGAGTATATGAAGGTAGGTAACGTCCCTTTTCACATGTCCGCTAGAACTTTCCTCACATTACCCATCTGGGCATTTCAGAAACTAGTTCCCATACTCACGAGCGAATTAGACGAAGCCCGAGGCACCTCTAAGCCATTGTCCGAGGAATCCTTGGAACATCGGATCCGGTCTGGCTGCCCGGCGCTTTCTGATAGAGCAATTGTGGAAGTGCATAGCGCTTGCGTGGCTTACAAGGAAGCGCTGGTGCGGAAGTACACTTTGGCGGCGGTGTCGTATTTCAAAGTGCTTGATCTTGGTTCCTCAGCACAAGAGCAGAAGGTAAGGAAATGCCCAGGACGAAAGTCAAAGCGATTCCTCGGGCTTACTCCTCCAATCACAGCAACGGGCAAGCGACACGATAACCATCACCCTCAGGATCCTGCGGCTGTTCCTCAAGTACGAGGATGGTCGAACCGAGCTGGTGCCTCACTTTCAGGCGTCACCCATCACGGCGTGGAGCCCCATCGTCCCGCAGCTCTACGCGCGTATCGGCCACCCGAGCTCGTTGGTACGGCAGACTATCGTGGATCTGCTTTGCCGGCTTGGGAAAACGTCACCGCATCTGATTGTATACCAAGCGCTTTTGGGGAACGACGACGAGGAAGACCGGTCCAATAATGTTGTTGCTGCGCGTAATGAGGAGGAGAACTCTGCTCTGAGGATTCTGCATAAGCTCCAAGCCAGTGCGCCAGCATCCCTTGTCGGGCAGGTCAAGAAGATCATCCGTGAGCTCAAGCGCCTAGCAGTATTGTGGGAGGAAACGTGGCTACACAAGCTGTCCCATGTCCAAACCGATGCATTGCGAAGACTCGATCGTGTGCAAGAGGAAATCAAGCGCGTTCGTGGGAGCCTCAACCTGTCCGAGGCGGACAAGGACCGGCTCATTCGTGATTACCACAGGACCATCCTTTCGCCGCTGATTGGTGGACTGGAAACGCTGGTGGCGGCTACGACGCCGAGTGGGGAGAGTACACCGCACGAGCTATGGTTTAGCAACACTTACGGACATCGCATTCGCGCCGCACTGGAATCGTTGAGCGATCCGCCGGATTTGACTGATATGAGGAAGGCTTGGATACCGTTTCAGCAGGTTGGTGTGGTTTCAACAGTGTGTTGATTTTTCTTTCGCTTCCTTTTAAACCCTTTGGTTCCGTTATAGATTTGCATTGATTTACATCGGGAACTCCATCGAACCAGACAACTGAAGCTAAAAAATGTGAGCCCCGCTCTCATGCGCTTCCGAAGGTCCAACGTGGCCATGCCAGGGCATCAAGATGCGAATGTCGTCATCCACGCCTTTGACGGCGACATTCAAATCTACCCTACCAAGACGAAACCAAAGAAGATCACGCTGATTGGATCTGATGGTGTCCGCTATCCTTACCTCTTCAAGGGCCTTGAAGATTTGCATCTGGACGAGCGAGTGCAGCAGTTACTCGGTGTAGTCAACCAACTGCTCGCCAGCGACAAACCTTCTCGAAAGCGTCAATTCCGGGCGCGAACTTACGCCGTCATACCTTGCGGCAAGCGATCGGGGATGATTCAATGGGTTGAAGGCGTTACCGCGCTCTTCACGCTTTATAAGAGATGGCAGCAACGCGATTACACGGCAAGATTACTGCAGGCCAAGGATCCAGAGAGCCGAGACGCCGTCGCCCCTCCTCTCCGTCCTCACGATCAGTTCTATGCAAAGATTGGCCCGGCTTTGCAGAGGCATGGCATCTCGCATAAGGCGCCTAGAAAAGAATGGCCCAACGCAGTACTTCACGAGGTGTTCCAGAAACTGCGACAGGAGACTCCCAATAATCTTCTGTCGAGAGAACTCTTCTGCTCGTCCCCGTCTCCCTTGGCATGGTGGGAGAAGACAAAATCCTTCGGACGCTCGACGGCGGTCATGTCCATGGTCGGATACATTATCGGACTCGGCGATCGGCATCTGGACAATGTGCTCTTCGATCAGCTCACTGGAGAGATCATTCACATCGACTACAATGTGTGTTTCGAGAACGGTCGCAAGCTGCGTGTGCCAGAAACAGTCCCGTTTCGGTTGACGCAGAACATGCATGCTGGGTTGGGACTGACTGGCACCGATGGGGTTTTTCGCGCTGCGTCAGAGCATACTTGTCGGGTCATGCGGAACAACCGCGAGACTTTGGTCACGCTGTTGGAGGCCTTTGTGTACGATCCGCTTGTCGACTGGACTGCGAGTGCTCTGCAGGATTTGGATCATCGTCAGACTGAGCTGAATGTCAACTTGGGGATACTCTCGTCCAGAATAGAGGAGAAGAGAGATGCTATTGACAGTAGCCTGCGTACTCTTCTTGGGAAATGCCAGGAGCTTCAGAGCGAGATCGCAGCACATCGTCCGACGGAGTCTGGGAATGAGGACGATCTCGTTTCGGCCAACATGACCATGACCGAGGAAGAACGCAATCTCGCATTGCATGGGCAGTTGGCTAGACGATATGACGACTGCGAGATTTGGAAAACGGAGCATTCGGCTGCTGTTCTTTCCCTGAAGGTGAGATCATGTGGCGTCCACAATATCAATGCATGTCATTTGCTAATCGATATCCTATCACCTGTCCACCGCTACGCAGACCTCGATGCTACAAGCATGGCGTACGGAACTCGCAAACCGCGATGTTGCTTCCATCTCTCCTCCAGTGGCGCCCGCTGCATTTTCGCTGGGAGCTGATGAGAATCACATGCTTCAGTGTGTCGAGTTCGATCAAGAGCTCTTCCGCATCGCTCAGGAAAGACTACCAGCTTACAGCACCAGTCTTGAGCATTTGCAGCTTTATCAAGCGCTGGTCGCGCCCGTGGCGGAGACGATGCTAGACCAAGATCACTTTTCCATATGGAGCCGACTTCTACAACCATTACTTGATCCAACGTGCCCGCAGCACTACTTTGACTTGGCATTCTCGCATGATTGCGAACCGAAGCCCATTGAACACACGAGGAAGACAGCTCTCGAAGCGATCATCAAAGCAACATGCACTGCCAAGAACGCCGAACTTCGTCATTCCATGGAGGCCTTACAGGCATTCCCTACCGCTTGGCAGCCTCTCATAATGATTGATAGTGTGGAAAGTCTGTCCACGTCGTTAGGAAACGATGCGCATGACGCAAAACAGCTCGTGGACTGCTTGATATTGACAGAGGTGGCCGCCCTTGGAAGACTTCTCTTCTCATGGATCAAACAGAGCGATGACGCCACCGCGGAAGAAGCCGTTCATGCGCGAATCATCGCCCGCCTAGCAGAAACGATGAGGAACGTCTATGGCAGCTTCTCTTTCGAGCCGAATTATCTGCACGAAATGCATACGATGACGGGTTACTTGTCCGCCCTTGGGCTTAGGATTACTTTGGCACTCCAGGAAGAGAGCCTTCCTATCACGGGCGACTCTTTAGCTACGGAGTCGTTTCAGCATTACGCGGTCTTCTCCGACTCCATGCGAGCGATGAACTTGGACGTAACGGAAATGCTGGTGCCGGAGGTTATCATGGCGCTGACAAGAGAGAACAGGACCGTGATTGATGAGTTTGTGAACCGCCTTAGCGAACTGAGCCAAATGGTAGACGAGACGATGGATCAAGCTTCCTCTACCTTCCAGGCAGCGTCGAGTCACCTGGCACAAGGCTTTGAGGCCTTCCGCATCAAGTACGCATCCGATAAGTCGAGGGGTCCGTATGCCATACTCGCCGCTTTCGACAGACTCTTCAGGCCGGTGATGGACGCCATGAAAAATCTGGCGGCACAGAAAGAAATGTCAGGTTTCAACGTGGTCTTCAAGGTCTTGGCCGTCCAGCAGATTCTCTGCACTTTGGATCTCGTGCAAGGATGCATTGCATATTATCGTGGGTCTGAAATGGACGTAGACGACCCTTCGCACGAATGGGTTGCCAGTTTCGATTTCCGAGACATATTGCGAGAGAGTGAATGCTTCAACAACGTCAATGCACGCTTGAAGAAATATCTTAACCTCTGCATGCGGGAAATGTGCATGAAGCCAATGGCCAAGCTTTTTGGGAAAACGATAAAGCGCATCAGCCAAACCTCAGGGGTCAAGATTGGAGACTCGGCCAATTCAGCTGCGAGCGGGATCCCGTTCGTCGACACCGCTTTGAATTGTGTGGCCGCCATTCTTGACGCCGCCCCGGAGCATAAGGCTCGCTTGCCAAGTTTGTTGGACGCTTTCCATTATCACTGCTGGTTGTCTGCCCAAATTTCTTTGAGCACGGAGGTATGTTGAGTAAGCTGGACGAAATTATGATGTCCGATCGGTTTGGCTGATCCGCTTTGTTAGGCATCCTTGTACCTCAACAAGGCAGGAGCGAGATTCGAGCAACGAGAGCTTGCATTGTTTCGTTATCAGCTTCTGCATGAGACTGGATTGACATACCCGATGCGATCGTCTACAAACTCATTGCACACTAGTCCGAGGCCTCAGGTAAGTTCTCCCTTGTACGTAGTAGTCAGCAGATCGTCCTCTCATAACGAACTCTCTGTCCACTCTCAGGTTATCGAACGGATTCTGGAGGATGTGCCGAACCTTATTCAATTGCATAATGACTTAATAGCTTTGGAAGCTCACCACCAAGCTGTGGAGTCTGAATTGCGACCGCTCTTGGCGTGGGCACAAACAGAGCCTAGTCGGCAACAAGCCGCAGAGGCATTCATCGATCTCAGTCAGACAAGACATGGGCAGATCGCACGGAAATGCCAACGAGTCAAGACCTTGATAGACATGTGCAACACCATCGTTCATTTTGAAACCTTCCGAGTACCAAACCCAAGCACCCGAAGCATGGATGCGGAGATGCGGCGCTTCGTAAGAAGCTTGAACCATGCAAGGATGGGACACTCTCCTACCGTCGAAGAGCCATTTGCCTCTGACTTTATTCACAACATCTTCCGGGCAGCGTCGGATCTCCGAGCTGACTATGACCAAGCTGACGGCGAACTGCGAGATATCCATGGGCTGGTGGGAACCCTGATCAAGATGGCAAAGCATGTCACCACTGCTGGGGTTGCGCGAGAAGACTTTGAGGCGTATTTGGAGAAGTGGCGCGCAGTAGGTGCACACATCAACGAGATGGGCGCGGTCGCGAACAACGCGGACAAAAACCACGGTCGTTTGCCGTCGACAGCACCAGTTCTGGAATCGATCGTGAATGCGTTAGAGCAGTGTCACACGTCCGTCTTCGCCTTTGCTGCTCTGAAAGAGCTCGAGGAGGAAGATCAGCAGGATAACGGCGATCCCGATGCCCTCGAAGTAGGCGACATGAGCGCGATGCATGCCGTCGTTGATCCCCAGCACACCGAAGCGCAGGATATGGAAGCGATGGAGCAAGCCATGGGCCAGTTGCACATGGACCCGAATGAGGACGTGATGACGCAAGAGAAGCTGGATGAGGTCGAGACTTCGGTCTCGCCTGGTGCTCGGGATGAAGACCGTCAACCTCCTATGCGTCTGATCAACGAACCGGGTACCGACAATAGACGTGAACGTGCAGAGCACGGACCTCAGGACTACGTTCCAGACCCCGCGGACGAGCTTAGGGACGATGGGCCGCAGAAAGGAACGGGTGAAAAACGGAACGCGTATGCGATGAATGTCCTGCGTCGGATCAAAGCAAAACTTGCAGGCAGAGACAATCCTGGACAGACTACGATGTCTGTCCCTGATCAGGTCAAAATGGTGATCGAGGAAGCTGAGAGCGTCGACAACATCGCCCTTATGTATGAAGGGTGGATGGGCTGGATTTGAAGCAACGAGGAGGGCCGACCCTTCAAGTTAGCTCCATCATCGCTCAATTATCCCCATGTTGCCGTCGGACGAGACGTCTCAGCCCGATCGTCACCAAATGTCGGGGTTCACTGCGATTCAACCTCCAAGCGACCGGAAAGACCTCGGTATCTTCTGGAAACCATAACGCATAGATCCAGGACTTGGACGCGTCGTCCCGCACGGCAAGTGGCGCTGACCCACCGGAACGTTCGTCAAGCAACGTCCGGCCGCCCACACACGGACGCCAGCTTCTCTGAGCCTTCCCGCTCCGGCAGGCTCGGACGCAAATATCGCACATTGCTACTAAAACCGTCATCGCGATCTGCTCGCGACGTACATCCGATTTATGCCGACGCAAAGCAACCCGCGTCGCCTTGATCAACGGTTCAGGCGATCAGCTTCAGTTCGTACCGACTTTTCCTGACGCGACAAGCCCCGCGCTTAATATTCCTTTGCGGCCAGGTGCTGGCTTCATGATCCCGTCGTTACTTTTGCGCCTTTGTGGCATCCCGGCGTGCTTACTAGCACCGTAGGAAGTAAGCACCGTAGGAGGAGAATATCTGATTGGCCGAACATCAGATCGGTCATAAAACCCCTTCCCCTCATCATCTCAGTTGTGGGCATGTTACCTTCAACCATCTTTTACTTTACAAAAACCCATATCGACCAAATATGAGTGGCCAATGATCATAAAGCGAGAAACATGTAACAAAAATCGTCCATTTTTCATTTGCAAAAATTATGAAAGAGAACTCACAAACAACAAGCGGGGCGGGTATGTGAAGGGGAATGTGGATTCCCACAGATCGGGTTTGGGAGTTCAGCAGCCATGGGGGAGGTTCTCTATAATGGAAAAAAAAGGTATCGGAAAATCCCCAAATCCCCGCTCCTCTTTTCAAAACATATAATATCTCCTTTCCGAGTATATAACGGCGTGTGTGTGTTTCTTTCCCCCTCCGAGAGACTCAGACCCGCCAGCGTCACTAGAATGATTTATTTATAGGACGGTACAGCCTCCACCCTTGGGTTTGCGCGTGAAGGGGTTTTCTTCGGGTTTGAGGTTTGCGGTGAGGGGCTCCGGGGTTGCTGTGATGAATGACATCAGACTGGACGGAAGAGAGATAGGGGTGTATGAGTAGGTTGTGGGAATTGGTCATTGAGATGGATTGAGATGTGGGGACGTACGCTTTGGAGGCTTCCGAGACCTTGACGCGTGGCAACTCTTCGTCCAGCCGGAGGCGGTCGTTGAGCGCTGGCGTAAAATATGAGGGAGCATTTGATTAGGACAAGACATCAGGCAGGCGATGAAGTGGGATGTGAGAGCGTAGCTGGCGAATCCGTAGCTGCAGGCAGGCGGCCATGAAATCCCGGATGACCTTCCCCAGCGGCCCAGCGGCGAAACCGAGTCCCAACGCGGATCCCTCGCTGCTACGCCCCCTTCTCTTAAAGCATCGACCGTCCTTCGCCCCTCGCTACAATCCCACGCGCAAGTGGCGGATAACGCACACACACCCCATACAAACAAGTAAAACATCAAACAAACTCACCTAACAGTTTCTGTAACTTCAATTCAGACATGACTTCTCAAAACGTCTTTGCACGCTGTGGTTCGTTGATACTAGGCAAAAAAAAAAAATTCCCCGTTCCACTCTAGTGACTCTGTTCCCAAAAAAAGTTGTCGTACGCTTCCCGTTCCGGCGGTTGCGCTTAAGTGAGTGGTTCGAAGACGCGAGGGATTTCACGTGTGTAGATTGCCCGCGGGATGTGCTGTGATTGGCTACGGGCCGAGGCTTTACGGAAGGGGTATCGGGTGCGTGAGGCAGGCGTGATGCTGCGGGTGCAGTGGTAGTGGTGCTGTGTGTTTGCGCCGAGACTCCGCCCGAAAGACGAGAGGAATGTTTGCCGTGCTAAAGACAGTAACGCGTCAACGCGGAGACTCGCTGAGCGCAACAGATGCCAGGATTTTAAATCCGCTGACGGAAGGCGGAGTGGGCGGGGGTGGCGGCTAGGCGGAGTAGGCCGGGGGGGTTGCAACAGAAGTCTTTACCGATAGTTGTTTAATTCTATGTGGGCAGACTCGGTCTTTGTCTAAACCGTTTGTGACCAGAAGATGGGTGGACGGGAACTCGGGCGGGCCTTTCGGTTATTTCTCCCACGATATCTACTACGTATGCTATGCCAGCGAGCTGGTCTATGCTTCAGTGGCGATGGAGTGTGTGGGTTGTGGTGTAGGAGCGACGGTAAGACGACGACGACGGGGCCCGGGCAGGTTCAGAAAGAGCAGCGAAACAAGCTTTTCTGAGAGTGGCGCCCTCGCTGGAATGATTAGCGCACGCCGCGTCGAAACACTCGCTTCACATTAGGCCGCCCTAAACAAACCAGCCGCAAAGGCGTCGAAAGGCAAACGGCGTGACGTAAGCAGCATTTCCACACTCCGGCGGACTGACTGTACGTAGGGAGGGATTTCAACCACGACCGATCTGACCTCTCGGTGAAGCGATTCAGTTGCGGTTTCTCATTGGGCAGTATCGGGAATGAGTTTCAACAGTGATGAAATATCTTCGTCGTGACATGAGTCCAGATTGATCCCAGCAGTCAACTCCGTCGACAGAGTGTAAATGGTCGGCTGCTGGAAACACAAGGACGCGTTTGGTATGCCAGGATTTGATGCAGCTTTTGATGGACGGAGACGACTGCTGCTGAAAAACAACTGATTTCTCATATCCCAGCCAGTCTATATACATGCTGCACTTCCAAGTGATGGGCATGCCGTCCCTACTACATACACCCCCGTCGAAAGCAAACATTGAATGGAGAAACAAAAAGTGGGGGCCACAGTCGCGATAACATCAATATCCCTACAGATCGATACAAGCGAGTCAGTTTGCAAAGCTCATGACCAAAGGCTCATGCATATCATAAAGAGAAACACTCACGCAGCAGGAATTAGTCTTTTTCGCCGTCTTGTAAAACTGTTTCGATGCCATGGATAGATCTTCGGATTTTTGTACCAGGTCGTCTAGCTTTTCTCCTCGTTGCAGTAATGATTCCATTGTTTTGTGCTGAAAGGATTCGAAGAGAGAGGAATAATCAGAAGTCCATCAACGACATGAAAGGTGCTCGGAATCGACAAGCGGGAGTTGCTCGTGCCATAGGCCTCGATGTCGCTTGCCATAAAAACACCCATCGCTCCCAATCGATCTCAGACCTTCCCTAGCAGCCACAGCATCTCCGCTCCATCCTCCCATACCTCCCTACGCCACCCTAGCTAACCCCCAACCCCCCATCCCCTCCTTCAAACTCACCAAAACAATCTTAGTCTCATCCAACTCCTTCTGCACCCTAATAAACGGATCCGAGCTCTCCGGGTCCTTCGCCTTCACAAGATGATCCTTCAGCTCCAAATACCGCCCCGCCGTCGTCGTCGGGTTCATGCCCGCCCACGCGTTCTTATCGGGAAACTTGGACGCAAACTCGTCCACGAGCCGGTTGAGAAGGGAGAACGCCGTGCGCGTCGGGTACGTGCTGTCGGTCACCATGATCCCGGAGAGCCCGTCGGAGCGGACGTAGACGTGGCCGAGAAAGTCTGTTGGGACAGAGACGTGGTGTGAGCATGTGCTTTTCCATTCTGCCTCAAGGGCGGTCACTGTTGCACTTACTGTTCTCCTCCACCTTGGCCCTCTGACCCGGCGCGGTCCGTTCAACGACCGTCTTTGTGAAGAAGTTGACAAATTCCGCTATGCTGTGTTCACAATGATAAGGAGGTTAGACGGTCTTCCCCTTCTCATATGGCAATAAAGGAATAGGTGGGACATACCTGCCCCGCTGAAAGAATGAGAAAGTCGAGAGGTCCTGTTCCATAGCGAGGATGCGGACATTGTTGCCGTCTTTGACGGCGACGGCCAGACAAAAGACTTGGACCATTGTTGGGCTGCGAGGGTCGGAGTCAAATAGGGTGGTGGGGGTTGATGACGGTGCGGTTCTGAGGTCCTGGGTACTTTGTGACTGTGTGTGGTTGTGTGTATGCGGACGGAATGCGAGGGATGTTCCGGCTGGAGGTGGCCGCTGGGAGTCTGGGACAAGAAGCGGCAGCAAGTGATGACACGTTGCGGCTGCTGAACCCTCGCGTCACGTCGCCCCCCAGAGACAACCGAGAACAGAGAACCAGGACCCATCCCAAGAACAAGCTCCATGAAGCTAAGGCAAATGAAATGCAATTGTCCGCTATGGGCCCCTGAAGTCAATGTATATACAAAAGAAAAAAAAAGGAAGACGATCGTCTCATCCGCATCAAAGAATACGAAATCAATTCTCCGCTAGATTATGATGTTTGTAAGGATGCCAGAACAAACCGCCTACTCCGCCCCAGCATCCCAAAGCACCTCCCCCACCTCCCTCTCCTCCCTCGCCTCCTCCTGCCCCCTCTCCCGCTCCTCCCCAGCCCCACCCTCGCTCGGTCGCGCACGCTCAAACCCCACAGCATTAAGCACGGCGTGTATCCGGTCCCTGTAGTCGATATGGTAGTGGATGATACGTGACAGGTCGACGTTTTCGAGGGGGAGGGTGCGGTGGAGGGGGGGCCAGGGGAGGGATGAGTGGGTCGGTTCAAAAGCGGTGGATGGTTCTTTTGCGGTTGGTATGCTTGGTGAGAGGAGGATGTCGGAGAAAGTTGCAGAGTCGGGACGGGTGATATCCTGGGGCGGTTTCAATTCCTGGCCCACGAATGAGGAGACGAAGGGATCCGATGTGCTGGTGCTTGATACTTCCGCCTGCTGCCTTCCCGGCTCCGCCTCATCATCGTCCTCTTCCAAAAAATCCCGATCATCCGGGGACAAATCCGTCGGCAACACCGTCCGTAACTCAATCAACACCGGTCCAAGCCCCGCAACATCCGTCACATCCACCCCCGCCTGAACACCGGTATCCTCATTCGCATCCTCCGGCTGCGCCATCAACGCGCGCAACTCCTTATCTTTCATGGAATACCCCACCACGAACCGGCCCGCGACAACCGTGCGTGCCAGACACCATTTATACGCGTTGGTCGAGGAGGCGTCGATAGGTGCGCCGAGGAGGAAGACCGAATCGACTATCCCGACCGCGCGGCGGTGGCCGAGTTCAACCAGGCATTCGAAAATCGTCAGTGCGCCGATGGACGTGCCTATAAGTGTCACAGGTCGCGAGCCGTGGGTTTTGGAAGCGAGAATGTAGGCGAGGTGCCGCCCGGCTTTGGGGGCGGTTTCGAGGGCGAGGAGCCAGGCGGTGTGTAGGCTGTATGAGAGGGATTGGGCAGAGTCGTGATGCGGTCGCCAGGGTTTCAGGTCGGTGTGTTCGATGAAATCCGGGTCAGGCTCGGTGGGTTGGTGGATATACTCCGCCTGCGTCTCCTCCGCCGGCTGACTACGTCGTCGTGCATGCGTATCCCGATGCGACTCCAGCATCCGTCCCAGATCCACCGGGATCTCCGGCTCGCATATCACCGCCGTGACTTCCGAAAAGGGCGCAAAGACCGGGACAATCGACCACGGGTCATACAGATCTGATATATCCGCGCCCCACCCGGACACCGCAACAATGACATGCAACGCCGGGCTGTTCTTCGGTTGCGTGATGACGGGGTGGAACCTGAACTCTTTGATCCCGCTGTCTTGTGCAAGAGTGTAGGCGGTCAGGCCGCCGCCTACGACCCCGAACAAGGCCCCGACTCCTGTTGTTGTGACGCCGATGGTCAGGCCCATGCTTGCAAAGAGGGTTGCGAGGGAAGGCGCAATGTACGGCGCTGCTAAGCCGCCTGTAGCGCCTATCATCAACCCGGACGCGAGGGTTACTAACCCCATTTTCAGCCATCGGGAGGTTGGGGAGTCGTTTGATGTTGTGGATGTCACTGGCGAGTCCTCTTTCGGCGATATCTGTGAGTTCGGCGAGGTGGCGGCTTTCCACAGATCATGCGCGGCATCTCGCTCCACTTCATGGGATAGTAGTCCCATGGCTTTATCGCCCATCGGCGCTATGGGTGCTGTTGGTGATGTTGGGGATGAATCTGCCGATGCGAGGTTGGATTCGGCTTTTTCGACCGCGCCAAAGATGATGTAGGATAGGCGGCGCATGACTGACCGCAGCCGTGCATCGTACGAGAGTCCCGTAGCCGGTTCACCCGGTGTTGCCGCTGACCCGTCCATGCCTTGCTGCAATGCCGAGAAGATCAGATTGGTCAAGAGGGTATACGGTATGGTGTTTTGCGGCGCTGTAGGTGATGGTGGAGCGTCAGACGCTGCGGATTTCACTACAACAAATAGGGTCAGCCATCGCATCGTGGCGACCATCTTCCCATAACGGAGTTTCCCATACCATGCGCCTCAATAACAATAACCAAATCCACAATCCCAACCCCCTTCTCCGGAAACTGCCTCACCGCAACCGCATCCCTCTCCTCCAGCCCATTCCCCGTCACCAATGCCCTCAGCAGTCTATCCGACCACTGATCAAAGTCCGCCACAACCCGATCCAGCCGCCGCTTTCGCCGCTTTATTCGATGCAACTCATCAGTGATACTGATCTCGGGCGTCGCATCTTCCGATAACGCGTCAGCGCCCTCCCCACTGTTCCTCCGGCTCGCGTACCGGCTGGGCGCTGTCGTTAGCGTGGCGGCTGTTGCGGCGGCTTGCAGTATGCTGCGGTCTTCGAGGAGGAGGAGCCAGACTATGCCAATGTACGCTAAGGTTAGATGCTTGGGGAACTTTGGGGCGGGCGGTTTCACTTGCAGGGGCGGAGGTGTTGGCGGCTGTTCCGTTGTTGGTGTGGTAGTCGGGGAGCCATTGTTGCTGGCGTCGCTGAGTTTCCGAGGCTGGCGTGGTGGGAGTTTGAGGAAGCTTCTGGTTGCTGAGAATTTCGTCGCGGGGTCAGTGGCAGAAGCGCCCATCCTGGCAGTACACCACACGGGGTCTCTAACTCTTATAACAAAATGCAAGTTCGGGCCACTGCGGCGCTCCGAAATAGCATCGGAGGATAGCGGGGATGTATAGGTGCTTACACCTGCTGCTGTGGACGTGGGAACTTGCACACCGCCAAGCCCTCCCAGGAAACGGCGCAACGTGAATGTCGAAGGTGAAGGTGCCGCTGGGGAAAACGTCAAATCGCGTGACACTCCCATCGACCTTACGGCAGCCCCGCTCGCGAACCCGGCGCGACGTGGAAGCCTTCGAGGTTGGGTAGCGCAGGTCTTCGCCAGGTTTTGCAGCAAGCACAGCTCAACGGTCAACCCGTAAGACTGGAAGATCCGGCATGTCTCTCCACCGCACTTAACGTTCATACCAATCGATTTACACATCCAAGAAACAAGGGACGATACAAAACGGCTAACACGACCATTTCCATCTGCGAAAGGATGAATTCTCAGAAAGCAATACTGCAGAAAGGCTGCAGCTTGGAACGGGTTCAGCGTAGGGTCCGCCAGAATCTCGCGGGCAGCTTGGAAGTACCTAGTCCAACAGCATAAGGAGCGTTAGCAATCGATATATGTAAGTGAAATGCAGATGAGCGGTACGTTATGAGCGGTACGCAGATGAGCGGTATGTAAGTGAAATGCAGATGAGCGGTCTCCGGCTCTATCTCTTCCCATGGGCAATATCGAACTTCAATACCTTTTCTCTCATGGGTGGTGTAGCACGCAACTCGGCGGTATGCTCCCCGTGGGATGAGTATAGCGTATTGAGTGCCGTTCTCGTCCACTTCGAGCTCGATGTTATCATTCTCCAAACGCTTGCCATGAATGGCTTTGACCAGGTCGTGGTTGTAGAAGCTCGCATCGTTCATGACTTTTGTCATGTTGGAGAAGCAGGCTTCCGTACTCCGCAGGATTTGGATAAGTTTTTTGGGCTTTTTGATTCGACCGGTACGCGCCCCGGCGGATGAGCAATGGCCATGAATTGCCATCGATCGAGAAAATGCCTTCGAGGACGTTCGTTTGAATCACGGCGTATCGGCTAAATTGGAAAATGGCGGCATCCACTGTCTTCTCTATCTGTAACGCTTTCCATGTGGCCTTAGTGTCTTCCAATGTTGGGGCGGGGTCGATGAATCCTCCGAATGGCGACGGCCGCTTATACTTGAAGATCTGCAGATGTGTTGATTCCTCCTCGGGCTGTTCAGTACCCTCACCCATGAGTTCGTTTATTCTTCGTATGGCATCATCAAGGACCCCGTCAGCCCCTTCACCGATGGCATGTTGCGACCGCTTTCGTCCTTCTCGTTCCCGCACACGATCTTCCGCTTCTGCACGCGCCGTTCAACGCCACAGCTCTCTCTTTCAATATCTCCGCCTCCTTCTTCTCCGCCTCGGCAGTTTTCTGGCGAGCCACCGCCAGCTGCTGCTTGATCTCCTCTAAAGCCAATACCGAGACGTAACTCAAACAGGCATTCTGAGCTGCCCGATTTGTAACCAAGCTATGTAATTTGATTCGATTTGGTGGGGTCTAGGCGAACGAGGGTTTCAGGCACATTATTTTATTGGACCGGCGAGAGGTAAGGCAGAGTATGTTGCACTCGTAAGCCCTTGGTCGAGTGATATTTCGCTAGATTGCGGAGCTCTAAACCCGGCGAGACAGTGCGGGTTTGTGCCACCTACGGGCGTGCAGGTCGTTCGCTTGCTTACAGCTCCAGACCGAGTTGCCGCGATCAGGTCTCGCAGCGGGGACGGATCCGTCTCGCCGGTGCAATTGCCTACGCCTGAAGGCACTTCCACCGGAATCCCTGCGATCACATCCATCGCCCCCTCCACCTCCGCCCTCAGCACCTCCGCCAGCACCCCAATATCCCCCCTTTCATCCTTCCCCATCAACGCCTCAAAATACTTGTCCTTACGCTCCGGCGATACAGCAACAGGAGGCAACCCAGTGCGAAGCAAGGGTATGGATGATAGGATCCGGCTGACGCGCCCGTTGCCGTCTGCGAAGGGGTGGATGCGGAGGAAGGTGTGGTGGAGAAAAGCGGCGGAATGGAATGGGGAGAAGCGTGGGTGAGAGAGGACAGTGAGGGCGGATGTAAAAAACCATTCGATTTCGCTCTCGATCTGATCCCATGGGCAGAACCGGACTTCGACACCTGTGCCTTCATGTGTGGTGTAGCACGGCACTCGGCGGTACACACCCCGCGGAATGAGGACCGCGTATCGTGCGCCATCTTCGTCCTCCTCCACCTCGATATTACCATCCTTCAGAAGTTTTCCATGGATGGTTTTGACCAAATCCTGCAAAACCGTCCATGAAAAACTACTGGAGTCGTTCATAACTCCCTTCAGGTCCGAGAAGCAAGCCTCGGTATTCCGCAGGATTTGAACGATTGTTTTGGGGTTTTGAATCCGGCTGGTTGGCGGGATGTTTGTAATTGAGGTGTGGAGGAACCCGTGGCGGATTAGGGAAAGCTGGGAGGTTGCGTCGACGGAGAATATGCCTTCCAGGACGTTTGTGGAGATTGGTTGTGGGCCTTCCACCGGGCCTTCGTGTCATCCGCAGTAGCGATGGAGTTGTTGACGTCGCTGAGTAGCGGCGGGCGCATATATCTCATAATCTCGAGGTCTGAGGGTTCGTTCTCTTCCTCCTCAGCACCCCCATCGGCAAGTTCGCTAATTCTTCGAACCGTTTCATCCAAAACCGAATCCGTCCCCTCGCCAATAGCCCGTTGACAGCGCTTCAAAAGCTGAAATGCCCCATACAGATCATTCATCAGAAAGTGAGTCTCTGCAAGAAGTGCATTAGCGAGCGGCCGATCCGGGTGGCTTGACACCAACGGTTCGATGCTCGGTATCTGTTCGCGGCCACGAGGGATTGTGCGGCAACGCCGGAGACTGATTGGGCGATAGACAGGGTGGTGAAGGTGGCGAGCTGCTCTGTCCATTTAAGCGTTTCGGAGGGGGAGAGAGATGGAGTGGGGAGGCTGACCTGCGACGGAAGAAGAATGCGTGTCAGTTGGGCTTAAGTGGTGCGACGGAGTTTTTCTCGTGGATAGCCTTACCAGCAAGCTGTCAGCGGAGAAGAAGGTCGGCTTCAAAGACCAGTTGGATGACATTGCGGGGGTGCGAACGGAATATGAATGCGTACTGCTACTATGGCCGGACCGGAGTATGGTGCAGGCCGATGGAGTTGCTGTTGGTTGCCTTCCTCGTCTTACCCATTGGAGCAGAAGAAGCGGATCCGGAGATTGACGGGTGACATAAGCGTTCCGGGCCCTGTCACTTCGAGCTGCCATTCTTAGTACCCACCATGCACACCGGAGCGGTGAATGCGTCTAAATCCACTTGAAACACACCCAACAGCTCTCGATCGCCTTCAAACTCCTCTCTCATATCCAGAGCAATTACACATCCAAGAAACCAAACGCACCCCATAACCCAAATAGGCCCCAGCGCAAGGAAAAGACTACAAAGCAGGGACCTATCCAAGCCCACCAAGGACAGCCTGCGGGAAGTGAACGAGAGGACAAACAATGCAAATCTCTGGAGTTCTGTCCCAGTACATTCTGCTAGTATTCACCACAAACAGCAGCCGGGAGATGTCATTTACTCAGAAGAGGACCGCACAGAGGGAGATGGAATCGGGCGGGCGGTGTTCAATAGGGTTGGTCAAACATCAGGGCGGTAAACCAATCTGATGACCTGTGCGTCGGTGATGGAGAATCAGACATCCGTGAGGACATGATGAGGAAGGACATGATATCTCCTTACCCGGATTTGAGTTCTTATGCAAAGCCACCGCAAAATGCCAATCAGCTCTCATCGCCTCCGAGGAATTCAACCGTGCAGCGTCCCTCCTCCTGCTGCACAGGCGAGTGCGAAGATCCGCGTCGGAGGGCTGTGTCGAATCTACGCCCGCGTTCGGTGTTGGAGATGGTTTGAGGAGTGATGGCTCTTGCGACGGTCTTTCAAACAACCAAATCATACCCTGTGAACGTAATACTGTATAGCCGGACAAGCGGACCTACCTGCTCCAACACCCTGTCTCCAACACGGCGCCCACGCCTCCGTCCCCTTCCCCTTCACCTTGAACCCCCTCAACCGTCCGCGCTATTACTATATCAGCCACTCTGTCTCTAGATATGTACCGGCGCCCCATATCTTCCTCTTGTTGTCCCCACGCGAAGATACGGTCGATGGCGGGTTAGGGGAGGGTTAGGTGTATGCGACTGGCGACTGGTGGCGGAGTTTGTGTGGATGGAGTGGATGCATGAATGGAGTCTGCAGGTGATGGGGAGGCGGGAGATGTGGACATTGATGATGGGATGAGGAACGGGGATGCAGAGTTGGACGTCGACAGTCGCTGTGTGGGAGAAGCATGTAAGATGGGTGAGATGGTGGACGATGATGAGGATGAGGAATGGCATCTGGTACTTCAGATGCGGTGGGAGCAGTCCGTCCCAATGATTCAAAAGCACATGAGCGAAATGTGACGGCCTGCGATGGAACTCAATTGTGCAGGCCAATTGCTGTTGGTTCATGGGTGACCAAACTTACGAAGAACACGGCTTGATTTGGCACCGAGACTAGCATGGACGAATGTTAATGGCCCACGTTTTCGGCTCACAGCGAGAGCCCAGCCGAGAGCAGAGCCGTATAGCGCCATTGGACATAGACGCCTTGAGACAATACGAATCCCAACTATCCCAAAACGCAATCCTCTAGGACAAACTGCCCGGACAGCCATCCCGGGTTTCCTTTTGTGAAAGTATCCCTCGTCGTCAGTGCTCTGCCCTGTTCTCTGCCAATACAACGGCACATTCCAACAACAAGTCAAGCCCACTCTCAGAAAATCAAAACGGCTTTTGTAATTCCATGCAGTACATTGAGGTACACCGACTCCGCATTTTCTAACTATTCTTCCTGAGATGGATCGTGCCGACAGGTTGGTAATGCCATCGACGCTTCGAGCATCCGACCTACAGTTCGAAAAGGGTCGATAATGAAGAGCTAGGGCGTTTGGGTGGTGTGTGGGCGACAACGAGACCGGAGGACTCCCTAAATCTACTTGGAGTTGGGGGAGGGGTTCATCTGTGGAAACAGAAACCGTTAGTGTCTGTCCTATACGGCGTCTCGAATGCCAGAATATCCTCTGATTCTGAAATCCCACACGAGGAATTCGGAAGCAGAAGTCACAAGCTTACCTTGCGCTTGCCGAAGGAGGCAACGGCGTTCACGAAGCGACGGTTGTACTGAATACGCTTCTTTGCGCGACCTGGAAGAGAAGTCTATGAGATCAGACGGTTCACCACCAAACACGCATAGATTCCCCAGCGGGAGTGAAAAAAAAACGTACCGGTCTTCTTCTTCTTCTTTTCTTGCTTCTCAACCTTGGGGCATTGACCCTTGACCTTACCGGCACGAGCGAGGGATCCGTGAACCTTACCCTATACGCGCAGAGGTAATGGGAATTTCGATCAGCATGCGAGTCTCCCGAAATGGCTCAACATTGAACCCTAGTCCCTTTCTTTCCTCCCAAGTCTACGCTAGCCTCTGACGACGACAGGACAGGCAGCGGTTCCCTCTGCTAGTGTGGTTGAGTGAAGCTGTGTGGGTGTACGTACCATGGTGACTGTCCTATGTCGTTGGCGAAAGGGAAGGAAAGAAGAACAAGTTCTGTTGCGCCGTCTCTCTGTTGGGTCGTCGTCGCTCGCCGTGCGCTGCCCCAGAGCAGCGAAGGGGCTTGGCAGAAAAGATAGGGCTGCTCACGTGACTGTCTTAGTCAGCAATGCGTCAGCGGCCAATTTGTTGAGCGGGGTAATGGTTCTGATGTCACTATGATTGAACATGACACTATTGACAGGATCACATCCCGCCTGGGCATCTGCATGTTGCGGCGATCAAACAACACCCGCCAGGGAAAGGACGCTGGACGGACATTACACGGCAATGAGACATTTGGCAGCGTAAGGCGGTGTGGGGTACATGCGGCGTGTATCAGGGTTGCTGTGGGGATCTATAGGTTTGGCGCAGTCGGAAAGAATTGTTGCGACGCTGCCTGGGGTCGCAGGGAGGGTCCTCATGCGGGGCTTCAATTGCGTCCGTCCGTCGCATGCACACGAATCGCCCTTTTTGAAGGTGCCTGTCCAGTTGTGAGAATGGGAGACAATCCCTCTTGCATACGTGCGTAGTGTGCGAGCGACAGCGGCTTCCCACATCAGACATTCTTCTCGTTGGCCATGCTGGATGATTACGTCGTAAGACCCCGCCCGTCCGCAGAATGATGCAAGCCGCATTTGCCCAGGATCTCTCCCACCCTATAAGAGGACAGCACCCTCGACTCCCTGCCCACCATTACTCAGTAACACAACACACTGACAAACATCAAACAAAACATACCCGCGAACATGCCTGCCAAAATCAACTTCACCGAACAGGAGGAGCGCAACATTGCGCTCGCAAAGGAGTACATGCGCATCGCGTACTCCCCTGAGGAAAGCAAGGGAGCCGAGAGCGTGCGTCACCTGGTCGCCGAGAACTCCGAAATGGTCGCACCAAGCACTTTCCCGGAGTGCAAGACGCTGCTGGACTACGCTGACTCGCACAGGAGTAAGTACTCTCAATCACACATGCACACCTCATAAAAACACATGCTAACCACTGGATTTTCAACAATGAACAGCCGTAATGGATGCCGTAAACGACCTCTCCATCACCTCCTATGACTACGTTTTTGCAAAAGACAACATGGTCCTCCTCCGCTACTCCGCCAGCGGCACACACAAGGGCAAGCCGCATAAGGACATCCAACCAACCGGCCGCAAGGCCTCATGGCACGCCGCGGCCATTTTTGAGGTCGAGGATGGGAAGCTGAAGAAGTTCGTTAAGGAGTGGGATAAGCTGTTGATGTGGACACAGTTTGGCTGGAACAGGGGCGCTGATCTCGTCTAAGGATTGGGGGTGCCGAGCACATATTTTGGAGACCGCTTTTTTCATATTTTATATAATATATCTTGGAGCTTCATGTGCATTTCTCGAAAACCTGTCCTGTCCAATATCTGGTGCGCGGTGGCAAATGTTGAGAGAAAGAGGAAGTTTCACAGCGAGGGCTCCCTTTTACATGTGCGTGTAGAATCGCTTATCCTTAGCTTCAGTAAGCTTAACTTTCCCACGTCGCATATTGAGGGCATACAATGCGAGACGTGAAGTACCCCCGATTTTATAACGGTCTATAGATAGGAACGTTCCTCACAACCACATTCTCGAACAGTGCCATTCTGAGTGGGGTGTTGAGTGCAAGCCACAAACGTGCAAACGAACGTGGCCTTCCAAACAGTCTCGCTAATAGGGATCAGGGATTTGAGTTATTCGAGGCTCCCCGTATAATACCTCGCTGCCCAAATTCTCGCCCCCGCTTCAGATTCACTTCTGCTCATACAGAGACATCGCGCTATCATCACATCGTCGCTTTCATCTATCACATCACATCAACAACATCAACAATGTCCGTCGCCGACCGCCTCCAATTCTTCGCCTCCCTCAACGGCGCCAGCCAGCAAAACCTCTCGCAGAACGCCACTACAGCCCCTCCGACTACTGCCGCGGAAGGCTCTCAACCGGTCCTCAACACCAACAACCTCCAGCCCCGCGCCCTCCACTCCGGCAGCTCCAGCCCGACGCGTCAAGACTTGGGCACGGCTAGAAGCAACCCACAGCTCTCCAAAGCCGGATCGCGGTCGCTGGGCAACTTGGCCGGCGGGGGCAGTTACAGCCTGCTGAACAGCACCACCAGCCGCACCGGCTCGCACAACTATCTCGCTGGTGGGGCACGCGTCAACTCCCACAGTCAGAGCTCGTTGCTCCAACCAGACCACCAGCAGGACGGCGACGCTTTAGCGAGCGGCAAGTTCCTCTCGGTCAAGGAACGTATCGCACGATACGGAAGCAACAACAAGGAACTCGACGCTACCACGGAAATCAAACCCCGTCATGCAGCCGCGGCCATCACAGTAACCCCCCCGTCCATCCTCGACAACCCCCACGATGACGACGCCGACCGTCGCGACAGCGTCAGCGGACCCGCCGAGTCGTCGTACCATCGTCGTCATAGCCATAACACGCGTGCGACGCCGTATGGGGTGCAGCCGGCGTCCGGGAGGTCGTCGAGGCATGCTAGTCACCAGGATTTGCACGGGAAGCTAGCGCAGGGGCAGGGGGAGAGGATGGAGGTGGATGAGGTGGGATCGGTGCGGAGGGCGTCGGCGATGGATGTTGATGTGCAGGAGCAGCAGCCGCTGTTGCGGCAGGAGGAAGGGAAGGAGGATGGGCACCAGCAGCATCAGGAGGAGGAGATGCAGGTCGATGAACCCGCCGTTCAGATTCCTCAGGACGAGGAAGAGGCCAAGCCTTTGTTGCAAGACCCCCAAGCCCCGCCGCAGATCGAGTCGCAGGCCCAGCCCCACGCCGAGGAAGTCAAGCAGGCCCACCAGCCCATCGCTCAACCCATCCCTCAGCAGCGTGAGCCCGCCGTCGCCCAAGCGGCCACTCCAGCCATCGTTGCCACGGAAGCAATCAAACACACCGCCGCTCCTCCGCCTACCTCAGCGGCCGCCCGCCCCACCAGCGGCACGGCCTCTCCCACTCCCAAATTCGCCTCCGCAACCCCCAAATGCACCACCTGCGCTAAACCCGTCTACCTAATGGAACAACTCGTAGTCGACAACAACACATTCCACAAAACCTGCCTAAAATGCAACCACTGCAAAGCCACCCTCAAGATGGGCAACCTCGCCTCCATGAACGGCGAGTACTACTGCAAGCCGCATTTCAAGCAGCTGTTCAAGCTGAAGGGGAACTATGATGAGGGGTTCGGGAAGGAGTTGCATAAGAAGCAGTGGTTGGCGGGGGGGGATAAGGCTGGCGGGGCCAAGGAGGGGGAGAAGCAGGAGGGGGGGCAGCAGTGATTGGGGGATTTGAAGGTATATCACCTGACGAGACCGGAGTACGGATTACCACCGTGGTCCTTGGAGTCGCTCTTTGAGTTGTCCGCCTGCTTTGAGATGGATGGGTGGGATTTGGGTGGGATTGGGTTTTGCGCGGACGGGCGCATCGTCTTTTCTCGCAGAGCAGATGATTGTGCCTTGGATATACCCTGAGACCTGTTCTTGTTTTTTGGGGGGTTGTTGTGCTGTCTCTTTCCAATACCAATGAATGACTTTTTTAATGATTGTGGTGCACAGCAGGACTTCAGCGGATTCATGTTTCTTCTAGTTTGATTCTGTCACCCTGTAATAGGAGATCCTTCCTTGGTGTCTCTCTTACTCCTTCTGCGGCTGGACGAAGCTCTGCCAGCTGCTCTTGAACTTCAGCCAATCCCTCGTCTTCTTCCTGTCGAGTTCTTCAGCGTCATTTTGAGCATTCCCTCTTCCTCTTTCCACTCGGAGTCTTTCTGCCGATTTTCGAGCATTTCTCTTCTTCCCCTCGGAGTATTCCGGCGATTTGCGTGCTATCCTCTCTCCCGTTCTTCTACTCGCAGTCCTTGAGCCAGCTCTGCGGCCTGGTCCTCTCGTATGCAGCGTATGTCCTCTTCGGGCGTTATCTCTCCCGCCAGCCGACTCAAACAGCTGCTCTTCCGCAAGTCTCACTCTCATAGTCGCTTTTGTTTTTCCTCCCAATCAGCAAATCTCAGTTCTCGCCTTCTCCTCTTTGTAGAGTCGTGCAGCCATAACAGAACTTCATCGGTCCTGATTTCTTCCTTCCGTCGCTTTCCGGTCTCTTCCGCAGTCCGGCGGATCTCCGCGAGTCGTTCTCCAGATGCTATCGCTTATCTTCCTATCACTCTGTACGTAGTTCCTCCGTTTCACGTCTTCCACAACGCGAAGCTGCTCAGCAAAGGCCGGTCGCGCCGGCTCTTCCTCCACTCTACGGGTCTCTGCTTAGGTAGTCTTGCTCGACGCGGCGCTCTTGTGCTAGTCCCTCTTCTTTCTCCCCAGCTGCGATCTTCCGCTAATCGCTCTTGGTCGACGGGCTGCTGTGCCTGCGCGTCCGTAGCGAACTTTCATCAAACCCCTGTTTCGACAACTGGGATGCGAAGATACATGTCGTCTCGCACGCATTCTCTTCGCTACGACTCGGAATACATACTATCGGTATCCTTGTCGCTAGATACACATCCTTTTTAATTGAACCACTCTCCATGGGAGAAACTCCTCTGGAAGATAGACGGCTATTCCTCAAATCCCCAGCAAGGGAGGCTCACGTGACCTTCGTGTTTTATTCCAGTCATTCTGCGCCAAATGTTTTCGAATGAGGGCAAGCTGAGCACCATGAGCACTGGATTCATATCCCCATCTTACCCATCTTGCCATCTTGAGGACGGTGGGGTCAAGCTGCCCGGGCTGAACCACACAGATAGACAGACGGCCTCCCCTCTCCCTCCTCCTTACCGCACCCACCCACCTCGCAACTCCTGCTCGCGATGACTACCCCTCTCGCCGACATCTCCGCCGACGACATCCACATCCGTCTCGCCACCCCAAAAGACATCGACCACATCGTCGCAGTTGCCTCCAGCACCTTCATCGACACCTTCGGCCCGCCCATCAACCCCGCCACAGAGACCCTCTCCTACCTCTCCACAAAACTCACCCGCGCCCAACTCCTCACCGAGCTCGCCCACCCGCACTCCACCTTCTGGATCGCCCTCACGCCCACCCACCTCTGCGCGGGATACGCGAAAGCGAATATCCTTGACGCGCAGACGGAGGAGCAGTTCCATGGGCAGCAGGACACGGCTGAGGTGGAGCGGTTATATGTGGATAAGATGTTCTTGGGGAAGCGGTTGGGGAAACGGTTGATGGATACGATTGTTGAGCATGTGAAGGCCCAGGGGAGGACGAAGCTGTGGCTGGGCGTGTGGGAGAAGAATGAGCGGGCATTGGCGTTTTATGAGAAGGCCGGGTTTGAGAGGATTGGGGAGCATGTGTTTTTGTTTGGGGAGGATCCGCAGACGGATTTTATTTTGCAGAAGGGGATTTGACTTTCCATGGCGGTACGGTCGATGAGATGAAGGACTCTAGATCTACATAGACCCGGGAGGGAGGCGCTTATGCGAGCGAGGTTGCGGAACTTTTGGGGAAAGAGGATAAGCGGCCGAGACGGCACAGGGATCCTTGACAGAAGCGATGTGCGAACCTCACGAAAACCAAGAGGCGATGCTTTTCAGCATTTAGATTTCTTGCGAGCCGCTTCCAGGACAGGCTTGCTGGTCTCTTTCCAACGCTTGGCCGCATGACATGGGATGAACGTTAGAGAGTGAGGCGTATTGTGTAGGTTATATTGAGCGAAACCTTATCGGCCAAATAATCGAGTCTGTCGAGTAGCCGTGCTCGGGGATTCCGTTTGCACCGCGCGTAGAAATGGGATTTGAGATTTTGGTCTGGCCCCCAACTTATGGGCACTAGGGCTTGCGCTCGCTACCCCGGCCCCTACCCCTAAAACAATCCTTATAGATCGTCTATGGCAAACAGGAACCCGAACATGACCAGGCGTCAACTGTTTTGCACGGGATGTGTGAGAAATGAGAGGCATTCGACCCCCTTTGATAGGTCCCAAAACGCTTATGTCACCCGTCATTCCCAAGAGGCAAGAGCTTCGATTTCCGTTGGCACCTCCCCTCTGAACTAGAAAAAGAGGGAACACCACGTCGACACTTTTTTTTGAGTAAACTCCTTTTCCAAATCTGCGGGGCCGAGCTCTTTCCTCAACGTCAATCTCTATTGTTGCGCGTAGGCTTTGAGCAACAGCGAAGCAGCCTGATGGGTCAGAGGATAGATTGGTGGGATGGCTGACAGCACATATGGAAAGCGGCTGTAAAATGTGGGGGAACCTAACGTGCTGTCGCCTTTTGCAAACCTTGGGTCCAAAATCTTCGGGCCAAGCTGTTTGCTCAACGTCACGCTCTGTTGTTGGAGGACCTCCTCCCCTAAGCTTCGTCACCTGTGGATCATCATACAAGCCCGGCCGCTTCGCTTTGTACCCTTGGTTGCATGACGTGGGGATGAAACGTTAGGAAGTGAGGCACTTTATGCTGGAAAGAATTCGACATTTTACCAGCCAGAATTGTGGGTCAACTGAATCGGTATACGTCGGGATGTACAGTACGAGAACGCGAACTTTTTCGCCGCAACCTGTGTAGACGTGCGCGTATATTGGAGGTGGTGAGGACTCTGCGGCAGGTTGGGCTTTTGCGGCGGATGGATCTGGATCTGGATCCGGTGCCCCGAACAGACAACGACCCATCTCGCGAAAGAACGACGTCGACTGAAACGTCTCGAGAGATATAGCGGAGGTTCATTTGAGCGCCTTGAATCCATGAAAGAATGTGGGCGAGCGCTTGCGGTCGGAGGTCTATGTTGATACATCCATGGTTTGATGGAGAGGGCATTGTTGAACTTTTAGGCGAGCGAAGGTTTCGGATTTCCGGCGTCTTCCAAGTTTTCTTTTCTCGGAAATTGATAGCCACCGAGAAAAGGCAGATTTGCAAGGGCAGGCATTCAGAGACCGTCTTCACCATCTTCACCCGTCCCATTTGCAGGGGCCAAACCTGGGAGATATGGAGGGAGCTTTTCCCGTCGCCCCTTGAGGCACCTGTTACTTTCTAAAGGCCCGTCAGTCAATGCTGTCGAAATGCGCGGTGCGCGCAGATGTGAAAGATCGCATTGGGAACGCGTCTGAATCCACTCTCCCGCGGCGCAGTCACTCAATGCAGCGCTTTTTCCCAGAGTCACATCGATATTCTCCTCATCGCCGAACGCTCAGTCGTCGGCAAATATAAAACCCGCCAGTGGGCTCCATCGCCATAGGCACCAGCGTCTGTAACACTCTGTATCAGCAAGCATAAGCATAGGCTGTCACCGACCCACCGCCTCCACTACAACCGCATCACTAGCACACGATGGCCGCGCTTCCATCAGGCAAAGTCACCGTCGTCCTCGGCGCACAGTGGGGTGACGAGGGCAAGGGCAAGCTCGTCGATATCCTCGCTCAGGAGATTGACGTCTGTGCTAGATGTCAGGTACGGAACTCAGAGAGACGCGAGCATATCCATCTCCGCCTGTTCGGACGGGAAACTGAGTTCAATGGTCGCGCTCTTTTTTGTAGGGTGGGAACAACGCCGGACACACCATTGTTGTGAATGGCGTCAAGTATGGGTTCCACCTCCTGCCTAGTGGTATAATCAACGACAAGTGCGTTGGTGTTATTGGGAACGGGGTGGTTATCCATCTGCCGTCCTTCTTCGAGGAGTTGGAGAAGCTCAAGGCGAAAGGTTGGGAATCTTTGTGCAGAATTCTGATCCCTGAGGACAACTTCTGACGGCGTTAAGAACCACACAGGTCTCGACCCAACAGGCCGCCTCTTCATCTCCGAACGCGCCCACCTCGTCTTCGACTTCCACCAAATCGTCGACGGCCTGAAAGAAGCCGAGCTGGGCCGCGGGTCCATCGGCACGACCAAAAAGGGGATTGGGCCAGCCTACAGCGCCAAAGCCTCGCGCAGCGGGTTCCGCGTGCACCACCTCTTCCACGCACAAGAGTTCGAAGAAAAGTTCCGCGCCGTCGTCGCCAACCGCATGAAACGCTACGGGCAATTCGACTACGACGTTGACGCCGAGCTTGCTCGGTATCGCGAGTTGGCGGAGAAGGTCCGCCCGTTTGTGAAGAACACGGTGAATTACGTGCATAAGGCTATCACTGACAACAAGCGTGTGCTGGTGGAGGGGGCGAATGCCCTCATGCTGGACTTGGATTTCGGTACCTACCCGTATGTCACATCGTCGAATACGACTGTGGGAGGCGTGTGTACTGGGCTGGGTATCCCGCCGACCAAGATCGGAAAGGTTTTGGGTGTCGTGAAGGCCTATACCACGCGTGTGGGCGGCGGACCTTTCCCGACGGAACAGTTGAATGTATGTGTTTGGACTGGCATCGGACTTGAAAATGAGTACCGAAAGACTGACGACACTCCTCGATCATTTGCAGGAGATTGGCGAGCACCTGCAGACCGTAGGAGCTGAATTCGGAACAACCACGGGGCGCAAGCGGCGCTGTGGATGGCTGGATATGGTCGTTATGCGCTACTCACACGTCATCAACGACTACTCCAGGTACATTCCCCCCTTCTCCAACCTTCCCATTCCCATACTGACTCCCTCCCTCAGCATCAACCTAACAAAACTCGACGTCCTCGACAAACTCCCCGAAATAAAAATCGGCGTCTCCTACATCCACAACGGCCAAAAACTCGACTCCTTCCCGGCCGACCTCTCCGTCCTCGAACACGTCGAGGTCGAGTACGAGACACTTCCAGGTTGGCAGTCCGATATCTCCGCCTGCAGGACTTATGAGGAGTTGCCCGTGAATGCGAAGAAGTATATTGAGCGTGTGGAGCAGCTGTTGGGCGGTGTGAAGGTGGAGTGGATTGGGGTCGGGCCGGGGAGGGATGCGATGATTCATAGGAAGTAGGGGAGTTGAGGTCGTGACGATTTTTTTTTCTTTCTTCTGATTTGTTGTTAGGATGGACCTTGGGCCTTTTGCGGGTTGTACATGGAGTTGAATATATGGGTTATGCGGTGATTGGGAGTTCTGCACACCTCAGATGTGAGGGGAAGCTCATGAGAAGCTTGGGAAGCGCGTCTCAGCGCCGACATACAGTACAGTACGCGCGCGCCTCTCCGCTCTCTCCGCTTTCTCCTTTCCTTTTTTCAGCATTCCTTTTGGGATTGACAAAACCACACACACCCAACGGACCTGAGACTTTGTGGGATAGCTGAACCAGGTATGAGGAGCAACGCTAGCTTGTCTGTTCAGCCGAACAGCTACTTACTGCGGCCTTTACCAAGCAGGACAGGAAAAAAGCGCATGCCCCCGAAGACGTGGTACTAGGAGAAGTAGGAGATCCGTGTACGCTCTGAGAAAGCTGCGTCCACCCTCTGATCTACCAGGTGCGCTGAGTAGGTGGCCAAGAGTTTGGGCTGAGGAACCACCGACTGAGTTGAGGAGGGTCATTCTTGTTCTCAGAATGCTGGAGACCTGTGACGGGGTAGAGAATGACAGGATTGACGAACCGACGACGCCGGGGCCTGACGGGAGGACCTACGCAGCAAAGCTGCAGCTGCTCAGCAGGAACCCGCTTACGGATGAGCACGGCCAGCTTCTTTCCCCCATCGGAAACATGGAACAGTTTATTGAGCATATGAACACTACGTGCGACGGGCTGGTCGACATGAAGATGACCATGATCGTCGGGGACGTGCCCCTGAACCGCAGCTCAAAGTGGCGTGAGAAACACCGCGACACGGTCCGCCGCAGAGTGTTCATCTCTATCCTCCTAGATCTGAGCACCCGGCAAAGCGACGAGGAGCCCTCCGTCTTTGACTTTGATGAAGCAAGTTGAAGTAGACATTTCTTGGTCTTTAAGAGAAAATAAAAAACTGTAATGAAACAGTTCTGAAGAGTGGCCTCTGACGCACATATCCTACTACAATACCTGGGGTGGCCGTTGCCTGTGTGCAGAGGCCGTGGGGTTGCAAGAAGAGATGTCTGAAGAGAACGCTAAGGCACCCGGCAACGTGCCCGCAAAACGTCGGCGCTGTAGGAAGCGCGTGGGAAAGTCAGGAAGGCAGGGAAGTTAGCAGGAAGTAGACTCCGGCGCTCGCTACACATGTACGAAGAGTGGTGGAAGTAGGCGTTTATTAGCGTCGTGGCTTCCTTGACATTCCCATCCTCGAAAGTTCCCAACGTGGCATTTTCCCAATCTTCCCTGACGACCGCTCCACAAAGAGTGGCCTAAGTAATCGAACGACGTATAGCTGTTTGAAAAGGCAGTGCGTAGAGCCGCATCTAGACGCATTTCATATGGGAAACCCTCGTTCTCATTTATCACCTCTCTCAGCGTAAATACGACCACGCACCCTCCAATTTACCACATTAGAATACCACAGCCATGGAGGACTCACAGGTACATTTACCGCTGACCCATCTCATTTCCCATACAAAACATGCCCTGTCCCAAAAATAACATCCAATGGAACATAGGCAGCGATGAAACGCCGCATGGCATCCCTCCCCGTCATCAAAAAACAGGACCTAGGAGGAGGGAAGCGCAGCCCGGCGGTTGCTGGCGGGGCTGGGGGTGGGGTGCGGAAAGTTGCGCCGGCTTTTGGTAGGTGGGGGATGTCATGAGTGGGTGTGGGGCCGGGGAGGATATGCTGACGTGAGCGATTGCAGCCCCGTTACCGACGGCATCGGATATACCCATGAACACCAAGGTTTATAATATCATCAATGCCTTACGGGTACGTTTCTACTCCCGTCTTCGAAACGACAAAAAAGGGCGTGAAGCAGACCGGCTCACATTCAGTCATGTAGGAAAAAGACGCTCCGGCAAGCGAGGCCGAGATCTTCCGCTTGACCGCGATTAATGTGGCGGGGTCGGCGGAACTGAGGGAGTTGTTGAAGAATAATCCGAAGATTACGTATCATGATCATGATGGGACGTATCAGTATAAGGTGGGTTTTGGTGAGATCGAGGGTTTAGTAGGGGAACAGTGTATCGTTCGTGGAGATGTGAGCAATGCGATGGAGGGGTGTAAAGGAAGGAAGGATATATACGAAGCGTTCCATCCGAGGAAAGCGGTCCATGAGACTTGTGAAACTGAAATCTCGACCCTTTTTCAATTCCCTTCATACGCAGCCAAAATACAACCTCCGCAGCAAAGAAGACCTCCTCTCGCTCCTCTACACCACCCGCGACTCCGGCGGCACCGAACTCAAGGAGCTCACCGACTCCTGGCCGGGCCTCCTCGCCGCCGTCCACGACCTCTCCGCCTCGGGCGACATCCTCGTCCTCACCACAAAAGACGCCAAACCCCGCATCCTCTTCCACAACGCCAAAGAATACAACCTAACCGTCTCCGACGAGTTCAAGGAGTACTGGCATAAGGTGCCGATGCCGAAGGAGGCGGATCTGGCGAGGGAGTTGGAGAAGGCCGGGTTGAAAAGTATGGAGGTTTATAGTATGCAGAAGGGGGATGCGGGGTTGAAGATGAGGAAGAGGAGGGTTAACAAGAGGGTTAGGATGACGAATACGCATTTGGAGGGGTTGGGTAGGTGTTTTGAGACGGTTTATTTGTTGGACGGGGCTGCGGTGTGCTATTTACTAACTCTGGTCTGGTACGGTCCTTTCTCTTCCCACTATTCTAGATCTCACGACCGCCTGATGACATCGGAGCGAAGAGCAGATCCATCAGTAGAGCCCGAGCGCCTCTCAAAACGAAAAGCGCCCGTATGGATTGTGGAAAGTCGGGGGAATGTACTCGGCTATGCTAGTCGCCGCCAAGGGCATATGGCATATCGCACGATCGGAATCCGGGGTGCTTTACGGTTCGTGTGCGTGGTCGACACAGCATGGCTATCCCCTCGGGGAGGCCCCGACGGATGTCCGCACAACCCCCGCACGCATACGCACAACCCTCACCACGCAATCGTTCGCCCCATTCAAATGCATCGCCACCTGGGGAGGGCGCGGCGTCGGATGTCCAGTCCTTTGAAGCTTCGCGGCGTCGAGAGGGCCCGTTTTCCTCCTCCACCTACTGCGTATCTAGGTGTCGATTCGTAGAACTCCTACACGCTATAGCGGTGTTACGTCGGAGCTTATTTCGGTGCTTAGTTCGCCACATAAACATAAACCGATGTTAGGTGTTTTCGGTGATATTATGAATGCCAAGGACGTCCGATAATGTCCTAATTTGTCCGCATGTCCGCTTTTTGAGTGTGAACCGCTCCTCCACCCTTATACGATCGAAGGCAATGGAATGAACCCCAACTCCCTCCTCACAGTCTCCAACGGCTTCTCCAGCATCTCCTCATAATACACATTGAGCACAAACGCCGCGCTGGCTCCACACTGCACCGCCCACGGCACATACACGCCAAAAAACCTGTCCCTCTCTGCAGCACTCAATCTCAACGGCCCGACAAACGCACTGAGCGCCGCCACAGGCATCCCCCCACTCTGCACCATCTCCAACCACTTCAACGCAATCTCCGCCTCCACGGTCGTCGGCAGGCCCGTAAGCGTATGCATAAAATCATGCACCTCGCGATACCGTCTCATCACATACGCGAGTTCCGGGTCGGAGATGTAGGTCACGGGCACGCGGGTGTCGGGGGAGACGTGCTCAGCGTCGAGGAAGGTGACGTATTCGCGGCCGAACGTCCCGGGGGGTAAGCGGCGCAGGGCGGGGAGGTTGAGGGTTGTGGAGGTGAGGATGGGGCGGGTGCGGAGGATGCGGCGGCCGGTTGGGGAGAGGAGCATCTTGTCGCGCATCTGGGCGAGGGTGTGCAGGCCGGTTACTTCGCCGAGGTGCGCGACGGTTTCTGGAATGCGGAGGGAGAATGATGCTCAGTAGGCGGGGCTGGATGAGGGAGCGCTTGGCAGTTTACATACCCTGCCGTGTGGGATCGCGCATGGCGCCGATAGCCGACGTCGCTGCGATGAACGCGCGTTCCAGGACATTTGGAGTTCGCGGGCGGGGATGGAAGGAGGGGTCGTTCCCGAAGTCGGCGGTGGTTGTTCTGGTTGTGTGGGTGCGGATGGGCAGTGTTGGTTGTGAAGGTGGTGGGAATCTACGGAGAATTGCACGAGCTGTGCAGCGTCGTGTGCCGGCGGAACGGAGCGACTGGGATATGGACATTGGGGCTGGGAACGACTAGGATGACACAGATGAGGGTGTTCTGACGCCGGCGAGCTGGTTGGTCGTTGTGAGGGTCGGATAGTCAGCAGGTGTTCGTTGTGGATTGCCGTTGGGCCCTTCGTTGGGAGCAGCGACGACGAGGAAAAGGAGTTCCCGCGCGTCTCCATAAAAGCACTGGGTTCGGCCAAAATCCCCCCCCGTCCCCGGAAGCGAAGATCACTCCCACATTATCTGTATTTAAGCTCAGTTGGTCTTGCGATCCTCTCTCACAACACACCCCCCACTAACTCACACAGACGCAGCTCACATGTCCCACCTGCCTCCGGGGCGAGGTCGCGCTAATACACGAGGCGGAGGTCGGGGGGCAAATGCTGCAGCAGCAGGGAAGGGTCGGGGACGAGGAAGTGGAGCAGGCCTTGTGCAATCACAGCAACCACCGTCGATAATACCCCCACCAACAGCAGCGTCAGGTCACTCTCGGACGCCCGCTTCCTCATCCACCACTGCAACGCCAGCACCGGCATCCAAAGGTTCCACTCCCACACCCGGACAACAACCCGTTCGCCCACCAGCCCTCCAACGCATGCACTCGCTCCCACACCTAGCCACTTCCTCACCACTCGCACAGCACCCACCAACAGGACCGGGCTCAACAGGCACTGGCGACGGTGCAAATGGCTCCGGCGCTGTAGGCTCTCCAATAGCAGCCCCGGCGTCCGCGACAGCAATACAGGAGATTACGAGCATACAGACTCCGGGCCACCCGCAGTACCAGCAATACATGGCCGCTTTGAACTACTACATGGCGCAATTGGCGGGGCCGTTGAATGCTGCCGCGGTGGCTGGGAGTGCGACAAACTCGGCGTCGGTTTCACCAGGTAGCACTCCGAATGCAACGCCGCCAGGGACGCCTAAGGCGGCGAACGCGACGTTGCAGCTGCCTGCGGGTATAGGGCCTGAGCTGGTCAGGCAATTGAGTGCGGGGGTTGGGGCGGGAAGGGGCGGGGCGCCAATAGGACGGGGAATCGGGGGTGTCGGTGCCCACACACCATTAGGGAGCGCACAGCAAGGTCCGCCACGACCTTCATCAACAACGCCACAGGTCGGCCGGCAGTCACTGGGGATAGGCTCACCCGCCATCACATCCAATGCCAACCTCAACCGCTTGATGGGTCAAATGGGATACACACCCACACCCACACCACGACCCAACACAAACATCCCTCTCACCAAAACCCATTCCCAACCAACATTCCACTCTTCTTCGCCATCGCTGCAACAGACGATATCCCTGGGCGCGGCTGCTGCCTTCCGCGCTCAACAGCAACAACAACAGCAGCGACAATCGCCGTATGATCCGGCCCGAGACCCGGCAAATATGCCGATACTGAACAAACAGACGCTGAGGAGCTTGTTGAGGCAAATTGATCCTACGCAGCGGATGGATGGGGATGTTGAGGAGGTAGGGATGTTCATATTTAGCGGGGAAGGCGCCGTACGCGGAGCATTTAAGCCGCTGTCTTCTTAATTTGAATTTGAACTACAGATGCTCCTGGAAGTCGCAGACGACTTCATCACGTCCGTCGCACAACAAGCATGCAAGCTCGCCGCACATCGCGAAGCCGAAGCCTCTGCCACCGGTGCGCCTGTGATTGTCGGAGTCCGGGATGCGCGGTTACCGTTGGGTATGTAGCCTCAGAGTCATCGTCTGGGGGGAATCTGTCAACCCCATTCATTCTTTTCTTTAGAACGCGACTGGGGAATCCGCATCCCCGGCTTCGGCGTCCTCGTCCCGCAAGACCGCGAGGAACAATCTCCACTCCCACTCCCACCTCCACCACAACCAACCAACGCAACACAACCAGACGCGCCCGACACAACAGAAGACGACCCCATAACCCAAAAACGCAAACTGCACCTTGCCCGCGTACAGAAAGTCCGGGAGGCTGTTAGGGGGGGTGTGCGGCATCGGTATACGTCTGCTGCTACGTCAGCGTCTTCTACTGCTGGGGTGAATTCTGCGAGCACGGCGGCTGGGGAGGGTGGGAAGGATGGTGATGGGAGTGTGGGGCCGGCTGCGGGGGGAGGGAGGGGACGGGGCCGGGGGAAACGGGCGTTGGGTGGGGGAAAGACGGGGGTGCAGAAGAGGAGGAATGTTGGGTAGGGAGTTGGGTATGGGGGATTGGTGTGGTGTTGTGGCGAAGCGCACGAAGCACTGGTTTCACCTTGTACCATATTCTGCACCATCCGTTATACGAAGGCGCGTCCAACGCATTCATCTGTATATATACGGAAAACATAATCCGTCGCACGCTGGAGGCCCATCACCTAGACATCCATATTGGTGAGAATGACAGGCACCAAAACCTGCTTGGACGTACCAACGTTGGGATATTGCAATCCTGCAGTATACGGAGGTGTGATGCGCGGATAACTCTGTACCCACCTTCATCGTCGAAGTCGTTATGTAACATGGGGTCAGGGTTGGCGGGCGTCGCGCGAGGGCAGAAACCGACCCCGTCAATAGCATCGCTCTCTCAGGTTTTCCCTTCCCAAGCCGCGCTTCCCCGCCAGTGCGCTTCATGGCCACCTAATAGAGGCTACCGCATGCTTTCAGTAGCTTGTCATAGCACATTTCCCAGAAACCCTTCTATCAACGAAAAGCCCGCCTCCTGGCTCTACGTACTGGCGATGGAGAAGTGTACGGTTAGTCAGAGTCCACCCGATTTGCATGCTTTAACCGAACTAACTCGAATTCTTTCAGAGTGCAGGACCATCGGAGGGGCCGATAGGACTGACAGGAAGTGACAGCAAGTGACAGCAGGCCGTATGTGGCGGGGTTAGGGTTGCAAACGCCATTACAAAGCGCCATGAGAACCTCGCCTTCCCCTTCCCAAGATCCTCGTGCTGGGAATTCAAATAACCGTCCAGCTCAGAATACGCAGAACCATTTGCCAAGCACAGGCCGTCGAGCGCTTAAACCGTCTCGTCTGCCGGCCGGAGACTCCAGCCGCTCTCATCAAACTTCCGTCGAACCTGGACGCCATCTTGCCTTGATCTACCCCACGCCCCACGCCCCACCACGTACAACATGACCACCAAACCTCAATACACCGCTCTCCCCTCAACCCTCAGCGACGCCGACCTCGCGGACCTGCGCGACCACGCCGTCGACTGGGCCCTCGCGCACGGTCTGGTCATCCGAGCTCCACCCACCTCCACCACTCCAACATCAAACATCCCGCTGACGACGCACGCCCCCTTTGCGCTGTTCCCGTCGCCGTTCCCGCGGAAGGCGTTTGAGTTTGCGGTGAAGATACAGCCGCTTTTTAACCAGTTGGTGGAGAGTGTTGCGAGGGATCGGGGTTTTTTGGAGGAGACTATGGAGAGGTGGGTGTTGGGGCGGCAGAGGGGGGGGGGGGGGGGGGGAAGCGCGAGCGAGTGGTGCAGGGTCTATGTGTGAGCGGAGGGAGCTATCGGGTTTTCGTGGCCTTAGGGGCTTAAGCGAAGCGAGCATTTGCGAGCGACTGCGAGTGTTGGGCTTCTATTTGCGCAAAAGAAGCGAACAAGGATTACTCCCGGACCGTGCTGCAGATCAATCGCTAACGCGGCAACATCCCCTTCCCTCAGTCTCTCCAAGGTAGACGACTTCACGGGGCGGTTGTACGCCATCTACAAGCACGTCAACTCCGAGGGCATCCAACAAGTGAGGCCATCAGTTCTCCATCGGTACCATGCTCCACATTACAGCATTGACTCACGGAATGCAGTCAATCAGTCTAGGCCTCCATCGATCAGACTATCTCCTTCACCTCTCCTCAGACTCGTCCCAGGAAGCTACCCCACAGCAAGTCGAGCTGAACACCATCGCATCGTCGTTTTCTAGCTTGTCACATCTTACGCATGATTTGCACAAGTAGGTCTCATCCACTTTTTGCGAGACGATCCGATAGGAGCGCTGACCCATCTCCTTTGAAAAGGTACCTGATTGACCGGACAAGGACCCTCCTCGATAAGGACCCATCGTCGCGTTCCATCACTTCAGAAGCGATCCCGCCAAACGCGTCGCTATACAGCATAGCGCGGGGAATCGGTAAAGCTGCTGAGCTGTACAACGTACCAAAGTAATAGTCCGGCTACATGGGTATCAAAACACGCGGCACGCAAACCTAACGTCGACGCCCTTGTTCATTACTTTTAGTGCGATAGCAGTCATGATAGTCCAGCCAGGGGAACGCAACGCGTTCGATCAACGATGGATCGAGTACACTTTGTTCAACGAGTATGGATTCGGAGTATCACGCTACCTGCAAAGGCTTGGCGCCACGTTCACTGACCCCATCGCCCAACAACCAGATTCAAAGTCAAGCTGGTGCGTCTATCCCTCGCGGATGTAGCGAAACGAGCGAAGTTGGAGGGGGTGGATCGCAGGCTTGTCATGTACGCGACCGATGGTGGTTGGCATTGGGGGGTAGGAGACCCTCATGGAGTAGAACGAGGTTCTAATACGGCGCTGCTTCCAGTGATGGCGAAGAAGTTGCGGTGGTCTACTTTCGCGCCGCGTACACGCCGGTCGATTATCCGTCTGAGAAGGTATAAGCCGCTTACCGGAACCGGGTTATTTTGATGAGGCCCATGAACTTAACGGTCTTGTTTCTGCGACAGGAATGGGAAGCCCGTCTCCTCATCGAGCGATCAAACGCCATCAAATGCCCCAACATCGCTCACCACCTAGTCGGCACGAAGAAGGTGCAGCAGATCCTCGCCAAGCCTGGGCTGCTCGAACGGTAACATACCCGCCGTAATTCCCCGATGTCGGCGGATCTCTGAACTTACCGATCGTGAAACCTGTAGATTCCTCAAAAGCCAAGAGGAATGTGACCTCCTCCGATCCAGCTTTACCAACCTGTACCCACTAGACGACACACAGGAAGGCAACGCGGCGGCCGCGATGGCGCTTGAGACGCCGGAGCGGTTTGTGATGAAGCCGCAGCGGGAAGGTGGTGGTACGTCTCAAATAACCTCATTCACACCACTCCACCCCACTCAAGCGGACGAACGCTAAACTTAAAGTAACAACTTACAGGAAACAACCTGTACGGCCCCGACATCCCTACCGCACTCCGCTCCATGTCCCTCCACGAGCGCAACGCGTACATCCTCATGGACCTTATCCAGCCGTCGCATATTGCCAGCGTGACTGTCCGCCATGGCGAGATCATACGGGGGGAGCTGATCAGTGAGTTGGGGATTTACGGGGTTTGGATTAGGTATGTCAAAATGGATTTGAAGTTTGTGTTGCGTCGATTAGGAGTGGTGGATTGCTGAATTGATTGGATAACAGCGATGGAGACAAAGTACATGTGAACGAGCAGGGCGGGTACCTCCTCCGCACCAAATTCGCGAACTCGAATGAGGGCGGGGTTGCGGCGGGGTTTGCGGTGCTTGATTCGCCGTTGCTTGTGGATTGAATGAATGGCTCGGACTCTTCGGCCTGCCAGTTAGGGATCTATATTGATTAGAAGTATCAAGGGGACAGGTGATGTTACGCGCCCGGTGGCGGTAGGACTAGCTTCTATGTAGGGAAATATCTAATCTGCGAATAGCATTTTGCTCTCGCCCCTGTCGTCCGTCAGGGAGGACCGATGGGGTATTTATGCGGTAGGATACTGCAGGGCCGATGCTTCTCAGCGGTTTAATCCCTTGATCTGTCTGCCGTGCGCAGCTACACAGGCGTATGTACAAGAAGAGCAAAATGTGATATGATATGATGTGATGTGCATAAACCAATCAAAAAAGAGGGGACACCCAGAGAAAGCGGGCGATACAATGCAAGGGGGTTGGAAACGACGATGAAGGACGAAACCCAGAGAGGCCTCGATCTACATCCTCAAGAACAAGCCAACGCTCTCCAACACCTTCGCAACCGGCACAAACACCCCAAACGCCCACGTCAGCCCCCACACAAGCCCCACCCACGGCGCCCTCTTCCAGCCCTTCAACGCCGGCACCAGTTCCCCACCGGCCTGCACCGCAGCGTCCACCCACTGGTACGCCACGTCCCACAGGGATGCGTCGACAGCGGTGGTCGTGCTCCACCCGGCGCCGATGGCTGGGGCGAGCGGGACGGGGTATGCTCCGCGGACGTGTTTAAGTGCCGCGGCGGCGAGTTCGGAGAGGATGTAGATGGCGAGCGGGTTTCTGCCGACGGTGCGGAGGGCGGCGTGGAGGGGCGTGTTCCATCCGCTGACGGATTTCGAGGTCAGTGAGATCAGGGCGGTGAGGATGAGCGCCGCGCCGGTGGTGGCGAGCAAGAAGGTGGGTGTGTAGAGCTTCTTGCTGTAGGGTTGGTAGAACGTGGTCTTTTCGTCGAAGAGGAAGGGGAACTCGTCGAACGTCATCCCGCCCTTGGCTCCGAAGGCGTGACCGGCGCGCGAGATGATGTGCCCGACGATGAGGAAGGAGCCGAGGAAGTATTGGAGGTCGCTTTTGCCGAGGGTCCTGGCGTGGACGAGGGCGCTGCCGGTGCAGACGCCGGCCCAGACGGCGGCGAGCGCGGGGAGGGTCGAGAGCGTGCCTTCGGGGTCGTAGGTGCCGTTGTTGTGCAGGTGGGAGGTGCCGCCGAGGAGAAGGCGATCGAAGTAGGATTGGGCGGTGCAGTGAGGGGGTTGCAGCTTGGATTGCGCGCCGGGCGGGCAGGGGGTCGAGCCTGCGGGGGCAGAGTTTGCCGGCAAAGGATAATTGTACGTGAGGTAGTGCCAGGCGAACAGGGGAAGGAAACCGGAGATGATCAGGTTGCCGACGGACTGGGAGAAGGCGTAGGAGAGGGCGCTGATTGTGTAGACAATCGCCATCCGCTGCAAGACGCCGAAAATCCTGAACTGTTCCCATTGCGGGTTGCCCTCCAACACGCCGGGGGTGTACAGAAGGTGGACGGCGGCTCCTAGCGCAAACAGCTTGATGCCGCGGAAGATGATCCAGAATGGGCTGGATTTGCTGGAAGACGGGCGGTACGACAGGGCTATCGACTACGGGCAAAATGAATGAAAAGTGTGAGATGCGTGAACCATAGCGTGCTTGGTTGGCTCGCTTCCCTCACGCCGTCTCTCCCTCTCATCCCACCACTCTCATCCCCAGCCCTACTCACCACACCCATAGTAAACAACAAAATTGGAAACACATAATCCGCATAAGTCACGCCCATCCACTCGGCATGCCCCAAGAACTTGAATACAGCGGGACCTGTCTGGTAGTTTACCACAACCATGGCCAAAATCGCGAATCCACGGACGGCGTCAATAAAATCCATCCGGTTGTCCTCGGCGGCCTTTTGGGCAGCCACGGCGGTTTTCGCATTCTTCTTTGCCTTCTTTGCGCTTTTGGACACGTTTTTGGCGACGTCAGAGACTGTGGAGGAGGCTACGGAAGAGGCTTTGGAGGGGGTGGAGGAGGAGCCCTTGCCGCGATTGCGGAGGGTGGTGTCTTGTTGTTGGGACATTATTGGGAGACTGGGGGGGAAGAGTAGGGTGAGGTGTGAGTTTCTGCGGGCGTGATGTGTGAAATGACTTTATGCAGACGCACAACACATACTTGCGAGGGAGGATCCCGAAGCTCTATCCAGCGGACGAGCAGAAGAAAGATCCTACGGGAGATGGGAAAGATCCCAAGTGCTGTTGGGTTCGCACTAAACGCAACCCTGGGGTCCCTGATATGGAATGCCAGCGGCCCAGAACGACCGCAATTGGGCGCTAACCCCAACCCGAACGCGCGTAACCCTAACCGCCCCCGAGGAAAGACGGGCGGACAAGAAAAAAGACGAGAAAGACCTCCCCCCTCCATCGTCGCAAGATCGCGTCCAGCGTTCCGCTGCGTCTGCTGCTACTATACCCCCCACCAACCGGCAAACCAGACACTCCAGCTGTCGTTATTCTTATTACCGTCTTTCGCTCAACGCCACCACAGTGTAAAGTCATCGGTCGGATTGAGGCAGCACAGGTGAGAGCGCTTCCCTCGCTCACCCTTGGGAACGCGTCTCAATTCCAGAACGATGCTAGCCTTGCACCCATCTCCGGTGCCCGACCGAATGCGCAGAGGCTACGGTGTCGGCACAGCGGTGCCGTCCTCATCCTCGGCTCCTGGGACAATTAGCGATCCTCGACGCCGTGAGCGCGCCGCTGCCGACCCATACCAGCGTGTCCGAACGCCGACCGGCGCAATGTTGGCCAGCGCCAAATCGTCCGCCTTGCCCTCGGACGGCAACCACGATTTTACCTTCATGTCACCGCAAAAGCCGTCCAAGCGATTCTCGAATAACATTGAAGATTATGAGATGGGTGAAATGTTGGGGAGAGGCGGATTCGGTTTTGTGCATAGGGCTGTGTGCAAGAGTCCGGCTATGGATGGCCGAGAGGTTGCCATCAAAATGGTATGCGCATTGACAGATTCACTGATGCCGAGAGGGAGAGTGATAGGTTTCTGATTGACTTTTTCTAAACTCCAAATCTTTTCTATCTCAAGATCGACAAGCGGCTGATGAAGGCAGCCAACATGACCCGTCGCGTAGGAAATGAAGTCGAAATCCATTGGCAGCTCCACCACCCGTCCATCCTCGAGCTGTACAACTACTTCGAAGACAAATCCTACGTGTACCTCGTTATGGAGATCTGTCAAAACGGAGAACTATACCAATACATCCACCACCGGAAATTTCCCTTAACCGAACCAGAGGCGAGAGGCGTGGTTGCGCAAATCGTGCGCGGATTGCTGTACTTGCATGCGAATGGGATTATCCACCGGGATCTGAAGTTGTCAAACTTGCTGCTGACGGAGAACTATGATGTGAAGATCGGCGATTTTGGGTTGGCGGTCAAGCTGAATGACCCTAGTGGGGAGCAGAAAACGATGTGTGGCACGCCAAACTATATTTCTCCGTAAGTTCACTGGTGGCTGAGCTTGGGAGACGCTCCCTCGCGAACGGCTTTTCAGCAGACTAATGCTTCCTCCCGTCCTGCCAGCGAGATCATATCGCGGCTACCGTACGGACTTGCTTCCGATGTGTGGTCACTGGGATGTATGGTCGTCACTTTATTGACGGGGACGCCGCCCTTTGAAGTAGGTTCGCGAATCACCAAAATAATTATGAGCTCCTCGCCGATATATATTGAGTTATCACTCCTAGAGCCAGGCGGTAAAAAATACCCTCGATAAGGTGTCCCGGGTGGAGTACACACTGCCGGATCACATCTCCCCAGAGGCTCAGGATCTTGTGCACAGGTTGCTCCAAAAGGTATGGCTATTTGATTACCCAAACTACGGTGCCTCTCGCTTACAATACTCTCCCCAAAGGACCCCAAGAAGCGCCTAGCTCTTACAAAAGTCCTCAGCCACCCTTTCTTCGAACCCACCATGCCCGTATCCTCCTTACGGCCCCTCAACGCGGTATTCGACAAACCCCACCCCCGACCCAGGCCCGCGAGCACGCATCAGGCAGCCACCACCAACGACACCAGCCGACATCGTGCAGTCGCGAGGAGCAATAGTGAGCGATCTGCGACACGGGTTGTGGAAGTGGAGAGCCGGTCACGGGAGGCGTCGAGACATGGAACTTTTGAGAGACGGGCATCACCGATGAGGGAAGCCACTCGCGATGTAGATCGCGGGGCTAGGAGACATGAGGGGCGGTCGCAGAGCCGACCGGAGTCGGTGCATGCGTACGATAAGGAGAACCGAGAGCAGATGGATCCCCGCAAACCTGCGGACGCATACTGTGGTTCACGAGGACAGTCTCCACAGGCCAAGCGGCGGGACGCGAGTAGCAGCTCACCTGGGTATGCGAGCGCAGGTCGCAACGCATCTAGCAACCCTCAGCAGACCACCAGTAGGTCCACCACCGCGGCATCTTCCTCAACACAACCCGCATCCCCATTGGTAGTCCTACCCGAATTCTCGACGCAGAGGCTGAAACCGCTCAAACAAAAGACGAAACATGGCACGGTCTCAATCCTTGCGTCTGGTGATCTGCTGCTGGACTTTTTGGGCGAGGAGTTTCTTATGCTTATTAGTGGGGATAGTCGGACGGTATGTTGCTTCTTTTGCTTGATGAGGATCATTACGGAAGACTAAATGGGAGGCATTTTTTTTTTTCAGATTGAGCTGTTTGATCGATCGACCAGCCCCACCGACCCCCAGAGTCGGCCGATTCGCAGGTATACCCGGACATCGTTGCCTAGCGCGTATGTCAAGAAATATCGGTACGCGAGCCGGTTCGTTGATTTGGTTCGGAGTAAAACGCCAAAGGTACGGCCGTAGAATAGTGTAATAAAAGGTAGATGGAATATAGACATTCCCTCCTACCCCACAGATCGTCTTCTACTCCCCCCAAGCCAAATGCATCCTCATGGAAAACGCCCCACTCGCCGATTTCGACATCCTCTTCTACAACGGCACCCGCGCGCACTACTCCGTCTCCAGCGGGCTCGTGGAGATTAAAATCCCGGTCATCAAACCCGCCCCTGGACAAACTAAAGTCGACGACAAGGATATGGAGAAACACGCGATACCCTTAGAGGGTCGGGTGGATATACCGCCACATCTGGCATTGGTGGTCAAACATGTGCAGGAGTGTTTGAGACGGTGTATGGAGGTTGAGAGGAGTGGGAAGTTGGAGGGCGGGAACGAGTGGCCGGTTATTGTTAAGAGCTCGCATTGTCGGGTTGCTGGTGGTGGGACTGGTGGGAGGGCGGGAGGGGAAAGGGAGGGCCATGCGAGCCCGTTGCCGACGGAACGGAATTCGTTCCACCCGAGTTCGATGTCGGGGTATACCAGGAATACGAGGGGTGGGGGTGGGACGGAGGGGGGGCATGATGGCGGTACACGGGGGAATGACCAACCACCTGCATCGTCAGCAGAACCCCGCCGCACCCGCCCAACATCCTCTTCAGCATCCCATGCTACCTCCCTCCCACATCTCCGCACCACCGCCAGCGACCCACACCTGTACAACCACCATCGATCCGTCGCAACCTCATCATCGGCGTCCAGGGCAAACACGCATACGATACATACCACGACCAGCAGCAGCGGGAGCAGTGCACGCGTGCCGGGTCGGGATGGGGTTCGATCCGTCGCGTCCTCTTCATGGGATCCTCAACATCATCGGGATGACGAGCGACAGCAACAAAAGTCATCCACCATAACAACATCCGCAGAACCCCGACACGCGAACACGGACAGCGCAATAACACAAACACAGACACCAACCCACCTCCCCGACATCGGCTGGTGCCTCAAAACACCCACCGGCGCGTTCCTGATGCTCTTCAACGATGGGGTGGGGGTTACGGTCAATCCGGGGGATCAGACGTTGGAGTGGATGCCTGCTAAAAATGCCGAGGGAGATGGCGAGGGGGGTGGAGTTGAGAGGTATGTTTCTTTTCATTTCGGATGCTGATCTCATATGTACATGGAGGGGAGCATCAATACAAGCCATTTCTGACTCCTATGGTGTTACGCCTATTGTGTAGATTTGCGATAGATAAGCGACTCCCGGCATATGCGAAACGACGGTTGGCGCATTTTCCGCGGTTTCTAGAGCTGGCTGCTGCTGCCTCGGGTGCTTCGGGGGCGCGGTGAATAGATGTTTGGATGCGTAGCACATACTTGTTTTGGAAGAAGTTGTGAGCGGACACGTTGGCGCATGCGTGGGGATGTGAAGTGATACACGCGCGCCGGATATTGACGCGGAGACATAGATAGCCGCTTCTTTGGGAACCGTATGTGTGTAGCAGTGGAAGGACGGCCCGATGGGATGGCCATAAATGCATTACCTAGAAGGTTGGACCCTTGTTTTCTGTTACTCCAGTTATGCGGCGATGGGCACAAGGTTTTTGTAGAATGGCGCGTTCATGCGAAGCAGGAGGCGGAAGTCGGGCTGTTGTTCGAGTTGTCATGGGGTTCGGAGGATGTGTAGTCAGCGGTCGTGTGCGGTGACACATCACGCCCCCAATGAAGACTGCCCAAAAACCTACCTCAACCTCCCGCCCACAAACCTCCCTCAACGCCACACAAATCTCCCTCAACAGCCGCCTCAACTCCCCCTTCTCCCCCTCCCCCGCCTGCCCCTCTGTCTTCTCCACGCCCAACCCCCTCCAACACCCCGCAACACCCTTCATAACCACACCTCTATACTGCGCGACCCGCGGCCACGCTTCACGGATGAGAGTGAGCACGGCGCGCGCAGCGAGGAGTTGGGTGGGGGTGTCGTGGGTGTGGAGGTGGAGGAGGGTGGTTGTTGTTCCTAGGAGGGACTATGGGGAGGGTTCAGTGAGTCGGTGGGAGGGAGGGGAGGAGGAGCAAGGCAGCAAGGCAGATGAGGAGGACGGGGAGTACCTGGAGGTGACGGACGGTGATGATGCCGAGCCGGGAGACTAGGTCCGGGATGATTTGGAGGATCGTCTGTGCGTTACCAAAAAGCAGTCAGCTTCCTCCAGTCCTTCTCATCCCAGCTCGGAGCAACCGGTCTAATAGGGAATATACGTACCCTCAGAACCTCCACTTTCCCACCCGCGGCAAAGCTCAGCCCCCTCAATACCCCCTCCTGCATCACCCGTTCCAGTCTCACGCAGTACGCCTCCGAGCCCACGATCTCGATCACCGGCACGAGGTCGACGATGCATGGGAGGGCGGAGCGGAGGAGGGGCGGGTCGGAGTGGTAGGTTAGGCAGGGGAGGAGGAACTGTGTGAATCGAAAAGTGCTGGTGGTGAGAGGGGTACGGTGAGTGTGAATGGTGGAGATGATCGTAGCACGTACGTTGAAAAAGACATCGCCGAGCCCTGTGCGGCGGATATCCATTGGCGCTGAGTTCTTTACGATGGCGTGGTGGGTGAGTTGTGCGCCGATGGTTTTGTAGGCTGGGTCGTGGTCGTCGAGAAGGGTGAGGAGGGCGGGGAAGAGGAGGTGTTGGATTGGTGCTATTTGGCCGTGCTATGAAAGAAAAAAGGCCAATTCAAAACTCGATTAGACTCCTGCACATCCGCAAAGCAGCGGCTGATGACCCCTTACCTCCAAATGCAACACAACCCAGCCCAAAACCTGCACACAATCCACCCTTTCCGTCTTCCACAGCTGCACATCGCCCGGCTGCTCGTCGCTCCATACATTCTCGATCTCCTGCTGTTTCGTGACTACCGCGCGATTGCCCGTGTCGTGTACGCGTTGGTGGGTGAAGAACGGTTTGATGTGTGTTGTGAGGATGTCGGCGGCGTGGGCGGAGATGAGGGTGGAGAGGCGACGGGGGTGGTGGGAAAGAAGGGTTGTGAGGAGGTCTAGACGGGAGGAGTGGCAGTCAGAAGCTGGGAGAGGGATTGTTCGACCTTGACAATACTGCCGCCTACCTTGTGCTTTGTCCCGGATATGTGCACAACACCATATCCCCTCCTCGTCGCCTAAGAAAGATGCGCAGGCCACCAGGACGGGACAGATAACACTCTCTAGCGCTTCCTGCTCGTACAAAGATATAGCCAGAAACTCAGATAACATGCCCCAAATATGTTCCCTCCGTTTGGACCTGTTTTCTCTCCATTACCTTGTCGGGAGGCGACCCTATCGCAACCTTCACAAATCCAAAACTGAGCTCCGCCTGCTGCTTGAACCATGTACGGGCAGCAATACTTTTCTCATCTATTGCCATATCCAAACGAACAACCGTCAGCCGTCCTGGTCGTCCGTTCTCTCCATTCGACTCCTCCCGCTTCCACCCACCATTCCGCAACGGCCGCACGAACGCCGTCGGCACTGTTAGCGCTGCTACACACGCCTCGACGGTCTGCACCCAGGTCTCCCTATCCACTACGCCCGAGCTGACGGCCTCCTCTGCCGCCCTGAATGCTGAGTTTAGGGATGGGACGTTGGCTTTGGAGTGGAGGAGCTGTGCGAGGTTGTGTGCTGCCGTCGACATGGTCGCTGAAACGGGGAAAGCGGTGAGATAGGGCAGAGAATATGCATACACTTGCCGCTCTCTGTGTTACGTTCTCCCACATCTGCCTATCTGTGCGCCCGTATATTCGAGTGCGTTGCGGGATATGCCGTCGTCGTCGGCCTTCCGTGCAAGTTCCCCTGTGCCTTCGTCTTCCTCCTCCCAACGCGTGTGTCATGGAGGTGTGCTTTTCCCCCCTTCCCCCTTCCCTGCCCAGAAGCACTCATATACGGTACTATAGCACGACAGGCAGGCAGCAAATACTCACGGCTACGGTATCCTCTCCGTCTGTCTACATCCACGACACACCGACCCCTTCATCTTCCAAAGTCTCTCCCCCCGCGTGTCGTCGCTATCCATGCAGGAAGATGGGTCCCGACGATGGGTGATCTTGGGTTTGGGGTGTATGCTGCTTGTTGGGGTGAGTCTTATGAAGGATATCGGGAGCGCAACTGGGGTGTGGGAGAAGGGAGAATGGATGCTTGAGCGATGAACCTGACTACTGATCCTTTTCTGCTCGTTATGTCGTTTTCTTTGGGTATAGACGAACTATGCGGTAGGTGTTCTGTGTTCCAGTATTGGAAGGCCTAAAACAATACGCTTTCCCTAAAAGTATCCCTTCTCCCCACCCAGTACGACGCCCCAGCCTCCCTCGCCCTACTCCTCGCCACCTACCTCCACGAAACCCCCGCAGAGCACCAGTATACCCTCTCCACCCTCTACGCGCTCTACTCGCTTCCAAACACAATCCTTCCCTTCTACGGCGGCCGACTTGTGGATTCGATGGGGACAAAACGCATGATGCTGTGGTGTGCGGGGTTGGTGGTTGTGGGGCAGGGCGTGTTTGCTGTGGGCGTGCAGAGGAGGGTGAAGATGGGGATGTGGATGGGACGATTGTTGTTCGGAGTAGGGGCAGAGACATTGGGTGTTGTGGTGAGTTGCGCACAGCAATACCGAGCGTCAGCGAGAACAAGCAGTGTGTGCGAACCGAGCAAGATGTGGGCAAGGCCAGTTCTTAAATCAAACCAGTTTCCCTCTCTCTCCCCTCACGACCACCCCCCAGCAAACCCGCTTAACAACAAAATACTTCCTCCACAAAGAACTAGCCCTTTCCCTCGGCCTCGAACTCTCCATTGCGCGTCTCGGCTCCGTCCTCAACGACCTCATCACCCCCCACCTTGGCGCACGCCTCTCGGTGCCCATCGCTGTCTGGGCAGGCTTTCTGTCCTGCGTCCTCTCGTTTGTCTGCGCTATCTTACTCGCGCGGTTGGATGATTTGCCGGAAAGTAGGGATGGCGAGGCGAGTGGTGGGAGCATGAGAGAGGCGGTCAAGAGTTATCCGAGAGCGTTTTGGACGATATGTGCGGTGATGTGTGTGTTGTATGCGACCATGGTGCCGTTCAATACGGTCCATGCGGGGTTTCTGCAGACGAGGTGGTATCCTGGGGATCCTGAGAAAGGTACTACGTAAATCCACCTTATCGCTTTTCTCATGATTCCCAACGCCTGAAACTTTTATACCCCCGCACCTCAGCCGCCCAACTCTCATCCATCCCCGACACCCTCTCCGCCCTCCTCGTCCCTCTCGTCGGGCACCTCACCGACACCCACGGCCACCGCACCACCTCCCTCCTCGCTTGCGCCGCCCTGATCCTCGCCGTGCACACCTTCCTCGGCCTCGCACCGTTCGAATGGACGCCAATACCTGCGCTGGCCATGCTGGGGCCGGCGTATGCGCTGTTGTTGAGTGTGTGGCCTTGTGTGGCGATTGTGGTGGGGGGGAGAGGGGGTGGGTTGGCTTTGTAAGTTTGTGTTATATCACAGTCTGATGTGTGTGTGTTTCGCGGCATGCAAAACTAACGGGGCTCATGTTTTCTGGATTCTAACAGCGGAATAACAACATCGCTCCTCAACATCTCCCTAACCCTCTTCCCGCTCATCGTCGCGCGTCTCATCGTGCTCGACGGGACATACACGCTCGCCGAGCTCTTTTTCGCAAGCTGTGCGGCCGCTGGGGTGGTGTTGACCTGTGTGCTTATGACGGATCGGGAGTGGGGGGCGGCTTTGCAGAGGAGGGGGGCTGTGGACGGTGCGGATGCGAATGGGAATGGGGAAGGGGACGTGGGGCTGAGGACGAGGGGGATGAGAGGGGAGTATATGGGGCTGGAGGATATGGAGTGAGGCGAGGGGGATGAGGAGGTTGATATCCATGCATAGTCGGAAGTCTGAGTGAATTTTCGAGTAAAGCTGCCTAACGCTGGGAAAATGCTTGGACTGTGACGGCTCAGTTGCCTTTGTTCCAAACGACAACTGGATTTTCCAACGTTTCCAACCGGACGCCCTTCTTCTCCTTCATGTAATTGCGTAGTATATGTGGTCTGAACTCCGAGTCTGAACTCCGACTCGGGCAAGAGGGGACGTGTACGGCTGTATTACGGCTTTTTGGCCGGAAATCATTTATCATACCCTATCTATCTAGTATGCTAAACAATCGCTGCCGGTGATACGCTCAGGTTCATGGCTTTGACCTTTCCTCCTCCCATCCCGCATACGCCACGCCCTCTAGACCGTGAGAGTAGGCGTGTGCCTTGTTTGCGCCCCCTTCCGCCAGACCGACCCCCGTCCCGACCCATGTTTCCCGACCCATCTCTGCCTGATACTCCAACATCAGCTTCTTGAGCTGATATCGCAAGCGCCACCCGGTAGAGACCAGTCCTCCTCCCGTCGCCCATCTACAACTAGCCGTAATGTCCTCGAGGTGTGGTTATATCCGGGTTTCCGATGTGGATGTCGTGCTTCTCCGCCGCCGTCGCGCCGATGCGTGTCTCTGCCGCCTTCTGCAGATCGGCTGGTGAAGGGTATGTTGTGCAACCGGTCGCTGGTGCAGGTCGGGCCAGCGGTATGCATGATTCGTCTATTTGCCGACTGTACTGCCCTTGTCGTTGCTGCTCTTTGCGTCCGGCAGGAGCATCGCTTGCGAGCGTCCACCGGATCTCTCCGTTGTATCTTCACCCACTCTCGTCCGCCCATTCCCTCAATCAAATCTCCTCTCTCACTCCCCCCTCGTCTCCATCCCTCTCCTCCCCTCCACAATCCTCCCCCATTTCCTCCTAACCAGAGCCACCAATCGCTCATCCTCCCTGCCCTTCAACGCATCCCTTTCGTGCAGAATGTACGCCGCGATGCCGATGGCTGTGAAGAGGAAGGGGTCGATGCGAGGGGAGAGGAGGGATGTGTAGCGGATTAGATGGGGTGGGGTTGGGCCGGACATGGTGCTGGGGGGGATTCTATTGGTAAATGCGTGAGGAAACGGTGGTGGACGACGCTTTGGAGCCGCTTTGTGGTAGGATGCCGTTTGGATGAAGCGTTGGGTTGGTCTGTTGGTTACTAGCTGATTGCGGAGTGGGTTATGCACAGTAGATTGCCGGGGCCAAAGTGTGCCTTTGGGGGTGAGTTGCTTTCCACCGTTTTCATCCTTCGCACGGGTTTCGCAGGTTTCTCTTCTCATTAACGTCTCCAGGAGCGGGACATTACAGACTAATAGTTGCAACAGTACACATAGCAGGACACACCCCATATCTCACCGCACCACTCCCGACCAGGTAAGGAAGTACCCAGCACGCCCATACCCCTGCCGTCCTCCTATTCCTCCTACGTATATTGACCAAGAACCACCTCCTCATTCACAGCCCCTCACCAAAAAAAAAAAATGAAACCCCTATCCCGCACCCGCCCAACCCGCGGCGGCTCCACACCCTCCACCAAACGCAGCCTACCTGGCAAACCCAGCAAAGCGATCCAAAAGACCCGGGAAGCAACAAAGCCCGGGCGAGGGGGAAAGAGGGGTCAACAACAGACACGCAGCGCGAGAGTCGTGAAGGAAGCAGCAGCGGAGGTGGAGGTGGGGGATAACAGTGGGGCGGAGGAGGAGGAGGAGGAGGGTGTGAGCGTGGGGGACGAAGAGAGTGAGGACAAAGTAAAGGCAGCAGGGCGGGTGAAGAAAGTGTACCCGCCGAGCGGGAAGAAAGGGAAGAAGTTTCCTGACCATGTACGTTACTGTATCTCCCCACCACCCACTCCTCTCACCCCGCTAATCTGGGGTTTTTTCCTTATCCATGTAGACGCAGCTCCTCTCCCTAATCTCCACCCTAAACGCCACCGAAGAATCCCGCATCTCCACAAAACTCCTCCGCACGCACAAACACGCCGCGCAGGACGTCGAACGCGTCGCCAAGAAGCGCGAGCGGCAGAACACCAAACGGAAGGAACTGGAGGATGTCAAGAAGGCTTTGAGGGAGGAGGCCGCGCAGAAGAAGAAGAGGAGGAAGAAAAAGGTGGAGGAGGAGGTGGTGGAGACGGGGAGGAAGAGGGTTTCTTTTGCTTTATAATGGGGATGGAACCGATCTCCGTGCCGCATTCCATTGCAGCATGCATACCACATCACCCGATTCGGAAAGATGTACATACACGCTATTTATTCACTTCATTCACAATCACACAAGTGCTTCATATTCATCTCCTCAACCAACCCGTTCAATGTCCCGCATGTACGCACAAAGGAGGATATGTATTCCCGATATACACGGGCTGGAAAAGTCTAACATGTACAAAACGGATATTGGCATGTTTCATCTACTATGTCGAAGATGAACGCTCGGGTGATACCCTTCTGTTACATTTTCTGGAAGTGGGTTTCCGGAAGTGGTTTTACACCCGCTGCACGTAATTAGCAGGAAACGCGCCGGTCTGCCCATTCAACTCTCCTACGAACCAATCCGAATCCTAAATGCCCCCCAAATCAGTTTTAAGATCCTTCCCCATCTGCGAATGGAAGACACAACAGCTGCTAGAACGTACCGAAGAATCAGTCAACCGAATGATCGCGCCTGCCTTGAAACTGATCTCGTCCGGTGCGCCGGCTGTGTAGTCGTACAGCGCTTTCACTACAAAAAAGGATCCCAAATATCAACCACCGTCCCCTTGCACTTTGTTATGACTTGAGGTCTCCATGGAAATCGGCGACGTCATCTCCGTCGTTTCCAAAAACACGGGGAGCGATGCGTGGTGGGAGGGCGAGAGTTCGCGGGGGAAGGTAACATAACTTCATTCTTTTTACGTACCTTGAGGCGTAGCAGCGACGGCGGCGGCGGGAACGATTGAGGCACGGTGGGATGCTAACTACGGTGGGGAGAGAAGAACAGAGTGTGTGTATTAATATGTGAGGGCCGGTGTGTGCAGGGTACCGAGAGGGACATGTGATACATACACCCGAAAGAGGCCTCGCATTATCCTCAATCTGCTCGACATAATTCACCGGGAACTGGCCCTACGACACAAAAACACATGTCAATGACCATCAACATACATCAGGCAGCGCACATGTGATGAAGTTATGTTACCTTCCCCCGCGAACTCTCGCCCTCCCACCACGCATCGCTCCCCGTGTTTTTGGAAACGACGGAGATGACGTCGCCGATTTCCATGGAGAGCTCGCCGTCGCAGGTGCTTTGGTAGGCGAAGAGGGCTCGTACTACAAAAGGGGGTGGTAAATCACAGGTGTACGGTTGATGCATGGGCAAAGTACAGAATTCCCATCCCAAAGTCTGCCATCTCACTCACCTCTCACACCCGCACTGGCAGCCGAACTCGCGCTGACACCCGCACTCTTAGCCGGCAGAGCACTCGTCCTCCTACTCATCATACTTTCCCTCCTACTCGCCGCCGCCTGGGCCACACTCTCCACGCCCGCAGGCCTTCCAAGACTCGGCAACGCACCGCCACCAAACCCATTATCCAACCCCTGCAGCGCCTGCCACCCCTGCGTGAACACAATGGGGAACTGGCCGGATTGGTTGGTACGCGGTAACCGCCCCTCCCACCAAGCCTCGTCGCTGAAATCGTTGCCCGTGTCGAGAACGTCGATAATGTCGCCGGCTTTGAAGGTTAGTTCGCCTTCGTCGGTGGCTGTAAAGTCGTAGATCGCTTTCACTGTATATGGGGATCGACATGTCAGGACGAACGAATCGACATGTCCGAGACGTTCCCGGCCAAACTGCATCTCGAGCAAGCTAGGACATGCCCAGAAACGTCGCCAAATGCATACCTTGTCGAGCCCCACCCCCACCCCCCGCCGTCGTAATCACCGATGCCCGTTTCGACATCGCCGCCGCCGCCTGATTCACAACCACACCTCCCGCACCCGCAGCCCCACTTCCACCACCCACAATCTCCTTGATATAAGTCGCCGGCACAAGCCCACTCGCCCCACCCGCCACATTGCGCACTTTAATCCACCCATCCTTCTCCGGGACCAGAACCACGAGCTCGTCGCCGCTACGGAGGGATATTTCCCCGTCGCCTTTAGCGTCGTAGTCGTAGACGGCGTGGGCGGTCGGTTTGTCGAGGTGGGAGGGGTGGTGGGCTCCTGCGCTGCCAGGGGTGGCGGCGGTGGGAAGGGCAGGCATTATGGGTTGCACTGTGCTCGAGCAAGGTGCGGAGGGTGAGAATGTACAGCGATACCATTTGGGACTGCAAAACGTTGGACGCACCTCCTTTTTCTTGAAGAACCTGCACTTGTGCGCTCGTCCTCGCCTTGAGCGCCGTCAAAAGCCTCAAAGAATTCTCGATCTCCTGTCGTTGCTGCATTCCGAGGCCCACAAACATCAGCCCCTCTATCTCGCTCGAGACACAGGGTCATGTAATCCCCTCCTACCTCCAGCGGTGACGCGGCATTCCCAAAGGATGGAGTCTGTGCATAGACGTCCGCCATTTGAGCCACGCCGCCGAGTTCGCGTTCCCGCTGTCCAATGTCGCTGATCACCTGGCTCTCCTGGACTTTCAGCCGGCCTAGGCGGTGGCCCAGGGCTACTTTGGTCACATCGTCGACAATGATTTCGGTGACCTTTCCCGAAAAAACGTATCAGCCCAGCTGCATCAAGATAGGAAGCACCTCCAGAACCCCCAGGGCAACACTCACATCGTCACCAGCATGCGATTCGAAGTAGAACGTGCTCGGATCCTGAAACACGCCCTGATGTTCCCGCATGAACGCTTCCGACTCTTTCCCGCGCTCCATCCCTTTGACCGTCTCGCGCAATGTCTCGACGGCGCTGTTCAACACCGCTGTGAATTCGCTTTCCATGTTTGTGTATTTGTCCAGGGCGGAGGGGTAGGCGCTGTAGAAGCTTCCGTCGAGGTTCTTTTCGAGTGTCCAAGGTGGATTAGCTTTGTCATTTTGACATAAGTCTGCGACTTGCGGCATACCTGCATGAGTTGCGGTAGTTCCTCTGTAAAGCCGAACAGCAAAGTCGTTTAACAACACGAGCAGTCATCGATCGCGTGACACGTTTCAATTACCTTTATAGTAAGTTTGTTGGATCGAATTCACAGCTTGCAATGCGAGCAGATACTCATTCCGAGCATCATTGAGCTTCCTGCTCAACGACTTCCACTTGCTCCTTTGCTAAGAAACGCAGAGTCAGCTTTCTCTGCTACCTATGTCCCCTTCGAGCCACGTTCCAACAGCCGAGCCGCCATATGCACCTTCGACACCCTTTCTTCCGAATCCGTCCCGGTGACCAAGTTTTTGATAGCGCTCAGCCCCGATCCCGGCTTCCGCGAAATCTCGTCGTATTTGCGATGCGCGGCGTCCGTTTCTTTTGCGGCTTTCTCATAAGCCTGCTTTGTCTTTTCCAGATCGTCGTAGGTCGCCCATAACTCTTGCTGGTATCTGCTCTGTTGTGCGATGCCAGTTGGGAGTCAATGTTGCCCGTTTCCACACTCTGTACTCGTTAGAGGCATGCCACTTACACCAAAATCCAGATTCTAAAAATGAAGCAGGTTGAGTGACCGCGTTACCCTAGGGCATCAACGAAATGTCCAACCACATACCCGCTTCGCCCCGCCGCCCTGACTCTTCGTGAAATCCTTCAAAAAGTCCGCAATCTCGGCATTCAGCTGGTCACCAATCTGCCCGCGTTTCCTCGCCTGCTTCTCCGATTCCAATAACACTGTCGAGAAGGCGACATAGATCGCTCTAATAGACCGAGGTAAGAGGGCGTGGTTCAAAGGTCAACCCGATCGTACGCTCACTCGACGAGTGCAGCAGCAGGGCTATTTACCTTACCCTACAGCAGAGTCCCCACTAAGCGGTGTCTGGTTCGGCGTGCCAGACGCCGTACTGCGCTTGAACTTTTTGGTTTGGTACTGCTTTCCGAGCTTTTCCAGGCTCTAATATTCAGCGCATGCATTAGTTTCCCCGATGATCTTGTGCCGACGCGCGGAATATGGAACACGGCGTAAGAAACAACACTTACAGTTGCATATTGAGCCTCGATCTCTGCTCGTCTCTAAAAGACCATGGGTATTAGGAAGAACTCCGTGATTCATAACATGACCAGCATCACATCGTGAGCCCCTTCTCAACCAACCTTGAAATACGCGCCGACAACCTCGAGCAGCTCGACCTCAGCATCTGCCTTAGCCTGCAGACGAGACAGCTGTTGCTGCTGCTGGGCCTTGAGCTGCTTGAGGATGCCCTTCGTGTCTGACTGGGCGGCCATTGCGGCGGGAATGTGGAGTGCGGGGGTTTTACAAGAGTTTGTGGAGAGGGAAACGGGTGGGAAAAGCGACCGCCAGAATGACAAGCCTCAAACCTCGGGCGTTCGAATGTGGGTTAGGGTTGGTGGGCGTCGCGAGTTCCACGTCCCACACTCACATCCGTGCAAAGTCCAGGAACATGCAGGTCACCCACTATAAGTTACTTCCGTTCCAATGTGCTGTACATGAGAGGCAGTGCTAGCTATCTGACAAGATATCTATCGCTGAAAGGAGGGGCCTGCTGTCCATATCCGCCTCCTAAACGACCAACGACCTCGTCGAGGCAGAGCAGCCAAGACAACTCACATGTGGGTGAGTATGTTCAACCGTACGTTCGGCCCCACTTCACTGCGAGAGATGACGGCGAATAGCGAGAGCACAGGCTACTGGAGGCCGTCCGTCGCGATTGGCATATCGCAGCCTCCCAATTCCCGCCTTGCTGTGTCCTCCCCAACCGGCAATGCGCGTTGCAGCAGTCATGTGTACTTGCAGTGCTCCCCCCCCATCTCCAAATCATAATCCCTCATGCCTCATCTCCATCCGCAATCGCGCCATGCTCCCTCACGATCCTCCCCTCAATAGTTGATCTCATCAGTTGATGCACGGTTGTGACCGCCGACAGAGCCATGTTGTATGCGTTATCGAACTTTGGAAAGTGTATGAGTATGTGAGACGGAGTGACGGAGCGGACATGGACTGGGAAAGGAGGGGAGGGTTGCTTTTACCTCGTTTTCAGTGAAACTGCCTGTGCAAAGTGTCGCCATAGCGCCGTCCGAGGCGTTGTCAAAGACAAAGGTATGTATTGATTTCGCGGACTGCATGCATCAAGAGCTCGAGATTCAGCATTTCCCAACCGGTGATCTTTCATCCACGCAAAACGCAATTCCATCCTCACCTCAAGCTCCACCAAACTAGGATCTAGCAACAACACCCCATCTTGCGCAATCATACACGTTACCCCCGCCGGAACCGCACGTAAAGGGATTCCTGCATCGATCAGCGCCAACGTCGCTGCGTTTACCGCCGACGGGATTATCTATTCGCAAACCGTTTCAGTAATCGCAATCTTCTTTGCAAAGCTGCGAAAGTATGCAAAAGATGTTGAAATTGCTACTCACCCCTCCATCGTCCGTCAAGACCTGCAACACGATCCGAATAAGCGTCCGCGGGTGTAATGCAGCGAGGATCGACGCTTCGACTGTCTGGCGGATCATGGCCCCGTATAACATTTCCGTCGTTGCTATCAGAAAAACAGGTCAGAAGAACTCTCGCAAAGTGAGCGGTGTTCCCGAATGGATGAATACATGGATCGTACTTACAGGTCTGGCCCGAAGCGGTTTTGACAATAACCTCCACCGTCGCCTTGTCCAGCTTCTCGTCCCTGATCTTCACTTCCATGGGTCCAAACACCGAACACAGCACCGCCGTGTCACCTATAGAGGAAACGTGAGAACATGACATTCAACAAGTTGGCGTTCGGAAGAGTCTCCTCAATGCCTCCTCTCTCTTATTGCTCTCGTTGTACGTGGTGTTGAAGGTGGCAAGTAGAAAATCGGCACATACACCTAACAACATACCGAACTTGAACCTCACCGACCCGTCCGCGCGACTCAGCAGCGCAGAGCTGCAGTAGAAGGGCCGCAGCTCGTGGGCGGACTGGCGCTTGTCTGGGCGTAACCTTGTTGTTGTTGTGGTCGTCATTCTTGGTTGGGGATAGTGCGAATTCGATGCTGGCGGGACGCTAATGGAAGTTCCAATATCGAAAGGGGTTCTCGTTTTGGACGACGCGACAGGAGTTGCTTTCTTCCCAGCTTTCTTCCCAACAGCGACTCCTTCAAACAGTTCTTGAGCACGGTACTCAGCGCTGAAGGACCGTAGTCACAGACGGACGGGTGGAACAGGCAGGGCAGAGACGGGCGCTTGAACTGACGGTCGGGCGGCTAAAGTGGCGACGGACGCAACGACGAAGGAATCAGGAAAAGACCTCCGACGCTGGACATCGGACCCTCAACCCAACAATCTATTACAGTACCTTCGCCATGCCCTTCGCACCCCGCCACCTCCTCCTCCTCGTCTCCGGCGCCGGCGTATATTCCCTCGGCATCTACACCGCCTACCATTCCTACCGCATCTACTCTCTCCCCCCACCCCCACCGCTCATCCACACCCCCGCCTTCCAACGCCAGCTCCAGCCCACCACCACCGGAATCCTCGATCGAGTCGGTCCCGACGCATACGATGCAGAAGTCGGCGGCCACGAAGTCCTCATGCGGATGGGCGCCCGCCGGAAAGAGCTGGTGGCGAGAGCACGGGGGAAGGTGTTGGAGGTGTCAGCGGGCACGGGGCGGAACGTGGCGTATTACAAGGGTCTGCAGGGCGTGGTGGACGAGCTGTGCATGAGCGATGTGAGCGAGGTGATGTTGAGGGGCGCGTGGGAGAGGTGGAAGGAGGTTGTGGGTAGGGATGGGGTGAAGCCGAAAACGCAAGCGGGTGGAAACATCACCATCGACACCGCCAAGCTGAGCACGACTACATCACCACCCAATGCGAAACCGGCCACCAGCTACCCCCCCACAACCTTTGCCCTCCTCAACGCCGAAAACCTCGCCCCGATCCCCACACATAGCTACGACACGGTGGTCTCCACCCTCGGGCTCTGTTCCTACGACGACCCCGTTGCGGCCCTGCGCGAGTTCTCCCGCGTCACCAACCCCGCGACGGGCCGCATTTTGCTGCTCGAGCACGGCCGCAGTAATGAATACGGGGCTATGGACGCGTTTTTGGATAAGACGGCGCTGAGTCATGCCAGGGAGTGGGGGTGTTGGTGGAACAGGGATATTGAAGCACTGGTAGACGAGGCGGGGCTGGTGGTGGAGGAACGGAGGAAGTTTCATCTGGGGACTACGACTTGGTTGGTTTGTCGCCCGGGCCCGACGAGGGGCGAGGCTGCTGCTGCGGGTTGATGGGCAACGGATTGGGACGAGCCGCACCACACCCAGTGTGCGAAACTTTGACCGCCCTTGATGATTTGAAGATACAATGTGGCCCATCACGGTTGAGCGCCTACCGTCTCGGCTATCCACGCCCACCGCCAACGTGCAAATGCCTGCGAAAACACTGGAGCGCTTCACAACCGGCCACAACCGCTCGAACAATGGACCGCGCAGTCCACATTGCGCGCTCTGAGGAGGAACCGAGCGGATTCATCACCCGCAGACCGCCCATCATCATCATCCCAACACACCGGCGGCGCCCAAAGAGGGGTCCGTGGCAACGCGGCGTGGTTTGGCAGGACACACCCGGACGGACGGGCACCGAAAGCGAACGCATTGTCGGTTCATCGTTTGGGGAGGCACACACGAGCGGCCGGGGCCTTGCACTTGTATCAACACGATGTAGACCCTTTTCTCGTAGCATAGGCAGAACATATCGAGGATGTTTTAGATGTGATCATCATCTCTTTTCAGTCGAAAAGGCGAAACGTGGCGGAAGACGGCTGAGAGTGTGAGTGTGCATCTCACCTGCCTTCACCAGCGGCAAGCGGGACACCGGCGATACCAGACCAGTTGCCCGTTGCTGGGTTCTGCCGTAACCGCACGACCCAACAAACCAGCCCGTTTAACAAGGAATGCGGGCTGGAATACCCTCGAAGATCCCATACGGTCGGGAACGCATGTATGCAAATCTCGAGAGTGGGCCCCCCTCCTGCCGACACATATCGGGCGTCGGGGCACGACGTGCAGTTGTGAAAGCTCACCCCGACGCCGCCAGACAAAGGCAATGGCAACCTTCCTCAGGAGGTTGCAAAGGCGAAGCCATGCCATTTTTTCACCGCTTTTCCGTGAGATAGTCTCGCTGGTCTTTGTTGACACAACCTGCTGTCAGATCACAGCTTTGTTTCCCAAGACGCGTCGAAAACGCGTAAACGTGGATCAGATAAGCATTGACGGCCACCGTCCAACAAACGCACAGGGGGCGTGGTGGGGACCCGACCAGCGCCAAGCATATCACTATGCACCTTGAACATGTTCATTGGCCTCAGAAAAATACATACGAGATCCCCAAAAAAGTCAACGCTCTATACACTCCTTTCTATCATCTAACGCTCTACCCTTCACAGATACCCTTCTGCATCCTAACCACAAAAAAGCCCTCATACAATTCATCCGGAAACACCCGCAGCGCCATCTCCATCCCGCCCGCAGCCCTCTCGCCCTTCGTCTCCGCCAACCCGGCCGAAAACGCCTTCTCGCCTCCCCGATCCCTCATCTCCCCCAACCCGCCCGCCAGCTCGACAATCTTCATATCGCCCGCCTCCGCCAGAAACGCGCTCACGACACCCTCGTTCTCCTCCCAGCTCAGAGTGCATGTCGAGTAGGTTAGGTGTCCGCCCGGGGAGAGGAGGGCGTGGGCGGCGTGGAGGAGTTGGAGCTGGAGGCGGGCGTGTTTGAGGACCCAGGTCGGGGTCCAGTGGGTGTAGGTGGCGGGCTGGGCGAGGGCGATTGTGCCGGAGCCGGAGCAGGGGGCGTCGAGGAGGATGGATGTGAACAGGGTTGCGGGGTGTGGTTGGGGTTGTTGTGAGGGTGGGGCTGGTGAGACGCCGGCGGGGGGCGGATTGTAGAACGCTGGCAGTTTCCGCCCGTCTTTGATCTGAACATGGACGAGATGCCGTAGATGTGCAGGTACGAGTGTGTCCATGTTGGTCGTGAGACGCTGGGCGCGCTCGTGCTCGATTTCGTTGGCTACCACCATACCCTTCCCATCCCTCGCACCCTTCACATCTCGACTCCCACCCAACGACCCGACAACCCCCTCAACAAGCATCCCCGTCTTCCCCCCCGGCGCTGCACACATGTCCAACACCCTCTCCCCCCTCCCCACACCAGCAGCCAGCGGCGGTAACATGGAGCTCCAACCCTGGAAATGCACGAGCCCCATTTTGACGACGGGTAAATGGGCGAGATGCCGCACATCGATGAAAGGCGAGGCGGCGTCGTTGCGGAGCCCGAAAGCAGTGCGTGGTGCGAACGGGGCTGGTGTGAGTCGTTTGGAGCGGTGTTTGGGGGAGAGGGAGGATGTGAGTTGGGAGAGGATGCGGGTGCGTTCGGTGTGGTGGGGGTCTTTGTCGTTCGTCCTGTATTCCCTTTTCTTAACTCCCTCCTCATTCGACGACGCCCCATCCCCCTCACCGTCCATCAACCCCAAACCCAGTTTCAGCGTATTGATCCTAAACGTCGTCTGGCGAGGGTTTGCGAACGCGACGGCGAGTGCATCGAGCTGGGTGGGGGTGTAGATGGAGGCGAGATGGGTGAAGAGGGGACGGAGTTTTGCGCGGGTTTTTGATATTGAAGTCGTGACGTCTTTTGCGATGTGCATGCGTGTGGTGGGTTCAGCGTTCGTTGGTACGTGTTGACGCTGAAGCGACTGTGGGAGGAGCCTGATTTGGGAGAAACGCCCAGAGAAGAGGGGGGAGGGACCTTGAGAACACGCGCGGGTCCAGTGGGGTTGAACATGAGAACGCGGCCTGAGGCGGCTTTCTGACTTCTTGCGACATGAGAACACGCGTCCTCCTTCCGCGGGTAAAGCGAGTCTAAGAGAACTTTCGCTCCCTTTGACCGCGTCCTGTCTTCCTGCGCGTCACTCGCACTCTCAAGTCCCTCCTGCGGTACGTTAGGTGGGTGAGTGGGTGATGAGGCTGGGCGCGGCGGCTGGCTTCCAGAACACAACAGAAAAACCCCATATAACTCGTCAGCCTTCCTCCTTCCCCAGACTTATACTCCCACAGCGGTTCCCCTTCACTCGCTATTCTCCACTCTGCTCTTCGTCTCAGGTATGTTCACACCGCAGGCCGTGAGAACACCCTACCCTGTGTTACGTGTATGGGAGGGGAATACGAACAGGGGCGATGGCCAAGATGGGGACGAGAGAAGCCTCACTTGTTCCTGTCGAATCCTTGGATATCCGATCGCTTAGGAACTGCACCTATATATATCGAACAGAAACTTATAACCCTTGCCCTACACTCTTCTCCCTTCCAGCGTCCAACACGATCTCCGCATCGTACAGTGGCCCACCACCACCATGATCACAACCGTAGCAATGTGGCTCGGCCTCGCCTTTGCCCTCCCCATCTACCTCTTTGGCTCCCACCACGGCAAGCCCCGCTCAATCGAAGCAGGCTCCACCACCTCCTCCGACCGCTCAAAAGCCCGTCGCGCACCCAAAGCTGCCCAAAAACTCACAGAACGTCCTTACGACGACGTCAACACCGTTCATGATATCATCCTCCATGCTGCAAAGACGCGCGGTAACAACCCGGCCATGGGTGCTAGGAAGGTCGTGAATACCGTTACGGAGGAGAAGGAGTTGATCAAGAACGTGGATGGGAAACAGGTCAAGGAGTTGAAGAAGTGGAACTTTTATGAATTGAGCGCCTATCAGTGGATGACCTTTAATGAGGTCAAGGAGGCGGTTGAATTGTTGGGGAGTGGACTCAGGAAGGTGGGGTTGAAGAGTGGCGATAGCTTGACCTTGTTTGCTGCTACCAGGTGAGTCACCGTGAACGAACTCCTTTGCGAGCGACAGCGAGCGGAGTGAGCTAGCGCCAGAGGCGCAATACTCCTTTAGCCATGGCTCTTAGTGAGCCTCAGCGAGCGCTCCCGCCCACCGACATCTCGCTGACGCTCGGACACCGCCTTCGGCTTTTGCATTCTTCGCGTTCGTCGTTGGTCGATCGTTGACATGCACAGCCAAATCACTCACTTCGTTCCTTATTCCTTATTCCTAGTCGCGACTGGCAGCTGATGGCCCACGCGGCATGGTCGCAAGCCATCACAATCACAACCGCATACGACACCCTCGGCGAAGAAGGTCTCACCTTCTCCCTCAACGAATGCTCCATCACGACCCTCTTCACCAACGCTGATCTCCTCCGCGTCATCCTCTCCGTCGGCAGCAATGTGCCCACCCTCAGCAAGATCATCTACAACGGCCAGGCGGACGAGAAAATTGTCGGGCAGATCAAGCAGAAGTTCCCCCATTATGAGCTGTACTCGATTGAAAAGTTGAGGGAACTGGGGACCCAGAATAAGGTGGAGACTGTGCCTCCGAAGCCGGAGGATATTGCTTTGATCATGTACACTTCTGGTAAGCCAAAGAGAGCGGTTCCTCCGTGCCCCAAGACGATTCCCTGATTGTTCATATTGCATTCCCAGGCTCCACAGGCAACCCCAAAGGCGTCCTCCTAACCCACGCCAACATCGTCGCCGCCGTCGGCGGCGCAAAAGACGTCACGGACACCATCCTCAACCACGGCGAAGAGGTCTACCTCGCCTACCTCCCTCTAGCGCATGTGCTCGAGCTGGTCGTGGAACAGCTGTGCCTGTGCGAAGGTTACCGCATCGGATACGGGAGCGTGAGGACACTGACGGATGCGAATGTGCGCAACTGTAAAGGCGATTTGACTGAGTTGAGGCCGACTGTTATGACGGGTGTGCCTGCTGTTTGGGAAACGTGAGTTGTGTGATTCGCGTAATTGAAGAGGGAGCTGCAAAGTCATCAGGACATCGCAACTCAAAAACTTCTCATTCCTTCAAAAGCATCCGCAAAGGCGTCTCCAGCAAGCTCAAGAACGCCTCCCCGCTCCTCAAGACCGTCTTCCAAGTCGCCTCCGCCCTGAAATGGGAGCTCATCAAACTGGGCCTTCCCACCGGCTTCATCGACAAGACGGTGTTCAAGAAGATCCAGGAGCAGACTGGGGGCAGGTTGAAGATTGCCCTGTCGGGGGGCGCGCCTATGCCCCAGGAGACGCAGAAGTTTATGACGACTTGTGTGTGCCCGATTGTGCAGGGTTATGGGATGACCGAAACTTGCGCGTATGTGGATCGTACCTACCCAATGGTATCGGAACGCACGCTAATTGCCCTTTTTGTTTAGTGCAAGCGTCATCCAACTCCCCGCGGACCCCTGGATGCTCGGCCGCGTCGGCCCTCCCACCACCTGCGTCGAAATCTCCCTTAACGCCGTCGCCGACACCTCCTACCACCCCTCCAACCGCCCCTACCCCCAAGGCGAGGTCTGGATGCGTGGACCCACCATCATGAAAGGTTACCACAAGAACCCCGCTGCCACCACGGAGACCCTCACGTCGGACGGGTGGCTCATGACCGGCGACATTGGCGAGTTTTACCCCGATGGAACGCTGGCGATTATCGACCGGAAGAAGAATCTGGTCAAATTGTCGAATGGGGAGTATATCGCCCTGGAGAAGCTGGAGTCGCAGTACAAGACCTCACCCTACGTGCACAACATCTGCGTGTACGCCAACTCCCACGAGTCCTTCCCCATCGCGATCGTCAACCCTCTCGAGAAGGAGGTGATGCATTTGGCAAAGGAGAAGGGATTGGAGGGACACTTTGACGAGTTGTGCCACAACGAGGTGGTTGTAGGCGAGGTGTTGAAGAGTCTGAGAGCGGCGGCAAAGAGTGCCGGGTTCAAACCTGCGGAGATTCTGGGGAGCGTGGTGCTGGATAGTGAGATGTGGACGCCGGAGAATGGAAAGTTGGTATGTAACCCCCGTTTCTGATCTTGCGGTTGGGGTTTGTGCAGGCGGGCGGGCGGGGTTGCCAGCTTCTGAACTAACTCCCCCGTTCCCCACGCTGTTGATGATTCGTTTTGGTATGATAAGACCGCTGCACAGAAACTGAAACGCGCGGATATCGTCAAGGAGAACAAGGACAAGATTGACGCGATGTATAAAGCTGGACGGCAGTGAAAAAATGCATACGGGTAACCCGCCGCGATCCCGAACTCGTTAGTCTAGATCTTTTCCTCATCCATTGCAGATCTTGCACCCATGCGATACCGCCTTCACCTTTCGTTAAACTACGCCCCCCCCCCCCCCACCTTTTTCCCGAACAATTTCTTCATTGTATTCTTTTCGTTTCTCATATTGGACCCCAAATACCATTTTGTCCTTTTCTTCAGTGCGGTGCATGGGTTGGAGCACGACGGGAAGATGAGCAGCACCCCCCCCCCCCCCCCCCCCCTTCTCGTATCCGCATGCGAAAAGGCAAAGTGGAGGCGCGCTCAGCGTCGAGGTGCAAAATGCACGTGGTTCATGCGTTCACCGGTGATACTGTAGATTCGGCACCCCATCACTGGGCCCCGCGTTGACAAACGCAGCAGGTGGGTCAGGGGGCTGGGGGTTTGAGCGAGTGTCGGACTTGTGGGGTGTTTTTGCGCGGGGCGCACAGGCGTCAGACGGTGGTTGGGCTTGTAAAGGTCTCCGCGTGCGCAACTGCAACGAGGGGGTTTATATACTATACCTCCGGCACCAACCACCCCCGGATTGCCATTATTCGCTGTCGTGAAGCGCGGCGAGCTGAACTTCACGTCCGAAGTCGTCCGCGGAAAGCGGGGGTTGGCCATCCGCACACAGCACGCTTTTGGAAAGGGGCGGCGATAGGCCGTCGAAAGGCGGACCGGGATCCGTGTCCCAACGCGGAATCGTCGAACTCGGCATCGGCGCCTTCACCCGGCCTGCCTTCATAAAGAACAGCCCGCCGAAGCGGTCACCCGGGCTGGCCTTATAGCGATGCCCACGGTCCGTCGCATGTTTTTCTTAGGCCTCGACTGGTATCTCGACTACCAGTCTCTCCCGGTGAGCGTGGGTGGCGGGATCGGATGGTGGTTACAGACAGTCCGCTGAACTTGCACCCGTCTGGGGTGAGAGGTTGCCCGAATTCATACTATGTGCTAAACTCTCGCAGGAAAAAACGGACGGCGTGGGAAAGAAGGCCGGGAGGGAAAAGGGACAAACTCCGCCGCGTATAATACCGTGGGTTCGTTTCCAGACGCGCTCCTCCCTCCCCAGGTGTCAAAGCGAAAATCTCGTGAGAACGCCAGCATTTTTGCTCCCAGAAGGACGAGCAACTAACGATCGAAGTGCCACTTTGTGTGTGCCTACATATGCCCCCCACGAAGCTATCACTGGAAGCTTGCTAATCACTGGCCAATGCCGATGCCCTCGAGTAACAGGCGTACCGTAAGACCGCAGCGTCCTTTTGGGTGTATATACATACATATATGGAGCGCCGGGACCGCCCGCCCCCCATCTTGGTTTCGGCCTCTTGTCTCTCTTTTCTCTTACATCGCGGTGCACGCACATGTTCGAGTTGGAGGACGACGTACCCGTTTTTGCCTTGTGTATGCTCGCGCCCCGTTTTCGCTGGATGACAAACGAGAGCACGGTGGGCGTAGAGGCGATCGTGGTGGTTTTAGGTAGGATTTGCAAGATAGACGCAGAGATGGATATGGTGTGACTTGCTTTCCCACGAGCTGCTCACCCAAGGACATAGTGTTATGATCGCATGAAAGTGAACATGGGTCTCGCCGTGTCTCGCCGTGTGCAGAATCCAGATGAGGAGAGTCTGAGTCTGATGAGATGACGCACGCGCGTTCGCGGACTTTTGGATTTCGAATCTTCGCTCTTTTTGTTGCCGTCTTTGTCTGTCTGGGTCTTTTCCCGCGGGTCTTTTTTTTCCTCCCGCTCGCAGCCATATTCCATATAAACCAAATAACCCCCGTCTCGCACTGCCAACCACTCAGAGCAATGGCCTGCGCTTCCCCACGTCCTCTTCCTCTTGCTCCTGCTCCCTCGACTGGCTCAACCGCAGCAGTTTCCCACCACCCTCGTCGGCTTCTCCAGCAATGGCCCGCAACCTGCCCACGACCGAACACTCCGCTGCCTTTACTCACCACCCCGCGGCAGCGATGAGTCCACCTCCACCACAACAACAAACGGAGCAACAACTGCATGATACGATCGCAGTTCCCATCCCACCAGCCTTCGAATACCCCTCGGACGAGAAGAAGCACTCCGAAAACGGCCCCTTGCCAACGACATTCACCCGCCGATCCTCCGCTTCCACCTTCGTCACAGTTGCCGGCCTCCCCGCTTGCCTTGACGACGACGATGATTCCTCCTCCCTCCCCAACAACAACACAACCCCCTCGTCATTCACCCCACCCAACGGCGGCCTCCCCGCATGGGGCGTCGTTCTCGGCGCCTTCCTCTTCAACTTTATCAATTTCGGGATGGCGTCCATGTGGGGCGTCTACCAGGCGCACTACAGCAAGCAACAGACGTTCGGACCAACCACCACGCAGCTGCAATTGAGTTTTGTGGGAGGGCTGGGGGGAGGGGTTACCTTTGTCTTTGGGCCGATTGTGGGATGGGTGCAGAGACGGTGGGGGTTCAAGGCTCCGCTTTGGATTGGGACGGTGGTCTTTGCGGGGAGTTTGGAGCTTGCCAGTTTGAGTACGAAGGTAAGGGAATGACCGGAGCGAACGCGTACTGCGGCGAGCGACGCGAGGTGTAGGGATGCTCGAGGTTGGTGAGCGAGCGTCGACATCCTCGTCGCGAGCTGAGTGAGCAGGGTGTCGTTTCGACCATCACCCAACCATCAGCTCATATATAACATTCGCGTCGCTTATGCGCCAACCATCCATCGCATCCTTCGTCCATTTCTAATAATACATCCCTCTCCTTTTAGTTATGGCACCTCTACCTAACCCAATCCTTCCTCTTCGGTCTCGGCGCCTCCCTCATCTTCCTCGGCTCCGTCGGCGCCCCCCCGCAATGGTTCCACTCCCGCCGCGCACTCGCCACCGGCCTCGCCGCCTCCGGGTCGGGAATCGGCACCCTCGTCCTCGCCCCGCTAGCGCAACATCTCATAGACACGCTGGAAGTGTTCTGGTGTTTGAGGATTATGGGATTGATTGCGCTCGTTGGGGGTGTGGTGGGGAGTTTATTGTGCAGGTTGCCCGACGGAATGGTTGTGGAGGAGAAGAGTGTGGATTGGAGCCACGTGAAGAAGAATACGGGGTTCAGGTGGATGTTGGCATTTGCGGTTACGAATCTGTTGGGGTATATTATCCCCTTCTACTTCATTCCAAGTACGTTCGGGGAAAAATGTACTTTCCTCCATTGCAAGCAACACCCACTCACAAAGTAATCTCCTCATCACCACAGGCTACGCACTCTCCCTCGGCCTCTCACCCTCAACCGGCGCCTTCCTTGTCGCCCTCCTCTCCGGCACCAACGCCTTCGGCCGCATCCTCGCCGGCCAACTCGCCGACAAAATCGGCCGCATAAACGCCCAATCCCTCGTCATCTTCGTCTCGGGCCTCTCCTGCCTCACCCTCTGGTCCACCGCCCACACCCAAACCACCCTCACCATCTTCGTCGTCGTTTACGGTATCACGGGTGGCGGGTATTGGGCCCTCACACCCGCGGTTGTCGCCGAGATTGTGGGGATAACGGCACTTGGGGGAGCGTTACCGATCGTGTTCATGACGAACAGTCTGCCGATGATTTTTTCCGGCCCGATTGCGAGCGCGATTTTGGGGGCGCAGGGGGGCAGTTATACGGGGTTGATTGCGTTTGCGGGAAGTGCGCTGTGTGTGGGCGCGTTATGTCTTGTGCCGGTTAAGATGGCGCGGGGGAGGGTTTGGGCGAAGGTGTAGAAAGGGGGAGGGGGTTTTTTTTTTGGATCATTTGGATTCCCCGGCCGCGATTTCGACAATCGGACCCCTTTGCCGTTGAGAAGGACCCCTTGCCGTCCGTCAGGGCCTCATCGCCACACCCGATATCGCGGGACGACGAGGGATTGGCGCGTATGGGACTCGTCTTCAGCTGTGTATATGGATAGACTTTCCTTTCTTTCTCCCCCCGGGTGTGGGTGTATATATGCAATACATGGCTTTGGACTTGGATTTTTGGATGCGTGCGTCGCACGGATCTGGTGATGTGCTGCGAGGGACCCGTAAGGGACGACTTGCATATCTGCGGATGAGGTCAGTGGGAAAAATGTGGGTCGAATCGTGTTTTTTGGCGGCCGTTTTGTTAAGAGCAACCACCAGCTCATCTCACGCGCCGTGTATCGGTGGGTATCGGTGGGACATCAACTACGCCTAAAAGGCCAACCTGAACCAAGACCAAGACCAAAACTACAGCGAAGAGGGTGGTGGTGTTTCCGCTCAAGGATTGTAGTTCGCGTACATCAAATATCCCAGCACATTGCGGCGGGGCACCCTCCGTCTGCAGAGCACAAAGCAGCATGTGTTGCCCGTCCATCCTCCATGCAATTCATCATCATAGTTACTCCCTTCCGCGAAATCCAGCTCGATCAACTCGACGATATCCTCATTTTTCAGGCCCTGATAAAATTCCACCGCTTTCGCCCGCTTGTGGTCATCCGCGTGCGTCGGCGAGTCGTAATCCACGTCGCAATACCAACGAAGCTTGTCCACGAGGTATCCCGTGGTCCCGGCTTCATCTGCGACGGATATCCGCCTCAGGCCCATATATTCCCGAATGCGTTTCGAGACTCGGAATCGAGACAGGAGAGTGTTGAGCAGGAGCGTTTCACCCTCACGTGAGTCGGTCAGATTGTCCATCTCCGCGACAGGCGCGGTCATGAACGGGGCCAGAAAATCGCCCTCGTTCCCTCCGCCAAAGTCGAGGTAACTCCGACCAGGGTGTCGGGCACCGGTGCTTGCGAGACGTGTGCAGATGATACGCAGCGGTCCGGTCAAGAACGACACGTCTGCGCTCAGCGTGACCCACTGGGAGGTATCCGTTCGCGCATGTCGGGAATGAGCAACGTCGGAACATTCCCAAAGACGGAACTGCATTTGCCGAATGAAGTCGAATTCCGACGCAAGGTAGACGACAAGAACCTTGCGGCACATCCTGTACGCAGCAGTGTCCAATGCATGGTCGGATTCATCGGTAGGCACATGATAGATTTCCCCTCCATCGGCAGGCATCTCCTCGGCCCCCTGGAAGTTGTACTTGAGGAGAAAGCGTTCCCGTGTGGAGAGCGCTGACGCCCATGCCTTGCAGACTAAGAGGCAGTTGACGTAGTCTTGGGGAGAGGTGAGGGCGACACGGCACAGGATGCGAGGGATGAGCTCCAATGGCGGGGCGTTGTGTTTCGTTGTTGGTCCCGAGGCGGCCATCACGGTGTCGTCCGACATGCCGATGGTGGAAGGTGTTGGAGAGCCTCTGTGGGAAAGAAAGCGTTGTCAGTGGCTATATATATGCGGATGGGGACTCGTTGTCTGGATGGGAGCGATGGGAGATGACTCGGACGAGGAAGAGGCACGCAGCAGCGGACTGAAGACGCGCACAGAGAAAACACTGTCAATCCTGTCAAGTTGCGATGGGAACGATGTGAGAGATGCCGTCCAGCAGCGTTGATGCGTATGTAGATGAAACAGAGATGAAAGAAAATACAAGCGGTGTATTTCAAGGAAAAAACGGAGGGTCGACGGGAACCAACTAGAAAAATGAGATGCCCACACAGCGACAGAAAAGATCATCCCACACCCATCCACATCTCATAACTCACTCTTAACATGTCTTCGATGCTGCCGTCCACCCTCCTTCGGCGTGCTGCGTTTCTGTCGTCTTACACTTGTCCCTCCACCCGCCGATTCCGTCCCACCATCCCCATCGTCCCCGCCCCCTACGGTAGAGTTGAGCACGGCAGATATCTTGTTTTTGACCGCTTTCCAGGATTTGTGCGGTGCGGGTGTTGTGGGCGGGGGATCAACTTCGGGTGATGTTCCGGTGCCTTTTGAACTGCCCTCGCTTGTCGATTCGTGCGAGGATGGCCCCGGCGGCGGCAGCGAAGAAGAAACGTTCCGCAACCTCTGCACGATCTCCTCAATACTCGTCAGCTGCTCCACCACATCGACCACATCGACCACATCCTCACTCTCCCCACCATCTCCCGCATCCCCACTCCTACCCTCGGCCTCCCCATCCCTCCTCCCCACCTGCGCCCTCAACCCCTCAACGCCTGGCCCAAACCCCGTCTCCTCATCCACACTATACTCCACATCATCCACCACCGCCCTCCACCTTGCCCCCGCGCCCCGTGGGAATGACCCCCCAACAGATGTCGACGCATCCATCTCGTTGAAGAAATGTCGGAGCAGTGTAGCTATCTCCTCGCCCGCGGTGGGGTGAAAGTATGTGATTGTTATCGCCGCGTAGCCCTGGGAGGGGTAGGCTAGGACGGAGACATGGGCCTTCGCTGCATGAATCGTAACCATCGCCGTTTCCACACCGATATTCCCGGCCCCGGTGGTGGTGGCATTCGCGAAACTGGCTGAGAAGGCCCAGTGCATTGTTTCGAGGATATGTTCCAGCGTCATCTGCACGTGGTCGGAGGACAGGGCCGATCGGTCGCAGCCGTAGAACTCGCGGAGGATGGTGGTGCCCTGGACTGAGAGGACGGGGAGCGCGGCGATCTTGAACGGTGCATGGCGGGTGGGTGGCGGCACGTCGTCGACTTTCATCCGCGGCATCGTTTTATCCTGCTCCGCGATCGCGGCGCGCAGGGAGCAGGGGAGTGCAAACATACGCATGTGGGTGATTCCATCATAATGCGATACCCACCCTGTCGTGCGTGAGCTGAGGGCCGTGTCGATGAATGATGGGGAGAGAATGGCAGGCGCCGCCGGGGCTGAGGATTGCGTTGCGAGGAGCGTGTGGGAGTCCCCGAGGGAGGGGATGTGGAGTGTGCTGGTGGAAATGTGCGGGAAGAGGGGGAGGAGGGTTGCGCGGTCTGTGAGGAGTGCGTTGAGAGTGGGGCCGGAGTGGATGGTGAGGACTCCCCCCGGGGAGAGGGCTTTTTGGGCGAGGGCAAGGAGGTTCGCACGGTGGGGTGTGGTGAAAGAGGGGATGAAGATCACGTTGAAGGATCCGCGGAGGGAGTCGGGTTGTTGAAGGTATGTTGCGGGGCTCATATCGATGACTGTTAGCCTGCCGGCGGATACATAGTCGGCGTCGTACCACATATCGGCTGGGACCGTTGCTCGAACATCCTCTGCGCCGCCTTCGGTTACCCAGACCGCGTCCCGCACATCTGTATGCCGTAACGCTTCCCTCACGTATGAGCCTACCACCCCGCCGAGCACCAGGATCCGGCGCGGACTTGGATGTACAACCAGGGCGGGGTGGACAAGGGTTTCTGCATGTAATGCGTTATCGCTCGAACATGCAATGGGTGTTGATTCACTCGTGGAATGGAACACGCAGGTCCCGAACGTATGGTGGGTTGCTACGAGGAGATCGCGAAAACGGGATTCGGCGGTGAAGGCGGAGGGTAGGGCGATGGCGGGTGGGGACGATTGTTGAGATTGGGCGGCTGCTCGTCGTGCACGTTTGTGTTTGAGGGGTTCGGAGAGGGAGGGGGTGGATGCCTGGGCGAGGGCGGCTGGTTGGTTGTTGGATACGTCGAATTCGGGGGAGGTTGGTGCGGTGATGTCCAGTGGGGATTCGGCATGGCTGACAGCGCACGGAGACAGGTTGTGAGTTCCACCGCAGCAAAAACCGAAAGGCTGGAAAGCAATATAGCACACACACACACACACACACACACACACACACCTGACACCCCATATGGATCCCAGAAGCAACAGATCGAACAGCACCCAGCAGAAGACGTTTCGTGAGTAGATCATTCTCTGCAAGCAATGAAAGAATGGATCTGGATCTTTCGTCTTTCTGTGTTAACGGTTGAGCGCGGCGTTCTCCACCTCCCTCAGTCCTGTACGTAGCGGCCAATGGTTCGTGTGTCGGTACAAACTTGTTATGGGAGTGAGTGGGGGAGAAGATGAACAACCCATTCCAGATCCAGAACTCAAAGCAGACCCCACCTTGTCCGGGATAGCAGCGGAATGGCCATGACACACGCGACGGGATGTTTATTGCCCATGTCACGTGGACGGGATGGAATTCAATTCTCTTCCCTTGCTTGGCTCACGCGTCGGGAAGTCGGGACATCCACGCGCCAAGGGGTTCTCGCTTTTCTCACTCTAGAAATAGGCTCGCCAACACCAACCCAACACCAACCAATACCACAAATGTCAAAGTTTACCGCCACCCTAACCGCCGCCCAAGGCGCCGGCCTCGTCGCCTGGTCCTTCGACACCGCCCAGCCCGCCACCACACTCAACCTGGACATCACCGCGCACGCCATGCTCCTGCGCTCTACGCGCCGGCGAGCCAATGGCCATGTGAGGCGTAAAGCGCGCAAAGCGAGGATTGTGGGGGTGGCGATGACTGGGGTTGTTTTTCTGTCCCGTAGGTGGAATGTGGGAATGTGAAGACGGAAGGTGATGGAGGGTTTATTGATGGATTTTTTTGGGCAGTTGTTGGAGCGGGGTTCTCGATATTCTTCCCGGCGGACACGGGAGGGGATGCATCGGCGCCGAATACGGCGGAGCAGGGCGCTTCGATAGCTGTAGTTGTCGCCATGGGGTTGGTTCTTATTTTTGTTATTAAGGTAAGAGGGGAAAATCTATGCCCAAATTTTGATCCGATGGTCCGACAACGACGAGATGGCTGCTTTTAGTTGAGCCTCCTCGTCCAATGGTACTTCTACTGGCTCGCCCTCGCCGTCGTCGCCCTCCTCATCGTCAACAAAGGCAAGCTCGTGCCCTCCCCCTCCACCTCCCCAACCCCGTCCACAGGCCTCTCCCGCATCTTTGACCCGCACACCGGCCCCACCTTCCCCATCCTCCTCACAATGCTCATCGTCCAATCCCTCACCCTCATCGCCACCCTCGTCCGCCGCTCCCTCTACCCGCTCGCCGTCGCCCGCCTCACGCCGCAGCAAGCCGTATCATGGTGGCGCGTCAGACCGATCCGATTACAGCCGGGGACGTTCCAGTACACCCTCTACGACCCCTGGACGCTCTCCACCGACCAGCGGACATTCAGCTACACCGGCTCTGTGAACCCGCACGGCCAACCGCATGGACACGGCGTGTGGTGTGACGACGCGGATAGCGGGGAGGTGACCACCGGGTGGTGGAGGGAGGGTGTGCTGGATGCGCCGTTCAGCGCGAGGGAGTTTGGGAGTGGGGATTCGTTTGGGGCTGTGAGGATCGGGTTTGTGACGTGCGCGGCATTGGGGCCGGATGAGTATCGGTGGAGGCCCGAGGTGGATAGGAGGGGGGTTAGGTATGGGGTTGCGAGTGTGGAGTGTAGTGTTAGTGGGTATGTGTTGTTGGCTCTGTTTCGGTTATCTATCATTCGTTCACACCACTCATGCTCTGGCTACATGTACACAGCAAATTCTTTGCTGAACTCCCACAAGTAAGTTATCCCGTCCCCCCCAAATACCGCGACGAGATCATCGCGGACCTTTCTTCCGACGTCGAGCCGGGTATATCCCCGCAACCGATGAGGATGCTGCTGCGGGAATTGGATAATCATGAGTTTACTGCGCGGCCGGCGTTTTCAAGGGGGCCGGCGGAGCAGGTGAGGCTGTCGGTTGGTATGTGTGTACGGCGTGAGTGAAGGGGTTGGGTGTAAAGCTGACTGGTTGATGCATAAGCTAGTTTCAAAGTCCTACGCCTACGGATTTGGGCGAGACTGGTGGGAATCCGAGGAACTTGGAGCGGGTGGTTGTTAGTGTTGATCAGGCGACCGGGTTGCCGTTTGTTGTAGGCTGTCGGCGGGTTGATGGCCAGGTACAGTTCATGAAGTTCACGGATCCCGCCCGATTTGAATCAGGTTGGACATTCCCAAAAACTCACTCCACCCACCCGCAGACCGCCGACCCCACCTCATTAATAGTCAAAACCACCAAAGAAGAGTCTGGCCGCATGGGTCTATCCGTCGACGGATGGGTGCCGGATCCTACACCGAAACCACATCCCGATCGCGGGACCAGTCTGACAACGCCGCGGCAGGCGGATGAAGCCTTAATCTTCATCCATGGATTCGTAAGTTAGCATGCGTGTGTGTCTGTCGCGCGGTACTGTGTGTTAAACATTGACCCTCCCCACCCCCCACCAGAACTGCTCCCTCACCGCCGCCCAAACCCGCCTCGCCCAACTCCTAACACTCGGCAACTTCCCCGCCCACATCAAACCCCTCATCTTCGCCTGGCCCTCCGGCCGCGAACTCACCTACTTCTCCGCCATCCGCATGGGCGCCCACTCTGCGATAAAAGAGGCGTTTATGGGGATGGTGAGGGAGTTGAGGGAGGCCGGGGTGAGGAGATGTCATCTTGTGGCGCACTCCGCCGGGTGTAGGTTGGCGGTGGGGTTTGCGGGGGGGTTTGGAGAGGTTTTTACGCGGTTGGGAGAGGAGGAGAATGGGAAGATGGAGTTGGGGAGTTATACGTTAATCAATGGGGATGTGAGTCCCCAACTTTCTTGCCGTAAAAACGATTCTTCACCCAAGAAGCTTACAACACACGCACATAGGTCCCGCTAACGGATTTCCTGTCAACACACTACCCCGCAATCCGACAATACTGCGCGCTGATCACGACGTATGTGGATGAGAACGACGGCGCGCTTTTCTGGGCGGAGGTTGTTTGTCGGACGAAGGTTTTGGGGAGGAATCCGGGGGCGGTTTATACTGTTGTGCCGATGCGTGAGGAGGAGGAGGGTGAGGAGGAGGGCGAGGGTGAGGAGGAGTGGATGGGGGAGGGATCGTCTGTGCAGCTTATGGAGCGGGCTCCACCGACTCCAAGCAATGATAGCACGGCACGCAAACGAGGGAAATCAGTGCTCGACGTCGACACCCATCCACCATCCCGGACACCCACCCAACAACCCCTGTGGCTCAGCAACCGCCACCGCACGACCGGGTTCCTGCAAGTCAAACATCCGTGGCAGGATAACCACAAAGCCAGCGGCGGGCCCCTGAAGTTTATGCAGTTGGCGCGGTTTGGAGGGTTCTGGAAGGGGTCGAACTCTGGGAATGACTCCCCATCCGCCTCCGTCTCCTCTCCCCTCACCCCCTCAACACCCTCCCCACCCTCACAACAACACAAACCCCACCATTGGGAACGCAAATACGAACGAATTCACATCCACATGCAAGAAGAGATTACACGCCTGCAAGAGTTGATGCGCGGGCGGGAACAATTCGCCAAAATCGTTACTGATCATGATGGTGTACGCGGAAGTGCACATTCGGGGAGACAGAGACGGTACATGATCTACCCAGACTGTGATACGATCGACACGAGTCTTCTGGATGTTAATATCCATAGTTTGAGGCATAACTGTAAGTTCCTGCATTTCTTACTCATCCATTGATGGTGGGGGGGGGAGGGGAGGGGGGAGGATAACGTTGACCTTGATGATGTTTTTTTTCTTTTAGATTTCAACCTCAACAGGATGTTTGTAGATGATTTGCTGGACATTATCGTGCACGGGAAACGAGCGGAGGAACGGACGGCGAGGTTGGCGCATACGATCCAGGGCGGGCTTGTGTATCAGTTTTTGTGTGCGCCTAGTTATGTGGTGAATCCTTGAGTGGGGACATCCATCCTTGAGTGAGGAGATATGGGTAAGGGTGCAGTCCAGTGGGTTTTGCCAACGTCGCCCACCCCATTCCATAGCCCACCACACTACACTTTGCCGAGGGAAGAAAGCCCACCATACTACACTTTGTCGATGGGTCCACAGTGATTTCATATCATCCTCCGATGGGCTGTCGACCATCCCCAAGCCTGTGCGCCCACTATACCCCTTCCCATCTGCTGTCATCCGTCACACACAGACTCCACCATGGTGCTTCCGAATGTGTCGGGGATATCTCATCTTCACTTGTATTTCATATTATACCTCTTTACTTCTACTTGATCTGAGACCCGGGCTGGCCACCCGAGCTCTCGGTGATACATTACATAAGGCGCCAAGCCTCACTGAAGCCACGCAAGCCCCACTGGCAGCCCATATATAAAGCTGTCAGTCGAGCGGCCGCTGCGAAGAGCTTCTTACTTTTTTCTTCACTACAATACACTGCTCTCAGCCCTCTCAGAAGGGCCCAATATCGTCTACGTTTCCTCTGACGTTACAGAATGTGGCCCAGCAGAACACCAAGTGCATAAATGTTCTGCCCATCAGGCAAAAAGCGCTGGCGCCACATCCCTTCGTAAAAGTACTTTTCCATAGGTAGCTTTCGAGTGCCACTCCGGGGCATCGTGTGCTTCTTTACGTGGAACCAAAGCCCCTCAATGTTGTTTGTGTGGATACCGGTTGTCGGATCTTTAAAGTTCTCTGAATGGTTGACGGTCCCGTCGGTACAGTCTATTGGTTGACGGTCCCACGGAGCGCTGTGGTCGCCAACGGGTACTAGAAAGCTCTACTTATCCTTGCGCCAGATACCCCCAAAAGCTCAAATTCCCTCAACCCGCTTTCCTCTGTTGAACTTTCGCTTGCCAAAATTGCTCTCAGCGACCTCCACCGTCTTCCGTGGCCCACCAATGTTACCATTGTTGCCAGCCTGCACCGCCATGATGCAAACCTCCCGGCAAACGTGGTACCCGTTGCGGGTTATCTGGTTGTTCTGGTGCTGACCCCTGCTTGATAGTGGGCATCGGCGTGCGGAATGCGTTGGCTCCAGGCGTACTGTACATGATGTTAAGTGCCTGGGCAAGCAACAAGTGGGATTGGCTAAAGAAGCTACCGTTCCGGACTGAGAGGGTTTCGCGACAACCTGAACGGTTGCAGCGCCAGCGGAGATCGTCGATTGTGTGGTCCTTCACCAGTTTCATGTCGCACGCTGCCACGGCAGTTTGGCTTTGGGCAGGTCCGTTTGGTCAGGTTAAGTCTCTGATTGACACAGTAGTGTGGAGGCCCAAGACCTGCGCGGACTTTGTGCCACCACCGTGCGCACTTCATTGTAGCGAGATACTGTGGTACATACACAGGTTTGAGCTTCTTGTCGGACACTTCGAGGCAAGATCGTGTTTCGAGACTTCCAGAGACGTTTGATCCGCTCCCTTGACCCTTAAAAAACGATCTATAATTGTCCTTCAGCCGAGGCGTACGTACTTGAGGTGTTACGGCACCCATTTCTGTCGAATAACAACCACAGCTTGGCTTTCCATTTCCAAGTTCTTTTTTGGCTACCACTTACAGTATATACTGAAAAGAAATTTTCTACAGGGACGAGTATAAAGCCATGCCATCAATTCTGAACCACGGACTTCCAGCTCTGGGGCCGCGCGGAGCATCAACGTCCGAGAGCGGAGGAAAACAAGCGAAGCACGGCCCTGCCACTGGCACCATCAAGCCGCTGGCCATCTTGACGGAAGGTTTGGTGGCAGCCGAGTCGATGATATGGATGGAAGCCGACATGGGCATGCTCTGGGCTTCGGGGGATGACATCAAAGGTTACGTCGGTAACGTCCTGAAAGACACACTCAGGACTCTCCAGTTTCACAGAGTTCTCCGCGTGCAGGCGGAACTCTACATGTTCGGAACCCAGAAAGCCGACTTCTACTACCTGCGCAGGAAGACGGCGCCGATTGGGCTCATCGAGGTGAAGAAACCGAACGGTACACCATTCGATGGGCAACCTTCCATTCTCGGACAGATTTATGACTACCTACTGGCCCTCAAGCAATTTCAAGGTCTGGAGCACGTATACGGCATCCTTACTTCATACAAGGAATGGCGTGTCTGCTGGCTGTCAGACAGGCGACAGCCACGTCAACATGTCTACAACCATTCCAGACTTAGACTCTTCAAGGAAAGCATTCAGCATGTGGGATTTCTTACCTCCCGTCCCAGTCTGGGGTTCTGCTCAACCCGTTCCTACGCCCACCAAGGCAGAAGGGAGCTTCACACCCCCCAAACACAATCGGGTGTTATCTTGCACTGACCCATACCGCTGGGATGACCCGAAACTGCCGGCAGTTTTGGCGACCGCCGTGTGCAAGATGGCCTCTTCCCAGGTCACCCCGCCAACGCTAGAATCAGTTTCAAACAAGCGCTTCGCCGTATGCCTTACCCCCGAAAGGTACGTTTGGCAGACCAGACCCTTGACCAGCATCGTGAACTTTGATCTCTTCCCCGATGCGTCATCCGAGATCTTCTATCTCCTTGCGGATCTCCACGGAGGCTCCGATGGACACACTTGGCTCGCATGCAACAGTTCAGGGGTGGGCGCAGGTTTATGGCCCCATATACTGTACGCCGAGAGTATGATTCCTCAGGACTCGCCAACTCCCACTTGGGGGTCTTCTGGGTGCCTATTGGCCGTCTTCTGGGTGCAACGGCTCGTTGCGTGCAAAATTCCGAGAATTGCCCTCCATGAGGGATCATCTTCTGGATATATGGATACATCTTACAGCAGCGAAATGAAGAAATAAGCGGGGATGGCTCACGGACTAGCAAGGCGTGAGAAAGTGATTTTCTAAGGATGACCCCACTCGAGCACTTCGACACTTGTTGGCGGATCATAGAAGTGACCTCTGACCAATTTTTGATGGATACTGGGTGCTTCTCCTCACTTCGATAACAATCTTGAGAACGGTGCCGTGAGGAGAGCAAGGAAAGAGCCATCTGACCTGGTGTGGGCGGTTTCCGGCGACCGCTTCGTGGCTGCATCGGATGGGAGGTTATATCTCCCGAAGATTGTTTGTGATCGCAGAAGAGGTGGAGATTGACGAACGGAATTCAAATTGAAACTGGTCGTATTGAGCTACACCAGAGGACAAGAGATGGCATGAACTCCGCAGACGTCGACCCCACTTCAGACATATCTTTGGGTAGAAGCGCACGTGGGATGTTCTCAGAGAAAGTGACGTCGCTCGATCGCCGCGCCGTGACCCATTCCCCATCGAGCCCTTCCACGTCCTCCATATCCTCGGCCTCTGAAGCCTAGCGGCTTGCCTGCAACATTCCCCATTTGATTTTAGTGAATAGGGCGTGCACGTTCAAGAGTATGGGATGTGGTGGTTCGATCCCATGGGAAGATGGGAACTCTATTGCTAAGCCTGGAGCAGAAAACGGCTTAACAATAGAGTTCCCATCCCCCCATGCACCAGGCCATGGTTGAAGAGCCCAAGGTGCGGTGCATAATTTGTACTCCCCATCCTAAATTCGTGCAGGTATCAGCTCCTTGAGAACCGCGGGAGTAGATAAAGAAGAACAGAAGTTACCTTATGCTCAAGGCAGAACGTAATCCCGAACACTCGATGTAATCCTGCCTCCATCAGTATCCCGTTTCTAGCGTGGTTGATCTGCTGCCCCCCTCAAGCCGCGGGACAAAATCTCGTGGATACAAGAGGCCTGATAAACCTGGAACCTCAGTGCGGCGGCAAAAAGGGAAAATATGTGAGGCGTCGCAGAGCTTTCCTTCCGTAGGGGGAAACACATCCTCCCGGTACTCCGGGATCGATGTGAGGGCGACAGGTTGAAGGATGCCAAAACATACTGATTGGAGTATGAGGAGTAACAGAAAACGGCACCCTTAAATACATTAACCAAAAATGCTCGGACTATTACATATAGTATTGAACGAAGAAAAGATGTGCATAGAAAGACTACCGGATAAAGGCGCTCCAGATTGAGAATGCAGCTGTGGTGATCGACGTCACAACCAAGAAAAAAACCGGCGAACGGGAGTAGCACGGGAGATGAGGGAGCTGGAATTGTTGTTTTCGTAAACCCTAACCCTGCTCCATAAAGGAGGGTTTACGAAAACAACGGATTCAGCTCCCTCATCTCCGCTATGAACTCTTCTCTGACGGTAGATTGCTTGGCTTGGCCGAAATCGACCAGCCGCACCACGCCGTTTGATACCAAGAAGTTTGGCAATCGTATATCTCCGTGAAGGTATCCGGTGGCGTGAACCTTCTGGAGACATTCTCGACACTTTGTTTTCAGTACAGATGCTTTCCCGCCTTGCTGTTCATACATCCACAAATTGACGCCATGGTCCTCCAACACCAGTAGGCGAAGCATTTCCCACACTTCGACATAGGCAATCACTCTAACCACAGCGTCTCCCTGAAGGTGGGCGATTGCTTGATACACGGTAACTTCGTGATCAAGTTCCTGAGTCAGAGCGCGATGCTTGCTAACGTCCACGGTTTTGAAGATGACCGGCTGGCCCCGATAATTCCCTCGAACGATACCCCCTACACGGCTGCGGTCGACCCCTTGCGTGAGGTGGATGTCGGATGGAGGTGCCGCCGTTTGTAGTAAATGAGGATCGGGATTGGAAGGTTGAGTCCTTCGCCGAACGATTGGCGATGCCGGGCCGGGGGAGGAGGTTGGCGATGCGTGCAACCAATGCTCGTCCGCGAGACGCACAATCGTCGTATAAGCGAATATGAGTTGCGGGGTCGACTCATATCGGAACGGAGCAGTTACTTCTAGTCGACCGCCTTGGGGAGAGCATGTGCGCTTGAAGAACCAGGTAGTCTCGTACGTTGTGAGGACACCGTATCGAAGGTTATTGAACGTCAGATAGCCATACACCTGCTCAATCGCACGCACAGTTTTGTTCCTGGTGCCGCGGCTATCGTGCCAATCCTGAACTAGGTTCCGGGAAGCGCCGAAAGCCCAAGGCGTTTTCACTTCTCCCACTAGTTTTGCCTTGGGAGTTGCTTGTGACGCAAAGATGAAGTCCGGATCTAGTAGCAACCCAGGGACGCCTGCAATGCTGCAACTGAAATCGGGCTCGGAAACAATTTCGCGTGCGACATTCTCTACGACGGACAGAATAGTATTTTCTATGACTCCTTGAACGTGGGTTTCGTCTCCGACTTTTCTGATTGTTGGAATATCAAGAGCGAAGTTCGGTGCGATGAAGATGGCTTGGAGCGTGGTTTGCGTCCTCCGGATTTCATCGTCGAAGGAAGACCAAATGACCAGTTCGTTAAGGTCCGTGCGTGGCCATGCTGGAGTCGTTGTGGAGTCCCCAGAGTGGTGCTCGCGACGAATGAGGCGAGGCAGCGGAGGACAACTCTGGACTACGGTGAAAAGGGACCGGCGCGGGGCTGTCATTGTGCTGGTGTTTGGATAAACCTAGTGGTGCTATCAAGTGCTTGGACTGTACTGGGCCATGCCACGGGATGTCCCTACCACTTCCCCGCTGGTTATATGCTCGGCTGGCCAACCTCACAGCACGCTATTTCAACTTGAAACAACTCTTTTGCGGAGACGCCACGAATCGATTGAGGTGTGTTAAATTTGACATGATCAAGCTTAATTCAACATATATATATATAGTAAGTAGTTAATGGGGTCACGTGTACAGTCAGTGTCCATAAAGCTCCGACCCCCCTATAATTGATTTCATCGCAGTTCAGCGCAGATGAAAGAGTGGGCTGAGCGTTGGCGCGTCCATGGGTGGGCTTAGCGTGTTCTCATGTTGAGCATTATTGGCTATATACCCGCTGGGGCGCTCTTCATACCCTTCTTTCTCCCTTTATACTCTTTCCATTTCATTGCAAGATTTGGAACCCACCCTCCCATCCCTAATTTGTAACTTAGGAGGGAGGGAAGGTAAGCGCGAGCAGAAGCACTGATTTCAATGACCGTTTCACAAAGCGAGTCGCGCGTTTCCCAGCGGCACTGCTTCCAGGCTGCTGGGCTGCAGCGGCAAACCTGAAAGGCAAGACCGGGGACGATGGCGAGATTGAAATGCCCTCTTGACCTCCATCTCCGCAATGGGCAAACCTCTCACGCCACAGAAGAGGGACGATAGTTGCCCTGCACAGAGCAGGAAAGAACAAAAGACAGATTTCCAGAGAGGAAGGAGTCTCTTTGACCGCTGTCAAGGATACCATAAGGAGGTTTGCAAACGACATTCCCAGCGACCCTGCTTCCTACCAGACCAAGAAGCCAATGGGCAGACCAGCTAAGTATCAGCCTTCACCCGATGAATTGGAGGCTTTTCGCTCCCTTGTTGTTGCCAACAGTGACATTTGAGAGAAAACACTCACAGTTCTCAATGCTGAATTCAGGGAGCTCACTGGGATATCCGTTTACATAAGGACATTCCGCCGCTACCTCAGCAAATATCTCTTTCTCTATTCTCATTTCAAGATCCAAACGCCATTGCTGATGGAGCAGCACCGGGCCACACGTCTCGCATTTGCACTGGAGCATCAGCATTGGACACCGGTGCATTGGTCCCGTGTTTTCTGGACAGATGAAACGTCCTTTGACATTGGGTGGGTCCCAAAAATGCGATGCTGGCGCCTACGAACTGAACGCCTCCATCCACCGGTTGTCGAGATACCGGTTGTCGGATCTTTGAAGTTCTCTGAATGGTTGACGGTCCCGTCGGTACAATCCATTTTGGCAAAGCGGTCAGTGTTGTACCCTTTCCACAGGTTGCTGTACACGGTGGCCTGGGTGGATGAAGGCCTCACAGAGAGTCATGAGCATCGGAGCGCTGCGGTCGCCAATGGGTACTAGAAAGGTCCACTTATCCTCGCGCCAGATACCCCCAAAACCTCAGATTCCCTCCACCTGCTTTCCTCTGTTGAACTTTTGCTTGCCAAATTTGCTCTCGGCGACCTCCACCGTCTCCCTGGCCCACCAATCTTCCCATTGTCGCCAGCCTGTACCGCCATGATGCAAACCTCCCGGCAAACGTGGTACCACGGTTGCAGCGCCAGCAGAGATGATCGATTGTGTGGTCCTTCACCAGTTTCATGTCGCTCGCTGCCACGGCAGTTTGGCTTTGGGCAGGTCCGTTTGGTCAAGATAAGTCTCTGATTGAAACAGAACCGGACTGTGCTTTCGACGGTCCTTGTTATCTCGATAATACTTTCCCAGGTGAGGTCTAGATGTTCAGTGGGCGTCAAGCGGCTCGAGGGGGAAGAACGGGCGGACGCGTTGTCCGAACGGGCGGAGTGCCCCTCTGGAACTTCCTGCGCTCTTCCTTCGCTCTTCCTTCCAACTCGGACTCCCATCCCCGCCCCGGAGAGCTTCGTCAACAACACACAAACCCACTCCAACCTCCGTCACACTCTTACAGTGGTGCCCTCAAGCACCCCACCCAACCCCTACAATGACCTCCCCAACCGCCCACAGCACCCCAACCCTGCCCCTGCCCAAACCAAGCACAGCAGGCACAGCCCCCGCCAAGCTCGATCCCCGCCACACCACCACGAACGACATCCTCCCCTCCTCCGGCAACATCCTCGACTTCACCACCAGTCTCGAGACCGTCATCGGCGCGCCCTTTGCGAGCGGGCACACGAGCCGGGCTGGATCTGATCATGGGGATGACGATCATGGAAATAACGACGACGAGGAGAGAGAGGGAGAAGATTTGATTGGCCGTGCTGCGGAACCTGAACATGGTGGCACGGCGAGGTGGAGTGATTTGGTAACGGGTGATGTTCATCGTCGTCGCGGGGATGATGATGACGACAATGTCGGTCAGGCTCAGCGACGTGATGAGGATGAGGAGCAGTTCTCGGAGGAGGATTATCATAAGCTTGTTGATGCGGTTCAACGTGAGGAGCGTGAGAAGGACGGTGGAGACGCTCAGCAGCAGGATGAGTTCACTGAGGAGGATTATCGGAAGCTTATTATCAGGGTTGAGCGGCAGCGCTCCTCACGCAGCGTGGGAGAGGGGGCCGCTGCGTTCTGGGGAAACGATAATAATGGCGAAAGCGACGATGATGACGACGAGGTGGATGATGATCTGATGGAAGCGTACGAGCAACTGTACGAGGATGCACAGGACGAGGCCAATGAGGAGTTGCAGCAGGAGGCGGACATGAGAAAAAACGCTGGTGACGACCAAGACGAAGATGAAACCGGAAAGACCGAAGAGCAGATCCGCACCGAAAAATGGCACAAACGCTTCACCGACGCCGTCAAAGCCCACCGCGCCTCCATCGCCGCCCGCGAGCATCAAAAGACCACCACCAATACCCAAACCGTCTCCCCCCAACAACCCGCCCGCGACCCCTTCCACCCCGCCGGCATCCTCCGCAACCCCCTCAAAGCGCCCCCACCTACCTGGCACCCCGCCTGCTTCTGCCAATGGGAATACTACGGCCGCATGGTCGAGTGCACCAAACTTCTCAAGGGCTGCAAAGGGTGGTACCATTTCCCGTGTGTGGGCTTTCATCGCCAGTGGACGAACGCGCCGAGTGAGGACTGGACGTGCCCGCTTTGTGTGGTCAGTGAGCGGTTGGGCGTTACCGAGAAGGAAAAGGGGTTGGAGGGTGGGGAGGCGGTGGAACCCGTCGGTCGCGCTTTGCCTACCACCAAGAAAACCAAAACGGCTGCTACTACTACTACTACTACTACTAAGAAACCGACCACGACGAGGAAACGAAAAGTGAACACAGAAGACTCGTCGGCCAACCAACCGACCCAAAAAGCCCCGCGACGCCCAACCCCGTCCGTGTCATCAAGCACTGCAAAGACCACCAGGGAACCCGCGTCGAAGAAAGAGAAACTCCCCCCGCCGCCTGTGTCGCATTCCAGCAAGACGCGGAGTGCGAATTCGAAGGTTTTGAGGGCGAGGGTTGTTAGTACGCGGAAGTGACGAATTATCTGAGGAGAGAGGAGGGATGAGGGGGGATGTACGGGGAGGGAGAGTCGTGTAGCGAGAAATATCCGGAGAGATGGGATGTAGGAGCTGCGGAAGAAAAATGGGAGGAGAGACGGGAGTGGAAATCTCGAGGTTTTGAAATTTTTTGTTATTGCTTTTTTTGTTGGTTTCGTTTGCGACAGATTCGCGGGAGGGCAGGTCGTCTCTCTGCCGCGGAGTGGTACATACATGTATGTACGGGACTCGGTTTTTGAAGCCGGTTCCTCGTTGCGGTTTTGGAGTTCTCTTTTGTGATCAGGAGCTTTTGTAGCAACATGAATAAGAATGGGAGAATTTACAAACGGATCATTCGAATTGGGTTTGCGTGAGATCTCAAGTAGGCTTCTTGGTCATTCATGCATTGAAAACCCTCTATAATATAAAGTGATACCTCTCCTATGCACACAAAAACGCTCTCTACATGCCAGCTATCTATCCCATCCCAACGTCATGCTTGTCCAGTACGTAAGGCCCCCAAAGGCGAGCGACGCCTTCCATCATGCCGTCAGGCACCGCACGCTCCCAAAAACACCCCGCTGCCCTCCCCAACCGCGACCAGTAATCCCCTCCTACATGTCCAATCCCGCTCAAACCAACGCAACATCATTACTCCGTTTCAACAACTCCCTCAACCCCCGCGGCAACCTCGGCTCCCCGCCCGCATCCACGAGGTACCGAAACGGCAGTTCAACACTCTCTTTCTTGCCCAACTTGATTTCCGGGCGATCTACGAATTTAAGCTCAGACAACGGGATCTGGTCCTCGATGATGTGTTGCGCGACGAGGACGGCCGTGTCGGTTGTCATCTGCACCGGGCCGAGGTGCCGCGTGGTGTACCCGAGGGCCCGGAGGAGGCGCGTGCGGTCTTGCGGTGGGTCGTCGCCCTGGGGCGGAGAGAGGGGGGTGTGTTGTGTTAGAGTAAAATGAGGTTTGGGTGCCCGTGAACCGAGCATAGGCTTCGGAGGTTTTGCTCCAATGGATGTATCTGATTCCTCGACCCATTCGAAAAACAACCCCCCCATCCACTTTCCCTCCGCCGTTCGGCATGTCTCGTTTTCATCCCATCCGCCTTTTTTTTTGTTTTTTTCCTCGCAAACTTACCAAAATCCCCCCAAAAAGCAACCACCCAAACTCCCGCGCATCCTCGGGCCTCAACTCCTCCGTCGCCGCCGGATCAAGCAACACCACCTTCCCAAACTCCACGCCGTCCATCTCCTGCACCGCTTTCGTGGTCGCAATGATCCCGGATTCAGGGTTCAACGTCGGGTGTGTTTGGAGGGAGGTGGCGAGGGAGGCGGGGATGTGGGAGAGGATGAGATTGGACGGGCCGACGTGCGTTAGGATGTTGGTGTATTCGAGCTGCGGGTGGGGGGAGGGACGGGGGTTTAGAATGGGAGCGTGGGTGGGGAGGAGGGGAAGGGGTACTGGACGGGGTAGGGTACCTCTGACCACTCATCGAGCTCGGGCTCCATGTGTTCTACGATGTATTTGAAGGGCATGGCTGGTGATTGTTAGTTTGTTAACCTGGGGTTGTTGGCCATGGGGGGTCAACCTTTCTGCAGTAGTCGTACTGGAACGCAGAGGGAGGGCGGAGAGGGCGGAGACCGACTGCGCGTCTCAGGCAGTGGCGCAAGAAGGGGGCGCAGGGTGGCTTGCCCGCTGCTTACCCGTTTCCAATGCACGCCCCTATGCATCACCAATATACATAAGCCCTACCTGAGAGAGGACAGCTTTCAGATTATGACACCTTGCATGGATGAAAGAAGATTGTAGTATAGAGAATGGTATATGCATGACTTGTGGTCTGATGTGGAAATGTAACCGTAGCAGGGGGGGAGTATACATCACACCCTCACTCGGCCCCCGACCGTCTCCTAGCCCCCGCCCCCCTCGCAACCTTAGCTCCTAAGAGCGGATCCCCCACCTCCTCCCCACTCTCACTCCCCCCCAAATCCACCTCCTCCCTTCCCCCCCTCAACCTCTCCACCGCACTCCACGGCCGTTCTCCCTCGCCCACCAGCGCCTGACTCTCCGGCTCCACATCCTCCGCCAACTGTTTCTTCACCATCACTCGTCGCAGTACCGGTTTGAGCAGGAGGTTGATGAGGAAACCGGTGGGGATCATTACCAGCGCCCAGCCCAGGATCGCGCATCCGACGACTGTGAGGAGGATCCCGAGGCCGGCGGTGAACCCGACCGCGCGGAGGTGCGCGATGAGCGTGGAGGGTGTGATGGGGAGCGGGTCGAGGGAGAGGAGGCGTTCGCCAAGGCGCATGAAGACTAGGGAGCTGTTATAGTCATAGAGAGGGTGAATACTCGGTGTAGATGTGAAGTGAGGTGATGAGGGGATTACGTACAGTGCAACGTCGGCGGGTGTAAGGATCAAGTTGACGGTCTGCATGATGGGCGTGTTTAGTCCCCATTTCCAGGCTGCGCCGAGACATAGCACTGATGTGACGCCTAGGACGGGGAATAGGCCACAGACGATGGCCATGCTGATTGATAGGGCGAGTTTGTCTGGTGATGTGCCCGCTAAAGAATAAAGACGAAACATATGGATGGATGAGTGAATGGGTACGATTGATTGGCGGGTGGATGGGATGGAAGTCGAAGTCCCTGTCGCTCGCGAGAAGGCGTTTGATCTGGTCGCGCTCGCTATTGCATCGGCTCCCCAGAGCAAACCCAGGTTTGCTCGCCTAGGGCTCGCCTGCCTCAAGCATCCCGGCGCCTCGCTTCGCTCGTCGCAGTCCCCTCCTTCTCACTCTCAACCCCTGGCTTGCGCTCGCTTACCCACCTCTCAAAGCCATTCGAAAAGGCAGTATAACCCTCCTCCTCACAAACCCCCACACCCTCCCCTCCTCCGCTGTGGGCATATTCGTATGCGTCGTTCCCGCGTGGGTCTCACTCGCCTCCTCGCGTAGCCCTAACCTCCTACTACCAATACTCGAAGAGTTCAGCAACCGCCTCTCCCCCTCGTCCGTGTCGTCGTCCTCCGTCCCACCCGCACCGCCGGAACGTCCGCTTTCGAGATCGAGGTAGGGGTCGGATTGGGAGTACTGGAAGGAGAGGGTGTGCGAGGAGGAGGACGGGGAGGGGGGGCTGAGGGGGTTCGTTAGGGTCCGTATTTTGGTGAGTTTTGATGAGGGGATGGAAGGGAGTTGATGTGACCTCGGCGGACGGTGATACAGAGGGTATGCCTGTGATTGAATGAGTGCTAGATGTCTTTGGGATGGGGTGCGCTGAGCCAAACTTGGAGGCGTTGCATTCCACTTGTTCACACCTTCCACGCGTCCTCCCGTCTTCCCGCCTTTCCTTCCGCCTTTTTTCTCTGGTTGTCTCGCAGCCAACAGTGAACTGTCCATAACAACCGCAACCTTCTCACGTCGCCACGTCGCCACTCCACCCTAGTGTCCATCGGAACGTGGCTGGACTCGCCCTTGCGCCCGTACAGAGACTTCCTTGGGGAAGCCAAGAATAACAACCCGCCAGCAAAAACCGACCCCTTTCCTCCTACCACCGCTATCCACGGAATACGGCCAAGGGAGGTCCTGCATTGGCATTCCTTCCTCAGCAATGCTGCCAACTACCGATTTCATGACCCGCTTGTAGCGGTTCATTCGAATGAATTGTGAGTGGGGCTGGGAGCGTGGTACCGTTGGTATCGCTATATTGACATCTTTTACTCCCTTTCCGTCAGAATCCCATCACGGCCATTTGATGCCAACAATGAAACCTCGCTGCAGTTGGTTCTTAGGGATACTGTGGGGACGTTTGCTTCAATCGTCGAACGAACCAATCCCGCATTTGAATACCGAGTCCGCAACGAATGGCGTGACTCCCGTGGCGCTCGACCAGATGTGTCTGTGCTATACCGCAAAAAAGGTAACACCAGCGCAAGATTCCGGCCCCTTCTTTTCATAGAGGTAAGAAAGGCTGGTGTCCTGCCGTTCTCCGCAACCTCACGCTCTCTACATGACCAATACACCAACGGCATGGCTCTGCACGACCGGCGGTTACGAGTCCCGCAACCACCTGCACCATGTCCACCATCACCCGTTATTGACCAGATTTGGCGAATCATTGGATACATGAACCATAACCATCAGAAATACGCGGTCCTCGCACCTACGAATACACCTGGTTTATTATGCGCGACGGCAATGATCTACGCATCTCGGATCCTATCCGATTTGATGCAACCGGGGCGCAGTGTAGTGTCATCCGAGCAGTTGCTTATATACTGTCCCTCGCGATGGTTGATGGGTTTGCGCCGGGTCGATGCGAACACCGATCTCTGGATCTACCGAATGTTGCGTTGGGCGACTCCAATCCTTCGGAGCTCTCGGAGTACCCCTCAACATCAACGTCAGGACTGGGGACCGTCAGCGGAAAAGCCACCCAAGGAAGCGGCATCGAAACCACAGATAACACTTCTGCCTCCGCACACGCACGCCCATCCGACCCAGCCATTGCCCGCTTCGAACTGGTAACTTGTAACTGGTTCGGAACCAGTTTGGATTTCAACCGCGCTATCACATGGGGCCCGCGGCTCGGCCGCACCGCCATCCGCGCCACCTGGCTCTCCCACCCGGGCTGCATCAAGACCATCGACACCAAAAACCAAGAACACGTCCTCTCCATCAACCACGAAGCCTCCATCTCCGACGCCCTCCTCCCTATCCAAGGCCACGCGGAGGGCTTTGCGGTATGTTGTTGCTCACCGCGGGGCATACTAGCGTTTGCGGCGAAGAGAGAGCTCAGTGACGTCTTAAGTGAGCGGTCCCCGAGGTGCTTGCGGGACACGAGGCCGAATACGGGAGTGTCCGGCAATCACCTCAGGCCGGCGCTGACCGGGAACAGTGAACCCTTGGGATAGTGAAGTGTAGTTGAGCATACCGTGTTCGTTTGTGCAGCAGTTCTATCTTTACACCCTCTTTGTAAACCCTACACGAGAATCCATAACTGAGTGTATGCATGTCAAGTGTGCTATTAAGTACAGTACCGTACTGTACGTTCGGGAACGTCGATCGGGCGTCCGCTGGGCGCGTCCTTCCTCTTCGCTGTCGGCTTCGGCGCGTCAACGCCGTCAATGTGTGTACAGTAATTCAGTCTCCTCCGACACGGCTTGGAACGGCCAGCTGAAAGGTTCCCGTCGTGTGTTACTGTTGGCTCGGGTGACAGTGCATTGGGAGCCGACGTAGGCGGGATGCCGCTATGGCTGCAAAGCCCCTGCAATGCCGTTATCCTTACTAGCCAGTGGACAGTCTCTACCTTAGAGGAATGTCTCTCTGCCTTAGAGGAATGTCAGGAGGGGGTTAGGGTTAACCCGAATGGGTTAACCCTAACCCCCACGTGGAGCTAGAGATTGCCATTCATCAGCCGCAGGCAGATCCCAAAGGCACTCACAGCATTACCGGTTCAAGCGTAAGATGGTGGCATGTAGCTGACTATCCCCAGCTGGTCAAAGAAAAAAATTCTTCACGTACGTATGGGAAGATATCTGTGAAATGGTCTTTGAAATGGTGGAGGAAGAAGAGTCACTGTCAGTCAGATGCGGCACGCGTCGCGGCCGCTGGTCATATGAGCCGCAGGGGCTGATGGGGGAGATAAGAACCTTTTCTTCGCCCGTACGGGACGCCAAACATTTCACCGTAGGGCTCTGTCTGCTTTGCAGCCATACAACAGGACCCGCTCTGGTTCGTTCATCGCCATATAAAAGCCGGAGAAACTCACCTGACCGTGTTTCTAGGTTTCTGCCGTACTGCAGCAACGTGAGGAGCACTGCCAGGCCTCGCAAACCGCGTATCGTCTTAACTAAGCGAATACGCAATGGGGAACGATTTATACACAATACTTGGAGTATCCAAAAATGCCGCTGAGGAGGAGATCAAGCGGGCCTACAAGGCCGCCGTTAAGAAATTTCATCCAGACCGCAATCCTGGCTTCAAGGAGGAGGCGGACGCAAAATTCAAGGAACTCAGTGGAGCCTACGAGGTACTCTCGGATGCAGTGAAACGAAAAGGATACGATCAGCAGCAAGCAGAAAAGCGGAAGGAGGAAGCAACGCGGCCCAAGGAGCAGGCAAGGCCGAGGCCGGACATGGAGGAGGGATCCCAGGGTGAGGCGGGGCAGAACAGCACACATGCCAGCCCTACGGAATTGGAAAACCTGATGCGGCGTTTTGAGAAATTGAGTGGAAAGGTAGACCAAATGGAGAAGAATCAGGAGCTGCAGACACAAGCATTGCGAAAGGAACGAGAGAACGTTGCGGAGGTGCGACAGGAACGCGCGAGAGTCACAGAGCTGGAGAGAGGGTATGCCCACCTTCAGAAGACAACGGAAGATTTGAGAAAATCCCTTGTCAAGGAGGCGGAGATTAGCTCACAGCTGCAGAAAGACATCGCAGCCATGCAGCCAAGAAATACGACCCCGCAACTCCCAAAGGTAGGCCAACCCAGAGTGTGGTTGGACGTTAGTTGGGGTAACGAGCGGTCAGGAAGGATAGTCATCGAGGTAAGCTGTTTTGTGTGCAAACATGCGTTTTGGTTGGGCATGTTTCCTTATCGATTACCATGTCTCTTAGCTCCAATCAGCTTTTCCGAAAGCAGCCGAAAATTTTCAAATGATGTGTGTGGGGAACGTTCGTCGCTATCGCAGCTATCGCTACACTGGCACGAAACTTCAGTCCGGATCCAGGGGCGAGGCAATTGAGTCTATGGAACCCCAGGAAGTGGTTGGAGCTGGGGAGGGCATTTACACCCCTCAAACATCCGTTCACGTATTTGACCACGCCTTTCGGGGGGAAGTCTGGTTAAGCAACCAACCGTGCGCTCAAGCACCCTGGAATCTACAATTCTCGATTGCTGTCAAAGAGCACAAGTATCATGGTCGCTGCTACGTCAAGATCGGAAAGGTGGTTGAGGGCATCGACATAGTGATGGCGGTGGAGGCTTTTAGCAGTAGAAAGACCGATGCATATTATCGTGGCGTCTACAGTGCAGAGATCGTGGACTGCGGGCAATATTGAAAGCTGTGGTCGAACCCGTCCACCCGTGTAATCATTAGTCAAAGGAGAACGAGTGGCTACAGGGAACTATCGGCTTCTGGGGGATCTACGCCAATCCCCACTGTGGACGTCCGCCTTGCGAAGATGAGTGCGCCACCAGTGACCTCAGGCCTCTATCTTTATATCCTCTTTGTAAACCCTATACGAGAATCCATAAGTGGGTGTATGCATGTCGATGTTCTCCGTTGGCGGATTCTTGAGGGTTGGATTGCGCGCCGCGTGATGCCCACGATCTCAGCGCTCACATTCGGCAGACGCGGTCCGCGATTCTGACGGATATTGGCTGTAATATTACATGCCCGAATGCTCGGCAGCGTTCAGAAGGCGGAGCCCCTCTTCATAACTTCGCTCCACACCCTGAGTAGCATCAACATCCATTGCGGGATCAGGAACATTGATCTGGGCGTCGACCTCTTCACCCGCAGCAACTTCATCCACAGTCTCCTCCTCGGCAGCGACAACGGCACCCCAGAATGCTCCCTCCACGGGATTGTCAGCTTGCTTTGGCATCAACGTCTCAATAACACTGGCACCTGATGTGGTCCGGGATCGGCGAGCTGAGGCGGTGGGGGCATCCAACACAAACTCAGGCTCAAGGTGGTGCTTGCATCGACGCATTTCTGAGATCGGCAGGGGGTCAGAACTACGTTGGGTGCGCACTGTGGGAGGGGGCCCGGCAGCGTAGCAACCCTGGGGGGAGGAGTGTCCCCGCCGGTGGGGGCAGGAGTGCCGTCCTCATTGTCACTGGCTACCCTGCGCTGTCTCTCTGCTCTCACTGCCTTCATGCATGTTTTGCATCCATACAGCTTGGGAAAATTGGGAAGGTCACCTGTGGGAGCCCGCAAACAGAAACTAGTTGGAACTTCCAAGCCAGCAGCGCATATCCGTGCTCAACAGCATGAATTGGCGATGAACGCCCTTTGCTTCAACACGACGGCGTTGCACTCGAGCTTTGGAGCAGGGCTTATCCCCTGCTGTATTCCAGATATCGCAGTACACATAGTCTTTCCGATCATCCTCAGCGTTACACAGCAACTCGGCAGTTTGAGTCCTGGTCCGCATCTGCAATCCTCAAGTCAGTTTGCATGACCTCATTCTGAGATTAGAAGGCCAGCTTTTCCATACATTTGTGCATTGAGAATGGGAAGAGCCGTTCCGTAGAATCCAGAGGTCCAAATGTTTTCCTAGTAGCACATTGTTTGAGGGTTGGCGTTGTTGACGAGTTCTGCTTGGTAAAAGTCCGCTGTAAATAATTACTTTGTCCAACAGACCAGCTAGTGTTGCTCCCCATACCTGTTTTAGTTATCCCACAAAGTCTCAGGTTAGTTGGGTGTGTGTGGTTTCGCCATTCCCCAAAGGAATGCTGAAAAAAGGAGCTGTGGAAAAAGCGTCGGCGGAGTTGTGTCCTGCCCTCGCGACGGACCCGCGTCTCAGGGTGTGACATCACGCAAAGCCGAACATCCCCCACCTCTACCTCATCACCCACCCGTCAGCTCATCTCCCCACTTTCCCAACCATGTCCTCAAAGGTACCACCCTATCCGTACTCCCAGAACAAAATAGCACTAGTAACCCCCGCCGATAAGTTCATAGGCCAACAAGCCGCCCAGGAGCTCGATGAATGGCTGATGGATCCCGCGAAGGGGGGGTTTTCGGTCGACCAGGTGATTGCATCTCGTGTGTTCCCCACGTCGATCCGTCCGTGGTTGCTGACACGCGTGTGATGCAGTTGATGGAGTTAGCGGGATTGAGCGTCGCGCAGGCGGTCGCGAGGGAGTATCCGAAGGAGAACGGGGGGCGGGTTGTTGTTTGTGCTGGTTGGTTGTTCGGTTTTGCGATTGTTGACGATGGGATGCGGATGTGGTTTGGATGCTCATGGGGTCTTTCCTGTAGGGCCAGGTTGGCAGTCGAGGTTGGGGAGGGGGCGGATGGCTGGACACCCGCAACTGACTGTGATACGGCGATAAGGGAATAACGGAGGCGACGGACTGGTTGCGGCCCGGCATTTGTTCCATTTCGGATACACTGTCAGGGTGTTTTATCCCAAACCGACCGATAAGCCGCTGTACAAGGTCCGTGTCCCGAGACGCAATACGACGCCATGTCGGTGGTCAGATCCGAGGAACTGAGAGTGATGTTTTGTTTTGTTTTTGGCAGAACTTGACTACCCAGCTGAAATCTCTAGACATCCCGCTCGTGGACAGTCTGGACGCGGCGTTGAAGGAGGCGGATGTGGTGGTCGATGCACTCTTCGGTGAGGCCCGCCAAAACGAACCCGTCCTCACCCCAACTTGAGTATCCAGCTAACGCCGTCACTCGGAACACAGGGTTCAGTTTCAAGGGAGATGTGCGCGCCCCGTTCGATTCTGTGCTGAAGGTAAAACCCCTTATCTGCGGATTGAATATCACCGGGTGGGTGACCGAACCTGACTCGACACATGTATGGGCAGACCCTCCAATCCTCCCGCCTCCCCATCGTCTCCATCGACATTCCCAGCGGGTGGGACGTCGAGAAAGGTAACGTTCTGCTGTCTGTGCCATCAACAGCCAGAGGTGCTCAGACGGAGGCGTGCGTTTGTGCGTGACAGGCAACATCCGCTCCCCGACCCTCCAACCCTCCACCCTCGTCTCGCTGAGCGTGCCTAAAGTCGGTGTCAGGGATTTCACAGGTACCCTATCCCCCCCAAGGCACTCCCCCACCCCCGGGTGATGCCCCTCCCTGCATGGCTAAACACACACACACCCCCCACGACGACAAAACAGGCAAACACTACCTCGGCGGCCGCTTCATCCCCCCGCAGCTGGCTGACAGACTGGGGTTCGCGGTGCCGAGGTACGAGGGGTGCGAGCAGTGTGTGGATGTTACGGGGTGGGTTAGGGAGGTGTGATGATGTGACGAGATGAGGTTTGGGAGACCGCGAGGAGCGGATTTGATGGGTGGAGAGGATATGAAATGCGCGGGGGCGAGTTTCGGGGGGATGCGAGATGTGGAAGTAGGATAGGTTAGGCAGGCAAAACTTGTTTTCAGTTGGGCATCTGAGGCATGGAGGAGCGGTATCGGTATTGCAAGAGAAAGGGCGTAGCTCGATACAATCCGAAGATTCACGATAACACAACGGTCCTAGAGCGCAAGTTGATATTCATACGGTATCGACAAAATGTGCAGACGGAAGGACGTCCGCAAATGTTCCCCTTTAGAAGAAAGCTGCATCAACCGCCTCTGAACCAAGTGGCAGGGGAGCATGGGGACGCAAACACTTTTTTTCGCAAAACATTATTCAAAAGACAGGCCCCACCAGTGAGGCGATAACGATAAAATAAACGTAATTTCATTCAAAGACAGACGACCCAGCGCCATTCCAGAGTAATACAAAGACGGGTATTAAAAACAAAGCCTAGTCCAAACGTGAAGCACAAACGGAGGAGGAATATGATATGCGTGATCTCAGACATAAACACATGGGGGTCTCCTTGATGACGGAGAGGAGAATGCGGGTCACTGCCCACGAATCTCATGATGCGTAACATCCGCCTTCTCCGTCCCCTCATCCTCCCCAAAGATCGTGGCAACCGGCCTTTCCGGCGCATGCCAGAACACCAGGAAGATGATCATCGCCGGGATACTAACGATCGTCAAGATGATAATCATCCATTTCGGGTTGACCACGTTGACCAATCCGAATGTCAGGAGGTACCCCGCGGCCTCGCACCCGATCTTGCTGCTGAATGCCACGTCGGCGTTGTAGGTGAGGAAGGTCGAAAGGTAGGTGAGGATCGAGACTTCAAGCGCCAGGAGCTGCACATTGTACAACCCGCCAGTGAACGCCAACATCGCCTTGAACTTGGTCGGTGAAGTCTGTCCCGGCTCATCACCGACGCCGTTAACGCTCATGTAGTAAGCGCCGAGGGCACAGGCGCAGAGGCCGTAGTAGGAGACGACGTAGATGTACATGACCCAGCGGTAGCGGGCGGCGACGTAATTGGTTCGGAGGCGGTCGTAGAATAGGCCGAATACGATGGAGGCGGCAATGGCCCAGGATTCGGAGATGGCGTAGATCCAGCCGTTCCATTCGTCGCCGACTTCGTTGACGATAAGGTTGAAGGAGGCGTTGAACCAGCCTTGGGTCATACCGCCTGAGGGGGTTGGAGGAAAGGGAGGGAGTGAGTGAGTCGATCGCGAAAGAATACTGAATGGGAGAGGTTGACGGATGGGTAGACATACCAGTGACAAAGATCGCAGGCCCAAGAGGTCCAAAGACGGGATGCCATAGCATCTGCAACGGCTGCCAGAACCTCGCCTTCCACGTCGCCCACGTATACTTGGCATTGGCGTCCGCACGACCACCCGTCAGAGCAAGATCCTGAACGACAATACCCTCACTCTTCAGATCCTTCTTGTCAGCGGGCCGGTACTCGACAGACCCATCCTCGAATTGAACACGATGCAAGACTTGGCCGCTGGCGCTGCGATGATGACCATGCGGCTGTCCAGTCTCCACGGAACCAGTGGCGTCCTTGGCGGGCGCAGCGACGCCTTGACGCCTGTACCGACGGCGAAACGTAAAACCGTGGATGACGAAGCAGATGACGGATGTGAAGCAGAGGCCGAGGAAGAACGCGTACTGGGCGTTCCAGCTGGTGAAGGCCTTTTGGACACCGCCGAGGATGAGCCCGCCCGTAAAGACACCGAGGTGGAAGGCGCACTGGTAGATGCCGGCGTTACTGGCGCGGTTATGCGGTGTGCTGACGACGGCGATGAGTTGACCGGCTGCGGGCCAGAGAATACCGGCGCCCCCTGTGATTAGAAAATCGCGAGACGTTAGAACTTGATCAAGACTTCCCTGTTCCAGCGATACTCACATCCAAAGAATGCAGCGCCAGCCAAGTTCCAGGCATTGGAACCAGAAAACATGCATGCGATCCACACTGCGTAGGAGATGGGACCCCATGGCAAGCAGAACTCCAAGCCCCACCAGTCCAGGAAAAATGTGGCCCACATAGAGGTGACAAAGTACGCGGAATACAGGACGATCAGAATGTACGCTCTGTTGAGAAAGCAAGGACATTCAGTATGTGAGTATGCGAACGGGAGGTATTGCACCCAACTCGCACCCAACTCGCATAAACCAGACTCCCCACTCCTCACATACCCAGTATCAGGATACCGAATAGTCTGCAACCCCTGAATCGGATAACTCGTAAACAGCAACATGAACCCCAACGACATGACCCACACATGGTAGTCGCGGTCCTGCACCCAGTACTTGAACCCGGCAAAGCTGCTCAGCGGGCCGCCCGGCGGCTTCTTGGGGTCGCGGCGCTCTTGATGGGCGGAGTGGGAGTCATGGATGGTTTTGGTGGGAGTGGGGGTTGTTGAGGTGGGGTATTCTTCGTGGACAGTGAGGGCGCTGGGAGTGCGGGCGTAGGGGTCGTCTGGCTGAGAGACGGGCCCCTCGCGCGTGTTATTCGGACTCGCGTTGGCGGCCATCGCGCTGCCTCTTGGACTTGACTTGATTTGAGAGACGGCTTCTTACTACTGTTCGTGCTTGCAACCGACACAGGGAAGGACTCGCTCGCACACGGGATGTAGGGCAGCAGGACAAGGTTTCAGACAGAGTTCCCGATGGACAGCTACTCCACATATATATATATACACACGGGAGGCGGGGCCGGAGGATTCGCTCGAACCGAACGCTGTAAGAATTATGAAACAGAGGGAGATCGCTGAGCTTGAAACCGTATTTTCCCTCCATGGTGTTTGTCTGGCATCGCATCTCTGCCATGGATTGCGACATTCGTCTTATCGGCAGGGGATAGCGGGCGGAGTCAGGGATTACGACATGGCGCTTTGCGATACATTCGGGGGATGCGCCGACACCTTCCCACATGTTTGCATTTCTGAAATGTTTGAAGCCACGCACGGAGGGTCCTGTCAGTGGCAGCGAGGGAGCGATGCGATAGACCCTGGAGTCTGCATGCAGCGATGTGGCGTCTCCCATTTTTGCCACCCATGTACGAAAGAGTGTACGGGAGGCAGTGAAAGCTCCCCATTTCAAAATCCAGACCCGTAACCGTGGGAATGAGGGATATCCTTCCATTTCTCCCACCTCGAACCAGTGGGCAGGAGGAGCAGCTTGATGAGTTTTGAACCATAATATGGGCGGTTGAACCTCATCGATTATTTGATGATTCTCAAAGCTTGCTTGAATTCCGCCTTCAATCCCTACTAGGAATATGACTTGAGGCGATTCTCTCTGTGATCGGGAGCGGGGTGAGTGAGTCACAGCCACGCGTGAAGACGCGATCGTAATGTGGGAATGTGGGGAACGCGCGAATTGCGTGCTCGCAGCTCCCCTCAGCGCCATCCCTCAGAAATCCTGCCACATTCCGCAATCCTCACCACTCACAAACTCACAGCCCACATCAACTTTACCATGACTATGAACATCTCCCCTCCCTCCCAGGGCTTCATCCATCATCTCCAACATCTCCCCCCCTCCCTCCTCCGTATGGAACGCAGGGAACCCATGTGAGAAACAGGGCTCATGTAAACCGCGCGGGCGCCAAAAAGCGATGAGGGTCTCGAATGCAGATGCAAAGGCCCAGATCGGCGGCGGCGGTAGATGGTGGGTGGTGCCCGGAAAACAAACGGCCGTAACACAAGTTAGGGCGGCTATCCATTATCGCAAACAGCTTTATCGGACTTTCGCAACTCCACTGGGAGAGGGGCGAAACGACCGGCAAAGGCCGGTTGCGTGATACTCATATCCCTCGTGGCCGTGACAATTGCCCATAACTCAGCCAAACTGCGAGTTTCCCAGTGTTATAAGTATCTGTTGAGGCCTGTCCCGTCGCCTGCCAAAGAGCAATCCCACATCCCGCATTCGACGCATGCAAAGTCTCTATCCATCGCGACCTTCATCCTTGCACCCTGTTTCGTTGCCCTATTTCCTGCTGTCGGTCGTCTCTACTCATAGTTTGCTCGCTTGCCACTTGCCGGACATCTCGTCCGATTTCACCACTTCCACAACGGGCTGCTTTTCTCTTGCTAACCGCTACTGGCGCCGGCCCACTGAACCCACTGTGACCACCATCACCGTCACCGCCAAAAGCGAAAAGCCTACTGCGTCCGACGACGATCTAAAGATCAATCCTAGCTCATTCATTCTACATCAATCGGCAATGGCAACTGCAGCACCGTCCGCGGTCGGCAAACCCGTCGCTGCAACAAATGGCGTCCAGAACGGTGTGCACTCCCCACAGGAACAACCAAAAAAGCTGGCAAACGGTTACGCCATCCCTGCATTCACCGCTGCCCAAGTTAAGAGCGCACAACCGCAAAAGTACCAGACTTCCTCTGCCACCGTCGCAGGCATCCTCAACAAAGTCGCTTCCTACTCCCGCCCTGAACCCGTCCCCGTCCAGATCGCCCAACCCCTCGTCGCAGCCCAGCCGGTCGTCAACGGCGTCTACAACTCCACATCGTCGAACAGTACCAGCACCGCCGTCGTCAAAAGCAAGGTCTCTGGCCAAGAAATTCGCACAGCCTTCCGCAATGCTGCCAACAGCGTATGGGTCATTACCAGCGCGTGGGATGACCAGCCGGTCGGTTTCACTGCTATCACCGTCAACTCCGTCTCCATCGATCCGCCCATGATCACCTTCAACATCGGTCGCAACTCGAGCAGTCTCAACACCGTCAGCAGGTCCCTTCGTTTCGCCGTCCACTTGCTGAGCCAGGACGAGGCAGCCACAGCTAAACGATTCGCAGCGTCCGCCGACAAGCGCTTCGCCGATGCAACGACTTGGAGGTGGCATCAAGATGGCCTCCCGGAACTCACACCCAACACACTTGCTCGTCTCTCCGGAAACATCCTCAGCCTCTCTGCGGCAGGCGACAACCTTCTCGCCCTCGGCGCCGTCGAAAACATCTCTCAACGTCCCGGCCAGCCGCTGGTCTACCACCAAGGCGTCTACCGCACCCTGCAAGACCCGACCACACCGCGTCGCGACCGCCGAATCTACCTCAACGCGTTCGACATGTCCTGCATTGGCCATCAGAGCCCCGGGTTGTGGGCCCACCCGAACGACCGGGCGAGCACGTACAAGGATCTGGAGTACTGGACCAACCTCGCGCAGCTGTTGGAGAAGGGAGGGTTCGACAGTCTGTTTTTGGCGGATGTGCTGGGGACCTACGATGTGTACAAAGGCTCTCGCGATGCCGCTGTTCGTGCGTCCGCCCAAGTTCCCGTCAACGACCCCGTGCTGTCCATCCCCGCCATGGCCGCCGTGACCAAGCGTCTCGGTTTCGGCGTGACAGTCAGTCTCACGTACGAGCTGCCCTACTCCTTTGCCCGCCGCATGTCCACCCTCGACCACCTCACAAAGGGCCGCGTGGCATGGAACATTGTGACCAGCTACCTCAAATCCGCGGCGACCAACCTCGGCCTCGACACGCAGATCCCGCATGACGAGCGCTACAACATCGCAGAGGAGTTCATGGAAGTCTGCTACAAGCTCTGGGAAGGCTCCTGGGAACAAGACGCCGTCGTCGCCGACGTCAAGAACGGAATCTACACCGACCCGGCCAAAATCCACGACATCAACCACCGCGGGAAGTACTACAACGTCCCCGGCGCACACCTCTGCGAACCCTCCCCGCAACGCACCCCCTACCTCTTCCAAGCCGGCGCCTCCACAAAAGGCCAAGCATTCGCCGCCAAACACGCCGAAGCCGTCTTCATCGCCGGCCCAAACCCATCCCACCTCAAGAAGATCGTCGCAGGCATCCGCAAATCAGCAACAGAAGCCGGCCGCAACCCTTACGACGTCAAGATCTTTGCGCTCCTCACCATCATCACGGCCGAGACGGACGAACTAGCCCACGCGAAACACGAGGACTACAAACAGTACGCCTCCATCGAAGGCGCGCTAGCCCTGTACGGCGGGTGGGCCGGCGTCGACCTCTCCACCCTGGACGTAGACCAACCGCTCGAGTACGTCGAGAACGACGCGATCCGCTCCGTCAACGAGATGTGGTCCAAACAGAACGGCTCCGACAGCGTCTGGACCCCGCGCAAGATCGCCGAAAAGATCTCCATCGGCGGCCTCGGCCCCCTCATCGTCGGCAGCGGGACATCCATCGCGGACCAGTTGGAAAAATGGGTCGACGAATCAGATGTCGATGGGTTCAACCTCGCGTATGCTGTCACACCGGGCTCGTTCGAGGATATCATTGAACATGTCGTCCCGGAACTGAGACTCCGCGGACGCCTGCTGCCGATCGAGGACGACGACGCGCCGAGGACTACCCTGAGGGAGCGCATGGGATACCCGCATGCGAAGGCGCATGTCGGGAAGGACCACCCCGCGTGGAGGTATAAGGTTAGCAAGTGAGCGGTGGGGCTGGTCCTCGCTTTAGCTCTTTGGATGTTGGCGGTACTACCCCCCCGCGATTCTACTGTATATACACATCATCGTTCCCCCCCCCCCCCCCCCCCCCCCCCCCCCGTGATATCCCCCTCATATTGTTAGTCGTTAGTTCCCTCACCTACCTCGCTTGCTGTACCCGCCCACTAGGGGATTGGGAGGAGGTGTAGTGGTCAGTGTCTTGTTATGTTTATAATCATACTTTTTCGCATGCAGTTGTTCGGAGCGGACTTGGGCTGGGGTTCATTGTGTGCTTTTTGCAAGCGACTTCCGCTGGACATGCACCAATTCCTGTACATACATACGCATTTGCACAGCGCGCTGGCGTTGCCATTATTTATCTGAGGATGTATTCATCATCGTCTAGATCTACTCGTCTTGGAGTGTCCGATATACCAACCGTCTGTCATACGCATTGTTCTAAACCATCTAATAAACAAGGAAGACACCCAACGGCCTCCCTACCCGTTTCGCCTTTCCTTTCCAGCATCTCCCCCATCGCATCCCATCAAAGCACCTTCCAAAAAAACTTGGACGTAACCCTCCTCCCATCCTCCAACCTAATCCAATCCGGCACATCCCCCACCTCGACATACCCGGCCCTGCGATACAACCCGACCGCCGCCTCCGCCTCCGCATTCGTATCCAGATGCATCAACGTCCTCCCCGCCCCCCTCGCACCCGCTTCCGCCGCGCCCAACAACGCGCGCCCCACCCCGCGGCCGTGGTGATCGGGATGCACGAGCATTTTGGAGATACACGCCCGATGCTGCGCGTTCGTCGCCGTCGCGAGGTGCAGTTGGACCGTGCCGATGATGGTGCCGTCCGGGAGGCGGGCGAGGTAGAGCGTGGTGGCTGGGTCGGTGAGCGCGTGGGTGAAGAGGGCGGCGGCGGTGGGGGGGGTGAGCGGGGTGGGGACGGAGAGGGCGTGGCCGTGCGAGACGAGGAGGAGGAGGATGGAGGCGAGGGAGTGCGAGTCGGCGGGGGTGAGGGTGGGGGTTGGGTGGATTGTGTAGGTGGAGGTGGGCGAGGAGGCGGGGGGTGGAGTGGACATGGTGAGGGTGAGGGTGGTGGTGAGTCGGGCGCTCTGGGTTGGACAGTGTGGACAGAGAGGTGCGGATCGGCTGGGTATGAAGCCGACCAGGAAGGAAGGGATGCTGGCTTTTTATATATATACTGTACTGTAGTATTGTACCTCGCCGTTGGGGGTGCGTTGGTTGCTCTGGCGTGGTTCCGGAGGGCTACTCGTACTGTACGGGCGTTCCGTTCCGCGACGCGTTTCCGCACCATTGTCCCGTCCGTCCCAGACGCGTTTTCCCTCGTCCGTCCTTCCCAACAGAACTTCGCCCCTGACGGGAATATATCGGCTTAGCTTAAAAACTTACAACCCTATTCAACGCCAGCACATGGGATGGACGCCTAACGGTTCCGAAGTGTTGCGGGCGTACATACACTGGCGGTACATCCGTTGGGCGTTGATCTCTCATGTGTCCCGGAAGTCCGCCCTCCCGGAGAGAGCATCGCAAGATCTGGACCAGCACGGCTTGTACACAACTGAAAAAGTTCAAGAGCTATAATGCGGTGATAAGGCATCAGTCAGTACATTCGAACCGCCAGTCTCCAACCAAGGATATCGCGACAAGATTGGCTCGATACCAAGCTGTGAGGCACGTCTAGTCGGTGGCTATTGGCAGGATTAACACGGTGTTTGAACGCGGGGCTGGGGCAGAGTGTTGATGTCCCTGTTTGCGCGCCGAAAGGTCCAGCACATTTTGGGCTATCATGATTTACCAGTGCTCCGCTGCTCCGGCAAACCTAAATGTCCGCGAGCGACTGCGTGATCCACTGCAAACTGAGGCAGTGCACATCTCTGGGACCCGCAGTGGGAATTGCGCCAACCTCAACCCACGGCTGCGTGGTGCATGGGTACGACGCTGGCGGTATTTGTCACAGGACAACAGCGTTGGACGCCCGTCCCCTTCAAGTTTGTTCGACCGAACGAGGTCGCAACGTCACTTAATGTTCAACATGATTGCAATGCAATGTGCACCATTGTGAAGGCGCGACGCAGCATTCGCCGGTCGCACACATGATCAAGCACCACGGATATGTTATCCTGCTCAACCGATACTGCATCCAACCCCGGTAGCAACGACCAGCATTCCCAGTCGTTCTCGCTAACGTGGACTTTGGATGCGCAATGCCGCCCTCTGTACGAACGGAAGAAGAAGGTACGAAAGGAAGAAGGAGGATGGATCTGATGCGCGAGATTGCCGAAGCATTCGATTACTCTGAGGATATGCGGATACTCACACACCGACCTCTGTGGGATCTGTCACCGATTCGGAGGCATCGATGGTGTTGGATTGGAGACCTCCGAAGCGAGCCCGAGGGAGGGGGAAAGCCACTGGAACTACAAGAGGACGGGCAGCTGTGGCGAGGGGGCGTGGGACGGGAGGACGTGGTGGAATGACAACGCTGGCGAGAGGACGGGCGGTTTGGGGCAAGGAGGGGCGGTCATCAGGGATCCGGGGTAATTCTTAGGTTAAGGCTGACGCGTTGGGGTTAGGATCGACGCGTTAAGGCCGACGTAAGCAACGGAACGCTTGACGAACAAGGTGTGCTTGTACCTTTCTCAAGCATCCTCGCTCACGGAGAGGTCTCGCAAAACGCCGCTCAGCCAACCGTACGTCCCACCTCATCCCCCTGAGGAATATTTTGGGACAGGATGGATGCTGGGTTCTTATTCTCGTCGGCCACCGGGCTGCGCAAGCACCCCCAGCTGCAAGTACAGTACTCGCTCAGCACCTTCGTCTCCTGGGGGAAGCTTCCCGTGCCGAGTAAACGACCGAGGCACACCCCTGCCCAGAAACCTACTCCACCCAAGGAACGTACACCCCACAACGGATCTTTGGACCGGGTAGCAACGCCGCCCCCCAATCAGGTCAAAACACCCTCCACAGGACCACGCTTCTCGTGGCACTCAGCGAGCGTCACCTGATCGTATGGGGTTTCCGGTGAGCGTGGGCGCAAGGGACACAGGACAATGCGTGGAGAGTCGGAGCTCCGGGAGACGGCTCTTCAGTTTCGCTCACCAAACGTCTGGGGAAGCCAGTGCTTCATCCTCTACGTACGGTTGGAGGAGACGGGCGAAGTACTGTACAACAAAACGACCAGAAAACCTTTCAAGGGAAGCATTGGGAACTCACCCAAGAAGTCAAGGTACGGCGTGTGCGTTTACGTGGGCTGCTTTATTTGACTATTGGGTTGGATACGCAGAGGAGCGCTGGAGGTCGGAGAACCACCATTTGAGGGCATCCTCATCAAGGAGCAGGGTACGCCAGCGTGCTATGTTGACAATGAGGTGAGAATCTACTCTACGCTATCTATCCGAAACACACCCCACCTAAACCGCCACCGTCCAAACCCCCTATCTATCTATCTACCTACCTACACCTACTCGCTCAACTGCGCGTCCACCCACTTCCCGACAACCGTCTCAAAATAATCCAACGGCGCAGTGCCGAGCCCCATCAACACATCATGAAACGCCCTCAAATCAAACTTGTCCCCCAACCGCTTCGCCGCGGTCGCCCGCATCGCCTGGATCTTGATCTCCCCGTACTTGTACGCGAGCGCTTGCCCCGGCATGCAGGCGTAGCGGATGGCTTCGTTCTCGAGCGTCGATTCCGAGAGGGAGACGTACGGCCGCATTGAGTCTTTGACTTTGTCCACCGACCAGCCGAGGTGGTGCAGGCCCTGTACAAATGATCGAGGGGTTAGTTTTGGGGCGAGGGGAAATAGGGGATGTTGCGAGGACTTACGGTATCGACCACCAACCGCAACGCGCGATGCATCTCCAATTCCAACCGTCCAAACCAATCCAGCGGGTCCTCGTACATCCCCAGCTCGACGCCCAGACTCTCCGAATACAGTCCCCACCCCTCCACCTGCGCGGTCGAAAAGATCAACTTGCGGATATCATGGTCGGTGTCCCGCTCGAGCGCCAGCGACATCTGGTGATGGTGGCCCGGGTTCGCTTCGTGCAAAAGCAAGGCGCGCATCCCGTGCGTCGGCACCCCTTTGGCGAGGGAGAGGTTGACGAGGAACTTGCCGGGCTTTTCTTTGGTGCCGGGGAAGTACATCGCTTCCGGGGCGCCGGCTTCGGAGTGGGCGGGTACGGCGACGATGGCGCACTTGTCTTTGGGGAACTTGCCAAAGAAGGCGGGCATCTTGGCGTCGATGATTTTGAGGAGGGATTCGTAGGCGGGGATGATGTCGTCGACGTTGTCGATGTAGAGGTGGGGGTACTGCGTTTTGTCGTTGAGGGCGTTGATGAAGTCCTTGATGGAGCCCTGGAACCCGAGCTTGGCGATCGTGGCTTCCATCTCCGTGGCGATGCGCGCGACTTCTTTGAGACCGAGTTGGTGGAGTTCGTCGGCGGTGACGTCCGAGTCGGTGTGGATCCTGATGAAGTCTTGGTAGGCTTCCTCGGACCCGGGCATGCCGTAGATCCCGTCGTATTTGCGGGCGTGCTGGCGGTACTCGTCCTGCAGGAAGGTCTTGAGTTTCTTGTGTGCGGGCACCACGCTCGTGCGGATCGCGTCGTGGAGAAAGTCTTCGGGAAGTCCGACGGCTGTGACGTCTTTCACGATGTTCCAGGGGTTGGTGGCGGGGTCTTCGGTGATGTAGCCGTCGCAGCCTTTGATGAGGAGGTCGATGGAACGGATCGGGAGCGTATATTTGGACTCGATGCCCTTGCGAAACCCGTCAATGACCTGATCCATCCTCGGCGCAATCTTCTCCAGCCTCGACCTGAAGTTCTCGATATCCTTCACAGTCTTGACCGCCGACGCATGGACGAGCTGCATCCACGAGCCCACGATCGTGCCCTGCATATGGGTCGCGGGCATATCCTTCCGCGAGATGGTCCGCGCCTCCAGCGTCTCTTTTTTGATGAAGGACTTGACCATGATAATCAGGTTTTGCTCATCCTCGGTGAGGGTGGATTTGTCGAGTAAGTCGAGTTCGGCGGCGGTGTGGGCGCAGGTGGCGAGGTATTCGTCCTGCTTTGTCAGGTCGAAGATCTCATCGCGATAACGGGGCCAGTCGAGAAAAGCACCCGCTTCAGGCGAGTTCTTGAAAAAGGCGTCCAAGAGCGTGTCGAGGAGGCCGTTGAGCTTTGCGGAGGTGGCTGAGAGGGCGGTGGTGGACATGTTGTGTCGAGCGGAGAGGTGTTGAATTGTGCGCTTGGTGGAGAGGAATGGAGAGGGGAGTGCGCTGTCCTTTTATCTTCTTCAAGAAGTGCCAGTGCTCTGTGTGAGAGGGCGTGGACCTCCCACGAACGTTCGTCGTTGAGACCTCTGCGTGTGCCTGGGTGCCAGTGGGTGGGTGTGCCAGCCTTGTGTGCAGCGCCATATGTATTGGCAATACCGTTGTACAGTTGTACATGTACAGTAGGAGTCCTGGTAGCACTAGGAGTATAGCCCGCACATGCACGCCCACGAACGGAATGTCGAATTTCGGCCGCTTGGCTTGTTGCCAGTTGGAGTGGATTTGGATGACCGTGTGCGAAGAGTAGGCGCTCGCCGTGACTGCGCGATCTGTCGGAGTCCTCGGAACTTACTCCCCGTAATCACAGCCAGAATTCCAGGTGGGCGGCGAGTCGTCGGAACTTGCTGCGTTGGCGTTGCTAGCCCCCAGCCTCCTCGCTCTGGATCCTCCTTGGCGCCCACGTTGGGTGGCCTCGAGAGCGACAAAGCAGCATACGGAACGCTTGGTATATATAGAGGAGGGCCCCGTCCGTCACTAAACACTCAAACACCACCTACACAGACAAACTGCAGCTTGATTATCCCAGCACCACAACCATGTCCGCCACTGCCACTGCCACTGCAACCGCAACCAAACGCCTCCCTCCGCTCATCATAGGCTCAGGCATCTCAGGACTCACGTTCTCAACTATCCTCGCTAAACACCCAAACTACCCGAAGGTTTTCGGCACTACCAAACCCCCACGCGTTTTTGATGCCGCAAAGGAGTTTAGCGCAAAGTTGGGCGCGGGTCTCTCGATCGCGCCTAATGCCGTGCCTGCACTCAAACAATTGGGTGTTTGGGATGAGATTAGAGCGGCTGGGTGTGAAATGGATAGGGTATGTATGAACGCGTGCGTTAGCGAGCCAGTGTGATGCCGAGCGAAGCGACTGGGCCGGAGGCCCAGCATCATCACTTTGCTCATCCATCAACCCATGCTCGCTCCCGCAGGTCTGCATCTTCAGCGAATCGAAAAAAGAACTGGGGCACATGTCCGGCGACATGTACCGCGAAGCATGGGGCGCACCGCTGCTCACCATCGAACGCGGCCTCCTCCAACAAATCCTGCTCAAACACGCGCAAGAATCCGGCGTTGACGTCCAGTACAACAAAAAGGTAACCTCCATCACCGTCGACAAGCGATCCGAAACCGTCTTCATCACATTCTCCGACGGCACAACGGAAACTGGATCCATGCTCATCGGCGCCGACGGTGCACACAGCATCACCCGCAAAACAATGTACTCGCTGCTTGGCACCCCGGAACCGCCCATGCGCACCCGGGGCATCTCAACCCTCTACGGCATCTCCGCCCCGATCCCCCAAATCCCCCTCGGCCACACCCAATGGGTGATGGGCACCAACGAGATCTGGGGCACCTGGGCGCTAGCCAACCACAAGACCTTCTGGTTCATCAACGAGTACGAGCCGGAGAAAGTGAAAGAAGGGCAGTGGTTCGATGACGCGGATGTCGAGGCGACCAAGAAGCGGTTCGAGGATAGGTGGTTCCCTGTGGAGGGTGTGGGGAGGTTTGGCGACGTGATGAGGGACAGCGACCGGTGCATCAAGGTGGGGCTTTGGGAGAAAAGTTACGAGCATGTGCATGCGGCCGACGGGAAGATTGTCCTGATGGGTGATGGTAGGTCTCCGCTTCCCCGCGTTTCATCCACCATCGTCTTGACGTTAATCATATCCCCATTGAATTGTCCCCACAGCCGCCCACCCCATGGTCCCCTTCGCGGGCCAAGGCGCAAACACCGCCATCGAAGACGCCGTCACACTCGCCAACCTCCTCCTCTCCCCCGCCGCCTCCCTCCCTACAATAGCAGAAGCCTACGCCGCCCAACGGATCCCGCGAACCAAGAAAATAGTGGATTTTGCGGGCCTGACGGGGACCTTGCAGATGGGCGGTGGGGGTGTTGTTAGGAGGGTCAGGGATTGGACTTATATGACCCCGAGGTGGGTGTTGGAGAGGAGTATGGGGTGGTTGTATGGGGTGCAGCCGAGGATTGAGGGGTTGTGAAGGGGGTGGGGTTAGGCGTAGGCTATGTGTGTTGGATGGACTGGGGGGGGGGGGGGGTGCTATGGACGGTTACGGAGCATAATGCAAACATCTGCGTGGGAGTTGGGTGCTGCAGATCTAAGAAGCGGACAGACGAAATTGACGGAATGTGACAGCGCGTCGGTGTGCGTACCCGTCATTTCGTTCACCAGAATGTTGTATGGCGCTCACCGCATTCCCACGAAACGCAAGGACGGGCATCTGACCGGTCAGCCTTGAAATCTTTGTTCTCATGCGATGGTCTGTTCTGTTCCATATAATGTTGTGTGTACACGGCCGTTTTGTTCTCGGATGCCACTGACCGCATCCCCCGGGAGACGTACTGGCGAAAGACGGCGTCTGGCCAGTCAGTCCTGAGCCTCATGCAATGGGCGTTATGCTCACGTATAACGAACGACTGGGCAATCAGACTGCACGGCCCGGGCTGCCCGCAAGCACACTAATATTCCCCAGAATACATATGGTTGGATCCTTGGTTGGATCAATGCAACACAAGTCTCCCGCCAAACGCAAGGACTGAGTTATGAGTATATGCACTTGTAAGGTTCTTAATCAACAGCATCGGCGAACATAATATGAAAAGGCGTCGAACGAAGGCTTCCTTTGTCTTTAGAATGTAACGCGGCTTATGGGGCATCAGTCGGTGATTCAGTATCTTTTGCAGACTCAAAGGTAGGACCGGAAGGTGCGTCGTGATAAACTTCTGAGAGACTCTCAGATGAAGCGCTGCGAGGACCCTCGGACGTATCCTCAGGAGGCGCAAGACCTTCTTCAGTGCGAGTTGGGGGATCGTTGCTCGCAGAAGGCCCATCGGTCTGCGGAGAGGTGGAGACCTGTGGTACTGCTGACACTTCCGTCGCCTCGTTCGGAGTGTTCGTGCCTGTTGACGCACCTCCAGATCCCACCGACGCTTCCAGCAGTCTATGGATGTCGTCCACTCTAGAGAGTAACGCTTCGCTTCCGTTCGCACTTATCCGAAGCCTGGACACTACCTCCGCTAATTGGTCCGCGATCCGAGTCGCTTCTGCCAATAGAGTGGGGTTTTCTGTGGATACTGAGCTTGGAGCAGGTGGCGGTCCGGAGGTCGGTGCACGGGGCGACGTCTGGGTGGTACTCGTTGTAGACGAAGATGCGAGGTTAGGCCTCACGGGACCAAAAGGCGTTGCTGCGGGCCGGGTTGATCTCTGTCCAAATGCTGTAGACCCAAAACCTCCTCCGTAGCCTGTTACCCCCGCAGCAGTGCCTGTCTCGCAGCGGTTTCGTTCCAACTCGTAATCTCTCCACCTAAGTTCCTAAACGAGGTGAGGGAAGAGGTACGTGATCAGAAGTCAACAGTAGGCGCATGTCGGACTGCTATTACCTCGTGCGACCAATTTTGGTAATCGTGCATGGTAGATATGTTATAGATCTTGCAAGGTTCATGCTGAGGATTAACTTTTGCATATTCCTTCTCTACGGGTGCCTGAAACCGTGGGAATGCTGTTCCGTTATTTACATGTGCCGTGGTCATCAGAAACGGGGAGGGACCAAACGTTGTCCCTCTGTTCGCGCCAAAATCCACCGGCGTAGGAGTCGCAATCTGATTGGACCCTTGTGTCCCTCCAGATGCTGACGTGGGGGACGGAACGGAGGGGCCAGAAGCGGGTGCTCGTTGGGCTGTTCCACTAGATGAGGATGGTGCAGTAGTCACGAAACTGCCAAATGGTGCCGTGCTGGACCCTCTCAGGCCGAAAGCTCCGGACGGCGTAGGTATTGCTCCACTAGAAGTAGAGGAAGTACTAGATGAAACGCCCCCAAATGGCCCGGTGCCCACTCCGAAACCTCCGAACGGCGGAGGGGTTGTTCCACGAGATGTAGAGACAGTACTAGACACAACACCGCCAAATGACGCCGTGCTTGGCTGTCCCACTCCGAAGCCTCCGAACGGCGGAGGCGTTGTTCCACGAGACGTAGAGGCAGGACTAGATAAAACAGCGCCGAAACCTCGGAATGGCGTAGGTGCAAAGGAGAAACTAAATACTTGAGGGGCAGCGGACGACGCGGCAGGCGTGGACGCTGAAGGGGGTTGAAGATGCACAGAGGATTCAGGTGAAGATGATGCCGCGCCACTTGTTGTCGTGGTCTGAAATCCGAAACCACCGACCGATGTAGTTGTGGGAGTAGAACGCAGAGTAGACTCCTGGGAAGGGGCAGACGGCGTCACATTGACAGAGGCGGGGGCTGGGTCGGGTTTCCCAAATGGCCTCCCTGCGGGGATCGGCCGGATAGCAGGTGACGCACTTCCGGACGCAGAAGCAGAAGCGGTTCTGCCGAAAGTCGGCGTGCTGGGCGCTCTGGAGGACGAGTTGCCTCTCCCGGATGCAGGAGGTGTGAAACCGGAATTCGGCACTTTGCGCGCGCCAGACACCGAATTGGCTCCTCCTGGTGCAGTAGCAGATGTGGTCCCTCCAAACGAGAAGTTGGCTCTGCCGGATACAGTACCAGATGTGGTTCCGCCGGAATTCGGAACAACCTGTGCTTCGAATAAAGAAATTGGGCCTCCGGATGCTCTATTGGAACTGGTTGCGCTAGAGTTCAGCCCTCCGAACAACGTCGGTGGAACAGTGGATGCAGCTCCTGATGCCGGCCTAAAGGAGGGGACCCCGAACGTCGGTCTTTCGTTGGCGCCGAGGGCCACTGACGCGGCGGCGAGAGGAGCGATTGGAGTGGAAGTCAGACCGAACCCTATTGCCGACCTTGTACCCGAGTCGGATCCGGATACCGGCTCAGAAGAAGAGGTGGGGAGATCACTGACGTTCGGTAAATCACCCCGTACGCTCACTCCGCCTTTCAGAACATCGTCGAGGCTTTTGGTAGCTCTTTTGAAGTCCTCGAAAGGATTGTTTTCCCGACTCGACCACCCCTCGCTCACACTTGGGATGTCAGCACACCGTGCTGAAGCCGATACGTAACGAGTCGCAAACTCGCTGGGTCCCATTCCCCGTTCGATGATTCGATCGAGTGCATCGATGAATCCTCCCACATAAATGCCTTGACATCCCTCGCTCAGTGAAGGAGGAAGCTTCCAATTTGCATACATCCTAAAAGAGGAGCGGGTTATTGCGTCCCAGATTTTCGGATGGCAAAGACGCACACTCGAGGCTTTGAACCATGCGCTGCTCACGTGAGAGACAGGGTGCGATACTGTAATTGTGGGTGATCTCTCGCCCTTGAGGGCATGCTTGTGCACCTTGGCCCACACCGCCATCTCCGGGTGTTCAGCAAATACCCGCGTCACCGTGTCATGCAGGCCCCCATAGAAGGGAGCAAGCGGAACAGGTATACCACGCCTTCGCATACTTCGGATGTCCGCTACTTCTGCGTACGGTCTGACGACTTCTTCCCACGAACCCAGATCGATTTGCTCGTTCAGCGTTGCTCTGAGGGTCCGCTCTATGGAGCCAATCCGCGACATGAAATCGCGGCAAGAGGATGTGTTCATTAACTTAAAACTTAAGATACAGTACGATTGCCTTTCTGAGTCTCCATATGCCCCACAGAATGGATCTGTTCTGCGGAGGCTTGCAAATGCCAGATTTATAATAGACATCATCCTGCCCCGTTTCTTCAAAGGCATACGCAATCTCTATTGCCGCTTCGGTGGAAATGGGTTCAGAGAGAGTTTTGAACCTCCGTTCCGCAGCACACCTTTCGCATTCGTCAGGCTGGCATTCCGTCCGTTTGAGGGTTCCTCCGTGACAAGATTCCGCGATTTCGCGGAATTCTCTGGAAAGCCAATCGCCTTGGGATTCAGTGTCCGCAACATCATATACAGCCTTGTAATGGATATCATGCTCCGGTAGCGTCCTCAAGGCCTGAACGCAGCTGTGTATAGGATCAGTGGATATCATCGAAAGCAGGCTTCGCACGGTGCTGGCAGTCTTGGCGTGTGCGGCATCGAACAACGCAGTTTTCTCGTCCCCGGCACAGGATATCCGGGCCAGACGGGCCACGGCGATCTGCAATAGAGACAGGTCTGTGCCGCTAGCGCCAACGGTGAGCTTGTGACCATCTCGTGTGTCGGCCTGAAAGCATACCGCTACCTGCTGCCACCGCCCGGAAAGGCTGTCGTATAGCATCCACGATAAGAAAACGGCGAGGCAGTCCGAAAGAGCCTCGAAAGGTCGCACGGGCCTGGCCCCGTCTGACTCCACATCGTCAGACTCCACAAGCCGGGCAGCCAGGAAAGCCCTCCTGTGTATCGAGAGCACTGCCAAAGGATCCATCCCTGTTCCGATCCTGTTCGGACAGTGAGCTTTAAGAAAATGGCACAAAACCGAAGTGAAAATACAACGCTGCCGCTTGAATTTGCCTCCTCATCACGGCGGGCGGCGTTCTACTGGAGCGGCGTTCCTGAGCTCGTTCTCTTATGGTTCAAAGGGTTTATCCCCGAACGAACGACGCGACGAAGAAGGTTACGCTTAGTTTTTCAAAGACTTTCGAACCCTCGTTGGACAAATCACTGGTACAGCTGCGACAAAGCTACTAAGAAGCGGGCCGTCGCCGTCGACCCGTTGCTTGTCGTGTGAGGAGACATTCCTGCCATGGGAGTGCATGCTTTACGAAGCGAAAAACGTGGCCGTCCGGCGGCAAACGAACCCGACTTGACAGACCAAGGTGATAGGAGATCATGAGCACGGGTCGTCCTTCATCTTTTCGGGAGAACAACATTTGCGTTGAGAATGAGCCCCCCCATGCTTCATGCCGGATCGTGGAGGGGTTCTCGGATGGGCAGAGGGTTCCCATGGACCCGATGTCGAAACTGAGATAGGGCCAGCATCTCAAACAAGCTCTTTGGATTGCAACATGCCCTCCAACAAGCTCTTTTTGTGGAGTCTGAGCAAAAGGACAAGGCTACGCCCTTTTTGTTGATGAGGGAATTTGCAGACCGCTGTGCGGCATCGGACATCGGGCAACCAAGCGTCAGAAGGGAAGACTGACAGATTACGACAGCGCGTCGCAAGGAGACATTCCGAGGCATGCTTTATGAAACGAAAAACATGGCCGTCGTGACTTGACAGACCAAGTTCACTGCGAGATTACGCTGCGCTCACTCCAGATTCCTCGGAGCGGCCGCGCAATGAGGACAAGGATCAATTATTCCAGTGAACGATGCTCATATAAAGTTCCCACTGTAACATGGCATTCGCTGTTGCGCGGAAAGCAATGTACATAATGGCATTCTTGGAAATCGATCGATGGTTTTGCGTTGCCACCCAGTCATTTCCGCGCTCCACATCCTGAAGCAAAACGGCCTGATGCGGTGCCATTGCTCGGTCTTGAAGACGAGATTGGCCCTCTGTGCGTTGCTGGCGTTCAGCATGGTGAGCCCGTGGCTCTTCGTGCAGACAACCATGCCACTTTTGCTCAGCCCCGGTGCAGTAAAGAACAGCCAAACACGTTAAAACATTTAGCTAGAAATCCAAAGACAAGTTCTGATCACCTTCGTGAGTGCTTACCAGGGGCGTTCTTCAACTCTACAAGTGTGCTTAACTGTAGACACTTAGGCATTGTTGGCCAGCTGGCGAGCGTTGTTTGCGTTTAGTATACAGCTCATGGGATTGCAAATGCATAGCGAGCCAAGCGAGCCTGGTAGTCTATTCTGTTGAAGTGCCAGGGTATTTTCTGGTTGTATGCTATTCAATAGCGGGCTCAGCGCTTCGGGAGCGGGAGTGTGCTGCAGAAAAGGACGGGTAAGAGTTTCGGAGCTTTGCCATTAACTGCTCTTGCTTGAAAGCCGCCTTGAGCATCGCCAACCGATGGGCGTTGTCTGCCAGCGCCAGCTGGTGGGCGTTGTTTGCGTTCAGCACGGCGAGCTCGCTGGAGACGAGGATCAGGGCGAGGATGGGTTGCGCGCGCGGCTTTGAAACTGCAAGAACGTGGCGAGCGGCGCAGCTTCGTCAAAGGCTGCGTGGAAAAAACGAGGTGGCATTTTGACCATTAAGCAGGGGGTTTCCCAAAACGCGATATCTGATCTGCATGTGGGCGAGCAAGCCATCGCTAGTGCAAGCCTTACTTACCAGGTGCGGTCTTGGACTCGACCAGGATGCTCAACGCAACAACACTTGGCGCGAGATAGTCATTGGGATTGAACATGGTGGGCCTCCCCGTGACTCTCGCAATTCTAGTCACCACCCCTACTGACAACCGGCGCCGGTAACTGCGGGAAGGCACGGTGGCGAGGAAAGAATGGCGTTGGACTAGGTGGAGCCGAGTGCTGAACCGTACTCCCCGGACAGCAGAGAGAGGTAGGGACTCGAGTTCGGGACCATGTTTCCGGCTTCGTTGACGGCTAGACGAAGGTGCTCCACGACGGTTTGCAGGTCATGGGAGTTGATGCCTTGGGTGCTTGGAACGCCGACCAGGGCGGAGAGTCGCGCGGGATATATGCTTCGGTGGAAAGTCCACTAAGATGTCTACGCACCGCTCGATGTCCTCCGCACGCTTTCCACCCAGGCGACGAGGGTCAGTGAATATGTTCCACCCCAGTGTTCAAGTCTAAGGCGTGTTCCGGCGTCTGTTGCGCCCCGCTTTGTCGAGCCACGTAGCCATCTGAGGTGAAGCCAGGGGACAGTGTCTACCGGTTTCGAGATGCATTCAATATTCTTCCAAAAGTGGAGTACATGCTGAGGGTACGGCGCACCGTAAGCATTTGCTGATGTGATGTCTGACTCCCACTACAATCCAGCTTGACTTCATTCCCCGTTCGGACATCCCAGGGGTCGATTTGGATTTTTCGTCAGTCACTGTCATCATCGATCTCTCTCATTCAGCTATATTCGGCCTAAAACGTATCATTTTGGATGTCCGCAACCTGACTGGAGGAAAGTTCTCCCTGTTGTTTTACAGCATTGTTAGTAGATCTCAACGTGTGTCACTCTGGCCGGTGTGTTTGGCCATGCGTTACGTGTGGATGAGGGAGGGAGCCGAGCCACGACCCCACCTGACAGGATCGACAGTCAATCCAAGGACCGACTGACAGTTATCGAAGCAATCATGGCGCACGAACGACCTTTCCTCTTGCTCCCTTTTCTCCTCCCTTCAGTACTATGCTCCCTTGTTCGCAACACATCTGATTGCATACATATCCCAAACGTCTGACCACCCCAAACGTCATGTCAACAAACGCCACCCAACCCCACGCTTCCCCAACCAACTTAACGGAAGATCGCTCCACTGTTGCACGCCTCCCGCAGAATATCCGCCCGAAAGATGCCCCAACCGCATTCACGCCGCCATAAGAAGGCGCTAGTCCGGCACCGGTCCGCTTGGCAAGACGTCTGCTGCTCGATAACATGACTGCGGCGCTGGTGCGCATTTATTGGTCCCAACCACGAAGCTGCACACGTCTACCACTCGTTCGATTTCATCGCCAAATATCCGTTTCCGCCATCCACAAAACCATGAAGCCAGAAGGAACTTCGTTGACATCTGCGATCAAAGACAGCAGGCCTATCAAGGCCGTTGCAAACGCCTTGGGGGCCAATCCTAGACCAACCCAGAGAATGTCTACGTTCGACCAAGTGAACGAGGGCCCGCCGTCAATTGCGCGATGTGCCGAGTGGTCCCGCGCCGTGGAGGAAGCCTGAATCCTTCGTAATCTTCATTCGATCACACTCACACCCTCTCTTTCCCGCACAGTCAATGGCCAAGGATGACAGCCCGTACGTAACATCCGCCTTCGGTCAACCTGTTCCAACCGTCACCCATTCGCTCCAGATTGGAGGTTATCCCGTATCTTCTGACGTTCATCTTTTCGAAAAGCAGCAAACGTTCAATCGGGCCAAAGCCCTCGAGCGTATGGTCCATCCTAGCGGCTCGGGAGCGTTCGGCTACTTCGAAACAACCACCGACGAAGCTGGGAAGTTGAGCAAGGCTATGTTCCTTCAGGGGGTAGGCAAGAACACCCCCGTTTTCACACGCTTTTCTACGGTGACTGTCGGAAAGGAGTTTCCGGACTCGTGTCGGAACCCGAGGGGGTTTGCGGTGAAGTTTTACACCGAGGGAGGGAATGTAAGTGATTATTTTGCGGTTCCGCTGAAGGTGTCATGTATCCAGCCTACTCATGGCCGCCGTTATTCGCAGTAAGACCTGGTCGGTTTGAACTGGCCAGTGTTTTTCGTCCGCGATCCCATGCAGGGCCGGACGTCATTCGATCCCAACAACGCAACCCTCGCAACTTCCTGATCGACTACGATTCTTGGTACGACTTCCTTGCCAACGTTCCGGAGAGTATGCACGCCGGAACGATGCTCATGTCTGACCACGGCACTCCCGTCGGCTGGAGATTCATGGATGGGTTCGGTTGCCACACTTTCAAATGGGTCAACGCAAGCGGTGCACAGACGTTCGTCAAGTATCACTGGCTCTCGGAGCAGCCAAGAAGCATTGCATGAGACGAGGCTGTTCGTATGTGCGGTGAAGACCCAGACTTTGCAAAGTAAGTTTGGTCGCCTGCGAAGTTTTACCTGGACTGTTCTTTGAAGATGTCCTGATCATCAGCATTTTCCCTGGAGAGACTTGTACAACCACATCGCCTGAGGGGGCACGGCCTCTTTCTATGATGTTATAGTGTGCAAAACGAATGTCACCCTTTACACACTCAATCTGATCCTAGGGGCTAATTACACCTCGATATCACACCATGCGTTGCGGCAATAGCTGCTGTGAGACGAGTGTTTGCTTGGGTATGAAGATCCGACAACTCCAATATGCGATCGATGATCTCACGTGGAAGTCGAGCTATAGAAGGGACTTCGGAAGGTGTCATGCCGTTAGGTGAGAAAACTGGAGATAGGAAAGGACTGCTGCCTGACAGACGGTAGTTGGAGCACCAAAATCGAGAGTCTCACCACTCCCTCACCAGTCCTTTATGTATATATATATGGACCGTCAGTATGTCAGAACGCGGCGCTCAGGTGCTCAAGA